TAACTGCGGTTCGACAAATGAGCGACGGAGAGACGAACAGAGTCGCGGTCGTGTACTCCAAACTTGCTGGTGACACCTTCAGACCTCACACTATCGAAGCCAGGGAGTCCAGGGAGTCCAGGGAGTCGCCGGTCCCAGTGGCCCTGCAGGACCCTCAAAAGTCAGGGAGTTCAGGGAGTTGCCGGTCCCAGCGGACCTGCAGGACCCCAAGGAAGTCAGGGAATTCAGGGAGTAGCCGGACCGAGCGGCCCTTCGGGACCTCAGGGTGTGGCTGGTCCTAGCGGTCCTGCTGGGCCTCAAGGCATTCAAGGCAGCCAGGGTATCCAGGGAGTGGCTGGCCCAAGTGGTCCTGCGGTGAGTGTCATGCCTCGACAGGACGATGAACCTTCGCTGACGAAGACAGGGCCCATCTGGGCCACAAGGAGCTCAAGGCGCCACGGGAGTAGCTGGACCAAGTGGACCAAGTGGACCAAGTGGACCGAGTGGTCCTCCGGTATGTCGAATTCTGTCGTTCATGAGTACTCTTTGCTGATCCGAGCAGGGCGCTGCCGCCACAAGCGTCGCATTTGCTTATGTAAGTTGGGCGAGACTGCCATCATCATCCCAAGATGCGCGTAGAGATTTTGGCCCAGGTGCTATAATGCTGTGCCTTGTCGTCAAAGCGAACGACAAGTCCTGCAACCAACCACTGGCTCGCTCAATCTCCCTTATTCTAGGTCGACCAGGACCCTCAGCTGACTGATGTGGCAGACCGGATGCTTTGCGCAAACCTCCCTCATCGGAATCTCCCTCACAGGATCATATGGCCTCGATACAGGCTCTGCAGGTTACACTGGCTCATCACTGTCAAACTCAGTGGCGACTCCAGCGGCTAAGCAATGCGCTACGCTCTGCATAGCTCGAGGCGGACAGAACTTCTTCGGACTGGTGAACACAGGCGTCACAGGCTCAATTTCTTGTTTCTGCGGAACAGCCATCACAGGCGATTCCTCGGCAGAGACTAATTGTACCGCTTGCAGCGGCGCCGCCGGCACTGGTACATGTGGCGCGATCAGCCTCGGAATCGCTGGCAGGGGCATCGCTGTATATGGCAGGGCGTACTGATGAGCGAGCCATAGAAGGAAGCAGGCTTCAAAAACTGTCGCTAAGCGAAGTCTGGTATCGGGTGTTGCAGAGGCCGCTCGGGTCCGGGGTACGAAGCTGAGACTCGTCTAGATCGCATTGTGTCGAGATGCGAAGATGAAGAGAAGAACGTTGGAGAGAAGATGGCGAGGCGTTGAACAAGGACACGTCGGGTTCTTGGTTGATCGCAGTCCACCACGTGAAGCAGCTATAATGCTTAGGAGTGACGCCGTGACGCAGTATTGGTGTGTACATGCGCTCTGACGGAATAGGTCATCGTACAAACAAACAATTGCAATCTGACAAGTCTCACTCTGCCACAAGTGATACAGATCAGTGCTTGGCCACACTTCGCCCTCAACGCATTGAGTGCGAAGCCTGCTTATGTATGGGCTGAGTTGCGTTATTGTAATGGTCATGCTACGTTCAACATTAGACGGTAGCAGATGGTGACTTTCTTCGATCCGCAGCAGTGTTGGGCCAAACCCAATACCAATTGCAGAAAGTTCAGAGTATTGAAGCTTCCACTATCGCCCAGGTCCAACAGGGCGATCCGGGACAGCAACAGTCTAACACTCGAAGACAAACGGTTGGTGAACTCCGATCATGTCGTCCTTGTTCGAGCAGTAGGCGGAGGTGCTGCTTTGCCAAGACGCTCTCTCATCACGCTCTCAAACGAGCTCTCGATCCGGGCAAAGACACCTCTGTGGTCTTGCTGTGGCGCTTCGGGCGATCGCCATCCATCGCGACACCAGATACTCCAGCTGCCCATCTCTCGAGCAACCATGACATCAGTGGCCAGCCGGTCGCCAACAAATACTATCTCTGCTGGGTCATCCGTCACGCCATTCTCTCGGAAATACTGCAGAACATCTGGACCGCACAGTGGCTTCTTCCGGCCAGGTTGTTGGCGTAAGACTGGCAGTCCTAGCTCGGTTTCGAGCTTCTTTGCCTCTGTCTCATGCTTAGCAGCAGGAGTGCTGCCAGCTGTATTTGAAACGATGAGAATGCTGTGGGATCTGCCCGAGAATTCAGGACTAGCTTGATTTCTTCGATCTTCTTCCGATATGCTGAATGCACAATGGCTGTCTCCGGCGCACAGATCGTGTTATCCTTGTCGAGCACAAGCGCCTTGATCGTAGGCTTCCTTGACGATGTGCCAAGTACTGTACTCACAGGAATAGGCAACTGTAGCAGGGTTGGAATTGTGTAATGTGGCAATAGTGACGAAGGCTCTGTCAACACGTAGGCAAGCGTCAAGCGCAGAGCGGGCAGATTTGAAAATAGTGGCATCGCCTCTGTGCTCATGACCTCGAGGTTAATGGCTGTTGCGTCCCAAAGTCACGGCGATCGAAGGCACGCGTCGCGGAGATAGGCGGACTTTGCGTCCCACCTGGGGAATTTCTGTTGCTGTTCACTCAAACTTCAAGCCTCTGCCATATGTCCTTCCACCAAATTGCGCACCGCCTTGGAATCCTCCGAGTATAGATCAAACCCCGCCAGTGAAAGAAGACCGACAAGGCGACAAAGAGTCTCAACATGGGCAAGCTCACGTCGACCATCGGTATTCCAATCAAACTTTTGAATGAAGCGCAAGTGAGTACCGTCCCAGATCTCGCGCCGCAGTCGCTCGGGGAGACCATCGCTAATTGCTACAGGGCCATGTTGTCACTCTCGAACTCACATCGGGCCAGGTGTATCGCGGCAAGCTTTTGGAAGGTATGGTCCTCATGAAAAGCGTGTACTACAGATGCTAACCTCAAGGCAGCCGAAGACAATATGAACGTGCAGCTCAAAGACATCACAGCGACAGCGAGGGACGGCAGAGTATCACATCTTGACCAGGTATACATACGAGGGAGCCACGTTCGATTTTTCATCGTGCCAGACATGCTACGAAATGCGCCTATGTTCAAGAGCAGAGGGACAAGAGGTCGTGGTGTCGGTCTGGCAAGAGGACGAGCGACAGTCAACAGAGCGAGAGCTGGTCGACGAGGCTGAGAAACGACGGCTTGCCAATGAAGTGACTTTATCAGAAGATTGGCGGTCTATGGGATACCCCAAAGCTAGGGTCACGCGCGGCCAACGACGATTCGGCACGGAACTCCAACCTGGTCATTGAGCAACGGTCGTGCAGGCGGGGTTTATCTCTGCCGATACACGAAGCCGTCCATTAAATACGAAAGTGGAAACGCCACCGTCAGAGGTTTCAGAGCAGCGTTGATAGGTGGCCCAATACAAGCCACGGGTGCATTATGGTGCACAAGGTGATTCCGAGACAGCGAGCCTGGGAGGCCAACGATCTCATCATGAAGCGATGGACAACGGGCTCGATCAGAAGATGTCATGCTGGGCTGATCATTCTGATCATCGCAGACCAAGGCGTACCTAGCTTACATAATGCTGGTACTGATTGAAAGTGCCAAGCACTGCTGGACTTCAAGTAGTTTCCAAGGTTGAGATTCATAAATACATCGTCTGAACTGCCTACCTCAACACATGTGACACTTCCTCTGCTTCAGTGACATCGGGTAGCGTTGGCAAAGTTGTAGATGATCGCACGCCCTGCAGCTGGAGCATGGCGCCCGCCGAAGCGTCACTGTCTCAGCTCAGGCTACTGATTCTATCACCTGCCAACGCATCAAAGTCCACTCCATCGGCATTTCCACCAGTCTTGAAATATCTCACAGCGACTGCACCATCAGAGAACGTGGAAAATTTCGCCGGCTACACCAGTCATGTCCCAATCAGGTTGCGCACAAAATACTACACTAAGGACGTGAGCCTCTGGTGTGACGAATTGCCGGATTTGTTGGCGGATGGCAACAAGGCGAACGAAGGCAGGAGGGAAGAGGGCGATGGGACGGCAGGAACACAGTCTAATGGAGAGGACGGCACAACGCTCGACGAATGGCAGGAGCAGATGTTGTCAGCAGCAGCAGCAGAAGTCAGGAGCGTAATCGGCGGCATTATATTGATTATGCCTATAAAGGCTTCCACAAAACTTCCCATCTGGCTCATCGACTACGTCAGAGCTGTTCACAGCCTACGTGAAGCTATCGAGGACGATTCGCCTGGTCGAGACATCGCTTCGGCCGTTATCCTGCAGCCCGAAGCGATACCGATGGTCCAGCAATCGAGTGTTTCATCAGTTCTGAAGGCACTCGACGATACCGCCGAGGCACTGTCATCTGAGTGTTTAGAGAACGACATGCTAGGCTGGGACGTCGTTCATTGGCTTGGTGACGATGACCCAAGTGAAGTCATCCACACTCAGACAGGCCCACGCAATGAATTTGGTGAAAGGATTGGCATCGCCCGAATTTTCGAAGTTCTGGAAAGCGTGGACTGGTCGGCTGCTCCGGACCCGACTGAGGAGACGGAGGACGGCGCTGCAGGCGACACCGGGTCTCTAGGCAGACAGAGGCTGACAGGCCTGGACGATGAGCTGCAAGAAGAAATGCTGGGCTTGAAGCTCTCGATGATGGAAGAGCAGGCGTTGTCAGATGATGAGGCTGGTGGGGAGGACTTGTCGATAGAGCAGATGGAGCAGCTTCAAGGTCGCATTCTAGCAATTCGAGAGGCTGCGTCGGGTATGTCGGGCTCGCAAAAGGAGCTCTTTGCACAGCGGGAGATCGATAGGATCATGAAGGAATTATAGATCTGCCTTGGTGAAGACGTATGGCTTTGCAGACCTTCAGTCGGGGTCGTCAAACGAAAGCTTGATTTTCTTCGCCTTCTTCCTCGGCTTCGATGGCTCTGGGACTGCTTGGGCTTTGTCCGTGCCGTCGCTGGTGGTCGTCGCTGACTGATCGTCGCGCTTGCTCTTTGGCGTATCTGCCGGTTCTTCCTGCCCAATCACTTTCACAACCTTTCGTTTCTTCGTCGTTCCTATCTCTGCCTTCTGTACCTCCTTAGCCATAGCACTCGCGACTGCCTCGTCCGCTTTCTCGACGTCATCGTCTCTCCCAGCCTCGGCCTCGACTCCTTCCTTCTCGCGCTTTAGCATTCCCTCCCACTCCTCCTTCGCGACCACATTTTCGCCGGACTCATCAACTATCACTGGCTCATCTTCATCGTCGTCGCCAGTCCGCAGTCGATCTTTCTTCGGCCTCGGAGCCTGCACATTATTTCGCGGACCTCCATGTTCTTCACGAAGTCTACGCAGAAACGAGGGCTCTTGTTTGGTGAATTCAAGCTTCTGACTGGGCATGTCGGACTGCAAATTTGCGCAAGTCTGCCCGTTTCAAAGCATCGAGCCAACTCGAGCAGAGATCCGAGCTGTTTCTGACCACTCGCGACAAGCGGCAGCGTCAGAGTAGCAGGGTAGAATCAACGATATTGGCAATTGACGACGAGTCGAGACACTCAAATGACGACGTCTTTTGAAATGAGCCTCGAGATTCACGTCAACTTGAAGCAACACATTATTTTGCCAATAGCATCATTGATTCCTAGATCGACGTTCGCCTGCATTTGTACAGAGTAACTATACATCTGAGGTGCTTGTCTAACGCTACACACGGCGCTGACTATATGGTATGTGATGGTCGAGCTTTCGAACACTACCATCGTCGGCCATCAGTGTCGTCACCGCGCTCAGCTCAACGTCAATGCCAGTCTACATGTTCATCAACACAGCAGCACCTCCGAACAAAGCCGCCGCGCCGAGTCCGCCTGTTGCCATCGGAGCTGCGAGACCGGAGCTACTCGACGAGGACGACCCGGATGCAGTAGCACTAGCCACGGCACCGGTCTCTACCGTGGTTGTCGCTGAGGCCACACCACTGGTGAACACCTCACCAGTCGCCGAGCTGGCGCCAGAGAACGCTGGCGAGTCTGACGTTGCCGTATAGTTGGGGACAGCGGTGCGGTTGCCGGGATTGAGGACGTTGTCGATGACATGCACGACACCATTTCCGACGAGGACATTCGGGGTGACGACCTTTGCACTGTTGACATAAATGACCTCAGTTCCATTCTTGTCCATGTATGTGGAGATGGTAAGTTCCAAATCATTCATGCTGACAACCTTGGTTCCGTTCTTGATATCAGTGCTGTACAACACTGAGCCGTTCACGACGTGGTATTCCAAGATTCGGCTCAGGTCCATCTGGGAGTCAGTCGCGAGAGTGCCTCCGATAGCCTGGAATGCCTCGTTCTGCGGAATGAAGCATGTAACGTTCTCTAGCATATCCACTGCACTTGCCAGACCTGCAACCTGAAGAGCGCCAACGGCAGAGCGCAGTCCAAGCTGTACAGCTGTGTCGGTGATGTTGGCAGGCAACGTCAAGAAGCGATCGATGATGTGGATGTAGCCATTGGTGAAGTTCGTCGAATTCGTGACAGTTGAGTTGGCGAACAGCCAGAGAAGATCGTTGTCGAGCCATTGGTGCTGTTTGAACCGACAACCTCCACGACTTGACCACTCGAGACATTGGCGTACATGCCAGGCCCGAGAGCCGTAGGGATGAACATGGGCATGGACGAGAAGTTAGAGTAGCTGCCGTTGAGGACGTGGTACGACAGCACAGCTTCGATCAGAGAAGTGTCGTTGTTCTGAAACGCACCGCCAGACGCGTTCAATGCCATCTCGAAAGCGTTGTTGTTTGGTGCGAGAAGTGTGATGTTGGACATCTGGCTGATTTGACTGAGCAGACTTGGAAACAAGTTCAGGTAGGTGGTGAGGTTCGACAACGATGGCTGGTTGGACAGCGCGGTCTTTAGGTCTTGTCCATACGCTGCTGAGGCCAATGCGGCCAGGGCTAGATTGCGGAACTGCATATTTGCGAAGTTCGAGTGTGATCGATCAAAGTCCTGGAATTACTTGAGGGTGACTACTACAGATAAGTTCAGAGACAGAGATGCGATGGGATGAGAGTGTCTACCAGCACAGCTTTATGAGGGTTCCCCCCTTTGCCACCAGTGTTTACCCACCTACGCAGGGTTAGACAGTTCTCCTGAGGGAGAGTCAACTACAGCCACGACAGAGTCTGAGTGAAGTCTATCGAGGTCGACAACCGCGCATGCGAATTCATCTTGCCCACGGCAAATGCTGCGATCGACACTGAATTCGCAAATGCCAAGTGTCGCCTTTCGCCTCTTGCCACCGTCTAAGCATCTTTCCTTGTCTACCTGCGTCGATATCATGAAGTGTCGACAGCAACAAAAGACGATGTCTGGAGTTGTAGGTGGCGCCGGCCGCTCTATCCGTAGAGGGAAACTCCACTTTTACAGCCTGATACAGTTCGGGACCTGCTGGCTTCGAGGTCTCTTTTCGCGTCGAGCCACTGACGAACGCATATCGCGCCTGATGTCTGGAGATAGACTTCACTTACGTAGTCTCAGTTTCTCCTTGAAGCTTTTCCATGACGAAGCATTTCAAGAGTTGCCCAGCTTCCGTCGAACAGCCACACAGTTTACTGGTACGCATTCGAGATGCTGTGGTCTAGGCGTTGTGCAAATGCTGCCAAGACTATTCTTACATTGAACAAGAGCAGAGCCACGAGTCAAGCTTTGATTCCGGCGCATGTTTTCCGTTCTCTATCGCCACGACAGACCAGACATATCGCACCACCAAGCACTATGCTGTCGGACTCTACGCGACAACGCCTTTTCGGCAAGAGAACCAACACGTATTCAATGCACAGGACACTCTTGACGCGTAAGAGGACGGCCGCAGCATTGTCATAGACGCAGGCGACTACTGCTTCGATTCACCGTTCCAGGGTACTCCATCTCACGGACCTCACTTTCGATGGCGAGGGCGACGATGCGACAAAGAGTTGTTAATGGTAAGTCAAGTGATTAGTGACTAAGAGCAGGTCAAGCGCTGAGTCCGTTCCGAGATACTGGTACGTTTCTATAGCAATATATCACAGTCAAGTCTCACAGTCTATGGCTCGCCGCAAGCACTGCACAATCTCATCCAGCGAGCCATCACGCGTACCCCAACATTGCATGTGTGGTCGTCTACTGTCGCCAGACATCGCGGGTTCGTTTGACACATTGGCAAGACGGGGTTTACCACATCAGGCGAGCCCCGTGAGAGGTACAAAGCTGTTTAGACTGACCCAAGAAGCATCGCTCCTGTCAAATGTAGGTGGCATCTCCAAATGGGTTGAGCCCGCTTCGGCAGTTGTTCTTGCAACACAGACCCACGGCATGTCGCCGTCGTTGCTCAATCAGAGCTCGGGTTGGTCATAAGCCTACGGGTAAAGCACCGAGGTCTTCCCCCACAAAGCCTTGGCATGCCTCGCCTGCAGGATCCGCCCCCGCGTTCTTTCCCCAACTAATGCCCCATACCTACTTTGTGCAGGCGCCACTACCATCGTGCATACACGCTGGCAGACTAGGGCTGCGCTGTCATGACTAGGGCCAATGTTGTTTCCTGGCGCCGCCGAGGGTGCGCCTTTCTGGCTGTCACTGCCCACTCGCATGCCTTTCATATACAATTGAAAAGCTCTCGGCTGGAGAAGACTACAACTTCAACCATTGCTAGCGACTGGCACCGCTGATGAAGGCACAAACCTGTAACAACATCTCGATCGCTAAGCATCTGGGACGTTCACCATGGTGGGAGCAGTGGTTTCAGCGAACCCGCTGCAGCTCGACGTTCGCAGCCACAGGAAGTGCATGTGTGAGTCTTCTCTCTTGGATCTTTGTGGCAGCGAAAGGTGGCCACCAACATTCGTACTCTTGCGGCTTGAATGTTGCTCATTTGCTGATCCGGGACAGTGATATGTTGCCTCATCACGGTGGCTTCCTTCCAATATGGGCTTGACTACGCACTCGTTGGAGGCTTGTGAGTTTCGTCCATGCTGGCCGGTCGACACCACTGATAGACTCGTAGCATGGCAATGCCAGGATTCTTACAAGTGTTTGGATACTACGACGAGATCAAGAGAACTTGGGCAATCGACCCGACTGTCCAACAGCTGATCTCAAGCTTGATGACTATCGGAACCTTTATTGGATCGCTCGCCGTTGGTCCATTCAGTGCTCGCTTTGGACGGAGATACGGTCTCTGGGCCGCGTCTGCCGTCAATGCCGTCTCTACAGCAATCATGCTTGGGACGACAAATCTAGGAGCACTGTACTTCGCGAGGCTGATTCTCGGGATCAGTGTCGGTTGGTTTCTCACATTCTGCCAAGTCTACGTCAATGAGGTCGCTCCGGCTCATCTTAGAGGAATCGTGTTCGCTGTGTACCAGAGTCAGCTCTCGATCGGCTCGATCGTTGGAGCCTCAGTCGACTACGGGACACATACCTGGACGAGCAAGGCAGCTTACCGTGTTCCGCTCGCTATCTTCTTTGCTGCGCCGACCATCCAATCTATCGCGCTTTTCTTCTTTCCCGAGAGTCCGCGCTGGCTGTGCACTCAAGGCAGAGAGGAAGAAGCAAAAGCGTCACTACGCAGGCTGCGGAATAAGAACATCAAAGAAGAGGAGTTCCAGGCCGAGTTCAATGAGATTCTGATCTCTACACGATCACAGGTCGAGCAGAACAAGAAGCAGCTATGGGTCGAGATGTGGAAGGGCACTGATCGCCGACGAACTTTCTTGTCCATTGCTGTCATCTGCTTCCATTGTGCCAACGGGTCATCCTGGATCAACATCTACACAACATACTTCCTCAAAGTCGCCGGCATCGGCGACGCGTTTGCATACTCTGCTATGGTCACATGCATGGGACTATTGGGAGTCTTCTTCAGCTTCCTCTTTGTACGCAAAATCGATCGCCGCTTGATCTTGCTGGTGGGCGTAGCAGCCTGTGGACTCGCGCAGCTGGGCTTTGCAGTCGCCTGGAGTGCTGCTCCCGCGACTGCCGTCGCTGGGAGAGCCTGTCTTGCTTTCACTTGCATATTCACTTTCTTTTACGTTGCTTATGGTGAGAAGCCCAATCTGCCTCGAATGACGACGGCTGCTAACTTACACAGCACCATACGCATGGCTCATGGGAGGCGAATATCCCAACAACCATCTCCGGGCGCATGTCTTCGGCCTAGCCACAGCCCTGAACTTCCTTGGAAACTGGCTCGGTGTTTTTACGGCACCATACTTCATCAACCCGGCTTCTTTGGCTGGGGACCGAAATATGGGTAAGCAGGAAGCATTACTTGAGTCGATGCAAGGCTGATAATTGCAACAGTTACATCTGGTTTGGGTCAAACGCCATTCTATTCTTGTTCACGTTCTTCTACGTGCCCGAGACACGTGACAGAACCCTGGAGGAAATTCATGAGATGTTCGAAGCTCGTGTTCCTGCACGCAAGTTCAAGGGTTATGTTTGTACGTCGACACAGGCTATGCATCATGGAACGGGGAAAGTAGGAGAGATCCAGGAGCTGGAGGACGTCTCGACCGCAGGAGACACCAAGAAGGCTGCGTCGACTGCCGGCGCCGTGTAGGTGCTCGAGTCTAACCGCATGCCGACTTTCGCAAGTTGGCCTATGTCAGGCTTGCGGCGCCAGGACTTGTCACTACGCGCAGCGCCCAGATACTTGTCCCGAGGGTCTTCGACGTGCTGCGAGATCCGACTGTTGAAGCAGACACGGCACACCAGCCGAACTAGTGGTAGACAATGTGGAACGGTAAATGGCCGTGTCCCTTGGCAAATCATGTTACAAAAGTTAACTGCACGCATTCTTTGGGGACTACTGTGATGAGCCGCTTTTAAGTCCCTCTGGTCTCTCTTTGCCTTCACTTTCGGATGAGCTCCTGCCAAAAACAAGTATCTGAAGGCGATGCTTGTGCCGGGTTCCGTGAATGTCTTGTGTTGGCCTGTCAGGAAGCAATCAATCGACGGCGCCAAGTCGGCGAGTCACCGCCAAATTGTCCTTCACAGGCCTTCATGCGGGCATAATAGGCGCCCACTGGGTGATGGTTCTGGAGATTGCCGCAAACGGATTCCGGAGCCCGGTCGACAAGACCTTCGAACCATCAAAACTCTCCATTTCGACCAATCTTGTGGTTCGTAAAGCTCATCGTCCGAAGATGCGCTGAGGGCGTGTTGGAGAAGGCATCCACCCCCACAATCTTGACAGACGCCACGATGACTCTCTCCGCAGTGGGATTTCCCCAGGCATTGATGCCCCACGGCTAAGACCGAATCTCCGCGACACGCCTCTGAGCGTGAGGAACATCAGACTTTCGGGAGTATACATGCGAGATCAGTCACTATCAAGCATGTGACTGTTCCTATACCAAACGGCATAACATTGTTTCAAACTCACCACATCAGCAACGACGACGACCTCAACGATAGCGACGATGGGCTCCATGGCACCGAACCGTCTGGTCCGCGAACCATTGCAAAAAGGCAACAGCATCGACCACCTAGAATACGTCGATGTCACGCCGATCATTGGTCGCGAGTACCCGACGGCAAAGCTGAAGGAAATGCTCACGGCCGCCAACTCGGACGAACAGCTTAGAGATCTGGCCATCACGATATGCGAGCGTGGCGTTGTGTTCTTCCGGGCGCCACAGGATGACTTGACGGTGGACGAGCAGAAGCACATCACTGATCTGCTCGGGAAGCTCTCCGGTCGACCTGAAGAGAACGGTCTGCACGTTCATCCTCTGTACAATGATCCCAATAACCTTCCGATGGCTGATGGCACCACGGACAAGAACATGTAAGTTGACAGTCCTTGGGTTTGCATCGTCGCTAACCAGGATGGCGAGATATGTCATCAACTCTGAAGCCCAGAAGAAGCTGTACGCCACGATGAAGAACCGACCTGGTGCCGGTATGGAGCCACGAGATCTTGGACGAGAGTGGCACAGCGATTCGCTCTTCGAGAATTGCCCTTCAGACTTCTCTTTCCTTCGAATGCAGGATACGCCACCCGCGGGCGGCGATACACTGTGGGCCTCGGGGTATGAGATATTCGATCGGTGCTCGCCACCGATGCAGAAGTTTCTGGAGAGCCTGACAGCCGAGTGTGCACAGCCTGTATTCAAGTCAGCCTGTGAAGCGGGTAAGTATGATGTGATGAGCCCAAGAGGTTCGCCATTGAACAAGGAATATGAGTTCGCGCCGCATCACCCGGTAGTTAGAACGCATCCAGTGACCGGCTGGAAGAGTTTGTTTGCTGGTGTTGGCTTGCATGTCAGCAAGATCGATGGCTTGTACGCGTATGAAGACAGATGGTCCGGGACTATGTGATGCGGTTGATCACCAGAAATCATGATTGCATTGCGAGGATGCACTGGACGAAAGGTGCGTGTGCTATCTGGAGCAATGTTTGCACACTCCATGCAGCCACAGTAAGTATTGACGGTAGCCCAACATGCTTGTTCCACGAAAGCTGACCATGCAGCCCGATACTCACTTGGTGGACGGAATCCGCACTGGTGTGCGAGCCTCAGGGATTGGTGAGCTGCCGTACTTGGATCCTGCCAGCACAGGCAGGCGAGAAGCTCTTGGACTTCTGGGACGACATTCATGAGAGGGTCGCCTTTTACGCTGAGGTACAGCGCATAATTCTGGCGGCCCGGTCGTTGTTGGCTGGAGTTTTCTCCATCGATTTTCGAGAGTACTCTCAGCTACTTTGTAGGAAAGCCGTCCATGCAACACCGCCATCGTCACTCATGGTACCTTTCGGCAATTACAAGCAAGCGAAGTGATGGTTGCAATGCCATGTGAAGACTTAGCGACGCGTAGACTGTGACCACTCAGATAAAAGACGAACTTGAAGTGGAGGTACTTGAACTTGACCGGAAGAGATATCCGCTTCCGTTGCCGTGGTAATGCTCGCCAAACTCCCCACCAGCTTTTGACTTTGACGATTCGGCTCGACACAAAAGTGCTTCGACGCGCATATGGCCAAACGTGGCAACGCCAACACCACCATGATTGCCCGCTGACGATAGACGCATCATTCCACGAAGTATTGTCAGGCCATTGTTAATAGTATCCAACGTTCTCGCTGCGACCATTGCCTACCTCTCCGCGCCTCGCCGGACGCGAGATGTCGGGGCTGTCGGCGGGCAGTGACTATGAAGATGGCACCGTCGTCCGTCGCGTAAGCGCAGCTGGTCCCGCACCGGCGCTGAATATCAACCACGTCGACCTTTTCTCTCCTTCGAAGCTCGAGTCAATATTCACAAAAGATGACAGCAAGCACACAGACACCAACGAGACATTCTCCTTCATAGCGCCCTCGCCAACGAAAGCCTCGCCCGTAAAGGCCACAGAGCTTTCTTCGCCCATCCCTTCAGACCTGTCGCAAGGGACGTCAATAGCAGTACATCCCACAAAGAGGCAGTCACTCGGGACTGGAGACTATCTTTCAGAAGCAAGCCGGGTCATGACAATATTGCGACAAGGGCAAGAACGTAAACGATCCACATTGCGGCGGCATCCATCCGCGAGTATCACGCCATCCGAGATTTATGAAGGACCAGAACATCGCTGGCTGACTCCGACCGAGCCCGAAGATGTTAGTCTAAATCTAGACCCGTTGCCTGCTCTGGATGCAGATGGGAACGATATTGAGATCAATACCAGCAAAGAAGATACAGCCGGGTCAGACGCTGTCGACAATGCGGCCACACACGATGAAGTACAGGAAAACACTCAGGCTTCTATACCAGAATCGTTACAGAGTGCTTCCCCAACACGACGAGCAAGCGTCATCCGGTCACCTTCCAAGAGCGTCAACTGGGTCGAGAACATTAGTTCATGTTACAACTCCTCGATCTACGAGTCTGACGAGGCTGATGCGCAGCCATATGGCGAGACAGCGCCTCGCGGTTCAGTGAAGCGTGTTGACTGGGCAGACGGAACACATGGCACGATCTCACCTCATCCACCCAGTCCCACCTGCGAGACGCAGATCGAAGACCCAGAGCCGTTCCCACGTGTCGCGACGCTGCCAAACACTCCCGAACGAAGATTTGGCTCGAAAAGATACAATCTGTCTCCTTCTGTGTCCAGGCCACTCCGCGAAGTGTCGGCCAACGTTGCGAAACCTCTCGTAACGACGAAAATGTCAGACAGTGGCTCGCGACAAGTGTCCGATCAATACCAACGCAGGTTTTCAGAATCGCAGATTATGCGCTTGCCTCCACGGCCCGCAGCGCCCACACCTCCCATGTCTCGTCACAATAGCATGATGATCCGAAGAACTCCACAGATCCGGGAGATCAGCATACTGAACCTCACCCCACTGGCCGACTTCACCGTGCATGCACGCGAGGATGATCACCCGGAAAGAAGCTTCATCGACGAGCGGGCACACGAGAGAGCCCTGAAGCAAGCACATGGGACACTGGCACTCTCTAGAGATGCCCTGGTCCAGGCCATCACTGATGTACAGTCTTCTGAGTTGTTCTGGGAACGGATCAAGTATCTTCGTCTGGAGAAGAAGGACCTCAAGTGTCTGCATAGCCTGGACGAATTCTGTCCTTCACTTGATCAGCTTTCGGTGGCTGAAAATCAGATCACACATCTCAACAGCATACCATCAACTCAGGCTCTTGACATCTCGAAAAACATGCTGACTGACAGTATCTCCTGGAGCAACTTGCGCAACCTGCAGTACGTCGATGTTTCGGGCAACTCGAAGCTGGAAAGCCTGGATGGCTTCAGCGACTTACTCCATTTGCGGACTCTGAAGGCCAACGACTGCTCCATCCAAAACATTCATGCGTCATGCAACACAATGGGCTTCTTGAACTAGAGCTTCGCGGGAACAAGCTTGCTCACATCGACTTTGCGCAATCGCAACTCGACCAGCTGAAGAGACTGGACATAAGTCACAACAACATAGAGAGGCTGGTGAACCTCAACTTCCTCCGCAAGCTACTGGACCTAGATGTGTCGTACAATTCATTGCGCCAGATCCTGCCACCGAACCGCAGAGGACCAAAACTACTGACAGAGCTTGGGGTTGGCCACAACAAACTCAAGGTTTTCAATTTTCAGCAGTTCCCAGCTCTCAAATGTGCGTTCCTCGACGGCAACGCGATTGTGCAGATCAAGGGCCTCTGCAAGGCCAACAAGCTGGAAACAATTTCAATCAGGCACCAAAACAGCCAGAACGATCTCGTGAATCAAATCTTGTGTACACCCAACGACTGTCGCTCATTGGCATTGTCCGGTAATCCTGTTGCGGACGGACACCTGGAATTGCCAGATTTGCCTCAGCACAGCTTGATGGAACTAGAGCTCTCGGAATGCAACATTTCACAAGTTGGCATCGGCTTTGGCAGCGTTTTCCCGAATCTACGCAACCTCAACTTGAACTACAACTCGATCTCGGAATTATCGGATTTGCAAGGCACGTTCAGACTACGCCGCTTGGTCCTTCTGAGGAATCGAGTTCGGAGGATGCGTCGAACCTGCTTGCTGCTGGCTCGTCTGCCATCTCTGGCGGAGCTCGACCTGCGCGACAACCCCCTCACGATAGGATTCCATCCACCGCCGAAGGGAAAAGACCTCAGCGCGGATGCTTACGCAAAGGCAGATGACAAATGGCGGGCGACTCTGGACGAGAACACAGGAATGCGACGTCGGTTGACGGAAGTTTTGCTTGCTGAGCACTGTAAAAATCTGTCACTGCTGGATGGACTGGTTATAGATCGGTCGAAAGTCCTAGAACGCGAAGAAATCTGGAGGAGATGTGAAGAGCGAGGTGTCGTGGCCGAAGTACAGCAAGGCTGACCAACGGAATGTATCGATAGTGTATCATTAGTGATGACGGCATGAATTGACCAGGGTTTCGTGGGGGTGAATAGCTGTCATGGGCCTGAGCAGCACCCAGCTGCACCATGAGCCAGAGCAACAGGCATGATGAGATGTAGAAATGAATGATGAAAGTGTTGGGAGCAAAGAGCAGTCGTTCCATTTCAAGGCGTACACATGAATATGGCTTTCCGGCGAAGTGCTGCGTCCCGATGCGGATACTACGCGTGCTCGTGACTCGTGACGCGCCTGAAATTTCTCCACAAAATTGCCAGCCACTTCCAAGGTTAGCTTCATCTTTGCCTAGGAAACGGATCAAAGTGACTAGCAACGAAGACGCAGCCTTCTTTCTGGCCATCAGCGGCCTTTCCTCACTGTCGAGTTAGTCTTCGATCTGTTTGAACTTATCAAAGATGTACTGTGAAGTTTCCGCGGTCGGTAGTCCGTCCTGTTTCAGCTTGGAATGATCAATCGCCTCTCCAGCCTTGCGAAATGGCGACCAAAGCTCTACCTTACCCAAGGCCAGTGTCACCATTGAACATCGAAGACATACCTCTCTGTGCTGGCACATACATCTACGCCGAGCCAAAGAGCGACGACACCGAGGCAGAAGCGGCCTTAAGAGCATCTAAGCGCAGGCGGAGGATCAGAGACAATGCGGAAGCAGTCCTACGCGGAGAATCGATCTTCATCCTGTCGGCAGGAATCAAGGGGCCTTTCAGAACTCCATGGAGCAATCCTTGGAGAGAGACTCAAAAGACAGTAGAGAAAGAGATACCTGAGACGGCTCACCATACACGAATCGTGGGCAGGACACCACCAACCGTCTCAGGATCCAAGGATGTTAGAAGTCGACATGCCGATTACGTTGATCTGACTGTCGACGACATCGAGTTCACGCAGCCGCCGATCGTTACTCATAAGTCTCCCAAGGATGTGTTCAAGAAGACTACAGCACCCAGGGTGGTGGCACCTAACGAGGGCACATTCACAACTGCTGAGCGTGTGGAAGACTGGTTGCGGACTAATGATGCTTTCGGGGGATCCAGTGGGAGTGTCCGTGCCATGGACATCCGGAGCTCCCCAACACCTGCGACTCGCCCCTCTAGAGAAGCAGCACCTGATCTGGAGCCGAAGCGGCCAGTTTCTGCCGACGGTCAAAATATGAACACAGAGATAGGTAACTGGGCACGGCTACAGAACCCCGTCGCCGAAGCAGAAATCGAGCAGAATTCGTCACAGCAGACACACGAAAGTCAGGACCGGGCAGAAGCAGCAATCTTGGAGAACAAGAGGCGATCTGTGCATAGACTTCCACCCTCCACCAACCTACCTGCATTTGAGTACCGCCGCGGACGTCGGCCGAACAAAGCACCCGACGCTGAGGGTGTGCAAGAGGAGGCGAATCAGGTCACAGATGCCGTTGTCTTGGACAAGGACTACCAAAGCAAGAGCGGACCGAACGCCAAAGCTGCTATTCCGCAACCAGAGACGGTGAAGTCGCAAGTGCCTGATTTGTCACGTGAAACATCAAAGGCCACGACACGGCGCGAACTGCCTGCTGGACAGGTGACCTCCGAGATCGTGCTTGGTATATCCAACGCCCAAAGTACAGGCGAATTGTTACAGCCTGTCCAACCTCCAACTCAAACCAGCCTCAGAGACGGAGTTTTGGAAGGCGGCAAGAGCGGTGCAGAGCTTCAGAAGGAGCACCCTCCCAGAGAGGAAGCCGCGAGCACTGCTCAAGATCCAGCTGATGACGAAATGGACACTACCGATGCTTTGATCGACCGCCTGAATGCCGGTCTAGCGGACAATCGCACGCCAGCGCGCAATCTAGACACCCAGGCTCTACTGGGCGACATTGCGCCATTTCCGATCAGCACGATCAAGAAGATCGGAATGACATCCGACAAACGTTCAACACCTGTCACGGCAACGAGAGCCCGGACCTCAGCCACCACCAAGAGGACCAAGAAGAAAGCATCCTTTGCCGCAGACCCGCTGTCCGACGAAAGCCAAACATCAATCAAGAATGGTTTCCAGGTTCGCAAGTCTGCCATTATCGATTCAAGTTTGTACTATCCCAAATCAAAAGACGCAGTCCTGCCTCAGGATGACGACGATGACGACGAGCCTGACAGCCTCGACCCTCCAAGCATAGATCAGACTCATCGACCTGCTCCTGCTCCTGCTCCTGCTCCTGCCACGGACGCATTCACTGTCCAGAAACCCTTCAAGCAACCCAAATCTATTCTCAAACAGGCACTCAAGCACCCCTCGAGCATGCCCTCGTCAGCGCCTCCAGGGACGACGCTCACCGCAACAGCTGTCACAAACACCTACGGCTCCACATCCAATGGCTCAACGAACAGGCCAAATGCGCAGCCCAGGCCGACTGCTATTGAGAATGGCACGTCTGCGGGCCTCGAGTCGGATGGTGTGATGCCGGATATGGATATGGAAGGTTTCGATATGGATGCCACGATAGATGACATTGGGACGTGGCTGGGGAGTTGGGATGTCGAGAGGGAGGCGGCGAAGATTGCTAATAGGTGATGTGTTGCGCGTGAGATGGAAGGGGGAAGGTGTCGCGGCGGACCGGGCAATGAGAGATGGGTAGGATACGGAATAGCCAATGGAGGCATGGAACTTGACCTGACCTGGAGGGACGTTCCATAGTTAGCATTCTCGGGCTGTACTCGAGTTGTATCGGTAAAGCGGAACCGTTTGTAAAAGATGTGCTTACCGTTGTGCGTCTCCAGTAACGAGGATGAAAGACTCTGAGCCCGTCACTATCGATCGAAGTCACTACCCGGTGGGCGCATCGTCTTCTGTTTCCCACCTGCCCTGTGATCAAGTGCTCCTTCCTGGTGGTTGAATGCTCCTTCCTGGTGGTTGAGTGCTCCTTCCTGGTGGTTGAATGCTCCTTCCTGGTGGTCGAGTGCTCCTTCCTGGTGGTCGAGTGCTCCTTCCTGGTGGTCGAGTGCTCCTTCCTGGTGGTCGAGTGCCCCTTCCCAAGCGAGAGCTGTTCCTCCTCTTCGTGCCTACCGACTAGCATTGCCGTTCACTACCTCTCCTGAAAGACTTCTGGTAGTTCTGGCCGAATCATCGCATGTCATACGAGATCTCTTTGGATGGAACATTATGGTACTGTGAAACCGGAAAAGAAGTGCTGGAGGATTGAAGCGGGCGTACTCGCAAGTGCAGCAAGAGCTAGTATGATGAGTAACGTCAAGACGCAAGATCAGCGGACGGACAGGAAAAGGACCAAGGTTAACGGGGAAAGCAAACATCGTCGCAGGCGGATGGTATCGCCATGTTGGCGTCGACTGATCGTAGTTGCGGGAGGGCGCCGAAGCGGAGCTCAGATTGAACAAAGCCATCGTTCGGGAGTTGCTTCGCAGGCCAATGGTTGGCCGCTTTGAGGACGTGAGCGACATACGGAGAAGTACGTCTCTGCGAGTAAAAAGACCCTGCGATGTCCAAAGGCGAAGATAGAGCCAATGCAAGGGGTTAGAGAGAGTGAGTGGCACAGGTAGCGATTAGAGCCGGCCGCAAAGAGGGGACGCACGAGCTTCACCCTTGAGACACACGAATGTCGCTGATACGACTCCGAATGTCTCGCGAACATGTCCGTCTGTCCTATTTTGCTAATGATCGGCAACGAGCATGTTTTACCCACATGGGTATCCAATATCAGCGATGTAATGGCGCAGCTGAGCTCAGTGCGCCAGACAATTGATCAGGGATCGAGTAGGGTCCTCGTGAAGACGGGAAACTATGGTGGAGTAGGAGTGGAAGACCCAGACAGGGCGAAGAGAACCATTTCAGCGCGACACCCTTGCTCCTACTCGAGGTAGCCTCGTGTCGTGCGCGCGCGGGCCCAATAGCAGGAGCTTGAAATTGATGTGCCAGGATGCAGGTACCGACAGAACGCGGTGGTGGCGACAACGACAGCATATACGGTCTGACCCACTCAAGCATGTTCGTTGTGGTGGCGAGTAGAGGCTTTTGGTGTGTCGGGACGAACATTTTTGGTGCAGCTTGTCGGTCTCACCTGGTGTTCAACGACCTCAGAGCTTGACGGTGCTTGTTCAGCGGTTGTGGACGGGGAACGAAAAGTGCTGAACGTAGCATCTGCGGCAACCAGACTCTTCTTTCCGGTAGAATATACATGACGCACGAAGAGCTATAACCAGGCCTGTGCTGCGGGTCAGGTTTCAGCAATTACCTCAAATGTGCGGCTGAGCAACGACGAGGTAGGGAGATGTCAGGGAAATCGACAAGATGTCTCCTCGCACATGCTGGCATTCTCTGATGATGACGTTGTTGGTGAGAAAAATCTCAGACTGATTGGAAAGTCACGTAGACGTTTGAGCAGACCGTCGTAGCTTTGGGAACGAGCGCTTCGTGCCGTTCAACGCTGTGGTGGTGTTGGGCTGAGACAAAGGTTAACATAGAGTAGCACCTACCTATTCGAGGATCGTCCAGTCGAATCGACGGGCGATAGCTTCCAAAGTTATTGACAATCATCGAACTTCGAAGAATTCGGTCTGAGAAGCAGGTTTGGTAGTGCTTGCCTGCTACTGATGTCAAGCCAAGCACCCAAATCTGTTGTACTGGCGATAACATCAACCTGCACTCCGCGGCCACGTGAACTTCCAGAATATCAACCGTGCCTCCGGCTCAGGATTGACTTTCTTCGACACGTGTGACGCAGTGGATGTGGAAAGCAAGATCGCATACTGTAAGGCAACGACACCGCATTGAGCATGTTGCGAGGCGGACATGGAAGTCCGCTCAACATGGCCATGACTAGTATCTACCAAGAGAAATGGCTGAACGTACACAAGTCGAAGCGCAAGGCAGCGACATCGGTGGCGATGGTGAGTGGATGGCTGGCATGCGAGTGGCTTGCTGTAATGCAGGAGCCGAACTTGTGACTGGTTGATGTTGCAAGATCGATGCTGCGGCAAGAGCTTACAAACTCGGTTTAGCGCTCCTAGATGCTGCTATTGTTGCATACACGAGACGAGACATCGAGGTCACCAATTGCAGAGAGTACAGGTCGAAAGAGAGTTCTTCTCGAAGGTTAGAGTGACTCTGGCAGTGGACGGGATCAACTCTCCTAGATCTTGCGAACTCTAAGCTTCCATCTCCATGATTTCCGCTGCAGCAGTAAGCGTTTGGTAGGTCTGGTGACAGGAGGCTCTTGGAAGGCATGATCGATTCCGGCGAATTTGCTTACCAAATAATGCCTTGAACCAGTGCTTCACTGGGCTGCTTGTTAGTCGTGCTCGTCATTCTATTCGTCGAATGCGCGATGTCTGTGGTTTTCGGGAAGACTTCGCAACCATGTTGATGCGAACATGTGCCTTTGCGAAGCCCGCAATTCTGGGGATGCCGTTTTCCGCGTCATGACCAACTTCCTGCCGCCAAGTGTGGTTGTTCAGGTTGTAGTCATTGCTGCAAAATCGATGTTGCAGATAGCTCGCGTAATCACCAAAACCAGTGTCGGACTGTGCGAGATAGCTGGAGACCAATTGGAAATCCGACCAAGAAATTCAGAAATGTGGCTTCATTTTGAAGAACACTGAACACGAGTTCCAAGACTTTGTGGTATGTCTGTCACTATGGCGATTGGCGAATATCGACCATGTCGTGTTCCTGACTTGTGTTGCCTGCTACTATTGATTGCAATTGCTGCACGTTCCGATCGGGAACCGCGAGACTTCTCCGCGCTATGGCTCGACAAACACTACGATGGGTCTTTGTGGTGTTTCAATAATCAAGGGCATGGCATCGATGCTCATCGCATTGGAAAAATAAGGAGTTTATGGGCTTTGCTCCCGCCATGTGAGATGAGCCTTCGAATAAAACAGGGTCGAGGTAAACAAAGGCAAATCATGTTCGCGAGCGATGTGTTGTAGTTCGACTGGTGGTTGCCTTCTAGTGCTGATCTCGTTGATCATTGCCTGAGCATGCAGATCATAGGATGGGACTTTGGTTGTGCCACAGGGCCTTTGAATTGGGGAAGGGCAATTTGGACACCGCAACGCTTGGGAATGCAATCAGCCCTAGCAGAGCCTAAATCGTAAGGCCAAGAAGGCAGTCGTGACTGGGACTTCCCACCCAGGGCTTAGCGCTTGCGACGCCTACCAGATCCAAAGTCACGGGTCGCAGCTGACCTATCAATACTCAGAATTTCCTCTTCAAAGGAAGTCGGATACGACGTTGCGTCCACCACAGTACCCCTGTCGCATGGCACATCTACGGCTTCTTCCATTCTGGCGCTGTCGTAAATGTTCTTTTGAACTTTGTGTGCTATGAGCAGCATGCTGCATGCATAATGCTGCCCTGTGGATACAGCTGATGAAATCAAAGCCCTGGTTCCCACGTGTGTTATTGCTACCCTTGCTGTATATGGTTTGCGTTGTTTCGCGAGACATGACTTTCCGCTACCTCAATAATCTATAAATCATTCATCTTCGCCCCCTTCGTGTTGATACTTTTAGCTTCCATCTCTCAAACACTTAAGAGACAGCAATCAAGCTACCGAGACCACAGTGTTCTAGTATACCAGCAAGAGGTACTTAAACACACATCAACGTCGTGCCATATTCTCCTCAACCAATCCAAACAACAATCACAATGCCTTGCCGAGCGAAGCAGGCCCTACTAAGCGGTCTTCGACCAAGCTCACAACAAAAGATCGTCTGCGGTGTATGCACAAGACGATGCATCTTCTGTGACATCTGGAAGCTCGCTGCCCTACTCCACAGCCGTGTGTCAATCTCACAAAAGTATGGCATTGCTCAACCCAAACAACAATCATCTCGCGCCTCATCACCAACTCACCGAGAGACATACGAATGGGAATCAAGCGAGAAGGTCATCGAATATCAATTCTCACAACAACGAGCACGACTGGCCAGCATCATGTCCATTTGCACAGTCGAGGGTGCCGAAGAGAGCGAGGGTCTACACGTAGCCTACGAACGCTGTTACAGCACTGTCAAGCAACTTATCCACCACGAATCTGTTCTCGAGACGACAGTTGTCCGATCACTACAACAATCACAACGAAGACCCAGCGATACCTGTGCTGCTATGCACGCTGATTACTACTACGGGCGGGAACGGCGACCAAGCAGGGTCGGCATGGCAATGTGACGCGGGCATCGAGTCATCACGGCATTACCTTTCTAGTGCAGCGTTTTAGCGAGCGATTTGAAGCGTTCAGAGCGACATTGAGCATTGAATAGTCTAGTCTACCAGCAGCAGCCTGCTGATGAAAACACACCAGAATCATGAAGAACATCAAAACTATCCACCTCGGTCCCATTCATGGGTGCATTCTTGATTTCGTCCGCTGATATGCCGGATATCTTCCACGATATAACCCGGTCAAATTTGAGATCTCATCTCATCGCTTGTCAGATTAGTCACAAGCCAGGGTCGCTAGCGAGGAATAGCCGGCAATGACTCCCGCAGAAACGTGCTGCTAGGTCCCTTCTGGTACCTTGCGACGTTTCGTTACAAATCCCGACCGGCATAGCTGAATAGCAAGCACCTCACAGCAGACCAAAATGCATGCGAACGTAGCGATGCTTCGGTATCTCGGAGTTCTTCGCAGGTACTTCTTCGCAGTTTCGACTGTCCAAAGCAACACTGCGTCCTGGCAATAGATCACGAGTCGAAGTCGGTCCACATTGCCTACGTCAAGGCCTCCGTGCTAAGAGAAGCACTCCACGTAGGTGGCCGTTAGATCCGTGATGATTTACCTACGGGATAGATGAGCCGCGCACAGTGACTCAATTTCTCGCGGTTCTCTGCCCGTTTCAGACATGCCAGAGCTTGGGCAGATCAACACCACACATGCATGATTTGTGAGAGGGACTACCGCTTCCGGACAACAATGGTCGCAGCAGCGAATGCAACGTTCGAAAAAGTTGCGTCACCCTTAGCGGGTGGAGGAGTTGAGCCTCAAAAACTGGGGACCAGGCTTGCTAGGCGACCGCGAAACCCGACGAATCAAGCCCGGAGACCCTGTTCTAAATGCAGGAACTTTGGTTCAGCTCACGAGTAGCCAAGCCTATGTTGGGTAAGGACCTCTTTCGCTAAAACATCCTCGAGTCTCCAACCTTCCTGTACCTAGATACTTATTAGCAAGGTGCCACCTCATAAGCCTGCCAGACTTTGCGCATGCCGGTCTCTTCGCTACGTGCCTATGCATGGGCTGCGACGGCGTTTTGGAGCGCGGATGGAATTTTGCTGCCGCAAACTGGCTCAGCGATGGTTTGCGACTATCCTCCGGAAGCGCGACAGACCTTGATGACGCTATCGTTGTCTGTATCAGATTATCCACGCATGGGTGCGATGAGACTTCACGCGAATTCTATCCTTCGCGAACTGCAATGTTGGGCTCCAGAACGGTCAGAACCGTCGCTGGTCACAGTACGCTTCTACAGCTGCTGTCAGATTTACACCACGTTGACGTAGGAAGGGACAGCGAGGGTACAGCGCAACAGAGATGGCAGAGCAAGTTGTTCCTTCAAGTGGCTGCTAATCACTGTAGATAAACGCACTCCTCAACCGTGATCAATATCGAAAATGATGGAGAACTGTCCTGGTAGGTGCCATCCGACAGAACGCCAAACTGCTTGCCAGTTCCTCCCGTCGATAAAATGCCCGCTGCTGATTCGACCATTCCCGCGTTTACTTTTCATCGTCGCTGCTACACACATGTCGGGTAGTAATGAAGTTGCCGTCCTTGTCCAGGAAGTCGACGGTGAGATGTTCTCGTCGGTCTTCGGGACTCTTATGGTACGAGGATCTGTGTCTTCTGTCAGCACATTGGCTACGAGGTCGCGGAGTTAGTATCAAGTTGGAGCGGCCGTGCTGGAAGATGGTGTTGGCGACCTTCAGCAACGTGCATCAAGACACTGACCTGATTGCGGCTTGGGCAACTCCGCGGCCTTCGAGTTTCCTGCCCTTAATGAATTCCTCAACGTCTCCTATCGCTTCGGACCGGCGGCCATCTTTACTATGATGCGTACTGTGAACGAAGAAGATCTTGACTTTATCGGCAGCCCTCCTCAGAATACTCGATGTCTTCATTTTGGTACTGGATATTCGAGATTTGCTCTGACAACGTTTTGGAGCTTGCTTTGACAGTGGGTCGGACTTTGCTTCGGCAGCTGCAATACTCATCCATCTGCCACCAGCTCTCTGAATCTATATACAAGCCATCCAGCATAGGCCCAAACAGCGGCGGTTGCCTCATTGCCCTTCTCTGCCATGGAGAACCGGTGCGTCGTTTGAGGCCATGACTTGCGATTCAGCGCTGGGTCAGCGCTCACGATCTGTGTCCCAACAGTCACTGTGGTCGTAGTCTCTGCCTCGCATGCGCCCAGCCATTGAAGTCTGCCGCAGACCGTGCATAGCCTGCTTCGCCTACTGTACTTAGTAGATGACCTCGGAATGGCTTATAGCGGAGCTACTGTAAGGAACGGCGCGGGACGTGCCTGCTGTAACAAACTTTAAATTACTGTACCTTCCGAATGTGAGCTTGTCACGATGCAGTCACCTGAGACACTGTTCAGAAATGAGCATTCGGGTTTTCGAAACAACGAATCGAGAAAGCATGGTTCGGCCTCCATCGTCGTTGGCACGACGCCTTGTACACGACATTTCTACTTGGGTGGAGACGCTGTCGCCAATAGCACGATGACGGCAAACAGAATCTTCCGATCTATCATCGCGCGAATAACGTCGACAATAGCGATTCCTCGCACAGCGCAGGCGCGAAGCAGCTCCCCTATCGCCGAGGAAAGCCTCGCAAGATATCGACTGGGAGGATATCATGCTGTGAGGATCGGGGATCGACTCCAAGACGGTCACTACCAAGTAATCTGCAAGCTCGGCTATGGAGTCTACTCTACTGTATGGCTGGTAAAAGATTCGACGTGAGTCTATTCCAAGCTCCGCGTTGCGTTACATCCAGCTAAGGACTTTGGACCGGATCTGACTTCACTCGTGCTAGGACGAAACGCCACGTTGCGCTCAAGATCTTGACAGCAGATGCATATTTCGGTGAGCATGACACCTTCGAGCTTAGCATCCTGGAGCATATCAAGAGTATCAACGAACTACACCCGGGTGAAGCGCACGTCCTGGGACTCCTCGATCACTTCAAGCATGAGGGCCCTCACGGCAGTCATCTATGTCTGGTCTTCAAAGCAATGGGACCAAGTCTCATCGAGTACCGGCGACTATTCCCCCTGCTCCGCATACCAATTCCTATTCTGAAGAAGATCGCGCGCCAAATGTTACTCGCACTATCATTCCTGCACACGAAATGCGGAATCATCCACACGGGTAAGTTTGTCCGATCCCACGGACAGCCCTGAACCTTCATTGTGGCTGACCGAGCGACGCAACAATAGACATCAAGCCGTCGAATATTCTGTTGGAAACAACACAAACCGACAAGTTCTTTGAGCGTGCGCCGTCCACAGTCTTCGAACCTTCTCCTTCAGCCAGAGACCCGCAACACGACTTCTACATGAAATCAGAACAGACAATCCCTGCTAATGAAGTTCTTGAGAGTGTTCCATCACCACCTGGTTTCTCTGTGCGCATCGCGGACTTCGGAACAGGTGAGTACTTACGTTGACCTAGTATTCTGCATCACATTCCAGCAGACTGACAGGGAGTTTCCTAATAGCAAGTTATTTCGACAAGCACCTGACGGATAACATTCAGCCAGTAGGACTGCGAGCTCCTGAGGTGGTCCTTAGGGCAGAATGGGATTACAAGGTGGACATCTGGAATCTGGGATGCCTTGTGAGCAGACCTCACGGTCGCCCTCGTCGTGACTTGCGAGACCCAACTTTGTGCGATGCTGACCCAAGTATTGACAGATCTGGGAGCTTGCAGAAGGCGCAATGCTCTTCGACGGCTGCGCGAGCCCGAAGACGCCATACACTGCCGATGCTCACCTAGCCCAAATCCAAGGAGTCCTCGGGCCAATGCCTCTCAACCTGATCCGGCAGTGGGAGAATGCGTCCAAATACTACAATGACAGCGGTGAGTATCTGTCGATCGACTGCGATCCCGGCACGATGGTCACTGTACTGAGTTTGCCACAGGAGCTCTCCTGGTAGAGTCGCCCTTCCCACCTACCTCGTTCGCGGCTTTCATCAACAGTCCGGAACTGCAAGACGAGGCTGAGCAGAAACAGTTCTTGGAATTCATAGGCTCAATGCTCAAGTGGGATCCGAAAGAAAGACTCGACGCCGACGGTTTGCTAAAGTCGGAGTGGCTTTGAGATGGCTGTCAAATCTGCTATATCGACTGTTACGCGTTGGATGTGTACCAGCAGCTCAGCTGGGAAGGCAAGCACGAGCTGCACCGCACTCGTGCCGGCGGCCGTGGCCGACAACTGCGGAAGTCATGCTCCAAGAGATTCTGCACTACCTGTGGTGCCACAGGAAGTCCTTGGGAGTTTGGTGTACCGACGTGCCAGATGCTTGGCGGCAGAAGTCACGTCATAGCCCTAAACCTGGCTAAAGTGTCATTGCACTGACGCTGCGCATTTTGTTGTAGCGTTCTATCGCCTAGCTCATCAGTGTTAGGAACTCGCGAATGCCTACTTGAACCTGACATGAATGGTAATGCTTCAGATCCCATGCGCACCGTACAGTGCCAGAGCACTGAGATTACGTCCATCTACACGCTCGAATCGGGTCGACTTCAGCCATGGCCTAGCACTCGGTGCAGCCGCATGGTGAGATCTTCTCATTGATCGCCCTTCGCGGACCTTTGTCGCTCATGCATAAGCTCATGCAGCTTCCTGCGGGCTACGCCCAAGACGCTCAGCCAATTCAATTGCAGTCTGCCCCCGCCTTGCTGGGCATACCCAACGCCACGAGTACGGGTGGTTCGCACTATTGAGGGCGGGGTCTTTCACAACACATGATGTCCGCCTACTGCGACCAATTCTCGATATCGATGCCTATCAGTCTGCCTTGCCCTTCTTTCTGACTCCCACTAGGCGTCATACGAAGGCACAGTCCTTTGCGACATACATGCTGTCATTGCAGACACGTCGCTGCCTCACTTTGTCCTCCTAGCTTCCCGTCTTTCATCCCAAAGCGCAAGTGATAAAGTCAAACCGCCGGCCCCTCGCGGCCTTCGTGTTCGAATCTAATCACGCGCTCATCCCGTCCTATTGGACAGCAGACATTCCTGGTACGATTGGACACGGAAGTTGTTTAGTACACCGCAACTTGATATACATTTAACACCAAGTCGTGGGCTCATGTGCCGTCAACATTGTGATCTTCAGCCATGAGCGTCGAAATCATTGATCCGAACGACGGACCGGACGATCGACCTTTTGCATCAGCGCAGAGCGGCGGCCCCTTGCCATTCGAACGGCCACGTTCAGCCGAGCCCTATGAACGTGAACCTCGCTACGATGACATACCAGAGGTCCGACCGGCGATGGAGCAAAGATTGTCTGGCCTCAACCTGAACGAGACTAGGAGCAGGTCGAAGTCAAGAACGAGGCCAAGACGGCCCTCGGTTGGCGTGAAAGACCAGTATGTCTACTGGCGGCTGGAGAAGGTAGAAAGCGACTGGGGAACTGCATATCGGCGAAAGATCCCAGCTCCACAAAAAGAGATCGAGAGGATGGCGAGAAGAGGGAGCGGTGCTGTCCTCGCCGAGACAAAGCGCATGGGTTCACTGCGCGCATCACACCTAGAAAGGCTGATCGACGATGCCAATGCTGAGGAGAAAGGCGACCATAAGTGGGAACCAGTCTATATCGACTCCGTCAAAATCAGCCGCAAGCAAGGCAAGGTTGAGTGCAAAAGCATGGATGTCATCTTGGCCCGGAACATTCCAGCGCCAAAGCCAAAGCCTCGCCGAGGCTCCGGTGAACTCGTCGACGTTGTCAACGACTCGAAATCCAAGAAGAAGGATGACAAGGACGATAAGAAGGACAAGAAGGATAAAAAGGAGAAGAAAGAAAACAAAGACGGAAAAGAAGGCAAAGACAAAGAGTCCAAGTCCAAGGACGACCTCAATCTTGACGATCCCTTCGACGATGCACCTCTGTTCCACAAGACCGGCAAGCCGATGGACAGCCAGGGGCCTCTTGAGTTCAGCAATGCCGGCCTTCCAGAGCATATTCCTCCGGATCGACCGATTGGCGCCGGTGCTCGTGACGAAGTTGAGAAGAAGGACAAGAAAAAGAAGAGACGGGGCAAGTCCAGAGATCGTGTGTCGAATCCAGACGGCATCATCGAGGTTGGTGACGTAGGCGGTTCCATCCGCGAGGGTGTTCTGGACGACATACTGGCAGGACATCCTCTCGACGGCGACTACGGGCCTGTGGCGGAACCTGGACGTCGATCAAGATCCCGCAGACGCGGAAAAAGCGCTCGCCGTCGGCAATCTCAGGGCCGCGCCGAATCGATTAGCTTCCCGCCAGGCTATCGTCCGGCGTACTCAGATAGAGGCCGTGGTCGAGACGATGACTCGACGGAGTCAGACAGCGACGCATCGCATTACGGTATTGGCCTCGAAGAGCATAGCTCACGTACGTCGAATGATACTTATGATAGCATAGGCCGACGAGGGAGCCACTACGAAGACGGCGGCGGCAGACAGAGGGTCTACAAGGAGCACTACCGCGGGCCACGTCGTGATGCCAGCCACTACGCCGACAGGGGCGGGGTGTATGAGAAGCCTGCACGGAATCGTTATCCTCGCGGATCTTACTATGCTACGCGCGACCCTCTTCCCGAACGAAGACAAATCGATTATCGCGACTACGGCGGCGACCGCGGTCGTGGTGAGTTGGTTCGAGCACGAGTGCCGGTAGATGACTACGACCGGCCAATCTACTACCGTCAGGACAGACGGAGTGGCGGCGGCAGGGAACGTCCCATCGTCGTCTACCCTCACGAGGTTTATGGACGGCGCGCAGAGAGATACATGGACGAAAGCGTTGTTGATGAGGAGTTGGATCGCCGTGAGGATGAGATTCGGAGACGGGAAGCTCATATGGATGCTGTGGAGGAGGAAGAGGAGTTTCGGAGGCGACAGCTGGCGGCGGAAGAGGAGGATCGGCTTCGAGAGTACGGAGGCAGGAGGAGATATCACGATGACGACGGGTATAGGAGGGAAAGAGACAGAAGCCGTGGGTACAGTGATGGAAGGTACGACCCACGATACGATCGAGATTATCGCAGGGGCGATTACGAGTGATGATTGATGATCTGCTTCCTGCTGGGAAGGTACGAGTTATGATGTCTAATGTGTTGACGACTACTGCGAGATTGTTCTATAGGAAGTTGCGAGGGGTAATGAGTAGGTCCTTATTTACTGCAGCCTGTCGATGGCCTTACTATATCGTGGCTTTAGGCTGGTATTCACAGCAGTCGATCACGGGTTTCAACACTCGCCCCTATATTATAAGCGAACTCAAGCCAGTGATGTCTGGATGGTTATCATCGTTGCTATGTTGAAAATGTTCGAGGAAGGGGAGTATCGTTGTCGGTATTGCAGCACGCAGTCACAATATCACTGAGGAAACAAAAAGGCAAGCCAGAAATTCCGAAGCCTGGAAATTGTAATTCCTGTTATTTTGCACCAATGTCTGAATCTTGACTATCTGATGAATGCGAAGCTGGAACTCCTGATTAAATTGCTGCGTAGAAGCTCGAAGTCGATATTCGTGTCAATTATCCCTGCCACAGATGTGTGGCTAAATCTGCGATGCTTCTGCCCCTGCTTCGAAGGGAAGGTCGTTGACATCATTGAACGATGTCGGGGCCATCTCGTCGACATCTTCTCCAGTCAGAGGCGGATCCATGGACATCATCGTCGCTGTTACTTCCAATCTGGTTCCCGTTCCATTCCTTATGTTTTTGAAGATTCTTATCCCCAACTACCATCAGGCTTGGCGCGAGTGGCTTCGATTAACTCAACATTCATGCCCAGTGAGTACGATGGACGATTCGGCAGTTGCGCTGCGGGATAGTGGTGTTGACTGTTTCCGTTGAGGCAAGCGCCGGGTACACACATATCTGGCGATCCTTCGGACTTTGTCCCAGTCATGTCCTTACCGCTGGCTCTAGTGCCGGCTCTCGCTTGCGTCCTGACCCTGGTCCAACCGCTGAGAACTCGCGGTTTTCTTGGATGGCTTGGAGGGACGACGCGGACCGTCGCTGCGCTTCCTTACCACCAAAGAGTGAGCGTTGGGCGGGGCCGCATCCCCATGATTCCCAAATGCATCGTTCGTTGTGGGTTTTGCGTTTTCAGCTTTACGGACTGGCACTTCGAGAACCACAGTCTGCCACTCAAAGATACCTTTCATCCTGTTCAGTGTACTGTCGAAGATGCTTTTCTCGACGTGTTTGGCTTGTGCTTCTGAGGTTCCAGCAGACGAAATAGGAACTGATGACCAGATCCGGTGCTGTATCCGCCCGAGCTGATAACGTTTCCATCTCGAACACCTATGGAGGTGGCTGCAGTGCCTGCGTCCTGCTCCAAAACGAACACCTCCGGCAACATGTTGAGCGACCAGGCCATCTCCTGTCGACAGATTGGACATTGCATCGATTGCTTCATGGAGCAGCATATACATGGCCAGTGGAAGACATGTCCGCAAGGAAGGATGACGCCCCTCTGATCGTCCTCGTCAGTGCCGTATCCGGACTCGCAGTTCGAACAGTTCTTTTCCTGGAAGATCGGAGTGCTGTTTGCGGTTCCGAAGAATTGCCCAACACTGTTGTTGAGTCCGCCATGATCTCGGCCTGGAGTTGGATCTAGACTGCTATTGTCGCCCTGAGATTCTAGCTCATCTTGCAGAGTCTGGACTTTGGTCAGCAATCGCTGTATCTCGGCATCTTTGGCATGGCAAGTGTCGGTCAATGAATCGAGCTCCTCCTGCAGAGAAACATTTTTGTCGTCCAATTCCTCAAGTTCATCTCCAAGACTATCGACGGTTTTGGTCGCCAAATCCTTCAGTTCTAGTAGAGACTGATTTTCGTCGCGCAGTCGCTGATTCTCCTTGGCTTGATGTTGACAGCTTTTGGTCGACGCACTCAGCGTATTGACCAGAGAGAAGTTCTTGGTCCGCAACTGCTCAATCTCCGGGGCTAGGCGCTGGTTGGTCTTTGTCGACGACTCCAGTCGATCTGATAGAGCCTGAATTCTGGCGCGCAATTGTTGATTCTCCGTAGCGTGATGCTGGCAGGTCTCAGTTGACTCTCGCAATTCGTCGGTCAGCCGGGCTGTGATTTGCTTTGTAGCTTCGACTTCCTCCTGTAGTCGATGCTTTTCCCGATCAAACTCAGCATGTAAGTCATTGATAACATCTTGCATGCTCTGATGATAGCGATCTAGGATTGCTTTGGAAAGCCCGAGTTGCTTGACCATGGAAGACTCTTCCAGCAGGGTTCCTGGAAGTGATTGGGATTGATCAGCTGAAATCGTCTCTGTCATCTTGGGGTCCTCTGGAAGTAGCTGGGATCGATCGGCTGAAGTTGTCACTGCCATCTTCGTGTTGGGAGTGTAGTTGGAAAGAGAGCGAAGGTCTGATTTCTAGATCACCCTTATATGCTAAAGTCGATGGCTTGCCATTGCCCGTAGCCAGGGCACAAAGGCTCCCTCGGCAAGTCCGTCTCTTTGTTAGCGACAGACGCATGTTGTCAGTTACAATCAATCGCCTTACAGCCACTTTTGCAGCTTCACAGTGACGGAACAGGATTCAAAGAGTCAAGGTCACAGTAAAAGCTGGGGTTTAGTAGGGAGGGAAAGAGATATACTGGACAAATTTCACAGAAAGCATGCCTGCTGACACACATAATGTCACTGTCAATGTTGCTGTCACAAGCCAGTCACTCTGGGCAGTACTCGGCCATACGCTTGCGAGCTTCCGCTATGAGCAGTTGAGAAGCGTCCTGAACCTTGTCGCGCTCGCGACGAATCCTGTGAGCAAAGGAAGGCATTGAGCTTGGAAAGAGTGTTTTGGGACAAAATGCGGTAAACATACAGGATCAGCAGTGTGTCCCGTGGGATCTCTCTTGTGTAGAGTCGTGGGCACCTTCCGAGAACTCCCAGAGGCAATATGCAATAGAGGAGCGCGGTTCCTCTTGCAAGCGATCGACAGTCCATCTGGTGGGCGGTGCGAGGCACTGGTCAGCCAGACCTCCACAGCACCCAAATTCAACGATCGAGAGTGATGGACTGCTGAGTCAATGTCTGACGAAGCTAGGACTTGTGGAAGACCCAGCTTGCTGTGAGCAGGATTGGAAGCTTGCAGGACACAGGTTTGTACAATAGGCAGGAATTCAGAGCTGCGGCTTTGGCCTTACTGACTCTCCCTAGTAGAGATACCAGCTTTTCCATAGCAAACTTCGACCTCGATCCCCTCTACGACATCTTGCGCCCCGAAGTCGCCCCTGCACCGAAAGCGGGGCGCGACTGAGTGCTACAACTTCAATCCAAAATCGAGGTCGGCGCAGCAAAAGCCCCGTCAGGAATGTCGAGAAACGACTGTGGTGCTCGCCAACAGACGGATAGAAGCTGAGACTTCCTGATTAGGACATCGACTTGCCTAAAACATTCGCCACACTCAACTCGTGATGAACGGATCATTGTAATATGAATGGCAAGAATCGTTGTCGCGCTGACAAAGAAATCATCTAGCTTTCGGAACTGCAAGCACAGCACATGTTCGGACGATAGGTCGGCCGCAAGCTATCTGCCTCATGCCAGTTGCTCGAGGTGAAGGTAAGGACTGCACAGATCCGAATACTAGTATGCTTTTACCCGCTAATAGAGCTGGATAGCACTTCTTCGTAACATGAGGACTTTTCAGGGCTGCTCTGTTCTCTGGCTCCGAGATATTCCTCCTCAAAACTCGGTCGTCCGCCTGGTCGAGATTTGGCGACACAAAGGCAGTTCTGCAGTCGTACCGAAGAGCGTCGACTGTACTTCAGGCTTCTTCGGTAAGGCGAATTCTTCAGGTCTTCGATTCGAGGCCCGGACACCACACATCCGGCAGGCTCTCAGGTCGTCCTCCACCCGGGAAAGCGGCGCTTTCAGCTTCTTTTCTCCGTTCCTCGGGCGCTCTATGGGCGGCCAGCTTCAGGCGCCCCCAAAGCCTAAATCCTCCGCAATCCCCCCTTTTGATCCTTCGTGCAAAGACAAAGCAGGTACATCGAGCGTCACACACCGTGGTGGACCAAAGGTCGAAGTTTGACTGTTACACTAGCGATCCTTTGTAAACACTTGTCACCTCATGACATGGCTCATACGCCAAAAGACGAACCCGTCAGTGTGATCGTCGCGCTTAGGTGCGAGTCCGCAGGACTTTGGTGGCACCACAGCAGCGCCAGCGGCTGAGGGAGGTAGGTGTTCAGGTCGGCGCGCCACATACCGATGCGCGTAGGCATATATATTTGAAGACTGAAATACTTCCCTGCCCACGTTTCTCAGGCCCGCATACAGCAGACAGAGCACTCAACGCCTTGACCAACTTCGACAGCAGCCCAACAATCCAACAACCACCAAAACAACAATGCCACTCCTCCACCCACTGTACCTCCTCCCCCTCCTCCTCCCCCTCGCCTACACCCAAACCACCACCAAGTCCGGCACAAACGTCAACGGCCAGTACTGCCCCGGCGCAGCTCTTGGCGCTTCCATCAACGACGGCGTCGCCAACGGCGGAGCGTGCTGCGTCGCCGGCACGATCTATCTCTCCGACTGCCCCGGCTGGCCCATCTGTACTGGGCCCACCACTTCGGTGCCCCCACCACAGTGTTCTGAGACCATACCATTGACGGCGTCTGACTATAGTGCGCGGGTTAGCTCCGCGGTAGCGAGTCTCAGCAGTCAGGGAATTATCTATGTCAGTAATGGCGGCGAGTGATTGTTCAGAGTAATGGATCGGACGCGCCGAGCGGGACGGAGAGTGAGACGGAGGGGACGCCGGCTGCGACGGCGACGGAGAGTGGTGCAAGCGGGAGCAGTGGTGCAAGTGGTGCGGAAGGGAGTGCGAGCAGTGGATCGGCGGCAAGCGCGTCCAAGAGTGGTGGAGCGGCAGGCGCGATGGCGACGGGTGGTGCGTCGTTGATGCCTTTTGGGCTGCTCGGCGGCGCTGTTTTGGGGCTGGCTGCTTACTTGTAGTCTGTCAGCTGTTCTATGGCTGTCAGGTCAGTGTTGAGTAGCAACCGGAAGAGAATAGAGCGAATTGTATGGCTCGTGCCTGGTGAGCTGTTAGAGCAGTAATGCGTGTTATCGTTGATATGCTTCAGTATCTATCCAGTACCCCTACTTGGTAGTGACATGTGAGTTTCGAAGCGTCCCGCAGATTGATGTGAAATGTCAAACCTGAACGCCTGTCGCTCACAAATGCCTCCGGATGTCTTCCTCTAGGCGCATCATGCCCAAAGATGCACCAATATCCAGAACGTCGTGCAAGTTCCGGACAACCCTGCTGTGAGCCATTGCTCTTCCATACATTCATAACTTCGTTCTTCGTGACAATCGTTCCACGCCTGCGACTGGTCCGCACAGCGCGAATTCGAGGGTTCTGGTTCACGTCCGTGCATAAGGTCGATTCATGGCAGCAATCTCTCGTGCCACGCATGGCCAGTCCATCTCTCGCCTAATCACCTCGCCACGGCTTTCTTGCTGTAGCTCGTCCCACTTCAGCAACTCATATACAAATCGTAGATGGGGCTGAATTATAACATTGAGACGCCGTGCTCTGACAAAACAGCTATGGCTTATTAGCATGGATCGGTAATGCTGTCGCAGTCAACCTACTAGGCTTTGGGGAAGCTGAGAGCCTTCTCCTTCATGACTTCCGCAATACATATAGTCGCTGATCTGCTAACACCGACTCTACAGTGTACAAGGGTAGCAGACCCGTCCTGCTTCCCACGTTCTGAACTCAACATCAGTCAAGTGCCGTGATATTACGGGCTGCTTAGACATACCTATAAATTCGAGACACTTCGTCATCTCTTGGGAAAGTTCATCTATGCCGTTGTCTTGGACTTGGTTGATCATCATGAGGTTGTCCCGGCCCCAGCTCTCTAATGAAGATGCTGGCCATGAGACGGGCTCTCCAACACTCAAAATTCTGGTAATGCCAAGCAGCTTCAGTAGCTCAGGGTTGTTGGCGTGTGTCAGGTTGCCAGATACATGTAGGACAGGACTCGACTCGGCAGGCTGCGTCCAGCTTGGCCAGCCACGCTGGTGACTTTGGAATTGACGTTCTCCGATGGCTGAGTGCAGGAGACTCTCTTAGCAGACGTGCCTGCATCGATGTGAGAAGTGCCACGTCAGACGGATACGCGAAGAAATTGCGACCTTTGTCTGTGTGAAGTTTGACCCAAGCTTCATGGACCGGCAGCCCTTCAGCATACATGAAATAGGCCACAGCAAGCATGCTGGTCTCCGTGTATCCGTCGGCGCAATGCAGTAGCACTCTGAAAGGACGAGGATCAATCTCAGACATCTCAATGTCGCCGTCGTCGTCTCTATCAGGCCCAGTCGTTCTCCGTCGTCTATGTGTCAATGTATACAACCATCGACACATCGAGAAGATACCGTCGACTTCTGCCTGAGACCACGACGGTGGCAGGATGCTTCCAGAGCTCGGAAACGCGAGTCGAATGGGACCATCAATCTGACCGTCCTCCAACTGAGTCATTCTTGCTTGCAGTAGGCTTTCTTCCGGCATGCTTGCATGATCGCTGGCCTCGACATACACATCAAATTGGGAGGTCTTGTCGCTTTCAGACATGCATTCGTCGGGAGTAGGACCCTGGAATACGCCACAGCTGAACTCAGATGCTTTTGACATTTCACACATCTCTCTCCTCTCCTGCAGAAGAAAGTCAAGCACTTCGCCCGTTGCACAACCGTGAGAATCCAGGGCGACGAGATGAGGGTAGGACTCCTCTATTACATCGAACGGCTCTGTTAGTACGAATGTATTGTATGTCTCTGGTGACTGGCCCGTTGCCTCGATTTCCCTTCGCCACTGTCGCTGCACCTTGGCTGCCCGCTCTGCAACAGATTTGATGATGCGGTGATCTGTCTGATCATCCCCGTAGACGATAATGTCGGAGACTTGTGCCATTTTCGTGGTTTGTATGTGAAAGTTGCGAACAGAGAAGCCTTCGCATGGGTCACAGTCGAGAAAACCCCTGCCGGAATCGTCGCACAGATTGAAGACCTCGTCAGGAGCGACAGCTCCTTTGAGCCTTGACCTGCTCAAGTCGCCTCCAGCCTTGATGATCGTTATGCCTCGCAGACATTTTGGAACCTTCCGTAGCGATCTCTTCTTGCCTACAAAGAAGGCAAGTTGTAAGTGATTGTCTGAGTGGAGCCCGTGCAACCAAGGGAATACCTTGCTTGGGTCCGGGAGAGGCTGGGACGCGAAGTGATCGAGGGCAGCCGCCAAAGCTTTCGCATCGAGACCATATATTGCTGGTGAACTGAGAAGCTTTTGGCATGAGTCCGGTGGGTATAGAAGTGAGCTTGCTTTTAACGAGGATTGTCTGGTCGGCGGTGAATTGGGAGGTGTGATCTCAGATGGAGAGGGGATGGGTCCCGGGGGACAGAAGGGCAGGTGTTTGTTAGGTACTGGAGTGGACGACCGAGGAATATTAAGGATCAGAGATGGAGCCAACGGAGGCGGAGTGGGCTGGCGGAGTTGCGGCTGCTGGTGCTGGATCACTACCGTGGCCATGGTACTGGCGACAGAGCTGTGTGAACGAGCAAACACCACTGAGATAGGTGCAAAGGCTCAGGAAGCCATCTTATACAAATTCGATCCGACAGTGTCTGGTGTGGTGGTACAGATAATCAAATGTGTAGAATCCGTTGGGTGAGTCGTGCTTGCCAGTAATGGGGGAGTAGCGCCTTCCCCACGTCGGGAAACCGATGCTTTGGAAGGGGTGGTGATAGTTCACACTGCTTTTGACATGTGGAAGCCACGACGAGTAAAGAGCAACAGTGCGAAAACAATTACACAATCACTTGCGTGCGGTTGAGACAGACAGAGTCGTCGAGAAAGAGCAGCATTATTTGGATAACACGAAGGGTGGAGGTGGGGCAAGCCGAACACCTGGAGAGGCGGGTCGCGAACTGGACAAAGCGATGAAGGGTCGACCCTCTGTCGAACGCGCTCTAGCATGATATGCACAGATAGCCTCCAGGACGAACAGCAGCCAATACCGGCAGCAAAGGAATCTCTAGCGGCCATGCATGCAAGGGTCGCATGGCGTCGTGGCCGTGCTGAATGCGCCATTCACAGCACACCTTACCAGTTCTCCGACTCCATACAAGGGCCCCGGGCACATTTCCAGTCGAATATGGTTCGATCAGAAGTCGATCGCGCGCGGGTAAGCAGCAACTTTGTGAAGCTCCCCGCCTTAAGTTGTCTGCGCTCGTGCTCATCGTCCAGTAGCGATCATCCAGGTGGGACTGGGCTGAAGCGTGAAATGGACGTTAGCGAGTTTGTCGTCGTTGATTATAGCGGAGCGACGCAGTCCATATCTGTGAAAGGCGTCGTCCTTAGCGTGTCGAGCGTATACACATATCTCGACTATGTTTGACACGCCTAGAGAAGAGTTCGTCAATGCAAGTGACTACTGTACAAGCATGTCCCCTTTCAAGACTCTTGGAACTAGGTATCCGACAGAGCTGGATTGACACGCTCTCTGGCTCCTTTCAGCAGACGTCCGTGCCACAGGGTCGCTGCATCACAGTAAAGGTCGAGCACAGATGCACAGTAGCCGCAATTGTTTGCCTTCCTCAGCAATGCGGGGGAAGTTTGGCCTCGCCATTTAGTCCTTTTGGAATTTAGCAACTGCGAGGGAGGACGCTAAGGCACCATGACGATCAGCCATGAAATCTAGAACGCCGCCGACGATGGATGGCAGCTCAGCAGAACATTGACTCCAGACTTCCTGGCTGAAGCTGCGAGAGGTCAGATTCGAGACATCCACCAACACTTGATGCTAACCGACGCGCAAAATCTTGTGCTTGCTTGAAGATCTCAACGCGATCGACAGAAGCACCGTAGGCATCCTGGATCAATCCGCCATTGTTCATGGCCTCCCACATACCGCCTTTCACTAAACCAAGCACTGACTCTTTGACGAGCTGCAATTCTGTTTCAATCTCGTGTGGCAGATATTGTGAGACTAACGCAGTTCCCTCCGTCTTCAACATGGGGGCCTCGTCTGCATCGTTCGAGGACTCTGTGAGCTGCTCTTCGAGGAGTGGCCTATCGTCATGCAGGACCGCAAGCGGTGATGTACGATTTGATGCAGACAACTGGATCATGGAATAGCCCTGGCTCCGCATCAACTCTCGTGCAAGTCGCAACCATGGCGCCAGGTCACTGTCGCTGCCTTTGACAGATTCGACCGATTTCGATAGCAAAGGATCTGCCACCAACCTGAGCGAGAGATATTGATGCAGCTCAGCCATCTGTCACCAAAGAACAGGTCCGCTCTCCCGTCTAGTCGTTGCGTCAGCGAGATAGAGTTGGCTGGCGTTCCAGTGGACGTCAACCCCTGGAGCGAGATTCCCATTGTGTTAGGCAGCAGATATCTCTGCTGCGAGTGTCTACACTCGAGGATCAGGAAAATTAACATCTGGTACCAATTTTGGGCCAATTCTGCCTCCGGAGCAAGAATCAGAACATGGGAACTTGCCGTGGTCGGATAGAACGATTCAACTATCTGCAAAGAGGCCGCGGCGGGAGTCAGAGCCGCGTCACTCACGCGGTGTCGTATGATCAGTCTCGATCCGGCAGGCCGCGCCTTTGGTGGCCATGCAAAGGTCGTGAGATGTCGCAACACCGCCATATCTGTTCTTGGAGGCAGTTCCAGCGCAATGGATGGGTGAGCAAGGTCACCATATTCTGCACCTTGGATGCTTCGAAGTAGACGTAACAGTGATCCGGCGGACTCTGAGGTGACTCTTATCACTATGTCGACTTGCACTTTGTGCCACTCTCGCAACGACGATGGGTCTAGCTCGAGCATCCAGGCATCTTTGGTCGGAACTGATATGCTTGTGACACCATATCGGCGGGCGCTGTTGACGATGCTCGCCTGTAGATATTCAGCCTCTTGCCTTGATCCGTCGTAGAAGACAGCTTGTAGCCAGAGCGTGCGGTACAGATGACCGAAGGCACCTTCAACACCCCTCTGTAGCCGGCCCCGGCTCGATTGGGCGGCAAAGTCGATCTGAGCATCATGGAGATAAATCGGACAGTCAGAAGATGAGAAGCCATTCACTTGCAAGATGCTGCTGAGATCGATAGAATGCTGGCCCATGGCGGCGACATGGACTACAGCTCGTTTCTGAGAAGCCATCAAGCAAGCCGAGTCCACAACGTGAGAGGCGGCTTCTGGGTGCGCGAAGACGAACAACACTGCGTCTTGAGACGGAGCTTGCTTCACGAACGACTGCAGCGACTGCGACAGCTGGAAGTAGCGTATCGGCCCATTGTATTGCTCGTTGCTAACCTCATCGTACCATCTGGTGTTTCTCAGTCCATGGCCAGGCACATTTGCCTGACTGACCGGCAACACATGAATGTTCTTGACCAGCACATATATCAGCCAGATGCTCAAGAGCGCCAATGCAATGCGTCGCTTGCGCAAGCTGCGAAACATTGGCAGTCGTCCAGCAGCAGACTTGGAGGGACTATCATCATCTTTCTTGCGCCCAGGCTCGAGACCGTAGTCGAAGTGTCGTCGGGTCGCCATGCAGCATCTTGGCGACCTGTATATAGCGTGGACTCTCTTCCCAGGCTGCAAGCGTACAGAGAGAGGCGCGTTGGCGACAATGCGTCGCCGTCTTCAAGTCCATATTCGCGACATCGAGTCGCGTTGAGACCCCACCGCAGTTGCTTGGCGACAATCATTTAGCTCGGCCTGGATCTTCAAGCTCATTCACTGTCAATGCAACGCCCGTTCCACGCACATGTTATCCGCCATGAAGACACGATGAGTCATTCTTAACGTGCGAGCAGTGCAACCACACAGCGAGAGAAGGACATGCGGGGGATATGGCAGCAGACTTCTCGGCCTAATTTGAGCTTCACCACTGCCAGAACAACCGTCAAGTCCACATTTGGCCGGCGCAGCGCGACTCGTCACGGAACCCGCAGTAATAAAGTCGCAGCTTGCGATGTCTTCGCAGCTTTCCTCGCGCCCCTGTTGGCCGCGGCGGCATTCGCCGACACTTCATGGAAGAATAGCAAGAGGAAAGAGTGGGAGATCCGCTTCAAGGAGATCAGCGACGAGGTAGAGCGTCTCAAGGCACGTGAGGTCGAGGTATGGACACGCATACAGCATCGGTCAATCAGGCGCGGCGCAATAAGTCAACGACGCATGTACTCGACCGCTGCTCATGCAATATCCTGGGACAAGATTGATGCAGAGGACTGGGCAGAAGCGTTTGAGGAAGATGCCGAACGAACTGCGACTCAACAGGCTCAGGACAATCAAGCGCCTGCCGCAAATCCTGCGACAGCGCCGCTGGTGATGCGTCAGTCGAGGGCCAAGGTGCTCGAATACGAGAGTCTCGTGCGCAAGCGACTGATCCTTCGTCTGCTGCTCTACGTATACTCGGACCACGACCCGAAGTACGAGGACAAATATCATGTCCAAATTCAGAAGAATGTGCTCCCAGAGGAGATTGGTCGAGTAGTCATCGATTTGCAAGCCATAACACAGCAGCTGCGAACTATGGCCCACTATGCGTTGCGCGACCGTCCTGGACATTTCCTCGAGGCCGAAATAGAGCTTGGAAGTCCAGTGTTCAGTCGACAGCACGACCGTCAGCAGCTTCGCAACCTCGCCGAAGACTACCGCGCAGGAAAGCTTGATACGCGCGTTCTTATTGACTGTCTAGTAGAATGGCTGCTGGACTCAGATCGACCCCCTGGTCCATATGCGTTCGTACAACTCATCCTGGTATTCACACACTGCGGCCTGGATCAGCCCGCGGATTACGCCGTGTCGGCACTACGAACCTCTGGTTACACCATCCGCCAAACCGAGATCGTTGCAATCCTGGAGATGTGCTCGAATCTCCGGGACTTGAAGACGTTCGACTGGCTCATCCAGCAACTGACCAGCAAGGACGGCTTCCTACGTAATGGGCGATATCTGTGGAACTGGATCAGAGTCGATGGGACACTAATTGCGGCACCCGCTCTTTTCAGCCCGTTCTTGTATAGAGGACTAATACGGTCAACAATCAACTTTGGACAAATGGATCGTGCTGCTGCATACTATAAGATGACGCAGAAGTACAGCTGGGCTGCCAGCCATGAATCATATGTCCTGAAAGCCTTCCTTCAATACCACGCAATCAATCGCGACTGGGACAAGGGCAAAGGCTGCATAGGTCGAGCCCTCCGGCACCTGACGGATGACACGCTGATACACAATCATGCAACGCCGGAGCGAGCAACTCGTCAAATAGCGGTGATTTGCCTACGTATTGCCGATCTCTTCGCCGCTTGCGACAAGCAGCAAATGCTCACGGCGTGGATCACTCTTGTGGCCAGGGAAGGAATACCGGCTCCTGACTTGGATGCTAGCAAGAGATCGCGTAGTGCAAGTCTCAGATCGATTGCAGGACAATGGACCGGAGCGGCAGAGACTCTCGGCAACCCACCCGCGCCGTTGACGGCAGATGGCTTCGGCGGGTTTCGAAAGGCAGTGCAGAGCTTCGCTGACTCCTTCGGACTCGCAATGCAGGAAATTGATGACACCGCGGCCTCAATGGACCAGAGCGTCTCGTCGCAGCGCACACGCCAAGATCAAGAACAAACCGGAGCATCAATGGAGGTATCGACGCCTTATTCGTCGCCACATGTGCCAATACAGGGGCCCATAAACGAGCCGACTCAGCCACTCGAAGCACCTCCTAATCAGCACTTCACAAACTCTGAGCTTGTGAATGAGACCAGGCGGTCTGTGGGGGTGTCCCATGTTCAGCCCCCAGCGCCCGTACCACCCACTATTCCACCCGATTTCTTCGAGGCAATGGAGATGGTTAGGGATGAACGAGCCTCTCTTGAGAGCGCCCGTCGGGCCCAGCAGCAGCAATTACAATCCGCCCTCGACCAGATCAACGCGCTGAAAGCAGAGACGATAGCCTTACACAAGAGACTTGACAGCAGTCGAGACAGTCAGCCTCAGGAGGTGCAGATGCCATCCGTCCTGCATAGTCTACCTTCGGCAGAAGCAGAAACACAAGTTCAGAGTGAGCCACTCGAAAAGACGCCACCAATGCGTACATTGGACAACGGAACAACTGAAGAAGGATATCATTTTGTCGATTCCAGTAATCGCGGTCTTCTCGGCACTTCCGGCGGGTCTGGTCACGTGCTTCCAGAATCTCCAATGGCGGAAGGTGACTGGCGTTGTGGCTGCCAACATCACAACTATCACAGCAATAAGAATTGCCGCCTTTGTGGCGAACCTCGAGCCAATGCCGTGTTTGTTGCGCGGTCTGCAATATTGCGTCCGTCAACGGCTGGGACGCCCGCCAGGCACTCGAACTCAGCAAAGATGAACTCGGGCGTACAGGCGATTTCCGGGTCCCAATCGAGACATTGGCATTTGCTGAGCGACGCTACATCGTCTACAGATGACAAAACGGTAGCGCCGCAAGCCACGGAACTTGCTCCCGAGTCAGTCCCTCGCCCGCACTCGGCCGAGCTATCGTTCCCCAGTGAACACATGCTGCCACCACAGCAGGAAGATAACCCCGAAGCGGAAGACTCTGGCTACGACTCCCTGCCTGAATCACCAGCGTCGTCGCTCTTCGATGCACCCCCATCGCCATCTCCCCATCCTATTCCTGTGACGATGTATCGCAGCCTCGATGTGGATAGTTTTCTGGACAACAGCGAACGCCCAATAATTCGAAGAACAAACAACATGCTGCCTCGAGCCTCCCTGAGGGACAAAGGACTTGAGCACAAGTCGTTCACCCCAGTCGACGACGATGACCCGGCGATGCGAATACTTCCCCGCCAAGCGAAGCAGAAGATGACAGGTTCTGGGACAGAAAAGCAAATATCCGATCGGATCAAGCTGCTCACAGAGGCGAAGAAGCGGGGTCGAGCCGCCAATGCGGAGGCGAGGAGGGCGTATCTTGAAGAACAGGCTGCCTTGTCTGCTTAACGCCACTGTTCTGTTGGACAGATCTATGGGCAGAGCTTGGCACCGGTGCAGTCCTCATCTTTTCGTGTTCGAGTAACGCATGGAAGTAATGCTGTGTGGTGTGGCTTAGAGGGGTCCGGTTGACTGTGTATGTATAGAGAGAGAGCTCCGATGAGTAGCTCTTCGTGTTATGAATGAGAGGATTTCCATCGAACAAAAGAAGACCTTGCCGAACTTAGCAATCTTGCTTTCCTGCTGACATGAAGTATTCTCGCAACCTCGTCGCTTCATCGCAGGGTATTTGCTACCTGTCGCCACGACCACCTGGGCAATGACACGCGTGCTCCCCAAGGCTACGTTGTAACATGGCACTACAAGGTCTGTGTCGCAGGAATATAAGTGCTTCGAAGAGCCACGACGACACGGATGGCAAGCCAAGTACATGGCAGCAACGGGCCTTTCGCTGTTGTTCGAGCTACCTGCTGGAGGTACGACACTATGTCCACGCGTGTGCTACATCCGCCTGAGTCGGAAGTGGTATGAGGGAACACGTTACGAATTGGAATTGAGGCAACCGAGTTGCATTGCGCCTTGTCAACCGGCTGGACTGAGGCTTCGCATGAGACCGGATGACAGACACCCAAACCACACCAGCGACTACCTTCCTATGATGCAAGCGGCCGACAGTGGCAACGCATAGCTCGGTCGCTCTTGCTTATCAATGTACCTAACGGCACGAGTGGCAAGTGCGCCCACGGGCAGGTCGCACCTTCCAGTATTGCCTGGGTCGTCAACCGGCGTGCTGAGGCTCTACGAGACACCGGATGACAAGAATTGCCCGAGGCTGCGATCTTCTCGTCGTCTCTTACATCATTGAGGATGCAAGAGTGGAAGGACCTAATGGCGGTGACTACTATCGAGGCTGGTTGACAACACCATCGACAGCAGGTTCCTGCTTGCTTTTCCCCAGGCGTCTTGTCATCCAGTCTGGGCTGTCGTCCGGCTTTCGTTCAGGCCTACCGACCAAGCGATGTCATCCGGTCTGGGAACTTGCCACAACGATCTCTATGCCCGCCTATATACCATGATCGGAGCAACAGTTGCAGAACTTGTGCTCCAATGCGTCCAGAGTCTTGTGAACTTCAATTTTTGTCTACCGCAGACCCAATGCTTCTTCTCGTAGAATTCATATCTGGCAACTAAATTGTGCCTGATCAAGTAACGTCAGCCCTGCTCCGTGACCGCAATTCCATGACGCCGCTGTAGAAAATCGAGGTATTCGGCTGCGAGGGTATGTATGCGCGGGCGCTAAGCCTATGCCGGAGGATCACGGATGTCGCGTATCAGCCTCATCCGCGCCCGATGAATATCGCAGACAGAATCATGCGTGCGCAAACCTTACGTCGCTTAGCCCATACCAAGAGACAGCCTCCGAGCAGTGAGCCGCCGTGGCGGACCCTCATCGCATTTGGCATACCGAACATCTCAAGTGGCTCCCATCAAGCGCTTCAATACCTGGACACCGACTTCAAGCACCTGCTCATCTCTTGTCTTCTTCAGCGCAGCTTTCACCACCTCGGCAGCGTTCTGCCCCTTCACAATGTCCAGCCCACCATCGGCTTCACACAGATTTCCCAAAACCACCAAGCCTCTGACGACGACTCCTTGATCCTCTTCGTCCGCAATCAAGCCCAGCACTCTTTGCACACCCCATGCTTCTTCCTTTTCCGAAGCGTCCGCATTCCGGCCGCTGCCACCCCTGGCAGCAAGAATCCCTTTCGCAACTGCTTCGCGCTCACTTAGCACAGCCAGAGCACCACCTGCGGCCTGCCTGGTTGGTATGTCGTCGACATCCCCTAGTGCCAGTAGCACCCTTAGCCGTCCCTTTGCCCGTGCGCTCCCGTCCCCAAACTTCCCTGCTCCGACGTCACAGACACAGAGGTTACACAGAAGCTCGACGGCAGCTCGTCGAAGGTGGTAATGATCATGCAGGAGCAGGTCTTCGATCTGCGGAAAGGCGAGGCGAACGATGATTTCGGCGGCTTGTCCCGAAGGATGGGATGCGAGATTGGTCAGAGCGAGGAGTGACTCGAATGTTGGCAGACGGTCTTGAGACTGGTTGTCGGATGAGGCCGCGAGCGGTGAGGCATTGGCGGAGGCGTTGTGTAGGAGAGATACGAGCGCTGGGACCGCGTCCGTGATGTGTGGCGTCGAAGTCGTGAAGACGTGGGCGGGATTCAAAGATATGAGAAGGCGCGCGAGGGCATGAGATGCGTCTGTCGCTGGGACACTGGAGGATGGCGAGGGCGACGGCGGTGTTGGTCCATCGGTTGAGGCGGTAAGAGCCTTGGCTGCTGCTTGCTGTTTTTGGAGGGCCTTCTGGGCGTGCTGGATCAACAACTTCACCGCGCCTTGTTGAGCGAGCTTGCCGCGATCTTTCGGATTTCGAGACAGCGAGAGAAGGATTTGGTCCGTCAATTGAGAGGTCGAGTTGGACTTTGTGCGGTTGATTTTGACCAGAGTTGGCATCAGGTTCGCGTCGACCAGCGCTGTGCATCGATTTCTGATGTGGTCTTCATCTTCGAGAGGCGAAGAGTCACCGGGCTTGGAGGCGTTGGCGTATGCTTTCAATTGCGAAATCTTCTTCTGCTCCTCTGACAGATTCGGCGGATAGTGGGTCAGGTTGAAGACGATACTCAGCGCTCCTACCACGATTTCGGGAACCGCGCTGTTGTCTTCCAACGCCTGAAGTAAATGTTTGAGGAAAGCTCTGTCATTGGCAAGCTTTTCCTTCACCTCAGGCTTCAGAGACGTGTACGCAAGGCCTTCTATTGAGTCAGAAACGTTTCTTCCTTCTTCAAGGGACAGGGTTTTGGTAAAAAGATCAACAAGTTCACTAACATCATCATCATTCGCCGTGTTGGCAGCTCTCTGGTCTTGACCACTGGGTTTGGTGCCGGACGTTCTCAATTTTGCTAATACAGTGGCCGCCATGGAAGGTTGTTTGTCGATGCCGTTGCTGACTTTGTGGGAGAGCCATGGACTGCAATGCTGAGCGATGGCCTGTCTACAGCCTGCGTCTATGCAGGTCGCGTTAAGGAGAGCCAGGAATGTTCCGTGGACGTGTGTGGTAGTTTTATTGCGCTCCAAAAGTGGTAGCACTGACGGGAGAAACCCCTCTGTGAGAAAGAGCTGGGCTGTGACAGCAGAAGCGAGTGGGAAGAATTGTGCTGCTGCTGAGAAAGCGAGAATGAGATCATCTCCTTTAGCCTTTGCGACGTGATCTGTGACAAATTTTGCGAAGTATTGCTGGCCCGTAGCCTCAGATACCTCGAGCAGCTTTGATAGGACGAGCGTGGCTTGGCCTCTGACCTCGGGCGGCAACCGATAGTCGAGCGAACAGAGAAGTGCATCGAATCCATCTTCGTCCACGAATGTGTGCAGCCGTTGTGTGTCTGCAATCAACAGTAAAGCAATGCCTTTCAGTGCTCTGCCATCATGGTCGTGCCCGCTCTCCATAAGCTTTGCCAAGAAGAGCAGGAATAGCTCGTCCTCAACATGAAGTCGGCTGCTCTCATCCTCCCATAGGGACTGATCAAGGACAATCGAACGTAGACAGTTCGCAGCATCGTCACCTCGGTCGTAGAGGTTGTCGAAGAATTCAGTTGTCGAAGCTTTCAGTTCTCTGGCTAGGTACCGCCTTACAATCACACTTCGATTTGACAGCTCAGCGATAATGGCATCTTGAGAAACGTCGAGAGTGGTTGATACACTCTCGAGGAGAAGTTGGATGCATTCGAGAGCAGAGTTTGCTGCGTTTGGTGCTTCGTCACTTCGCAGATATTTGATTGCCTCCCGGCCGGATTTCGCATCATGATAGAGCGCGTACTTCCGGCAGAGATCGAGCAATGGCGATCGAGACTCCTCATTGTGAATAGCCAGGAAGGCGCTCTGGACGTCGATGTTTTCTGGGCCAAGAGCAGCAGCGGCTCTCAAACGCCTGGACGCTTCCTGCAACGGCTGTCAGATTTGGAGAATGCAGCCGAGAGACGATAGGACGGCGGTAGAATTCTGGAATTGACATGTGATGCGAACGAACTTACATCTTTGTAGCCAGCACGGGACAGTTCAACAGCTTCTCTGGCCAGCATAGTTGCCTTCTCCTCAGACATGCGGCGCGTCACATTTTTGACTTGTTCGACGGTGGCCATCGTCCCTGCCAGTGACGGAAGGCGGCAGGCGCCCGAAGATGACCCGGGGCAGTAACAATGGTCCAGTCGACCAGAAGTGGCGGAGAGTCCTTCAGTCGAGGGCCAGCATATTTGTATAGCAAAAGAACGTCTGTGGTAAGACCAAGAGAGCGGCAACAGGCGAAGTCAGATGATGCTAGAAATTTTCTATGTTATTCTTCACAGCAGAGCCGTGTTGTTTTTGTCAGCCTTAAGGAGGAAATTTGGTTGCTCTCTCTCGGTTGGGAAAAGTCACGGTTGCAGTAGTGTTGAGTGGGGTGAAAAAGCAGTGTATAGCAGACTATGGCCGACGGATGGACGAAAGCCGAGATGTAGGAACTTCTTTACAGAGCAGGAGAGAGCGAAGAAGAGCCGAATTGTGCACGAAGACGCGTCTCGAGCACGTCTTCCGTCAGATGGGATGCAGAGAGACCACCACGTTTGAAGCAAAGGAGTATTTGCCATGCATATGGCAAAAATGGATTGACCAGTAGGAGCAAGGAGAAGAAGGCGTGGAAGATTTTTCTCGAATTCATGGGCCTTCAAAGACGTGGGGTCGCAAGCAGAGTCAGTTGCTGGTGGCTCCTCCTCGTTTGCACTTGCACCTTCTGATGACTTCACACTGGCATGCGCCCCGAAGTCGACAATGGGCCATGACGATGGCAATCATCTCAACCGCCACGCATCTTCGACAGCGTGTGGAATCACAAGAAGATGGCAGTAGCAGCATGTTTGTATCGCAGAAGTAGGCTGACTCCAAGAGCGGCGGAATCCAGGCGCGGGCGCTTAATTTAAGCCCAGCCACCTTTTACCATACGCTTTTACCTGAGATGCCCATTGGAAAAGTGCCCCTGTTCGTGTTCTCGTCTTTCACCCCGCGATCTGTGGTCAGCATACAGATCGTTGCGATGTGAGATGCGCTGCCGGATGTCATACGACCCCAGCCTTTGCGTACTGCTCCCTGTGTATCGCAAGTTGGAGTTGACCAGCGGTGTCCACACAAGCATTCTTCGCTGCTGAAGCCCTGCAGAGTACGACGGACCGAGCGGAGTCCGCCGCCGGCTTCGAGAGTCGCTAGGCGCTGCTAGCGCCTGTTAATCTACAAATGATGCCTAGAGTTCGGAGATCAAATCCGTGTGCATGGTTTCTTCTTAACGTGCATTGAAACAGCCACTGGCCCTCCGCATCGGTCAAATAACATCAGAGACAGTACCTCAGATCTTGGTGCAATCTGGCGACAAGAGATATTCACACAGCTTCATCCATGCGATCTGCCACGCGCGTCTCGCAGATCTGTCCAACTCGGCCTCTTCGTGGTTGCCACAGAAAATCCGTAGACCGCCAAGAGGAGTTTCATCTCAATGCCAGCGGAGCGCAGTGTCAGACTAGATTGAGTCTTCGCCTGACCTCACTCGATGACTGAGCTGGTATAGAGGCAAAGTAAGACGCAAGTGCTTGTAAGCGTGCGCCAGTATGGACGGCCTGGAGACAAATGATCGCTCACAGCAGACCACTACAGGTAATCCTTGAATAGCTTCTCTATTATGCTGGTCAGCTCGTTCGACTGACCCTTACAGAGCAAAGCCCATCTCTTCTCACAATCATCCTCGACACAAATCCCGCAGCGTGGGCTCTTCTATCAGACACGCTACCTCTGTCTGCCGTGGTGGCAAATATCCTGGTCTTCATCAATGCCCATCTAGCGTGTAATTTCACCAACAAAGTCGCCGTCATCGCGAGCCAACCGGACAAAGCGCAATGGCTCTATCCACCTTCGCAGGAGCAACAGACGGCAGCGCGGGAGGATGCAGCAGAGGATACACCAAGACCAGCGAAACGTGTCAAGCTCAATAGCGCACAACCCACCAATAGTGACGCCGATTTCACCGACGGCAGCAAATACAGGCCTTTTCGCCTCATAGAGACTGCACTCCTCAATTCCCTGACAGAGCTCCTGAATAAAACGACGCCAACAGATCTGGATCCCTCATCCAGCACTTCCACCATGATCGCGGGTGCCCTTACCCTCGCTCTCAGCTACATCAATCGGGAGTCCATTGCCTACTCCGAATCCATTGTCGGCGTTGCCACTGATCCGACTACCCAGCAGACAGCTGATACATCCTCTCCCTCACGCCTACAATCTCGTATTCTCCTCATCTCCGCCTCCCCAACCACCGACCTCGCGCACCAGTATATCCCCGTTATGAACGCGATTTTTGCCTGCCAGCGCCTGAGCATCCCAATCGACATCCTGGCCATCCCACTTCCAAAGTTCTCGCCCACCAACTCATCCGATACCCAATCCGGCACCCCCGCGATCTCATCCTCAAATTCCACCGTCTTCCTCCAACAAGCCTCCGACGCCACAAACGGCATTTACCTACCCTTCACCTTCCCTCCTACCGGCAGCAGCAGCAGCAGCTCTCAGCAACCCCGAATAGCACAAACCTCATCCGCCCTCCTCCAACTCCTCCTCTCCCCGCTTCTCCCCTCGCCACTCGTCCGCACCCACCTCACCTCGCCGACCCTAATCAACATCGACTTCCGCGCCGCCTGCTTCTGCCACCGTCGCGTCATCGACTTGGGATATGTGTGCAGTGTGTGTCTCAGCATCTTCTGTGAGCCGCCGCTGGCGGAGGAGCAGCCGGGACCGTCTACGCCAACGCCAGGAGAGCCAGGGGGGAAGCAACAGGAGCCAGCGTATGAGTGTTTCACGTGTGGGACGCGGCTTGGGTTGGGAGAGGGCGTTGGGAGGAAGCCCATTGTGGTTGCGAGGAGAAAGAAGAAGAAGAAGGTCGCTGGGGCGAGGAGTGGGCTTGCGGGTGGGGAAGGGAATAGTAGAGTCGGGACACCTGTGCCTGGGTGAGGAAGCAGATATGGTATGCGGATAGCAAACGTCAGCACGCTTTCATGGCTCAGACGAAGATCACTTTCCGATGGGAGTCGAATAATAGAGCCATTGGCATTATTACGAATAGAGCTATGAATGTCGTCTTGCTTCGTGACAATGAGCCATAACGCCATCAGTGTCTAATGCTGGACTGCCTCGGTCGTTCAGCTAGACGTACGCTCTGTCCGTGACTCACGAGCATCAGACCTCGAAACACCCATCCTCTGTACACGCTCGACACGCTGGATGCCGAGAGGGGTATCGTAAGTTCACGGGTGCGTATGCGTATCAACATTCTTCGTCTCGTCGTTCTTCTCGAGGAGTGGCTCCCTGGATCCTCCTGCTGCCTTATGGAGTTCGTAGGTTAGTCGACGTGATATTCTTTCTTGCATAGCTTTTGCAAAGAAGGCCCGTGTGGCTGCTCGGTCTTGTTCCTACTTCCGAGCGTATTTGCTGCGGCACAGTCGACCTCCCTGCGCGAGTGAGCCCGACTTGTTGTTGCGAGACATGACACAGACAGGCTTCCTCTCCTCGCTATGCATAGATGCGATGGCAAAAGAGTCAGTATTGTGAGCAAAGTAGAAGTAGATACCGTCCTTGCTCTTCTTGACGCCGAGAATACCAATGGCGCCTGTACAAGGACTGTGACGGACACCTGGATGATTGATGAACTCGTTGTTGATCATGCCTTCCAGTGCTTCATCTTCGGTGCAGTCTTCGTAGCTTCCGTTGACTCGACGGTGGGAGTAGTAGATCCGTTCTGCTGCGGAAGCGGCCGCCATGGTTGTGGCCATGTGCTCGCCTGTACCGCTAACAACAGTGGCAACAGACGACATGGTCAGGTCTCCTTCATCACGAGGAATGACAGCCGTGCCAACTCCGACGAGTGCAGCTGGACCACATCGACCTTTGTGCTTCATGCCGATGCCACCCGAAGAAGAGCCACCAGCAATATTGCCCCACGCATCTACTGCGATCGCACCAACGGTGTCGACGATGTTGTCACCGTCTTCTTCCGTAAGATATTGCAGTCGGACAACTTTATCGGATTTCCTGTCGGAGCTGAGGTTCATAGAATGCATCATAAGACCCTGATCAGTATCAGATCCATCCATAGAGCTGCTGAGCTTTGCCCTCTTGGCGATGGGGGACATGGTAGGTGACATGGATGGAGACAGATTGCCAAAGTCCAGGTCTGTCGCCTCGTCTTCATACAGGTAGTGTTCTTGATCATGATCGTGCGTGCTGCCATAGGTCTGCGAACTTCGGAACTTGGTATGATGAGGGGTGTGTCCGGCATTGGCATTCATCGCTTCTGATGGCAGATCTACTGCAGAAGCGGCCAATGGCCTTGTTGGCGTTGGAATTGCACCGAGAGGATTTACTTCGGCGTGTGGAGGTGTACGGACATTCGAATCGATGCTAGCAGTCCTCGATTTTGACGCCATGTCGGAAGCATTGTCAGGCCCTCCTCCATTTGCAGCTACATTAGCCAAATCTGTCTTCCATTTTGTCCAACGCTTGCGAGCTTCGTCAGAGATCAGGAAGTCGTGCGGCACTACTGACACGCCATTTTCGTGAGCAAAGTCCGCAGCACCGTCACCAACGATCAGGTTTGGAGGTACTCGGGACAATGAGAGCGGTCTGGTTGACGCCTTGAGGACGATGTGGGCGAGTGTGATCGGGTTCTTGATATCTGTACATACATCAGTATGAAATTTATGCTCGGAGGCGGGCTTGTTACGAGATGCAGCTCCAATGGCACCACTGCGTCCCAAATGATCGACCATTGTTGCATCGCACTCCACGTGGCCATTCATGTTGAGATTGCTCCCGTAGCCAGCGTTCGTGATCTCGCGATCTTCAAGTACTCTGATGCACATCTCCACAGCTTCGGTTGCATCACCACCATTCTTGAGTATGGCCATGGCAACTTTAGCGGCATCGTTGCAAGCAGTTAGATGGGACCGTTCATTGTTGAAGCTATGGAAGCCGGCTCCGGCGTGGACAAAGATGGCACAGAGGTCGCCACCCTCCGGGACCTTATGGCGGGGAGGCATTGAGGACCGGGTATGCTGCTAGCGAGGAGGGTGACATGAATGTGTTGATTCTCTGATAGTGACTGGTTATTGATCTACCACAAGCGGACCATAGAATCGATATCTTGAAAAGAGTGCTTGCGGAACCAAAGATACAAAGAGCGAGGAGGGCCCGCTTTCGAGTTGATGCGTCTGATTAATACCAGCAGCCTATGTGGAAGGGAAGGCAAAGGCAAGATGAATGTGAGAAAAGTCCCATCGCTGAGGACTGGCAATTCCCAAACAGCAGTCACTGATCCAGGTGGGTCTTGGCTCCTGCCCTTTGCTCTGCTACGCTCATCACCACTGCTTACGCCCTCCTACCTTCACATGCTTCTTTGCTTTCCTTTGATCTGATCACCATTTCTGTGAAAGCAGGACACAATCAGAAGGAGCGACAGCGAGGTTCAGAACTTTGGATGATCTATCACTAGCGTCTTGGCTGGAGAGTTTGTGGTGGTGTTAAGCAAATAACTCCGGGCTGTCCAGCATTTGGCCGGCTTCCGGGCTTGGTGGGCTGTACTCGTAAGTCAGCCTTCTAACGACGTCCAGCGGCATTGATGCTGCCTACTCGAACCCACAGTTTGTGTGAAGCTCGTTAACGTCGAGGGAGACCGGAGCTCATCAGGCGCATGGATACGTGAAACACCGGTCGTCCTCCCTCAAATCTCTTCGATCTCATCACACCTGAGCGCCGCACACATCCCGCATCTCAATATGGCGACCCAAACTCCAGCCGTTGTCATGGACAAGTACGAGCCGCCCTGTCCTCAACATACTTTGTGACTAACGTTGTCTGTAGCGGTACTGGATTCTCGAAGCTGGGTATGTATAGTTCCACCGCGCCCAGCGAATCCGCCTGACCCGTGGTTCCAGGTTTCGCCGGCAACGATGCTCCCTCCTTCGTCTTTCCTACTGCGATCGCCTCGAAGTCCGGCGCCGGCGGCACAAGCACAGGATCAGGCAGACCAGCAGCCCCGAACAAGCCATCGTTTTTGACAGGCGGTGCACAGGGTTCAAATGTGGCTGCTAAGAGAGGCACGGAGGACCTGGACTTCTTTATTGGTGATGAAGCACTGGTCGCAGGCAACAACCCTGGGTATGGCATCCGCTATCCAGTAAGACATGGCCAAGTCGAGAACTGGGACGACATGGAGCGCTTCTGGTCCAATTCAATTTTCAAGTACCTAAGGGTCGAGCCGGAGGACCACTACTTCCTGCTCACCGAGCCTGTGCGTTTCCATGGGCAATCTTGTGACCATTTACTGACCTGAAGCAGCCGCTGAATCCTCCAGAAAATCGCGAAAACACCGCCGAGATTATGTTCGAGTCCTTCAATTGCGCAGGTCTCTACATCGCTGTACAAGCTGTTCTGGCCCTCGCCGCTTCATGGACGTCGTCAAAAGTAACAGATCGATCACTGACAGGGACGGTCATTGACTCTGGAGACGGTGTGACCCATGTTATTCCTGTCGCGGAAGGTTACGTTATTGGATCTTCGATTAAGAGCATACCTATCGCTGGTCGAGATATCACATATTTCGTGCAGAGCCTGCTGCGAGATCGAGGAGAGCCCGACAGCAGCTTGAAGACGTCCGAAAAGATCAAGGAAGAGTACTGCTATGTCTGTCCTGACATTGTGAAGGAATTCTCCAGATACGACCGCGAGCCAGAGCGATTTCTCAAGCACACCGTCACCTCGCCTAACGGCAGATCAGTACAGATCGATGTAGGCTACGAACGATTCCTGGCACCCGAAATATTCTTCAATCCCGAAATCTACTCCTCCGACTTCCTGACGCCTCTACCAACAGTCGTCGACGGTGTCATCCAATCCTCACCAATTGATGTTCGAAGAGGACTATACAAGAACATTGTTCTTTCTGGCGGTTCGACTCTTTACAAAGACTTCGGTCGCCGATTACAGCGTGATATTAGACATCTGGTCGACGCCAGGATACGAGCATCAGAAGCGCGCAGTGGTGGAGCAAGGAGTGGAGGTCTTGACGTATCAGTCGTGACACACAAGCGTCAGCGTCACGGTCCGTGGTTCGGAGGCAGTCTTTTGGGTCAGACGCCAGAGTTCAGAAGCTACTGCCATACGAAAGCCGAATACGACGAGGTCGGACCGAGTATCGTGCGGAGGTTTGCCTTGCTGGGAGGACCTGGTAGCACGTAACGTTGCTCACGCATTGTTCGGTGCCTTCACCAGGTGCTCGCGCAGAAGAAGTGTAGATGAAGGGCTGCTCCAACTTAGCGACATTGATAAGACTCAAGAAAAGCTTCATACACCAAAGACTCGATCAATTCTGATCACTAACAGATGAGACAAGCTCTGACTGACCGCGTACCCCAAGATTTCAGCAAGTCGCTCGACCGAACAGTCACTCAAGCTGCTTCTCAGGTTGCTCCTGCTCCGGCTCGTTCTCAGGCTCCTTCCAAGCCTCATTCACCACCCTCCTCAGCACACACAACCCTTCCACATGACTCGTCTGCGGGAAGAAATCGAATCCTCTCAACTCCTCAATCTCATACCTAAAGCTCCCAACCTCCTTCCCCTCATCCTCCCGTCCTTCCACCTCCTTCCACCAATCCTCCCCACACCAACCCCTGACCAAACAACCCACATCCCTCGCCTGACTCCCCACATTGCAACTAACATACACCACCCTTGCCGGCCCGTACCTCAACAACTGCTTCAGAAAATCCGTACTACACCCCTTCCTAGGCGGATCAATCACCAACACAGTATTCTCAGCCGGGTACGGCACATCCTGGAACAGCGCCGCAGCATCAGCCTCAATAAAGCCCGCGTGCTCTACACCGTTGAGCCTCGCGTTCTCTCGTGCCGAGGTGACGCCCCAGGGATCGAGCTCGATGCCGAGCACAGAGGTGAAGAGAGGGGACAAGGTGATAGCGAAGAGGCCCGAGCCGCAGTAGGCGTCGAGGAGGTATTTGATTGGTTGGGTTGGGTCTGGTTGGACAGGGAGAATTTTGCTGCGGACGTAGGACAGGAACGAGGGCAGGATGGAGTTATTGTTCTGGAAGAAGGAGCCGGCGCGGGTTTGAAGATGTAGCTGCCGATGTGCTCTGTTGCGAAGGTGTCGTTTTCGGTTGTGTAGAGTTTCTTTTCGCGAATTGTTGTTGGTGGGGCGGATGGGTCGGTGGTGGGCTTGTAGACGTAGTTGTTCACGATCTCGGGGATGTGTGGTGGCTGAGATTGGGATGTGGACTGAAGCGGCAAGCTTCCGAGCTCGAGAGCACCTCCCGGGAATGGCGAGTCAGTCTTCGCGAAGACAGAGTCTGCGTTACCTCCTCCATTAGACTCACCCTTGTCGAAGGTGCGATCCGTTGTTTCGCGTAGCAGTATTGTTGCCCCACGCTTGTAGGTGTCGATTTTCTTGATAGTCTTGGACCTTTCGTGGCGGAGGCCATCTTGGACGATATCTGTGGCGATCGGACAGCTTTCGATGTCCATGGTCTGCCTGAAACCCTTGCGCATAAATCCTATCGGTGGGGGCTTATCGACGCTGAGCCTCTCGCCTTTCCGAGGCCCGTCGAAATGGGGCGTCAGCTTCGTTCGATAGCCATACTGGAGAGGCGACGCGCCGGTGTCGCCTATCGGAGGCACCTGCTCCGGATCGAGACCCGAGAAGTATCGGAAAGCGTTTTCCACAACAGTCTTCTTGTACTTGAGTTGCTCATCGTAAGAGATCATCTGGAACTGGCATCCGCCGCATTGAGCAAAGTATTTGCACTTGGGTTTGGTTCCAGCTCGCAGTTCGGACGGTTCGATAGCCTCCACGAAGTCAGCGTTGGACCAGATGTCTTCCTCCGAGGGCTCGAAAGCTTTGATGTTGACTCGATCTCCCGGAAGAGCAAATGGTATCGCGAAGACATGATCGCGTGCTGGATGGCGAGCGAGGCCGTCGCCCGTGCTTGACAGCTCTTCAACGTAGACCTCAAATACTTGCCGTTCTTGACCTCGTCGCCTTCCTGTGTCGGGCCTCACTTCGCCATGAGAAGTTTCCAGCTCGACTGACGGTGCATCGGTCGGGCGAGGGCGACTTATCAGACCTTTGGCCTCGATGTCGAGCAAGTCCTTGTGGCCGCATTCCGCAAGCGTTGGCGTGAACTTCGAGCTTAACTTCCTACGCTTCTGTACATTCTTGCCGTTGGTCTCGACCGCCTCTCGATCCCTCTTCATCGTCAGGCTAAGTCTTTGAGCCACTACCTCTGAAGATGGGAAGCCAGGTGGGAAGAATTTCTTCTGGGAATCATAGACTTCTCCAAGCTGCCTGTCAAGTTCATGCAACGCTGCTTTCAGATTCGTGTGCCTCTGCGAAAGTGCCCGGTCTGCTTGCCGCCTACTCTTTGACTTTTGTCGAAGTCGCGCAATTCTCCCGAGAAAGTTTTTCCAGATGTCGTTATTCGCCGACCATGCCTGATTCTTAGATCCCCACTTAGATCTCCCCTGGTGCGTGCTGTCCGATACGAGCGCGATGATATTCCGAAGGATCTGCGCTTGGTGCACGGAGACATTCAAGAGAGTCTCGATGCTACCGAATAGTCGACGGCGCTCCAAGGCCAGCTCCGTACTGGCGCGTGACTGCTCCAAGGCCAAACGGTCGATCCGGGCAACCAAGAGTTCGCGGCGCTTTCCCCAGTATCTAAGTTGCTGTGCTGGCGGGCGGCCCAATACCGGCTTCGTCAACGAGTCTGCATGAGATCCGTTCTCCAAAGCTCTTAAGATGGACTGCAAGTATTTTGGTTGCGCGCCTAATTTCTTTTCTTTCACGCGTTCATGTTCATCTCTTGTGGAGCGAAAAAGTGTGAGGGAGTTTATGCCAGTTATGTCTATACGACTGGTTCGTAAAGATTGACTCCGGGCCAAGCTTCGCTGCATCTGCTGTGTGAGAGTCCGATCTTCTACCTGTCCGAAGTGACGGGCTACAAATTTGATGAGCTGTGCGCGTTGTAGGCCGGCATGGAGAAAAGGCAACTTTCGAAGATTTAAATTGCCCTTAACGCCTTGCCAAGACCTCCGTTGAGCCGCTAAGGCAATCAGTGATACGGTTATGTGGCCGTATGTCATCGTGTGTCTGGAGGTATACTAAGCGTCAATAGGGACGCTGCCTTCTACTCTACAACTTGATGCTACGGCCCCCCTTCTCCGCCTCGCGCAGGACTCGTTTGAGAATCTTGCCAGACGGTAGCTTAGGGATGCTCTCACAGAACGAGATTCCTCCTTCTAGTTGCTTGTATCGAGCGAGCCTCTCCTTCATATGCGCATGTATCTCTGACTCGTTCAAAGTTGACCCAGGTCTCCGAACAACGAATGCTTTCGGCAGTTCCACATTATCATCCACCTTCTTCCCTATTACAGCGGCGTCTGTGATGTCTCTATGTTCCAGGAGCACGCCTTCCAACTCTGCTGGCGCGACCTGAAAACCGCGAACTTTGATGAGCTCCTTCACGCGTTCGAGAACATAGAGAAGTCGTGTCTTGTGATCGTACCGGAGGACATCGCCTGTCTTGAAAAATCCGTCTTCGGTCCAACTCTCCCTGGTTGCCTTCTCATTCTGGTAGTAGCCCTTGACGATTGTAGGACCTTTAACCGCAAGCTCGCCTCGTCCACTAGCTGTCACGTCAATGCCAGCCTCGTCGATCAACTTCATCTCGATAAGTGGCAAGTTTCGACCGACTGTACCCACGCCTCGTCCATCTCACCAGCGGACTGCTTCCGCGACACATCCCACGGCACGATAGCGGCCATGGAAGTTGTCTCAGTCATGCCCCAAACTTGACCAAACGTAGCACCAGGGGCAAGGAGTGCCTGGAAACGTTTTTGTGTAGCGCCGTCAAGAGGTGCAGCTCCAACTGTGCCATTCCGAACTGATCTCATGCTGAATTCAGGCTTGTAGGTCTTCGAGTTCTCGTCAGCTAAGCCTGACATGACGATACTCACGACCATTGGTGGGACCATGAAGTATTCTGTGATCTGATAGCGGCTTGTGTACCGCAAAAAACTTTCGAGCTCGAAACGTCGCATCACATATGCTTCTCTGCCCTCTTTCAGTGCACTGACCAGCACCTGTGGAAGTATACCGACGTGGAAGAATGGCATACATAAGATCACCCGATACCTGTAACTTCTCGGATGTGCTTCGTAAAACAGTTGGTGTTCAGCCACGAGGTTCTGGTGCGTGGTCTGGGCGCATTTGGGCAGACCCGTGGTCCCAGACGTGTAGTATAGCTGTGCCACGGTGTCTTTCGCGGTCTGCGCATCGTCGAAACGAATCCAGTCCGCTTCTCCGTGGTCTAGCAAGCCGCGCCACGATTTCAAGGCCTTGTCAGATGGCACTTGCTGTCCTGGAACAGCATCGAAAACGAAGAACCGCTGACCTACATCGACTCCATTGTCCTTGAGCGCGATCAACATGTTGTCCATGATCTCCGGCTCCGCGAAGACGAACTTGACGTTAGCGACTTTGATAGCATGGGACAACTCATGACGCGTATAGGATGGGTTGGTGCCAACGCTTAGACCTCCGGCGCCTATGATGGCCAGGACCAGGAGTGGATATGTAATCGAATTGAAGCTGTGTACGCAAACTGCATCGCCATGTCGGAGACCTGCAGCCCGCAAGCCCGCAATGAGCTGTCGGACCAATTTGCGTGCTGAGGCGTGGGTATAATAGTTAGAAGTGTCCGATGGGTCAATCAGAACGGGTCTGTTGTTGTCATAAGAAGGTTCGTCAAGAGTGAAGCTGACAACATCTTTATGCGAGAGGGGATACGTTCCTGAGCTAGGTAGAGGCATCGCGTTCGTCGAAACGACGCATCAGATTTCACAACGTGACTATCGTAGCACCGCTTCAAAGGCTTCAGCGGCTCATACTCACATATATTCGTCGCAGAGTATGGGAGGACCGCCTGGACCTCATTCGTTGGAGTCTACAGTATAACCGAGGACAACTTTAGCTCGGGGCTTGGTCGCCTCAACGGGAAAAGCATCAGCGACGCTGTAAATTGCATAAGATTGGAGCACATTGATCGTCGCGATACTGCTTAACATTGAGTGTTGCTGCGCGCGGGACACCTACTATCAGTCTCGCTGACCTGAGGGTGGCCTAGCCGGCGTGAAATGGAGCAGGAACGTCAAAGGGCATGGGAACCTTGGCAGCTTGGGAGAAAGCGGCCGCAAGACTAGGCCAGAAGATTTCAGGGTTAGGGTTGCAAACGCGACTTCGAAATCTCGACGCGAGTTGAGTCTGTAAAGCGCGACCCGCAAGTGTTGCTCAGTCGGTCGCAATCTCGAAACGCCCAACACTACAAGCGCGACCGAGTGGCCTTCCATTGTATGCCTAGCCTTACTCTGACACTACGGTTCGCGTCACCATATGCTGCGCTGAGGACTCCTCGCGCCTTCGTGGACGCCACGATGTTCCACCGAGCCGTTAATACTCATGCTGCCAACAAGCCCGTGAGCAGCAGGGTACCCTTCAAGCAACACAACACCAACATTCAGAGTCAGCCACCGACTAAGCGGAAGTTTGATCGCAGTATGAGCACGAACAGCAGTCTTGGCGGTCTACATGATCTTGTCCAGTTCGACGAAAATGACTTCGATGATGTCGTTGATTTTTCAGAAACAATCACACAGAAGCCTGAGGTTCGCTATCCTCGCGTGGACCCTGTGGTCTATCCAGATCTATCGCAGCAAGGCAGTGCCTCGTCCGTGCCCAAACACCCGGCCAGCAGTGCACCCGTGCCATGGTCGTCTTCTCCCGCCGCCCACTTCGAAGCCCCATCCCGACCGCCACCACCACCGTCGCCAAAACTAGATCGCCCACACAAACGCAAGAAGCTGCCATGGGGCAACAAAGTAGACGAGGAAATCAAACCCATATTACCAGAGAATAAGGAGAACGTGCGCTATGCCTGGAATATGTCAGCCTCAGAAGTCAAGGACGAGCAGAAGGAGTTTCGGAAGCAAAATCGAGTCCAGGTGGCCGTCTCGACCAAGACTGAACCTAGACCATTCACGACCATCACGAAAGAAATGTTGAGCCCGGAGCAGCAGACTGTATCCAAAGCCGTCATCACTGACGGCAAGAGCGTCTTCTTCACAGGTTCTGCCGGCACAGGCAAGTCAGTTCTCATGCGATCGATCATTGCCCAGTTTCGAAATAAATTCCGCAAAGATGTTGATCGCCTCGCCATCACGGCTTCGACGGGTCTCGCGGCCTGTGTCATTGAGGGTCAGACACTGCACAGCTGGGCTGGCATCGGTCTCGGCAAAGAGCCTGTTCCAGAACTTGTCAAGAAAATCAAGCGCAATGCCAAAACCCGACAAAAATGGTTGCGCACTAAAGTCCTGGTCGTCGATGAAATCTCAATGGTCGATGGGGACTTATTCGACAAGCTCGAACAGATCGCCCGCATGATACGTAACAATGGACGACCATTTGGTGGTATTCAGCTTGTGGTCACTGGTGATTTCTTCCAGCTCCCGCCCGTGCCGGAGAAGAACACTGTGGCCAAGTTCGCGTTTGATGCCTCAACATGGACGACTTGCATTGAACACACGATCCTGCTTACGCATGTGTTTCGTCAGAAGGATCCTGTCTTCGCTGAAATGCTAAACGAAATGCGTCTCGGCAAGATCAGCCCAGCTACGGTAGCAAACTTTCAGCGTCTGTCTCGGCCTCTGAAGTTTGAGGATGAGATGGAGGCCACTGAGCTGTGAGTGCCCTTGTATCTGCGCGGCGACTAAACTGATCATTTACAGATTCCCTACTCGAATGGAAGTCGATGGCGCCAACGCTAATCGTATGAGAAATCTGTCTGGTCGGGACATGGTCTTCGATGCGGTTGACAGCGGAGTGTCCGATCTTAATGTGCGGAACAAAATGCTGGCCAACTTTATGGCTCCTCAGAAATTGATTCTCAAGAAAGGCGCTCAAGTTATGCTGATCAAGAACATTGACAATGCGTTGGTCAACGGATCGCTAGGGAAAGTTATGGCCTTCATGGACGAGGGCTCTTTCGCCACGTACAAGGACGACGAGGAGACCTTCTTGAAAGCCCAGGAGCCTGACAATGGGAGTGACGACGAGGGCAAGGCTGCTGCACGAGCCAAGATCAAGCAGGCGCGTCTCAAACAGGGCCCTGTCGACTCACAGCAAGGCATGTACTGGCCCATGGTCAGATTCGCCTTGCCAGACGGTACCTACAGATCATTGCTGTGTCAGCCCGAGGAATGGAAGACCGAGAACCAGCAAGGCGAGATCACAGCGAAGAGATCACAGGTCCCCTTGATTCTTGCTTGGGCTTTGTCGATCCATAAGGCGCAAGGTCAGACACTGAGCCGTGTGAAGGTCGATCTGGGAAAGGTCTTCGAGCGTGGCCAGGCATACGTCGCTCTGTCTAGAGCCACCAGCCAGGATGGTCTCGAGGTGAAGCGCTTTGACCCCAGGAAAGTCATGGTGCATCCGAAGGTGATTGATTTCTACCAGCAGCTGGGCAGTGCGGATACTCTCCTTACGAAGCGCGACGCTCCACGGCCAAACCACTTCCAGCGCAAGAAGTCTGACGAGGATGAGGAGCTGGCGTACATGAACGCTTAGGCATGTTCGTCTTGTGGGCAGGTCGCCGGTGCCGCGAGCCTACAGTGAAGGGGGGGACGCCGATGTTTCCAGAGATTGGTGCAACTCCACGGTGCCCGTCTACAGCGGTAATGCGGTTTTTCCAATATGGACGACGAAACGATCGAACAGGGAGCGGAGAGCACATCTGGGGGAGATGGTCATACTAACAAGCGACCCGAGGTCCATCGCGCCAGAGCGATCAGCGCCTCAGGATTCTTCGACTTTCCAGAGCGATGTCTGATCCCGGGACCACAGACAGCTTAGGAAAGCATTGACACAAGACGTGTGGAAACGATGGCTGTGTTTGTGATGTATTCGCACAGCCATCTTCCTTGTACCGAGTATTCGTTCATAGCCTAGCGATTCCGGCATAGACTAGTCATTGACCATGCACATGAACAATTCTTCAACCTTGCACCTAGCTAGGAGACAATCCAGAGCCCGCGGCAGCAGACTCGCCGTGTAGCGCCATTACGTTGATTCCAATATCCCAAAAATCCCTAAATCACGACTGTGAAATCATCTTTGTCCATCGTCTCTCGCCTCATCAAGACATATACTGCTCCGAACTGCACCCGAATGGACTGCCTACTTTCTTGCTGGCATACCTATCCGCAATGTCTTTCGCAGATGCGTACGCGCCGCATCCCAAGATCGCCACGCCCATGACAAAGATAGAGGCGTTGATAATGCTCAGACAGATGTTCTTCCATCCATGATTCCACTTCCCCTCCTTGAGTAGACAGAACCAGAAGAGTGCCGGGAAGTAGAAGCTGAACCCGCTAATGAACAAACTGGAGATCAACCCAAGAAGGTCGTTGAAGAAGGGAACTGCTTCGGCGATGACCCACGCGATGACCGTTGCGATCAGGCAGAATGATGCCCAGACGATCCAGCCCATTGGCGTGTTGGTGTAGCGGATTGCGTTGTCCTTGGGGAAGATGCGGTGGATCAGGTAGCGGCAGGCGACAGTAGTGTTGATGCTGCCCGAGATGAAGATGACCGGAAGTGCGATCCCGAATGCTACGCGCGAGACGGTGAAGCCTGCTGATAGTATCGCTGGGCTTTCGACTTCGTTGCCGACAAAGACATAGACCAGGGCGCCGGTAAGAGTGTAGATGAAGATCTCGATGAGACCGAGTGCCCAGATGGACTTGACGTAGTCCTTGGGCGTGTGCATCTCGGACATGAAGCTGAATTGACACACGGCGAAGCTGTAGGCGAATATGATGTTCGTACACGAAAGGAAAGCGCTCGCGAAGGTAACACCCTCGGGTGGCCAAACTGACCATTCGACAGCGCTGAGGCCGCCTGGGCTTTGGCTGGCGGAAACACCAGTTGCGACGATGGTGATTCCGATTGCGATGATGATGCTGGCGAAGTCGATATAGCCGAGGATCGCGAATTCTGCGAAGGATGGCGGCAAGGCAAGAATGTAGAGCAGGATTGCTGATACACCGCCCCAGATTAGAGCGCAGAGGGTGGGCTTGTTGACGATGCGGATGAAGGCGATCGTGCCAGTGAGGGTGTGGCCACCAACAAGGAGGATGAGGAGAAGCAGAAACATCACACCAGCTAATTCTTTGCCAAAACGCCCCCAACACAATCCGACGGCATCTGAGTAATGTTCAATTTCGGGGTGCCTGAGCTTGACTTGCCCAACCTGGATACGCCATTAGTTTCTTCTCGTGGTTTCGACCATGGTCAGTAAGGCCACTCACCAAGTAGGAGGTGTAGATGGCGATAAGACCAAGCCCAACGCAAAGAATCACACCAGCGACAAGGCCCGTCTCAGCGAAGACACTGGGAATGCTGAGACTTCCTAGAGCGATGGCCTCGACGATTAGGCAGATCGTAAGCTTCTTCCAACTTAGACGTTTGTACTTGGCTTCGCCTTCAGAGATACTCGCTGATCTTTGTTTTCCGAATTGGCCATCACTTCCGCGCTTAGATTCAATCTTTTTCTCATCGTGATCCAGAGCCTGATGTCGATTGTCACCATCGGTGGCCGTGACCGAACTACTGTCGGACTTTTTGCGAAAGAGACCCATTGTGGCCTGATTTAGCTCTGTAGCTGTTTGGGGATACCTCTGTAGATTGATCTATGGCTGAGCAGATATATGTCTTAGAAAGGATGTTGATATATTCTACTCAGAACCCGTGCGATTCCTGAAGAAAGAAGGATCGGAATGGCCTTTTGATAGAAGGTGTTTCTTGTGGAAGGTACTCCTCGCTAGTGGTACTTGCTCCCACCAGGGACCAACTCGCTGCAGTCATTATCATTGTTTTCTCAAGCTGATAGCCTATGGACCACCGTCATTAAACTCAAATGAAGCCAGATGGATGCCTTTCCCGGCTCGCTGTAGCACATATGCATGTAGCCCGTTGTCACACGGCCTGGACGGCACGCGATAATGCATACTGAGGTCAGCCGTTCCGATCTGTCTATGCAGATCGATACGCGTGGTAACGATCACAGCAAACCTAACTGCAACATTCTGGGGAAGTAGGCGATAAGATGACGTTGAGAGACGGATCTTTTGATGCGACGCCACAAGCGTTCTTGCATCAGCGAATCGAGAAAGCTTGACTCCGAGAGTCCACCTCTTAGCGCGGTCAAGCTTCCGCTTAACGGAGCTTGTTGATTATGGTCAATCTTGTGATTGGTAGGGACGGCACGAACAATGGCGTTGACAGGCGAGGCTCCGACGGGCAAGTCCAACAGACAGATCTTACGGGGACGATGGTGCGACAGAGAATGATGCTAAGGCGTATGATCAGGCCGCTGATAAGCGGTTAATTAACACCCTGTACTGGTTGAGGTGGCTAGGGCGCAGCACTCTGGAAGACGATAGAATATAATCACGCGTGGAGTATGCCACTGGCTGAACATTACAAGTCTGATTGGTGAACAGCATTATGTAGTCTATGATATTCAAATGATCTATACTATACTACCGCTATGCAGAATGGTCGTCAAATGCGGATTGTCATGGTCGATAGAAGTCGTTCTTCTCGTGTGTTGGCTGCTTGCGGGCGATATGTTGCCGGCCTGCAGATGAGCTGCTCCATAGCCCCAGTGCCTGGGCAGCTGTGCCTCTCCCTAGTTCGATAGTGCCTGAATCAATAGCAGGTCGTCCAAGGTCGTCAAGCATGTCCCAAAGCGATCTCCTCTTCCTACGAGTGGTAGTCGTACCGTTCCCACTGCCTGTGTCCTCGGTCGGACAATCAACGAATTGTACTATCCGCAACGAAACTGGGGAGCATTGAGCCGCCCAGTTGCGATCGTACAGGTTGTAAAAGTCTCCACTGAGACATTGCCAGAAGACTGTGCTGTTGCCCAAGGCCAATGTTCCGTTCGAGCACACACTCCAGCCAGAAGTGTAAATCGCCTCTGATTGCGGAGGACCGTCAAACTGAAACTGATAGTTGCTTGCGATGTACCCTGTTCTCCCAAGGGCATCGGTTAAGATAGAGTCAGAGAGGTGTAGCTGCAAAGAGGAGTTGCTGCGGCAGGATACCATATCGTAGCCATCAGTGTCGGAGCTGGTAGAGTTGCTAGAGGAGGTGCTGGATGGTGAAGGCGTAGTTGTGGGCACGGCAGAAGCTGTGCTCATATCAGCTGAGGGGGACGCTATAGTCGCGTCGACAGTGTTCGTTGCGGCAGGTGAGACGTCGCCAGTGGTAAGTGATGTTGTCGTTGTGGGCGGAGTGTAGTTCTCGGGAGCATAGGTGACGCGTTGGTTCTGGATCTGGCCGTCCCCTATCTGATTGATCGGCATCATTGTCAGGGTGTGCAGACCACCTTGAATTTGGCCATCTCCGATTTGCGCGATCTGAGCCACAGTGATCGGAGGTGGGGGCGGTGTCGATGCTGGAGCCGGAGGATCCTCCTCACAACTGCATCTTCTGGTCGGGGCGGCAGTTGGTGCTGCAACCTGGGTGCTGGTACAGGATGGTCGTGCCTGGCTTGCCCACGACCCATCAGCATCGTCCCAACCGCCAGAGCCACCTGGGCCACCTGGACCACCTGGACCCCATCTGCGTCTGGCAGAGCCGCTGCCGTCGTCACTGGCTGTGAGGTTCTGCACTGCAATGCCGAAGATGCCCGAGTATGAGTTGCTGCAGGATGGTGGTGGAGATGCTGGAGGGGCGATGGCGTCTGTGACTGCTTGCCTGGGAACCAAAAGTGGTGAAGCGGCGACCAAATTGAATAACAGTGATGCTGATATGAAGCTGTGCATGTTAGTTGTTGATTAGTCGATGTTTCGGCAAGTTGATGACAGGTGGAAAGGGGCATGGCTTCGAAGGGAGTCATGATATATTCTATCTATCACTCCTGTCGCTGGGCATTCTCAGCGTGTCGGTATGTCTTGCCATCTCAAAGATGACGAGGTTGGGTTGGGCTGCACCGGCGACACGGAATGCTCAAAAGTTTCAGGCGGCGAGGGTGGTCCGTGTACACATCACCAGGAATGTTAGCCTTGTTCTTGGCAAATTTTCCGTCCATGCTCCCCAACATATGACTCCACCTACGCCTTGCAATGCTTCCAGGGTGTGCTTCTTGCAGACTGCATGCGATTTTGATGAATCACAAATTCGTCAGATAGTCCTCGATCTCCTCTTTGCTGAGTTTTCGGAATCTTGGGCCAACTGCGCCATCCACACCTTCGTAGCCGAGGAGGTGGTTCGACGGATCGCCAACCACTGCGATGTCTACTGTGTCGCCGTTCATTTCGCCCTCAATTGTCTCCTTGAGCGTTAGTAGTGCGATATGAATGGCGTCCTGCCACTGTTAGTTGTCGTCACGTTTCAACATGGGATGTCCGCACCTCAAGCTCCAGGTTCTCATTATACCGCTTCTCGAGGAACGTTTTCGCCGAAGTTGAGCTCTTGCCAATCGCAGTAGCCTTCCAAGGGAAATAGCTGCCGCTAGGATCGACTTGGTACAGACTGGGACCGCCTTTGAGGATGCCACCGGTCTTTCTTGAAGCAAGCTTCTTCTCGGCTTCTGTCTCGCCCTCTTTGGCTTCCTCGGTCTCTGGCTCAATGCCATCGTCCCAACCAGCAATCAGTAGACTAACGCCATATGGCCGCACGCCACCGCTCTGTGTTGCTTCTTGCATTACTCGTGCGACGTCTTGTACGAGGATTCGAGTGGGAGGGTATTCGTTGTAGATTCGCTTGTAGTTCGTATGACTGACTTTCCGCGCCTTGTCGACGAGCACTCTGTAGTCCGGGCCCATTCCTGAATATACCATGCCGATGTTCGGTGTGATAAGAGAGACTTTGGATAATGAGGGAGCATCGATCAAGGGTGATGATGATTTCTTCTCTGTCGCAAGCACGATGCCATTTGTCGCTTTGATGCCCAGGGATGTCACTCCCTGATTCACAGCGTTCAGAGCATATTCTGCGACAGGGTCAGCGTGGACTCCGGCGCACTTAGAAAGATAGCCACATACCGATCTGTACAAGCTTGCCGCTGACAAGTCGTTAGCTACTATTTCCCCATACCGTCTTCTCGGATGCATACCTTGGGGAGAAAGTCGTGAGGGAGAACGAGTATCGGTCGGCCATGTTAGGAGATGTGGCAGGTCAGCAAAGGGATAATGCTGAAAGGGACGGTGATTGCAGGAGACAGTCGGGGATTTCAGCGGGCTCATCGTCAATGATGGCTCTGAGGCAGCACTTTCCATGCGCGTACGCGACTCCGATTGGAGAAGCTTTTGGCTCGTATGGTGCTCCGTACTCGCTGCCTCAGAACTGCATGGCTGTCTGGGACAAGGCGCCCTCGTTTCTCAAAGCGACGCTACACGTGCCGCTGCTTTGACCACCTGTCACCACGTTCATGCGTCGGTACAATTAGCGTCGTGAAAGATCTGATGGGGTCGCTGCTTCGTCGAAGTCGACGAGAGCTGCGACGATCCGGCTCGAATTCGGCGCATCTCAATTTCACTCGACAGTGACTGTCTACGACCACCGCTATTCCTGCAGCGAGGGCTTCTGAAGCCGGCATACAAAGCATCCTTGGTCCCAGCGCCTACCAAAGGACTGTTTTGGAATAGAGTTGCTCGTCATATCTGCGATATGGCTACTGTCGACGAAGAGTCCGTACCAGGAGCATTCGAGGAAGATGCAGCAGAGACCGATCCGCAACCAACGCCAACCACTGCGCCTGACGACTCTGGATCTGTCCCTGTCGACCAATATCCTGGCTGGGCATATCCTACACGCATGTGCCGAATATGTAGGGAAGATGTGGTGCCCAAAGTCACTATGTATCCTCCCGGCATACCTCTGAGATATCAAAGACCAGTGGCAGAATACAGCAATGATGACGAGTATGGGCGACTCATCCGGCCGTGCAAGTGTCAGGGATCAATGCGATACATACACGAGCTGTGTCTACAGCGATCAAGAACAGAGGGAGTGCGCCCAGGGTCGTTATGGAAGTGTCCAACTTGCGGCTATCAATTCAACTTCCAGAAGCTCTCATTCCAGCGCTATCTCGGCAACAAGCTCTTTGCCAGCGTGCTTACCGTGTTTGTCATGATCCTCTTCATGTTTCTCCTGGGGTTTGTCGCCGATCCTATCATCAATCTGTATGTTGACCCCTACGACACAATCGTTGGCAACGAGCCATACTGGTCGGAGGTCGACGTCATGACACGCTCAAGCAGCATCTCTGGATGGAGCCTTCATTTCACAAAAGGCATGATCTCCATGGGCTTGGTCGGGTTCATTAAGACGATGTTACTGAACCCTTTCAACTACCTCAACATAAGGCAGACGGGCTTCGCTGGTACACGCAGAGCAGGCGCCGCGACCACTGGCCGTGATCGAGCCGTTAATGTCAGCTGGATCGCGGTCGTCATTGGCATAACCTCAGCATTTTACTTCTTCTACAAATGGGTGCAAACAATCATCAAGCACACCCTGCAAAGAATTGGTAACCATGTCGTTGATACGTCGCTGCCTGGCGACGATGACGACCTGAAACCGCCACCTGATTGGCAGAAGCCCAAAGACACGGCAAGAAGTCAGGACGATCTTGTGGCCGAGGCCTTATTCGGCAGTGATACTGCTGCGAGTCCTGCCAACCCTCCTGTACCAGACACATCTGACGTTAAGACTGAAACTGAACAAGAGGCTGGAACAGTGGCAGACGGCTTCGGAGAGGATCTTGGGAATGGTTCCACGAGATCTGCTGATCATGGCCTAAGCAGTGCCCTCGAACAAGACTGGTCCTTCGTCGGCATACCTCGCCAGCGCTAGGGGTTGTACTACAATGGTATACGTTAATTTGCACATCCAAGATCGAGCACAGTCCACGAGATCATTCTGTCGATGTAGCATCTCCCAGAGCGGATTTTCTGACAACATACTTACAATAGGTAATTAGTTCTGGAACACTGACTACACTTCGGTTCGAATGCCTGGCCGCCGAGCTGATTGGCGTGGTCCGAAATCGGACTCCTTTAGAAATGGAAGCAAGTCTGGAATACTTGTTCTGATGTCCAGGAGATCGATGAGGACTGGCCGAAATGCTTGAGGTAAGCTTTGTGGGGATCAACTCGGGGCGTTGTCTTGATAACAGCATGGACGAGTCTTGTGATTTTCATCACTGCGTCTTCCTGAGCCGGCTCAGGAAGACAATCATCCTCCTCGTCTCTACCTGTTGTACCTCTACCGCTCGCAGTAAATGGATCGCCCAAACTTAAGTTGTCACTTTCTTTGCTCCGTGGAGTGCCAATTAGTCAATGCGCGAAGAATAACCCACGGTTTATCCTGGCGACGGAAGTCATTCTGACGACTTGAGCTCATCGGACGACTGCATGGCCTCTATCAACATCATCATGGACTTGCCCATTTTCCAACGACAAGGCCTCGCATGTTTGAGTTGGCATATCTTCGACTGTGAATTGCCACATGCTGGAAAGCGGCTGCTCAGGAGAAATTAAGGTCATGATGACACTTAGGTCAGGAAAGAGCAATGAAGTAGTGACTGCTAATTGCACCATTTGTGCCTCAACCATGGAAAGAACATCAGGTCACCTGTCACTCTAGCTTGCTAAATCCCTTATCACACACTTCCTGCCATGATCCAATCCACCTGCGAACGGCTTCATCTGAATTGAACCTCCAACCCTGACCCTGACACGCAGAAACAGCTGCCCATCATGGCATCCTTACCACCAGGTGCATCACCTTTGATACTGACACAGGAGGAGCTCCTTTCAGTGTCATTGAAGTATCCAGAAATCAACTTCGACTCCATTGACGCGGCGATGGGCACGGCGGCTACCAAACCAAGCGAAGATGACTCGACCAGTCGCACTTCGCCAGACACAAAATCGGCACCAGACACCGTCGAATCGTCGCCATCCTCTCATCATGACAATGACAACGACGAGAGCCGCATCACTGACTCCACTGCCCGAACAACACCACTCAAGCATCTCATGTTCAGAGAGCCCATTCCGCAGACCAATCCTTACAAAGAGTACTTAGGTGAAGTGGATCGTAGCGACCTCCCGGATGCTACCAAGTCATATTTGCGGTGCTTGGCTTCTGAGATGGTGCGAATCGGAGCCCTGTTGCGCGAGAACTTCGAGAATACTGAGACCGACGATGAGGGAAGCAAGTTGATTGATGAGGGAATTTCCAGACTTGTCAAGATGGTGCAGACTTCCGCGAAGAACTGTAACGACCAAACCTCAACCATAACATGGCTCACCGGGCTCGCCATCTTCGCCGTTGTTCCTACAGATGTTGCGCTCTGGTCAGTGTATCGTCAGCGAGTCATTTTGACCACGAAGTAAGCGAAACGCGGCACTTTCCTATCAGAGCTTTTACTTTTCTGGCAATTATGGAGACTGACCACTCACAGGTACCTCAATGCCCCATCCATGACCGAATTCAACCTCATCAAACTCCTCCCGCAGATCTACGACGCCTACATCCACTCTGACTTCCTCCACTACATCCGCCGCTCCGTCCACTTCCGCTCTGCCTTCTCCTCCGGCATCAATGACCTTACAACCGCTGTCCACGGCTTTCCCACCGCATACCGTCAGTGGTTCATGACGATGACCTCGTACTGCAGCACCTACATGTCACCCCTCCTTGTCCGCATTCAGGAGTCCGCCTGGGTGAAGCGCGAGATCGAGCAGTCGGAACTGAGTCTGGCCACGGCGAAGACGAGTTTGGAGAAGAGACATGCCAGTGGGGAGATTGCGCAGGTATTGAAGGAGGATCAAGTGCGTGGTGTGAAGATCTTGGCTGATGGACGAAGTCGCAGCTCGGTCGTGCCTACGGATGGTGATGCTAGCGAGGAGGGCACTGAGCATCTGGCGGAGCAGTTGGTTGATGGCGACAAGCCGTCTGTGAAGCGAAGTGGCTCGAGCCGGACGGGAGCTAGGGTTAGACGCGAACACACCATGTGAAAGGACAACAAGTCGCACTAGGGAGGACTTCAGCAGGGCTGTGGACTAAGCAGACACACTGGGTAGACTGTAAATTCAGTCTGATTCGAAGTCGGCCTCGAAGGTAGCAACAGGAACTTGAGAGGATGAAATTGTCAGTCTTCATTCTAATCTTTATTGAGCCGTCTTCGCATCTCATTGACGCACGTATGCGAAAAGTCTTCCATCACCAAGGCTCCTGTTGACCCCGGAGGGCTGCGACTCGAGGGTGTATCTTGACCTTTGAACATCTGACAACCCTGGAGATAGTCATACCAGGGAACTTTATGATCACCTAAGTCATCTCCACATCATTCGCACCATCCGTGCCGCCACCCACAGTCTCAGCTGTAGCAACCGCACCAATCTCCTCACGCTGCTCCTTCGCCCAAGCAATAAACTCATCGATCGCCATCGGCCACGCACCATCCTCTTTGTACCACTCCAGCTTCTCGCCATCGCGCTCGATCGTCTTCAGCATGAGCTCCCCAACCATGTTCCACAAATCCTTGTTGACAGGCCGCTTGTGCTGCGAGTTGTAGAACTCAATCCACAAATCCAACCACGGAGTGTTGGGCGAGGTAGGCGTCTTCCAATCAATCCCACCAGTAGAAGCCTGGAAAAACATACGCCAGAACTCAACCGCCGCATCAGTCGGCACAGAGCGCTGGCCTTCTGGCTTAGCGAACTGGAAACTCGCGCGGTAGATCTTCTTGAAGTACACGGGGTCGGTCTTGAGTTGCTTGCGGAGAGTGGTGAGGTAGGCGGCTTGCTTGGCGAGGGTGTCGAGGGGCTTGGAGGATTCTTTCGAGGCGTCGGACCAGCCCGTGATAAAATTCTCGCGGGTGAATTCGCCGAGGGTGGGGCAGGAGAGGAAGTCTGAAAGGGCGAGGACGACGGGCTCGTCGAGGGCGACGTTGAGGTCGTTGAGGTAGCGCATGGCGTCTTCGATTGTGATTGTATCTTTTTGGTCTTTACCTAATCTATCGTCAGAAGGGCGATGACTCAGGGAACGCGGGTCCTCACTTCGGTATTTGTCGAAGACTTGGCTGACGGCTACCGAGAGGGGGGAATCTCCTGATATGTTGCCGTAGAACCTGGGTACAATATGGTTAGCAAGGTCGCGGGCATTGTCTGACATGCAACGAACTCCATCTTCTTTGGTGGCGCTTTTGGCTTTTTGACGCGATGTGTTTTGGAGGAAGACATTTTTGGGGTGTTGTCGAAGCAATAGTCTGGAGATGTAAGACTTCTCGGCAATACTGGCGTAGATGAGTAGCGTAGATGAGTAGCGTGATAAATAACAGAGTCTCCGTAATCCTTAGAGGCTGCGGATTCTCCGAATACAGTTGCAGTTGCCAGGCAGGTACACCCAGGGCAGTTCCTTTCATGTGAAGATCTTGGGGGAAGTGGATTCAAAGTGAAGGTGCACTCAATGAATCTCCTCACTGCCTGTGCAAGTCCTTTGCCGACTCAGGGTTCTCACCCTTGGAGGCACACACCCGAGGCCACTCGTATCGGTCCAGCTATCCTCAAACGACGGGATTGCACTGCAGATTGAATTCGATGGGCAAAGCAAACACCGCCACTAGTGACACGACGAAGGAGGAGACCTACACATCTATTGCTCTCTCGACATTCCAATCTTGATTCTTCAGGTGTTTCGCCGCTATGCTCTCTTTCGCTTGGGTAAAGCTGCAGAACTGTGTTATCATAGCCCGCTGGCTAGATGTGTAAGGCGCCATCGTGGCCGCCCCGCTGAGAGACAATCGACAGCCAAATTCGAAGTAGCGGTGGTGTAAAAGTTGTCTTCGTTTCGGAGATCGCTTTTTGAAGTAAGCGATCAATGGCCGCGAAGTACTGATGTTACCCGGACGCGACAACGGAGGATACCAAGATCATCGGTGATGGCGATGGGGTCTTGATGGCAAGGCAATCGGGCAGAAACGAGGCAGTCGTGCTGAGCCGGCGGAACAAATTGATGCTATCTCCGGGGTATGTCTTCGTGCTATACTTGCACCTCATGATGCTGGCTACCTACGCAAATTTGATCAGCGTGCATGATGATGAAGTGAGAGAAAGCACAAAGCAAGAGACTGTGCTCTGGTGTGCTTTGATTTCTGCCTCTATGTCGTAAATTAGAAGCTATGGATATGTATTCACTTTGCGTGTGGTGTTGCCGCAATGGGTTCTTAGGTCGCTGTCCATATGTGGGCACCCAAGACTATCTGAAGGCCTGCATTGTATGCCGTGTCTGGCTTCAGGGTTTGATGGATCAAGGCTCATGGCCAAGTGCTCCGCTTAACCGCAGCTAGGCATATCAATATCTGGGCGGCGGAGGAGCACCGTAACCACCTTGTTGACCACCATAGCCACCTTGAGGAGGACCTCCGTAGCCGCCCTGTTGACCGCCATATCCGCCTTGCTGAGGAGGACCGCCATAGCCACCCTGCTGGCCACCATATCCACCCTGAGGAGGACCACCGTATCCGCCTTGCTGGGGAGGACCGCCATAACCGCCTTGTGGGGGCCCGCCGTATCCACCTTGCTGAGGAGGACGCGGAGCATTACTCTTCTCGTCCTTGGAGTCGTATGAGGAGTCGATCGCGCCGAGGAGAAGCTTGATGAGCCACAACTCAGGTGTGAGATTAACAGGAGGATTGGCGCGTGACATCTCGTCAGCCTCGACTTCGTAGTCTGATCTTTGTTAGCCTCGTCTTCCACGTGCATTCTCGCTATCTAGACTTACTTGATGTGCAATCAATGATATCACCAATCGTCGGCTCCTCATCGAGCTTGCTCAGAAATTCCCGAGCTTTGAGATCGTTTCCGACCTGGGCAAACTGGAATGCCAGAGCGCCTTTGCCAAAGCGAGATCTCTCCAGCTCCATGCTGGCGTTCTTGATGATCTTAGCAACGTCCGATGGTGACTCGCCCGTCGGCTGGCCGTCGGTAATTGTGATGATGAGAATGGGTTTGCGGAGTTGACCGTTACGGGCAGACTGCAGCACTAGTGGACCAAGGATTTTGTTCTGCAACTCCCGACCCATCGGAGTCAGGCCAGAGAACTTAGTGTTGGCGACCATCTGGTTGACCTGTTGTTCATTTCTGATGCCGTTGCCCTGCTCGGGAGAGTTCATGAACCGAATCTGAATACCATCTTCGTCGAACAGTGAAGTGGCGAAGGCAACGCGACCGAGGATCAGCTTCAGATCATCAATCCGCTCACCATTCTCCTCGAATGCCATGGAGCCACTGTCGTCGATGTAAAGGATAACGTCGTACAGGGCGAGCTTGACGATATCGGATGCAATCTCACTGTTGATACGCCATTGTGATGCGAGCTGCGCGACCTGTTGAGGCGCTCTGGATGCGATCTGATCAAGTGCAGGCGAGCCAGGAGGGTAGAATGCTTGAAGGCCCTTCTCGCGCACAGCGGCTTCCATCAACTGCTTGTATGCACCAGCGTTGCCAGCTGGAGGGGCACCACCTTGTGGGGGACCACCGTAGCCACCCTGCGGACCACCCTGCTGCGGAGGGCCGCCATACCCACCTTGGGGACCACCTTGTGGCGGGCCACCTGGGTACCCTTGGCCACCGGGAGGACCTTGGCCCTACGAAAAGTTAAGTCAGTACAAATCTTTCGTCACGGTATGAAGCAAACGCGCGAAACACGAACATAGTTCTGCTGCTGATATGATTGTTGGCCAGGATATTGCGATTGCTGCGGCGGCCTTCCTTGGCCTGGGTATTGCGAATTATGGGATTGATATGCGGGTTGTGGTGAATTAGGATATGGTGACCCGTAGCCTTGCTGTTGGCCGTATTGTGGCTGCTGACCATACTGTGATTGCTGGTTATAACCCTGCTGTTGCGGCTGGTAGCCCTGTTGCTGACCGCCGTACATGTTCTGCTGTGGTTGCTGATACCCAGGCTGAGGAGATGCGCTCGGTCGAGGTGGGACTGGGGGACCTTGAGGATATGCTGAAATCGAGTTCGGCGACCATGGCGGCTGCGATGGTTGTTGTGGTTGTTGGGAAGGTGCGCTTGGATATGGTGCGCTTCCGCCTGGCGCGGCTTGTGCTAATCTCGAGAACTTGCTCATGAATATGGATACCGAAGAATGCTTAGAACTTCTTGCGAGAGAATGTAGGAAGTCTGAGCGGTCGTAGGCGTACTTCAGAGTGCTGCGTTTGTGGCGTGGAGATTATCGACAAACCGTGGCAAGAGCGACTTGACTTCGAGGTGAATCCGGCAATCGACGTCACACATGCGACATAAATTCACCGCAGCAAAGATTCACAATTGTGGCTGAAGGATTCGCTAGGGTAGGGGCGGTGCTCCAGCAGCACCTGTCACTTGATAAACTTACAGGACGTTGCTGACCAGGACCACTGCCTGGGTAGGGTTGATACTGTTGCTGTTGACCCGGCTAACGCGGATGTTTAGACAATGCTTGGTTCATCATCGGACCATGACTTACATAGCCACCAGGCTGACCTCCTTGAGGCTGTCCAGCTTGCAGATTCGGGGGAGGACCACCAGCGCCAGGACCGCCTGGATAGGGTGCACCTTGGGAGGCGGCCAACTTCGATGCCAACTGTTACGCGTCATCAGCGGGAATTCCAAGAACGACTCGCAGTGTGCCTTGTGTGGCGGGGTATGCCCATGGAATGAGGGGCAATCCTCGGGAACAACTTACACCCATGACTGTAAGATTCGAGGAGTTCTACTTCGTTGCAACGAGAGTGAGAAAGTAGTGTTCGTGAGACTGAACTTTCGCCGGGAAGATGCTCTTCAAGTAAGCCTATAAATTGCACGACTTGTCAAGAAGCGCTGCTATGTGAAGATGCAACTAGCGCGTCATAGTGGAGTAAACTGAGCCCTGCGGCGCAGCAGACGGGATGCAGGAACAGTGACCAGCGTGCAAGGTTGATTCCAATGACCTCGTATACCCGCAATGGACTTGCTGCACGCTCGTCAATCACGCTCAAGCCTGAAGAATCCACTGGATCAGGCTTGTTACAGCGCGCAGTCGAGCTTTTTGTGCAATGACCGTGCTTCAAAGATGCTTCAATTGCAATGAAACTGATTACAGATCCTTGACAACGTCGCTGAAGCTCAAGCCGCCCTACAAGGCAAAATATCGATCGGGAGACACAAGTGAAACGCATCTCGCGATTTCTGTCTGCTTGTAGCTGATCGACAGAACGGAGCTTGATGTGACCCTCAGCCCTACGTCCGAGTCCACACCTGCGTAACCATCAAACAATCTCAGATTCGCTTTCGATACGTTGCTCGCATCTATGCTGTCCAAAAGGTCAGGATCATATGCCAAGTTCTTCATGATGGCCGTGGTCAGGCCTTGCGCATCGTCTGGCTCCTCCCGATCTCTCGCTCAGCTCTAGATTCGTCCCTCAACGCTCAGAAGTCCTTCATAACCCTGACTCGATTTAGCCTCGCCTGCTGACTGACCGCAATGTTGGGCGCCATGCCTTCAAACGCGTGCGGCACTCCAGGGTACAAATGGAATTCCAACGGCACATCCGCTTGGGCCAGCTTCGTCGCGTACTCCATATCCTCAATCTTGAACAGATCCAACTCCCCAATGTCCATGTACGTCTTCGGCAGACCCTTCAACTGCTCGACCGTAGCTCTGTTCGGCGCAGCGAAGATGGGCACCTTGTTGAGCGACTGCTCTGATCCAACAGCGTCTTTGCCCAGGTAGGCGGTCCAGCCGGTGATGTTGGAGACGTTGTTCCAGGTCGCAAATGGATCCAGCCCCTGGTTCGGGTGGAGGTTGCGGTCGTCTAGCATTGGGTAGATCAAGATCTGTTTTGCGAGTGGTGGGGACAATTTTCGTTCTTTGGCCAGAAGTGCGGTCCCGGCGGCTAGATTTCCACCAGCGGACTCGCCCATCACGGCGACTCGCGTTGGATCGATGTTGAAGCGTTCTGCGTTGTCATGCACCCATTTGAGCCCAGCGAAGCAATCTTCCACGGGACCCGGGTAAGGGCATTCAGGCGCCTTACGGTAGTTGACCGAGAAGATCTGGCGGCCAGTCTGGGCACAATTCAGGGCGATGCCTGGGGCGAACATCGCGACTGAGCCGGCGATCAGGCCGCCGCCATGATAGTGGACGATAGCCGGCTGTGGCGCCTTGTTGGTCTTTGCTGCTTCCGTGGACGCCATGTCGAAGGTGTGCGTAACCTCGATATCGGCGCCGTCATAGGACTTGAAAGTGTATAGGTCCTGTTTGATGCCGTCGGGGAAAGGGATCTGGCGGGAGTCTTGGGTGAAGAGGCTGGCGACATTGTTTCGTATGACTAGATGCTCGTGGACTTTGGGCACTGGGAGAGTAGTGAGGAAGGGAAGCTGTGGCGCTATGGCGGGGAGGAATTCGGGGTCGTGGCCGAGAGCCATCTTGGTTGGCTGAGAGTGAGTGTTGGTGGCTGTACTGCTAACGGGCCGGCTTGAATGACAATATAGATGACTGCCTCGTGGATTGGTAGATCGTGCTATACCGGCACGTTGTCGAGCTCTTGTCGAGTCTTTGGTAGTACCTTCGGCTCGTTGGAAGTCTCGAAAGCTGCATCCAGCGGATATAAGAGTCTCTACCTATACGCCTCTTACGTCCTGCCTGGTAACAAGTACTCCGCTACTGTGGATATATCGTATTCGTTGTGCGGGCGGTAGCTTGAAGACCCTCCTTACCCCATATGATGCTTCAAGTCCCGTGCACTATGCCACTCGAGGTAAATCCGCCAAACCAGAAAAGTTTGGGTGATCTCAAGTCGTGGAGATTCCAAGGCAGCAGTGAAGCTCTCTTTATCACTCAGAGGCGATCATCGTTGTTGTGAAGAGTTTCATGATGCCACCTTTGGTTGCGGCCGTACATTCTGCTTGGCCGAGGCAAGCTTTATGACCTTCCCAAAGCTCTCGAACTCAAACAATGTCTCCGACAGCGGAAGCACTTGAAGCCGAGCCTCGCAACGCGTGGGTTGATCTGCTGTACCTAGAGAGGTGGGCAGTCAACGCCGGGCTAAATACGCTGACCGAGGTTACGGGGTAGTCCTAAGCACAAAGGGGACAGACGCGGGGTCAACCCCCTTTCGGCGCCATCTGAAGCGGCCGCCGCTCGTCTCGAAGCTTCCTGTGTACTGTGGCATGCTAGAGCACGCCTCAAAGTGAGAACACGATGTCGTTTGGTCTCAGTGTAGGTCACGGCTTCCGGCCGATACGACGTAATAAGGAATGACAAAGCACCTTCGCAACTTGAAACGGCCTCCTTTGCACTAGCTCTTGATTGGCTTATTTCAGACGACATCTATGCTTATTCAATTACGAAGTTCAACGCTCCTGGACGCCTTGCGCTAAACCATGGTGTAAACGCTCCTCTATACCTTGCAGCCAAGCCTCCTTGACGACTGGTAGTCGTATGTACCAAATCTTCTCAGAAAAGCGCACATGGATGTGCAGCTCATACCATACATATGTTGCGACAGATCTATAGCTTCGATCGGACTCCCTCCAGACGAAATTTCACGTCTTTCAACGCTTTGGTCGATGGCTTCCAATCATCGAACTGATGTAGCAACTGGTCGACCTCTTGGCGGAGTTCAGACCGAACCAGGTCCTCTTCCAAGATTCCACGTAACGCAAAGGGCAAAATGTACGGATTCGCCCCGGTCGTTCGGACATTTCGTTTGGTCACTTCCACGCCCAACAAGGCAGTCGTCTCAAGCGCGAAAGAAACGGCCATGTCGTAGACTGCCTCGTCGTCGTATATTCTCGAATGACCCTCGCCCGTGTACAGACTTCCAGCCAGAGGAGATGAGAGCTCCCTTATCAGACCATGGTCTTGCACGCCCAAGTTTCGGAGTTTGAGGACGAATCCCACAAGATGGGATAGAAAGCCTGGTGCGTGAACTTTAGAGTCGATCGATACGGCTCGGTAGATGTGAGGGTGTGTTATCGGCGCGAAGATGGATGATTCGAGGGATACCAACTGATCATCGATGCTGCCTACGAGTGTCCATCTCACTCCAGCTTTGAGGATAGTGTTTACAGCATCTTGGTACAGGGCGGACACCTTGCTGTTAGGGTCAGAGAACTCGAAGAGCTCACCAGCAGACCCACTAATCCATCTCGATTTGTATTCAGCGAATGGGCCCATCGATACGCCAGCCATCGCGCAGATGCCGACACGAGCAGCATTGACGCAGCCAAACTGGATCAGCTTGGCCACCAGCATTACAGCAACTGGCACGCCTTGACTGTGGCAGGCAACCATAACACTAATCACCATGCAGTCAGCAACAGCCCACAGATCTTAAGATGGGCACTTACAAGTCTGTCTTTCGAATCTCGTCGATCCAATTCAGCAGCAGCTTCCAAAGCAGCTCTACCCGCTCGGTTATCTTGCCTTCGCCTTCAAGCGCCGCAGTCTTGACCTGACAGTCGTAGCCTCGATTATTAGTCCATTTCCTTATCGACTTAGCTGCCATGTCTGCGAACTTGATAGACGTGCCAGTAGGCTGCCCGAGTAGTGTTCGCACCATGGGACCAGGAAAGTAGCCATGAACGCCAATAGCGAGGGCATTTCGTATCCTTGGTGGGTCCTTGACCAAGGAGAGATGTTTCAACTCCGGCTCCGGCTCTCTGGTATAATATAGCAGTCTGCCGAGCTGTTGCATCAGTGTAGGGCTCTGGTGCAGATGTAAAGTGTCGTGAAACGCCGGAAGCAGGAGGTTGTCCTGTGCTTGTTTTGATGGCGCTGGCGATGCAGGGCGAGGACTTGGCTGTTCGACAGCAGTGGCAGCAGCATTCTTGGACTCTATCTTTTTCGTTCCTTTCGAATCGACCGCTTTCGGGATTGTCTTTTCTATCGGAGTCTGTGGACGTTCTAGGCTTTTGATTGAACCTGCCTTATCAGCCTTCTTCGGTGCCGATGCTTTGATATCCTTCGTGGATGGCCTTTGCTCGTCTGGCATACTGATAGAGGTGCGTTTTGGTTTGTTCTGCGACGGCGTGTCGGAGATCGCAATCTCACCCCTCCGTGGCTCGTCATTTGGCGGTGTCTCAGTCTGTGGATTCTTCTCTCTTGACCAGAATACCCATCCAGCCGATTTCGAGGCATTGCCGGGTAGTGGTGGAGGTGGTGATGCTTCTATCGACGACCCCTGTGATGATTCAGGCTTCGTCGGTGACTGGAGCGGCACGTCCAAGTTTTTGCTCTGCTCGCTTGCTCGTGTACTGGTCGGTTCTGTGGACGCTCCAGGCACGGGTCTGGACGGTAACATCGTGCTCTCGCCACCCAGCATTTGCAACCACGACCTCTTCTGGTTCGCAGTCGGCTCAGCCGGTGTTGTCTCTGCTGTACGATTCGTTGTCGTCTGATCAAGTGACGCAGCAGCTGGCGGCTGGGAGGCCTGCTCTCCAGCACCGGGCTTTGCGTCAACCTTATTATGAACGACTGTAGACGCACTTTTGCCCGCATCCGCTGCATTGTCCTGCTCAGACACGGGACCGTCCTTTCCGAGCCATGCGAACCAGCGTATACTCCCGGTCATATTTGAGGTATCAACCTTCTTTTCGGCGCTCGTACCATTGTCCACCGCTTGTATCTGCTCCGAAGTAACCTCATTGGCCTTTGATGGCCCTTGCGCATCTTTCCCAGCCACTTCTTTCCCCTTGTCCGCCTCAGCCTGCATTGAGTTCGTCCGCGAGGGAGTCCTGGCTTCAGGTGTCGCGTTGACTTTCGAAGTCTCGGCATTGACAGGCAGGGACCGAGTCGAGTTGCCCTTCCCCAGCGTCATGGCTAAGGAGGCAGACCGTGTAGAAGGGCGACGGGGAGTACTGCGGTCGCTCATGATCGAGGCAGTCTCGGCACTCGTGGCGTTATCTCTGTTGGCAACCGCGATGGACGCGGTCTTGCGGGACCATGACGGATACCAGGAGCTACGTCTCGAATCTGTATCGGACGTCTTCTTCGATGCTGCATCTGGGGTCGGCGCCGGGACTTGTATATGCGAGTCAGGCGGCAATGGTATCTGCTCCGGCTTCAGTGCCTCAGGCTTGTTGTCGATAGGACCTTCGTTCGTTTTCTGGCGCTTGAGAGGTCGAGCTGGCGCCATTGAGCATATAGCTACGCGTCTGACATATCTCAGAGGCTCTTTGGTACGAGTGTATGTTCACAGTATGCTCCTGCAAGCAGTGCTACAGTCTCAAGGCTTGACCTGACTATCGAACAAAGACCCGGAAGTCTACCCACGTGTTTTGGCATTACGTCACCGGAGTCTGTTCGGCGAACCTGCCTGATACCGTCAACCGGCGCGGAAAAGAGTCACCACTTTCTCCAACAAACTTGAACTTTTGGGAAATCGAATCGGTGGCTGTTAAATTACAAGTTACACCGCGAAGGAAGACGGAGCAATGGCTCGGGCGAAGGCCACGACGAAAGCAGCTAAGCAGAAGCCTGGTGGTAAGCTCGTCCGTCCTCCTGTCCCAAGACCAGTCTAACAAACCCCAGTCAACCCCCGCTCCCGCGCCGCAAAACGAGCCTCCTCCCCCTCCGTCAACCTAGACAAATCTCTCAGAGATGCACCCCGAGCATCCGACGCTACACCAGTCCTGGCAGCTCAACATGGCGGAGGTGTCCATAAGGCCTCGAAGAAGAAAGCTAAGCCTATGAAGCGCAGCCAACGAGCAAGACAGGAGCGTACGCTCGCTCGTGCCGAAACTGTGATGAACCAACTGGAAAAAAGCAGGAATCATTCCAGGCGAGACAAAAGAAAGTCAGGGGCCGGAGGGCCATCTGGGAGGAGATCAACGACGGCGCGGAAGAGGAGAAGCGGAAGACGCCACGCTTCCAGGTGTTGGGTGAGGACGGGCATGACCAGGTGATTGAGAATGGAAACGACGAGGAATGGGAAGACGAGAACGGTGATGCGGAGATGAAGATTGTCGACGGTGTAGTGCTGCCGGCAAATGCAGCGCTGAGCAAAATCGTGGTTGTTGACCGGACGGCCTCGAATGCTGGATCGGATCTGGAGGATATCACCTGATCACGGGGGCTGGACCGACGAGAAACACGATGCCCACGACGACATGATTATTTCCGTGGTCGTAGCTGGTTGATCATCCGCTCGATCTCGCCCGCTTGCTGGCCAGTGGCCTTTGAACGAAGCAGTTCGAGAGCATTGAGGTCTTTGGCCTTCAGCGCCTCTTCTCCGGCTCTGACAACCATACCACATTTCACCCACATCTCGACCCTCTCGGAGGCAGGCACATTTGTGCACTTTGGAATGAAGGTCGAGGCGAGGCGAGTGTTGCCCGCACCGAGGACTTCGCTGTAGAAAGGCTGCTTCACATTAGTCATTCCCAAGAAGAGCCACAGGACAACGACTTACCTCCCACCCAATAGGACTCTTCTTCACCTTCCCGACCTCCTCCAGCTCGCCCCATAATCTTGCAGCAACAAGCGCACGAAGTCTCACCCACCACCACGTCTTGTCCGGAACCTTGAAGTCGCTCTGCAACTTTGCTGCTCGCTTGCCATAACCAGACTGTATGAGCCGGAACAGTGTGTCATTTACGCTGAGACCCAAGTAGCTGTCCGAGCTGTCTGACACGTCCTTGTCGAACACCTCTTGCGCCTTCAACAGCTGTTGTGCCTCGTTCAGAGCTCTGGTCTGGAAGACAGCGTTAGGATCTTTCGCATCGGCGAGCACTCGAGCTGCGAGTTTGAGCTTGTCTACGGCGGCTTGGACCTGCGGCTGGCGCATCGCTTCGTCAAGAAGGAGGTTGGAGCCTTCTATGGGTCGGTCGTCTTGGTAATATAGGTCCTTGAGCAATTCGCTGTCCTTGGCTCTCGCGGAGGACTCGACGAGTGCAGCTGCAAGGGGCCGATCGTGAAGGCTGCGGAAGAAGGCAGCCAGAGGCAGCTTCTGCCGTAGATGCAGAAGGACGAAAAATACAAGATCGGTATCTCCAGACTCGATGGCCTTGCTCAGGGCGATCTCGTCCTCTTCCATGTTCAGCAGCAGCGGAACCTGCTTGCCGGCACGAGGCTCGTGATTGAGTAGGTCAGTAGCGAGATGACCACGTCCCTCATCATATGCTGTCCGTGCAATCGTCTCGAAGGAGACGCCTGACTTGCCTCTCAGACGCTCTGTGATGGTGTTATGTATTGACTCGTCATCCCCAGCAGAATTCTTCACCTTTTGGCTGGCCCAGTGGACATAGATTTTGTTCAGGGGCAGATTTAAGAATTCAGACAGCTTCATTGCTAGAAGATACTCCCGACGGTTGATGAGACGAGTTATGAGTCGCTCAGGTCCAAGTCTGATATACTGCTCATAGGATATCGGAAGCCCGATCTTGTAATCGCGGACGGCGTTCAGCACCCGCAGGTCGTTGATCATGTCAACGAACTCGTCGCTGCTGTACAAGTCCAAGACTGACTTGCCAAAGGACGCTGCGCGAAGTAGCTGCTTTTGCAGTCCCTGATCGAATTCTTGTCCGGCTGCACGGATACAAGTTTCGACAGCGTCAGGCAGACTATGCTTAATCCGTTGTATGTTCTCGTCGGCCTTAGGCGATTTTTGTTCCAGCAGGCCAATCGAATCAAGGAGTACCGATGGCGGCGCAGTTGAACCAACCTTGAAGACTTCCTCCGATGCATCAGGCACTTTGTGGAGGAACTCGCAGCTCTGGTTCGTTATCAACCGGACACCGTCGACGTCTGGAATGACGTGAACTTGGTCATCATAGTAGTACTTCGTTGCTGCGCCATTAGGACCAACAACGTGTATCTCGTCCTCCCACGCAAGTATGACCGCGTCATTGCCGCACCAGAAGAGCTGTGCTGGAGGGGTCTTCACTTTTGAGTCGTACTCGCTGTACTTGTTCTGAAAGTCGCTCCCCACAACCCACACTTTGCCATCTTCTGTGTAGAGTGCTGCGAACCTGCCATTTGGAGAAACAGAGATATGTCTGAAGGCTCCCTCACTGAGTCCTCGATCCTCGGAATCTGTAGCATCGACGACAAAAATGGTCTTATCGACAGCCAACAGCACTTCGACTGACCGTGAGAGCGTATATGCAGGCGGAATGAGAGACCACGAGTGGACCTCCCCCTCTGGAGCTGCAGCTAACTGCTTCGGCCTAGGCTCAGAGAAGGACGAAACAGATATGAGGCTATTATTGGCAAGCAACGCCACGAATCCGTGCGACCAGAACCGACACGACACGACGCCGTACTCCTCGGCACCGTTGCCCAGTGAGAAAGGATTGAAATCTTCTCGCAGTCCAAAGTAGCATCTGACAGCGCCATCTTCGGTCACAACGATTAGCTGCTCGTCATCTGACCACCCCAGACCACGGATCGAGCCTTTGTCCCAGTTGATGTTGCTGATCAGTTGGCCGGAGGAGGAATATATGTCAATGGTTGATTTCGTCGACGCTCCGACACGGTATCGCGCGATCTTGGATTCATCCCTCCATAGCGCTAGAGCTCCTGAGTATGGTGCCCCTGCGATGAGATAGTTCTCGAGTTCCAAATCAGGATCGAAGACCTGTTCGTAGAGCTGGAATTTGCGGTAAAATTGATTGTCGATCTTCTCCCAGCCTGCCCTGGGATTCTTCGTTGTCATCGATGCGGCTGCAAAATCAGCATGACGGCTGATACCGAATGAGTGTCAGACTTAGACTGGCAGATTCCTGAACTGAGGTCGACGTGCTCGCGTGTAGTTTATGGCTGGCCAATGACGTTACGGTCTGAGTGTAGAGTGGAGCTTGAGGCCGACGCCTTTCCAGCGATGAGTTACAGTACAACAGCAACTGACCGCTCATGCCAGACGAGACATAACGCACAAGAGGCCTGCATTTCGGATCTCACAGGCTGTTGTCTCTCACAAGACTTCGCTCGGTGTTGCTGACACGTGAGCTGCCACTGTAGACAATGTAGCGTGTAGCGCTACCTAGCAACGCGACGCTAACATGGACCTCGAGCAACTCCTAGCCACCGTGCCCAGCGATCTCGAGCTCGCCGTTCTACTTGGTCTGATCGCACGGCAGCCATGCCTCATCTATGGGAATGACGACTCCATCAACAACCTCGCCTCCGAACTCGCCCTGATCGTTTCCGACAAGTTCAAACTATCCTACGCTGTCCTCGAGCCATCAGACCTGCAGTCCGTCGACACCTTCGTGGAAGCCATACTCGACGACACCCATCACTTCGCGGACGACGCTGACTTCGACAACAGCGACAGCGAGGCCGCAGCAACCACCCTCAGATCCCGTATCGCCAACGTCAGCTTCCGTGGTGGCGCCTGCAGCCACGTCGAGCAGCAAACCCTGGACAACCGGATGGTCGTGAACGTCATCATCGCGAAGAACTTCAACTACGCCAGCCACGACGTTCAGATCCAAGTCATGGACTTGATCAGAAAACATCGCGTCTTCAGCAAGACGACTGTTCACCCCGTGCCGAAGCTGTTCCTGTTCCTGCCCATCGTTTCCATTTCAACAATGCACGTCCGCATCAACGGCCAACTCAACGATCGGATCTTCATCAGCCACCGACACAAGCCAGAGGATGGTTTCCCGAACGTGGAGGACATGGAGATGGACGATCCCTTCCGCAGTGCGTCGTTGTCGAGGTCTCGCTCGTCTACCCAACACCACATTGGCAAAGACTCACTCGACCGTCTGGCTGAGCTCGGCAAGCAAGTCACCATCACGCCAGAAGTACGACGCCACCTGCAAGACATTGTTGTGTTCCTCCGAATGGAGCGCGGCGTCGATAGCGGCATCACGCCCTACAGCAATGTCTGCTTCGTGGATCTAGCAAAGTACCTCGCACCACTGCACGGCATCGATTACGTCACGCCGTCTCTGCTGGAACTCGCTGCGAAGAAGGTCTTCCCACATCGGCTGATAGTAGCGGAGCCGGAGCGAGAGCGCAGCACGCAGTTCGGCAGCGATATTGGTGCGGTGAGGCAGTATATGAGGGGTTTGGAGCCGGAGCATGTGATTGATGCTGTGCTTGCAAAAGTGCCGAATCCCAGATAATTTTAGAGCGACCACGACAAGTACGAGGTCTGGACGTCAGGTTGTCTGCTCTACGCATATCTTACATTTCAAGGTCGGAGAGATGAGTATCCTGGCTAACTCAAAATGCGCTTCCAGGACGATACAAGCAGACGACATCTACCCAACGCATCAGTCCGTCGATCTCTTAGCTCCACCCAGAGATCCTTCCACTCATGCCAACCTCATGCAACAATGCGATCAACCTGCCAACAACCAAGCTGAAAACTCGGACAGGCTGCGGACGTTGTCTCCAGACTTCTATGTTGTACCCAGGTCCTCTTCCTCCGAGGACTTCGGCTTCCCGTTCGCCTCCCTCTGCCTTTTCCTGGACGCTCGCTTCCGCTCCCGATCACGAGTTCTCACTGTACTGTCAGAAGACCAACGTCGTGTCAGCCTATCATATTTGCTGCCACTCTAGTGCTGCTGATGATGCTGAACGTAGCCTGGAGCGCCATAGCCGTTCGCGCCTCCACCGAAATGTCCTTGTAGCTGATGATGGTGCTGCGGGCCTTGATGATGGTGCTGGCCGGGATGTGCCTGCGGGTGTATGGCTGGTGGTGGGAATTGCGCATGCGAGGGAGCTTGGCCACGACCATAAGCGCCAGCGGACTGCGGAGGGATATTCGGGAATTGGGCTTGCGGGGTGGTAGCATAAGGAGAAGCCATCTGGTCGGCCCAACGGGCGGATGGGGATGGTCCTGTCAAGTATGTTAGATCGGATCGATATTGAGTGGAGGCCATGTTGTGGGAGTCTGTGACGTACCTTGCGGACTAAGCGGATAAGCACTCATTGGCGTGGGCGCACCATACTGCGGGAAACCAAAGGGAGAAGTCGGGTTGTAAGTTGAAGGAGTACTGGCGGATGGGATAGCACTGTTAGGCGAATCGAATTGGCCTGTGGGAGGACGATCTTTGCCCCACTGACGTCTTTGTTAGCACCTATTCTTCCATGCAGACGAAGACTGTACGTACAGAACATTTTAGTGGACGTCCATTCACATTGTAGCCTGAAAGTTGACAGATGGCCATTGCAGCGTTTTCGTGCGTGTCCATCTTGATGAAGGCAAATCCGCGATCGGACTGGAAACGTGTCTCCGTGACGTAGCCGAAGTTCTGGAACAGAGGGACAAGGTCTGTTTGGGTCGTATACGGGGTAAGATTCCCGACGTAGCAGGTAGTTTGCCAGGATGGAGTCTGATTAACGACCATGTCGTAGGACTGCACACCCTGCGTAGGAAAGTGGTGATGCCCAAACGGTGTTGTGGGAGTCAGACCCATGGCCAACATCGATTGCTGTGAATTCATGCTAGGCTGCCCTTTTTGGTTCGCCCAATTGCAGCGTATCGCCCGACTACCCAACCACTCGCCGTCCATCTTGGCTAGGGCACTCTCAGCCTCGGCACGGTCGCGGAAGGCAACAAAGCCATAACCACGAGTCCGACCGGTTTTCATGTCCCACATAACACGGGCCTCGGAGACAGAGCCAAACGAAGAGAAGGCTTGCTGGAGCACCTCATCGTTGACTTCGTTGCTAAGGTCGCCCACGAAGATATGGAAGTGATTTGTGGTGTCTTCCTTGTTGGAGGTGTTCGCTTGGTACGCCCAGTTGACCTTGATCTCTTGCTGGTGGACACGACGGCCGTTCAGGGTACTCATAGCACGCTCAGCTGCAGCAGGATCGTCATACTCGACGAAGCCGTAGTTAGCGCCTTTTGCAGCGTAGTTCTTGTCAGGTATGATCTTAACATTTGTGACATGACCCGTGGTCTCAAAGATTTGCTTTAGAACTTCTTCGGTGACTCTAGCATCCAGCCCGCCGACGTACAGGGCTCGCTTGTTAGGCTCAGGAGCCATGCGACGAATTTGACCACCTGGAGACAGTGCGCTCATAGGGTCCATGGCTTGTGGGATAGGATTCGTGTTCTGCGGAATGACCATTGGCGCCAGGGTCGGAGGTGGTGCCATGGTCGAGGTAGGCGCAGCCGCAGTGCTCGTCGGCGGATTCTCGTAGCCCGGCGCACCAGCCGCAGTTGGCGGAGGTGGGAGGGAAGTAGACGCAACAGTTTCAGCCATTGTGTTCAGTGGTAATCGTATTTCAAATCGAAGCAACTTTTACACAGATGTGTAACAGAAAGGTGAAGCTAGGAGATTCGTCTCGACGCCTTCTTTTCGGCAGGAAATTCGCTCAGAGTGCAGAATTGGATCGGAAAGCGCTGGCTGTGTGCGTGATCGCAATTACGGACGGACAAATCGTAAGGCTGACTGGCTGAACAGGACTGTAGAGACTCTGAGAAACGAGGTCGTGAGTGTGTGCGAGATATGGAGATATTGACGACGAGAAACTATCGTTGCTTCCGGCTGATGAGATAGATGTCCTTAGCTCTGAAACGCCTGTGACTATGAGGTTGCAACGCACAATGCCTAACAAGCGCAAGGACTGGAGGACTCGCGGGACGACGGACAGAGAGACGAAAAGAGAAGACGACAAGGGAATAAAGGCGAGAAGAAGAGTTGATTATCTCATGCGATGATAGTATCCAGATTGCAGAAGAGAGAGAAAGAGGAGAGAAGAGAAGACGTGTGAGCTCCAGGCTGTAGTGCTGTGGTAGCAGCAGATCGGCAGTCGTAGTGGGCTTTCGCTCTTGCTGCATCTCACCACCCGCTGCAACGGGCTCGAACCTTCCTCGAGTCGCCGCCTGTCAGATTCAGTGCGAGCTCGCGTTTCATTGGACTGAACACGGTTTAGTGCCAGCGGCTGCCCCGCCCACGCTCAACGGAGGAAGTTATCCGAGAACCGACTTTCGACGTCTCCAAATATGCATTCCCAAGCCTGACACAAACGGACGGCTTAAGTGTTTGGAGTGCTAGAGGACGACGGATTAGCATCATGGAGCGGCGCTGAACGACTGAACACCGTTAGCGGCGACCATGGCGACGCCAAAGCCGCCTTATGACCCGGTCAAGAGTATCGAGGGCATGTACAATGGGACACTGACGCGCATCGCATACTCGTTCAAGGACACAGTCAACTTTGGTCCAAGCACCAAAGGCGTCATCGAAGAGTGCTCCAAACGCTATCAGGACGCGCTCGACGACTGCGAGATCCAAATACTGGACGCGAAATGGTACTTAGAGCACCAGCTGCTTGTGCGCAAACAGAAGCGGGAGCCAAAGCCAGAGAAGAACAAGCCGCCACAGCGAAGAGGAAACGCAGCGAGGAAGAAGACGCCGCCGAGAAAGAGCAAGAGGCCAAGCGTGTCAAGATTGGGGAGGCAGCCAAAGAGACCGAAGAGGTTCCTGCGCCTGCGGCAGAGATTGAGAATGCTGTAGCGACACCGCCGAAGCCAAAACCAACGTCGCCAGTCGCGATTACCGATCAATCACCACAACAGAAGAAGCCATCGCCTCTAAAACCGCCAGAGCCTGCACCGGAGAAGCCGCCAGAAACCAACGACGAATTCTCAGTGTCAGCGAAGCCAACTCCAGCGGGTCCTGAAACGGCTGCAACGATGGAAGGTGCAAACGACTTCGATCAATTCGAGTCCATGTTCGGCGAGCCTACAGGCGACGATGGAGGCATGAATGGCGACGGTGATCTGGGTTTCGATCTTGGCCTGAATGACGATGTGTTCGGTGATTCCTCCGCGACCAACGACCAAAACGCGACCGATTCGTCAGATCTCAACACTCTTCTACCAGGTTTAGAAAGCTATGCCAACCAAGACTCGACAGCCGGTGGCACAGGAGACGGTACACAGAACCCGCAGACCAACCCAACGACACAGACGCTCGATTTCGGTCTACCAGATCTTGGAGGACCTAACGAATTCGACATGATCTTTGATGCTGAAAACTTCGATAACATGCCAATGGATGGAAATATGGGTATGAATGATGAGGACGTAAACCTGGACCTGAACATGGACCTGGAAAGCATGTTCACAAACAATTAGGCACTAGTTGCAGAATATCGGCGTCTTGTTTGCTAGGTGGGATGCATGCATTGGAAGGCCTACGATGGTGGTATCAATGGCTCGCGGGCGCCACGAGTGGATTTCTCTTCAGAAGATACCCATGTTGTACATCATTAGATCTGGTAGCGATATGAATACATTCCAGGCGATCTTGTGAGAGAGTGATGCTACTGCTAATCCCGGGTTCAACCCTGGAAGCCAACAGCATTGGTACCTCTCGTCGTCGTATCTTCAGGCTCCTTCAGTGGAGTTGCGTTCAGCATTGCGTCGAGGATTGGACTTGTTCGATACACAGTAATGCTTCGCTGCATCGAAAGATCATCTCGCCAAACTTGCCTAAAACAGACGATATCTCTACTCCGTACATTTTTGGACTGGACTACAAGTTCGCGTGCGTAGTGCTGCTACTCACTTTCTCAGCAGTCATGGCACCATCCAGAGCTCCGAGTACGGCTCTGCTGCGCTCCCTTCGAGCCGCGTGTTTTGACGCGCCGGCTACAACAGCTAGGCGATATTCGACCACTCCTATCCGGCACCTCGAAGTCGAGACTGCTCCAACTCCTGCGCCAGACCCAGCGACAGTCACCTTGAAGACAGAGGAAAGCCAGCTCGCACAAGCCGGCAAGCCTCCGATCGGCTCCAGAAGACGACGAGCTGCGCTTCAGCACACAGATTCTGTCCCTTTCAGTGCACTTCCATATCAGTGCTTCCAAGAAGCTCGAGCGATCCTCATTGCAGACCGGAACGAGAAGCTGAAGCAGATTGAGGTCGAAAGAGAGCGGCTGGACAGGGCGCGGGCTATCGATCCGGATACTCTTGCACATGGTCAGAAGCAGAAGGACCTGAAGATCAAAGGCCTGGAACAGCAGATTGAAAAGCTGAAGATTCTTGCGGACATCAATGATCCTAATGTGAAGAGACGGTTTGAGGATGGTCAAGGTCAGTGGCGAAGTGCTACAGCTACCACACGGACTAACATGTCGCAGGCGATTTGAACAAGCCAATCTATCGCTTCCTCGCCGAACGCAAATGGCGCGAATACCGGCGAAAGATTCAAGTCCAGCGTATCGAGACCATGAAAGTCGTGCCCGATGTCCTTCCTCAATGCGAGCTGGATGTTGACATAACAACGTTCTGGAACCGGCGCTCGATGTCACCTGGAGATTTCGTCCCTTCGTCCACAAGCGAACAACCTCCAAGCCTGAAGGTTCAGAGCTTCAAGCGTGGGGAGCGCCTACTCACAGTCGCCGTCATCGATCCTGATGTTCCCAACACCGAGACAGACCTCTTCGAGTCTCGCTGCCACTTCCTCGCAACCAACATTGTCATCACTCCTACATCGCCTATCATCGACTTCGCCAAGCTCGACGAGTCCCAAGTCATCCTCCCCTGCTCCCGCCTACTGCTCAAAAGGGCAGCCCGTACCACCGACTAGCAATCATCCTGCTCGAGAACCGAAATAACCTTGAACTCGACACGCAAGCCTTGACGAGCATGTACACGCGCGACAACTTCACTATTCGCAAAGCTCTGACGCGACACCCTGTGTCGCCGATCGGGGCCGCCTTGTTCCGCACAAAGTGGGATGATACCATGGCGGATGTTATGGCCCGCAATGGCATTGAGGGCGCCAATGTTGAGTTGAAACGCAAGAAGGTCGAGCCGCTGCCGTATAAGCGGAGGAATCCACCGTCATTCAGATAGCCTGTTGGTGCTTGTACAGAACTTTGTAGAACCATATTGCATGATAGACCGATCTCTTCGTCACCCATTCTTCCACCACGCTGATGCTGAGTCTTGGCACTTAACGACTTGTCCCTTCTACATTGTCGTTTTATATCTTCGGTCAGCAATCGACCAGAAAACGGTTGACTAGCGATTCGGAACCAGTTCTTAAGCCACCACCGTCCAGGTGGGTAGCAGGGTTGGGTACCACCATAACCTCATCTCTTCGGGCCACCCTGCTATGTTAGGCGCAACAGAACAGACCTCAGACCTCCTCCTCCTCCTCCGATCGATCAATAGCGTTGAAGGCGTGGAACTTAGGAAATGTACCCAAAAAACCCTATCAGGCTAGGTTTCTCAATGGCCTTCGGGATTTGAGTTTTTGTTTTTTTGGCGGTAAGGTGAATGTGCGATTGCCTGGGGACTCTTCGTTGCCCATGCTCTGCTCCAGCTCCTGTCTTGGATGCTAGCGTGGGGCAGACGTCTGAGAAGCGGTCCGGAGGTATGCCCACCTGATGACCAGGAGATGCTAGCCCAGAAGAGCGACCACGACGATCGCGATCATCTTTGCCCAGGTGAAAAGCTGCGCTTTAGTCTATTCGGACCCAGGATCAGTGTGTCGATAACGAGACGATGAATGTCAAACAACGTGCCCCATCAACCGACATCCCCTTCCTCAATCCTGACCATCTGATCCCGCCACACGCCCCTCCAACTCCCCGGCCAGTACCCATCCACCAGCCATAACGACTTCCCGGTGATCAACGCCATCGGCACCGCCCCATACATTCGACTATCCCGACTCCACGCCAGATTATCCCCATTCAACCAAACATGCCCCTCGGGGACCTGCACCATCTCCGGCTCTTCTTGTTCGTCTTCCTCATCTCCATCCACTAACCCTCGGGAAGCCTTCCTCCCACCAACACCACCCTCCCCATCCCGCCCCCTAACCACAAAATCCCCCGGCATTCCGACAACCCGCTTGCCAGCCAGCATGCGCGGAAACATTGGGTGCCGCACCTGTACGATGTCGCCTAGCTTTATCCCACGACCGCCAGCGTACCATAGACCGGTGATTGTGTAGGTGCTACCGGAGCTAGAGACAGTGGGTGCCATGGAGGGGCCTGTATTGGGGTAGATGTGAATGACGTGGTTGGTGATGAGGGTACCGGCGCAGTAGAAGGAGGTTGCTAGGAGGAAGTATGGGCGGAGGCGGGAGAAGAGGGAGGGTGGTGGTTTCGTGGATGTGGGCGTCTTGACTGTAGTCGTCGAGGACTGGGGTGTGCGGAGCGGCGGTGTGGTAGATGTTGGTATGCGTGGTTTCGAGGGGAGGTTGATGGCCTTTGCTGATCTGGACGGGAGGCGCGACATCTTGCATGGGTGGACCAATTGGTGAGCAACTCGTGTTTAGAGCCCCAGAGAGAGCTTTTCGCGCCTACTGCTGCTACCGCAGAGGTACGATTCGTCTCATGGCCACCTGCTGGGTACTACTACCTGACATGTAGGAACTTGAAGCTCGAGTTGTCGTGGGGAAACCCGGATTTTGTTTCCGCCCCCGACATGGGATATAGATGTTCTTAACTTGCTACTGTAATTTCAACCACCACGATGCCATCAATACAATGCTCATGCCTGAACATGCTGAACCACTAATAATCATGAATCCTGTCCTGCGCTCTTGGAGACGCAGTCGACTTTTGAATCTTGCAATGTATTGCTCGGCACTCTAATTCATGAATCACATCTCGAAACCGGCTTGCTGACTCTCAGTCCGCCTTCACGTCGACCTTCTCCCCAGCAGCATGTCTGATCACCTGTGCTACATACTCCGGCCTGCTAGCAAACGGCGAATGGCTAGCGCCACACGTAAAAGTCGTGATCGGCACGCCAGCATTCTGCACCAGCTCCAATTGTCGCTCGTAAACGATCATTTTGTCTCCTTTCGCAAGCAGGTACGTCGTTGGAATGTGCTTGTAAGCTGCATACGTGACTGGTGAATATCTCACTGGGAAACTGAATGGTCGCATCTTTGCAACGAAGCCTTCTGCCACGTCCACCGGCATGTCATGGTACATTGCATTGACTGCGTCGAGGTGCGTCGAGCGATCATTCTGAATGTCATGAGCATTGCGCGAATGCGGTAGAGAGGATGCCACTCACCTCAATCTTGAAACTCGACGGTCCTCCTTTTCCGCCTCTGCCACCACCACCTTGAAACATTGACACGCCTTCGTCCAGCATCCATGCACACATATACACCAAGGCTGTGACTCCTCCGGGTCTACCAGCAGCTTCACGATCCGTCTTGGACAGGCCTTTCATGGCTGAACTTCCCGGGATACCTCCGTAGGAATGCATCACTACGACCACGTCCTTTCCAGCATCGAGCAGCGGGACTACATTAAGTCGTACCTCCTCGACATCGGCTGTGAAGTCTGGGATTGCTGGATCGGAACCGCTTGACGGCAGAGTCAGAGGTAGCGTCTGGTAGCCAGCGTCATTGAGGTAGGGTGTCAGTAGAGAATAGTGTTCGGCGACGTGCCAGGCACCTGGTATCAGTACTATGGTTGGCTTCGACATGACGAGGTTTGCGCCACAATGCGATTGTGTGCTTAGACCTGGCTGCCCGAGCTATCAATCATTCCCTAGGACACGCTGCCCAGTTGTAAATGTCAGAAGCCAAAATGCGGAAGTGGTGCAACCCTTTGCACCGTACTGTGAGTGTACACTCGGTTCTAGTCACGCGAGTTCAAAGGATCAAAGTTGGGATCCCCGCAGCAGTCTCGACTCAGTATATGACATATTTGTCGCCTGTTTCAGGCAATCTGCGAGTGACACGATGGCTGGTGCCTTCCCAAAAATCATTCGGTGACACTCTCTTCTGAGAACGACTCCCTTGAGCCGAAGCTTCCTGATCAATGGAGGGGCACTCGGCACTGGTCGTTCCTTCCGATCAATCATCGGACAACGCCGTCGAGCAAGACTTGTGGAAAGCACTTGCCAAATGCAGTTGAGCGAGATACGCCTTCCACCTATCATCTGAGCATCTGACATAGTTTGAGCCACTCAGGTACCTCGTAGATGTCTTCCTGCTATTGGACCGGTGGATCTGATTAGATTAGATGAAAACTTTTCACGTCGCTAACGGCCTTCTAGTCTTCTGCAACCCCTTGTCAACATCTTCTTGACCACGAAGTCCCTGCATGACACCACTCGTCGGTTGCCCACATGGCGAGACTGTCCCACGGGCCCCGAAGCCGCTCGGATCATGACCGGAGTTTCTTGTGCACGATTGTAGGTCTGGTGGCGTGATGACTTCGATGTGGTATCGGCGAGCTTTCAAAACACACACTTTTTGGGCTGTGGAGGAACGAACGCCAAGCGCTACGCGCGACCCCGTCTGACGTGATCCCTTCAGAGTCGCAATCCGAAGGCACGCTCCCAGCTGACACTCAGGACGACTGACAAAGCAAGGACTGGTACGGCCCTTAGCCAAACACTTTCGTTGCGAGCATAGAGACCGGCACCCGAACAACAAGCGGCCACATCTACAATGCAACTAAGCAAGGAAATCACAACCCAGGCGGCCTCCGCGCCGTCCACTACAGAGCTAGAGCTCAAGAACGATGCAGGAGAGCGATACCTCATTCAGATTTCTTGGCCACTGGCATGGGAAGCCGATCCGATCAACAACAAGCCCTCAGTTCCGGTCTTGTAAGTTTTCTGAACCTTCAGAGTCTCATCACTGATCCAGAACCAATAGCTATGTCCTCGATGGCAACGCTCACTTCTGGACGGCCGTTGAGACAGTACGACGAGGTCTAGCTGCGCCACAGAGCAAGGATGCAGTAGTCATTGGTATAGGCTACCCAGACTGTGGGCATTACGTGTTCGGCAATCCACGGTCTTACGATCTCACACCTCCAACCGAGACCTACAGTCCGCCCCGCAGCTGGGATGGCACGGTCTTCAACGCTCCCCACGGCGGTGCTGATAATTTCTTACGCTTCATTGAAGGTCCGGTCCGACGACATGTGCTTCAGGTCGTCCTCGGTGGGCACAAGCCCGAACGTGAGGTACTGGTTGGCCATTCGTATGGCGGACTCTGCACCTTGTATTCTATGTTCTCAGGAAGTGCCCTTTTTGACACATACATTGCATTGAGTCCATCGATCTTCTGGAACGACAACTACCTTGTCTCGGAGGCAGAGCGGTTCCTTGACGACCGCAACTCCAGGAAGCCACTCAGTCTGTACCTCTCATATGGCTACTACGAGCAGTACATACGGCGGCGTAAAGCGTGGTCGGAGGAAGAATACGCTCTGAGGGCAGCTCATGCATTGGGCTGGCGTACGAATGACTTGGTTGAAGAAATGGCGGCTCGACTGCGTGCTTCCGACAAGCTCAAACTGGTGAAGTGCAAAGCATACGCTGATGAAGACCACGGCAGTGTGGCAGGCTGCGCCATAGGTTGGGCTATGCTGGACGTGCTGGACCCGGACCGCTTTGCATAGGTTCAGATGGCATTTTTGCCTGGTCGCCGAGCATACTCAATTGTGCCATAGGGCGGCCCTCGCATGTTGATTCTTCAACGTGCCTCGAAATCCTTGTTGGTGGCATTTGCGTACCAAGTACCTACGAGCCAAGTTCTCAGCCCGCATGCTGGCATCGAAATTCGCGCAGACGTTTCCGCTTTCTGATCCCCTGCCAAGGGTGGCCGCTCACTTGGCACAGCTTCTATTTCTCTTGGCCGTACACCAGACCGGAACTAGTGTTGGTCGAAGCCCGTGTGGAGTATCTTGTCTTATCTGATCAGATCATCAGATGCCTTCGCTGGTATGCCGCCCACCGCGATCGTCCCATGCTCTTACTTGTCTGGTTCTTGAGGTGCAGGACGGGCAGCCTCCAGTGGCTCCGCTAAAGAAATTCTTGACATTTCTTTCGGTTTGGCGTCCAGAGCTCTCAGTGCACGAATTTTGCAAGCGATGTCCACCATCAGGGCCTCGACGGACACTGCACCCTGTGGGAATGAAAGATGTCCTTCGCTTGTGAAACCGCTCATAAGAGCGCAGCTATGCCCTCCAGTGACTGACGACTCGCCTTCGCTCCTGGAATTACCATCAGACCAGTAAACTCTTACATTCACCATGGCCGACGTTTCCCAAGCATCCCCTGCTCCTGAGGTTGACATCGAGAAAAGCAAAGATGTTACCCAAGAGGTGACAGAGTTCAACGACGACCTGAAGTCTGACTTTGATTCTGACCACAAGCAAGATGGTGTCAAGAAGGTCGAAGCTGTCACTTCAGTCTGGACAAAGAAGACCCTCTGGATCATGTTTGCTTTGTACGTCAACAAGCACGGCCAGTCCGCTCCCTGCTAATGCTCTCAGGCTCTACCTGGTGTCCTTCGTCGACATGCTCACGGTCAGTGTCGAGGGCAACTTGACGCCATATGTAACGTCCGCCTTCTACCAACATGGTCTGCTCGCAACGACAAGTATAGTCGCATCCATCCTTGGAGGCTCTTCAAAGCTGGCCATCGCTAAATTGATCGATATCTGGGGTCGTGTCGAGGGCTTCCTCGCTATGCTCTTGATCATGGTGCTGGGCTTGGTGATGAAGGCGGCGTGCAAGAATGTCGAGACATATGCCGCCGCGCAGACCTTCTACTGGACTGGTCATCTGGGACTAATCTACATTATTGACGTTGTCATCGCCGACATGACCACTCTTCGCAACCGCATGCTCATGCTCACACTGAACGGGACGCCAACAATAGCTTCGACCTTTGCTGGGCCAAAGATCGCAGAATTGTTCTATACGCAGTCAACCTTTCGATGGGGCTTCGGCGCATGCTGCATCATCCTTGTCGGAGTTGCCTTCCCAACGGCGATCGTGATGCTCCTGAATCAGAGAAAGGCAGCCAAGATGGGCATGCTTCCGGAGATGCCCAGTGGCCGAACGCTTTTGCAGTCGCTCAAGCACTACGTTGTGCAGTTCGATGGTGAGTAAGACTGCTACTTTGTCTACATCAAGCTGACAAGAACACAGCATTCGGCATCCTTCTCGTCACAGCCGGCTTCTCACTCTTCCTCCTGCCTTCAGTCTGGCATCTTCATCCGGCGACAAGTGGAGAAGTGGCAGCATAATTGCCATGATCGTCATCGGCATTCTCTGTCTGATCGCATTCTATTGCTGGGAGAAGTGGGGCGCCACCATCCCGTTCTTGCCATTTCACTACTTGAAGGATCGAACCATCATTGGGTCGTGCTTGCTGTACGGCATTATGTTCATTTCGATCTTTGCCTGGGACGCCTACTACTCATCTTACCTGGTACGTACTAGGTAGTTTCCCTTGCTGGCCCCCGGCCACTGCTAATTCTCCACAGCAAGTCGTCCACAACCAATCCATAACCCACGCCGGCTACATCCTTAACTCTTTCTCGCTCACCTCAGCCTTCATCTCGCCGTTCATCGGACTCATCATCCGCTACACGGGCAACGTCAAGTACACCGCCTGCGCTGGCATCCCCTTCGTCGTCCTCGGCACCGCCCTGCTCATCCCCTTCCGCCAACCGTCGACTCATGTCGGCATCCTCGTCATGTGCCAGCTCTTCAACGGCATCGGCACAGGCATCTTTGCTACCTGTGGGCAACTTGCCGTCATGGCGGCTGTCACGCACCAGGAGATCGCCGTCGCGACGGCACTTTGGGGAATGTTTGGGTCTATTGGCGCAGCCGTCGGCCTGACAATTGCTGGTGGCCTGTGGACAAATGTGCTTCCTGGAGCGCTGGTCAGAGAGTTGCCTGGGGGCAGCAAGGATCTGGCGGCGACGATTTACAGTAGTTTGGTCATCCAGCAGGAGTATCCTGTGGGCACGGAGATCCGGGATGCGATCATCAGGGCGTATGCGGATGTGCAGAGGAAGATGGTCATTGCGGGCTGCGGGTTCGTGCCGTTGCTGGTGGTCTGTATCCTGATGTGGCGGAACTTGAATGTCAAGAAGCTGGAGGAGCATCGGAGTCAGGCGAAGGGGACGATTTGGTAGACGGGGTGGATTTGCACAATTACGAACGTTCTACGAGACCTACTGTCTGCTGTCGAGTGCTCAACGAGAGTCTTGAGACGTTTCTACAATCACATCGGGGAGCCAGGTAGGGTAATGTGGACGCCTTGCGAAAAGCTCGAGCCATATACAGGTCCGACACATTGAAGCTTCTTTCAACGTCAAAGGTCTGTTCGAATGAGTCCTCGATGGCATTAGGGCTATGTACGAAGTTTGTTGGGTTGAAGGTGCATTTCAAGAGTGGCACTGTCACCGGTTGCTCGTATTGACCTCATTCGACGCGCTCGAGGACGATTCTCGTCGATCTCCGTTCCCCGTTGCCGTAGAGAACGAAGCCTTACGTTCGTGCCAACTCAAGCATTCTCAGACTCTCTCAGGAGATTGCTAGCTGCTGAACATGGTCTGCCGCACATGCATGTCGCAGTCACTTGATGTAGTTCGTCCCTGGATCGCAAGCGCCAGTCTGTCATTCGCGTCAGACGCACGCGAGTATGGCATGAAGTGGAATGCTCGCAGCCTCAATATCCTCGGCTATCTGTTCGAGTGCGAGCTCGTCGCTCTCGTCATTCACAGCTTGGATTTCTCAATCTTCCCCACGCTCGGATGCGCTTTGACTGTGTCGACGTTTCAGACCACGGTTTGGCTGGCGCAGCTCTTCGTCGTTCAAGTCCTCATTGGTCGCGTTCGCCACAGCCGTGCCGGAAGCCTCCACCTGTTCTTGCTGATTGACGGTGGCTTCCTCGGCCTGGTTCGCCCCACCACGGGCATTGGCTCGACCCACGGGTCCGGTCGATGCAGCCTCACCAGACTGGTCGATGCTTGCTGCGGGGCCGGTACCACCGTCGTCATCATCGTCGACCACGATGACTTGGGACGAATTACGCGCTGCAGGCAAGACTGTGTTGCGGTGCTGACCGGTCGAGACGCCTTCAACTCGAGTATGACCCTGCACGAGTGGAGGAGGCACACGGTTTGCTTGAGCTTGTATTGCAGATCCTCCATAGTACACTGGGAGTGGATGACGAGTGCGAGCAAGAACTGGTTGAACATGGTGATGCTGGCCGACCAGCTGTTGAGCTGTCGCTGCACCAACTCCGTGTATAGTTCCCGCGGTGGGCACGACTCGATTGACAGTGCCAGCTACTTGTCGAGCTCGAGCGCTTGCTCTAACCATTTTGTGCTTGTTGTAGATCTTGGACTCAATTTCCAGAACAGTGAGCCTGCCTTGAGCGCGTCTCATCTGTTCTTCGGTTGGCGTCGCCTGGTTGACATTGTGACGAGCTAAATGTTGGTCTTTTTGCTGTGCGTACGCCACCATTCTTCGGGTGACTGCATCACTGAACCTCAAGCACAGATGGAAAGCCACTTGATGTCCAGACTGTGCGAGTCTACTCTCGTATGACGAAACATCCAAGTCCACAACGGTCCCTGGAGCTCCAAATCGATCACAGCACTCAGCTGCTGTCATCGCTTCATGCATGGTGGCGGCCAGCCGTATGCTGGACGGGATATCGCCTCTCGTGGTAGGCTCGGTCTTGATCCAGCGCGAGAGATTGAGGTTGGTGGACAGCGCTACCTTCTGGTCGTCGGGTACCTCAGGACGGAATCTGGACAAATAGAGCTCTCGAAGCCCCTGTCCTTGTGTTGTGAATAGAGACGGACTATCCCAAGCAGAAAATCCCAAGTACTTCGAGATGATATCGTCGAGCTCGGGATTTTGCACGACGAATCCTTCGACCCTGAATGCGTTGAGTATGATCGCCATAGCTTTGGTCATCGTTCCATCGATCAACTTCTCCAAGTTCTCAAACCTCAGACTCTTTTGGTATTCAATGGACCCGACCAGATTGATCTTTGACAGCACGACATCGACAATCTGATTCTCCAGCTGCCAACGCGCATGGCTCGAAGCAAGTACATACAGATGCCTAAGCCTGAATGCCCCTGACCTGAGTTAGCGGAGTCCGACATGCGCGCTGTCTGAGACCAGATCTGACACCTACAATTCACAAGACGCCATACCTCCTTGCGCTCTTCCTGGGTTAGGGCATTTGGCGTTTTGGTAGCGTTGTCGATCAGGCAGAGCGGTAGACGACAGATTCGTTGGAGCTTGCTCAACTACAGGAGTCGTTAGATTCTCCTGAACGCGACATTGATACATCTCAGCTTACCTTCCATTGTTTTCGGTCTTCTCCCGGGCTGAACTCAATCTGCAGCGTTGCGTCCGGGCCATCACCAAGCACTTCGATGCGAGGGTACTGCTGCTCCATGACGCAAAGTGTCTGCAAAGACGCCTGCCGCTGCTTTCTGATGCTGATGTCGTGCCGAGCGACAGAGGAAGGAGAGCGAAGTCCGAGGAGCTTTATAGCGCTTCGCAGTGGGGCAGACGTTTCTGTGAAGCCGGCCTGTACCTCCATTTCGCTCTTACACTTGACACTTCAGGGACAGATGCAGTATAGTGGCTTTGACATGATGCAAGTGGAAGCCCATGTTGTCCATCACTGCTTCAATGTGATGCATAGCTCATGGGAATGCTGAGGGCCAGGAGCTCAACCGCCCTAGAGCTTGGGAAGGGCAGGTGGGACCCATTGTTGGTCCTGGTCCCTTCCACACAACCGAAAGAAAGTCTTTGCTAGCAAATTAGCAGCCTTCGGGTTTCTTTCTTCATTCATATTGGTATTGAATAGCAAAGAGTCTGGAGAATGTAGCACAAAATGACGTGTGTAATTCAGGCAAAGAAGGCATTCACGTCTTGGCAAGGCTGAACCTAGACTTGCTGGTCTCTAGTGTGAGTGAATGTTCAATGTCATCGAAGCTACTTAGTATCTACGATGTCTCTTCCATCGAAGACGCATTATCAGGCCAATCAGCAAGCAATGACATTCGAGCTATCTGCGAGGCTCGTCTCACCAAAGTCGCAGGCTAGGAGTAGTCCGCTCGCTGGTTGATTGCTTTCTTTTTAATTGGAGGCGCGACAGTTCGTCGCTCGATCTCGATTTTTCTTGACAGATGGCGACTGCTATGTCTCCATACATCAGACCGCCAGCCCAGCCCAGCCCAGCTCTTTGGACCCGCGTCAAACCAGCAACGGTGATGATAGGCATGACCTGGTTTCTACGCCGTCTCATATGGCTGGCTCAGCATCTACTGAGAGCTCGAGCACACCGACTGAGTCAAAATAGAGTCGCGGTGGCCTCGACTTCTTCTGCAATGTAGCAACCTGGCTAGGGTTCATCGGTCTCGATGCTTGGAAGTGCGCGGTCCGCAGACGGAGTTCTGTCTCGGCCTTGGGCATCAGTCATCGTTGGCGCAGGAACAGGTGCGTCCAAGCCGCTCGCAGGCGTGTGAGACCCAGTGTGCATACCATCGAGATCCACGATGTAGGTTTCGATCTGGTTTCGAGCACAGTATCGCGCCACCTCCTTCGCTTCTTCAACCGTTTCTGCCAGGCGAATACCCCAGGTAAGAAATCGATTCGGGCTCTTGACCAGGATCCAGCGCGAATTCTGCAGGTAAGGGGACTCCAACACCTTCGTCTCATCATCTGGCCACGGGGAGTACTTGAGCCAGTGATGCCGGAGATCTTGACCTTGCGAGGACAACATCGAGATCAGACACTGAGGTACTGTGTAGCCGAAGTACTCAATGATTATGGTGTCGAGCTCCGGGTGTTGAATAACAAATCCGTGGATCTTGAATGCAGGCAGCATGGCTACAACTGCTTCGCATGCGGACTGGTAGATGTGGTAGCTGAGCTCTAGGCAGGTCGTCGGCAATGGGTCGCAATTCCTCATGAAGTCGAAGCAGCCAACCTCTAGGAGGATAGCCCGTACGAATTGCTCTCTGCACGCCATCCCCAGCAGCCATGGCAATTTTGGATCGCTCAATTTGTTTGCGAGTTCAAGAAGCCTAAAGTATTCTGAGATATATCAGCACGGTTCAATACATAGCTTTCTGAAGGTCTGTCTGCACTTACTGTTGACTAGGCGGTGGATCTCAACGCGGTCGTGGGCTGACAGTGGGTTCGGCGTCATGACAGGAACCGTCGTTAGGCACTCGGGCAGCGCATAATACTCTTTGAATGTGAACTAGGATCCACGTTAGGATGTCTGCGGCGCGATGCAGCCATGGAAACCTACTGTGAACGGTCCCTCAATTCGCGTCGGGCTGATCTCGACACGACATTTCAGAGTTGTGCCTCTATCCACAGACACGTCATGCACCACGACAAGACGAGGATAGATCACCTGCGCCATGTTTTGCAACAAGAGTACGGCCTGGTACGATAGCGTCGGAGAGGTCAAAGTTGTTCGACGAGGAGGACTGACCAAGACCGCAGTCGAGGGAACCGCTTATAGCTCTTCGTTGTGGGGTAGCCGTGGCTACCCAGCTGGCTTGGGCCCACATTATGGTATGGCACTTGACATTCGAGGACCTGAGATGAGCAGCAACCATCTATAACGTGCCATCAATATCTAGAGCGAGTTTACTAGCTTGATATGATGTCTTTTGTGCAGAGAATGCAACGGAACAGGAGCATTAGATCGTGGAGGCCAGGCGGGTAAGTGGGCTTCTCTTGCTTCCATCTGTAAGCCACAATGCTCTTTCATGCATTGCAGTGAGACTCTCTGCCAGCACCATAGCAGTTCCAGGTCTCTCTCTGAACTGTGAATTGTTCGAATGTAGTTGTAGAACACCAGGGTACAGTAGGATGCAGCAAAAAGTGACGTACAGAGAAATCAGGCAAAGAAGGCGTCCATGTCTTGGCAGGGGTAAACCACCGCTCAAGCAGTTACGACGTCGCACACTCTCATTGTCCTGCACACATCATCAGATGCCATCTTTGCATTCCTCTCATGGACCAACTACATGCTGCATGTTAGCCTATAATCCGCCATCGAGACCACGGTCATCTGACTAAGCAAGGGTGAAGCCGATTCGTTGTTGTTGACTTGAATCGCAGACCAGTATGACATTCTACACAGACCAACGCCGCCTGGCTCGCATAACAAGCTGCTGTGAAGCTCCAATGAGTCCCAAATTGTGCTGGCAAGAGTCTCTTAGCCGGCTCAGCGGCGCTCCGGATCTTCCCACACGCGTTTCCCTTCCATGTCCCAACTCCCTCTTCCTTCCCACTCAATTCTCCTCATTCCACCGCCGAACCAGCTCCAAGTCATCCCGCAACCCCTCCAACTCCCCTCTCTCCGTATAATTCCACCAGTACATTCCCTCTTCCACCCCCAGCCACCCCACCAAGATATCATCCAGCACCGCACACGCCACGCCGCCATCGTCTTCGCGCCAAAACCCCTCCAGCACCAGCACGATCATCTCCAGTCGCAGCTCGGCGATCTCGCGCTCCAACGCAAGCATGCTGCTTGCTGGCTCTTCTGTCTTGCCCGCTGTTGCGGCTTTCGAGAGCACGCCGTTGGATGCGACGAGGAGGTGGTCGGAGGCGCGGCGGACGAGCCAGTCGCCGACGCCCGGCTCAGCAGCGATGGCAGCGTCTCGGAGGAGGATGGAGTTCGCCCATGCTGGAGCGTCTTCGTTAGCTTCATATTGTATTTAGTGTCTTAGACAAGGGCTTTGTACCGTTATGATAACCCTGCAGAGACGGCAAGTCGATCTTCGCCGGAAAGGGAGCAGAACAGAGGGGCCGAAGGAGCTTGAGTGGGAGATCGTGGTGGGCGTCGAATCTAATCTGCAGGATCTTTGTCAGAACGAGAACATGAGACTGCAGCCGCAAAAGCAGCAAAAGCAGGCTGAGATACACTCACAGTTCGAACAGCGGTATAGCGACCAGGAGCCAGCTCGACCCAGTAAGCAAACCACTCTGGATGGCCTGCAGCCACGACTTGAGATACGACAGGCATTGCTGTGCCAGCTTTTAACCTGTGCGGTTATGTGATTTTGCATGTATTTAGGTGCATTGCAGGTGCAGGTGAAATATTTCGTGTATGAAAGAAGTCTGGCAGGCTCACAGAATCAGTGGTTGACTAGTCAAAAGACACCTGATGCCAGGCGTTGACGTTGTTGCTGAGACGAAACAGGAACAGCCACGCAGCGCAACAGAGAACGGGACTGCACCTCCTGAGCAGAATGGCCATACTCGATTCGCAAGACGGAAGGCAAAGCCCTCCCCAGCCATAGATCCATCGCAAGACTACTCATGAGTGTACAGTCCTGGCGCCACCACGGAAAGAATGTCTAGTCCTTTCTCATCGCTCAGAAAGCCGAGTATAAGGACAACTGCAACCTAAGATGATATTTACAAAACGGCCGCGATATACCTATGCAACAGCCAGAGTATGGGAGGAAAGGGGATCAAATTAAGCGGTTAGAGCACAGTTTGATACGAGTATGATGCTGAATGAAATTAGACTATACTACATCGTACTTACCGTTCACCGTCTACCCAGCAGCTTCTTAGTCTCGCTCATCTCGAGGCACGAACGGTCCCTCAGCAATCTGAATCGCCCTCCCATTACGCGCGATTCTGCTCCACTGGACCGCCTCACCTTGCTCTGTCTGTTGCTGCTGCTTCAACTCTCCCACCCTCTTCGCGATCCTAGCGCGCAAAGCCTTGGGCACCGGGTTGCGACTCAGTAACGGGACGGGAAGGTCACGTGCACGGACAATCGGGACTTGACTTACCTGCTGATGGTCGGCTCCTCGACCGAACATGCTGGGAAGAGTGACATTAGCGGGCTGTACGTCCAGCGTGGAGAAGGGAATTATGGCGGTGGTGACCTGACCATTGAGAGTTCCGAAGAAGTGCTGGCGAGGGTCGGAGAAAGGGTTGGGGAGGGTAGGCCGAGATGATGGGTGGCCAATGGGCTGCTGACTGGGCATGGTTGGAGTTTGCGGTGGTGAAGGTTGTTGCGTTGGATACGACATGGTGATATAGTAGATATGAGGAGGACAGTCGTGGTGGCGCAGAGCACCGCTTTGACCTACATCTTCTGTGAGACTACACAATGAGAAGAACAGACAAAGGCTATCGATGCTCACAAAGGCAGATATATACCCTACTGAGGCCAAAACAACACCCAAGTACTGAGAGACAATCCCAAGAACAAAGAAGCACAGTGCACAGACAATGGAACATCCATATTCTGGAGCTTGCCGGGAGCCGGAAGGGTCGCTGCCACGCCTGGGCAGTCACGATCACCCCAGTGGGCCAGGTGATCGGTATATGACTCGATGAATCGAATACCGTGCATGCTGAGGTCCTTCTCGAGGCCGGAAAGCCGGGCCTTGGCAGGAGCGTCCCTGCCGGAATCGGACATGATCTTGGACTGTAAAGGAGAGCGAGAACAGGAAAGAGGCGAAGATCGATCTGGCGAAGCAGCTTCTCGCCACCGGGTCTTTTAGACGGAGTTCCTTAGTCACTGGTTCATTCATACTATTGAAGAGGCCATCTCGACCAAGCCTTTCCAAGTGCTATACTTTTTGCTGCTAAGCTGTACTCACGCGGCGCGGTAGACTCGCCAATTGCAATTCGCTCGCGCTGTTGTCGTCCTATAAGATGCTTGTAAATGCTCACTAAAATATGAAACCCGTAAAATGCTGAGATCGTTCAATCCTGAATATCATCAAGTAGTAGCGCTTGCCCGATCAAGGACTTCCGGCAATGCAGGAACCAACATCCGACGACCTGACGCTCGACCTGCACTTCCATCGAGTACGAACGGCCCGATGTCATTCCTAGGCGTCAAGGGACCATCTCCGTCCATCAGCCGTTCACCATCAGGCGTCTGGGTTCGTGCACCGTCGAGGCTTGCGCCATTTGAGGAGTTCCGGGGAGGCACATCTATTGAGCCCCTATTGACGGAGTCGATCTCGGGTGAACCCGGGTTCGTGGCTTGTCGACGAGACAGCAGAGAAGGAGTTGAGCCAGCTTCTGCGTTTTGCGGCTCTGCTCCAGTGGCTGGGGTGACTGTGATAGCTGCAGGTAGGTCCATGGTCACATCGCCGCTCGCCGAGTCCGCGTCCGCGTCCTCGTCGTCGACCTCCATCTCCACGTCAACGTCGGCATTCAGGTCCCAGTAAGCTCGGCAATTTGGACATTGAAACTGTGGATAAGTACTTGCTCTACTTTCGATCATCGGTCGAATGCACTTGTAGTGCCAAGTATGCGCGCAAGGTGCGTAGAAGAGTGATTGGCAAGGCTGTTCCAGCGTTAGACAAGCATTCGACTGATAAGATATACATACAGCTATCTTCCCAAGGCATATTGAGCATTCGTCACTCTTAGCGTCTGCAGCCGGCTGGTCTTTGGCAATCATCTGTAGCTGAGCATGTCGTTGCTTGCTGCAGGGATGTTAGTTCTCTGATCGTGAAATACCAAAGATTAGTTCTCACTTGAAGTTGTTCGGCTTCTTCTGCCAAGATCGATTGCACTCGATGCGGATCTTGACGCATCTGAAGATCTGCTCCTCGCCGCCACGGAAATCTATTCCGAGCTGAACGATATCACCGTCCTTGACTGGGAACAGCTTCGACTCGGTATTCGGAGGACTCAGCCTGACGTGGTTTAGGAAGGTGCCAGAGGAGCTGGCAACATCCTTGATATGCCATTGTCCATCAGTGCAATTGAACTCGCAGTGTTTCCGCGAGACCACTTTTGATTTGAATCCGACAGGTGCATCAGACGGACCCGTGGGGTTTGGGTTCGGAACTCCTTCTCTTTCAGAGTATCTGCCGACTCGAATTGTGGCATTACCGTTTGGCAAAGTCCTCGAGATTGGTGTGAAGCTGAGGGGCGGTCTACCATTTCCTCGGGCTTCCAGGTGCGGAAAGAAACGTATGGCAGGTAAAGTCGTCGCTTTCGTTGCCGGAGTGTCTGCAGAGGGGTCGGCAGCTGAGCCAGTGGTCGTACTCGTAGTTGCTCGCTGGGATCGAGGCCGAGTATTTGGGGTTGTCAGGGACGCAGCAACGCCATCTGAACTATTCCTACGATTTCTCGCCATATCATCAGAATGTGACTGCTCTTCCGGAGCGGCTTCGTTGTCGGTATTAGTTGTCTCGCCGGCTGCAGGAGATACGGAACGCAGATCGGCTATAGGATTGTTCAAGCGGCTGGTAGCCTCATTAACCAGGTGATCGACGGCTTCGCGGTCGTTTGGACGTGTATTACTCCTTTGACGTGAGTGATGAACACGGCTGGGCTCGGGATAACTGGTGGAACGATGGAAGTAGGAGCGAGGTGAAGTGGCTTGTCGCGGCGAATCGGCGCCAGTTGGGCTGCCGGAGCCAGAACCAGGCCGAATCTGGGAGGAATGCGATAAGTGACGCAGATAACTCAATGCCCGCCGGCGGGAACTTGATGAATGCAGGTTCACGCCTTCCGCAACTGGCGCCGACACAGCTGGGGAGAGCATGAGTCGAGCAAGAACGGGAAGCAGACGTCAGGTGCGACTGTGGGTGGGAAGTAGTTTCCAATGGGATCGGCGGATGAGGGGCTGCGACGACCGTCTCAAGTGACCGGCTACTCGTACTCAGCAGTAGCGTGACCTCGAGCAAACGATCGGTCCTTGCTTTTCGCTTGCGAGCAGACGATGGGTATCGCCAGTAGTGAAACTGGGGTGTAGAACACCGCAGCAGTCAAGCTGATCGTAGCAAGGCAGTCTTGTGCAACGAATACTCGCAGATTGGAAACATGGGGTGACACAACTTTTGGACAGTGAAGGGAGAAGTAAGACGGAGGGTCAGTCAGCCATCATCACAGTGCATGACTTCGCTCGGTATTCATTGCTTTTACTGATTGCTACAATCAGTTCGGCATCGGCTACGCTACGTACCATTCTCTTCTTTGCCCACCGAAGTGGTATAGTGAGACCACCACCAGGGTCCTTGAAGCATATACGATGGAATCTAGAAGCGGCTGATACCGACAACGTGCTACTTGACGCTGCACGAAGGATGTTAGCCGGAACCCATTATGGCCCATTGCGGGCAAGAATAGGGCCAATCCATGCCTAGAACCGCCTACAGCAGGACCCTGCAGCAGTTCCTGGAGCTTGACAAGCCCGATGAATGAGCTAATTCCTCCTATCTCCTGCAGAGCATGGAACCTTTTCCCGTGGCGTTCGCTCACTCGCCGCAAAACTCTCGAGTCTGGCGTACCAAATGTTGCAACGCTACACAACCTCATCTACTAGATTGATCATCTCGAAACGGGCATCCGCCGGATACTTCAGTACCTGAATTCTGCAATTCCGTTGACTTTGCGGGGAGATAACGATCAGCGGACGGTACCTTGATCAACCAGACTGGAAGCGGAACGCTGAGCATGCGCACGGCAGCAGTGCGAGCGCTGAGGAATGCTCGCCTCTCCTCTCGTCTCTCATTAGCACCATCGCCAGCGAGGACATATGCCACAGTCAACGCTCCCGAAAAGGTATGTACTCCGTCCTAGGTCGAAACACCCATTGATCAGGACCAGGATCCGGTAGAGCTTGACCAGATCACCACTCTTCCAAATGGCATCAGAGTTGCGACAGAATCGTTACCAGGCGCCTTCTCCGGCGTCGGCGTCTACGTCGAGGCTGGCTCGAGGTTTGAAGATGAAAGCCTACGCGGCGTGAGCCATATCGTCGATCGATTGGCATTCAAGTCGACGAAGCAGAAAACAGCCGATGAAATGCTCGAAGCGTTAGAAACGTTGGGCGGCAACATACAATGTGCGTCATCGAGGGAAGCTCTCATGTATCAGTCCGCGACGTTCAACTCGGCTGTTCCCACTACGACCGCTCTCCTCGCCGAGACGATTCGAGAGCCACAAATCACAGAAGACGAGGTGCAGCAGCAGCTCGAGACAGCGGCGTACGAGATCAACGAGATATGGTCAAAGCCAGACCTGATCATACCCGAACTGCTACACATGACCGCATATCGAGAGAATACACTTGGCAATCCGCTGTTGTGTCCTAAGGAGCGCCTGCCTGCCATTAACAGAGATGTTATACAAAAGTACCGCAATCAGTTCTACAAGCCCGAGCGAATGGTCGTAGCCTTTGCTGGTACTGAACACGCCGAAGCCGTCAAACTAGTTGAGCAATACTTTGGCGACATGCAGAAGAGTTCAGAACCTACAATCTCTACCCAAAGCCCATACACACCACCGCCTACGCCACCACCTTCACCATCAAAGTCGTCCTCTTTCCTCTCCAAGATCGGCCTCAGCAATTTCTCCACTTCGGCTACTTCCTCCGCGACGGTCTCACCTCTCGATCCGTCAATGCTCGAGCCGCCACCCTCACTTACTTCTCTGACCCAACCTGCACACTACACCGGCGGCTATCTTGCCCTACCCAAACTTCCAGTACCAACCAACAACCTCTCCATCCCGCTCTCCTACATTCATCTCTCTTTCGAAGCTCTACCCATCTCTTCACCAGACATCTACGCCCTAGCCACCTTGCAAACCCTCCTTGGCGGCGGTGGCTCCTTTTCCGCCGGCGGGCCAGGCAAAGGAATGTACTCGCGACTGTACACCAACGTCTTGAACCAACACGGCTGGGTCGAGTCATGCGTCGCCTTCAACCACAGCTACACCGACTCCGGCCTCTTCGGCATCGCTGCCGCCTGCGAGCCCGGTCGTGTTGGCCACATGGTTGATGTCATGTGTCGCGAGCTGCAGAGCCTGACTCTGGACACCGGCTTCCACGCCATGCAAGCCGGCGAAGTGCAACGTGCGAAGAACCAGCTTCGCTTCTCGCTGCTCATGAACCTTGAGTCACGTCTAGTCGAGCTCGAAGATTTGGGCAGGCAAGTCCAGGTCCATGGGAGGAAGGTCGGTGTGCAGGAGATGTGCGCCAAAATCGATGCTCTGACCGTGCATGACCTACGGCGCGTAGCGCGGCAGGTCTTTGGAGGGCAGGTATACAACGCTGGGAAGGGGACCGGTGCACCGACGGTTGTTGTGCAAGAGGGCGAGGATCCGGCGGGAAAGTATACCAAGCAGATCCGTTGGGAGGATGTGCAGAGCCGGATAGCGAAGTGGAAGTTGGGGAGGCTATAGGTCTGATGAGGTCTTTGGAATAGCCGTCAATGTAGGGCAATTTGATGAATAGTGGCCTATAATCATGTGTGTACAATACTCACCTCAAGGGAGCTTTGACTTAACTTGTTGCATCAGCAGTCGACTCATGTCGTGAGCTGAGTATATTCTGACGGGTATGTCGAGTTGAGCAGCAAGGACGGCGATACGTGCCAGCGTGAAAGTTGCTGAAAACTGAACCTCGCCGGCTGAGCAGGCTGAAGAAACCCAGACCGGTTGACTGCAGACAGGGTTCCTCTGGACGCCGGTTGACAAGAAAGCTTCGCATGAGACCGGATGACTAGTCGCATCCTGACGCAATACCGTTGCCATTCTCTCGCCCTGCTGGTAATCTTTAGCACTCAGTTCTCCTCTACCGACCTTTCCTTCTCGGCCCTCTGCCAGATCTTACATCGCCACAGATGGTGCAGGGAACGTAGATCGGAGCTGATACGTATTTTAAGGGAACGGCAATAGCCTCCAGTGGATATATATGCTAGAAGCCATCTTCCAGAAGTGCTTGGTCATGCAAATTGTCTGGCTGGAATTTGAGACCAGTCAGGACGTGACAGTTGGCCAGTGTCAGGGCAGAGGAGGCATGAACGATTGGACATGATATGCGGCGTGTCTCTGAATACCTTCGTATTTCCAATCGAGCAGCGAACGAGCGTTATCTGACAAAGATTGACAGTACTTCCCGAAAAGTTTTAGGCGGCAGTTGGCCCTGAACATATCGCCTGATCTCCCATCTTTCCACCATCGTCAAGGCAGCTGAGCCTTTTGGCATCCTTAGACAGCATCATCGCCATTTTTTTCCCGCAACGCCTCACCCCGAACCTTGAACGTCCCATCCAGCTCCCGATCCATATTCTTAGCCTTCACACCCAAACTGAGCAGCAGACTCACTCCCTTGACAGCACACATGACAATCCACACAATCCTCAGCCCGTCCAACCACGCCCTCAGTACCTCTTCCCTCAACAGATCTCCCGGACCGAAATTCCTCATCTCGTTGTACACCACCGCCTCCGCGTCCGTAGCATACCTCTCACTCAACCCCACGGCGCTCAACTTTCCAGCAGCAACGTTCTGGAAGACCGAAGATCCAATGCTCACACCAACACACATCCCCGTACTCCTCAAGAATGTATACATCGCCGCTGCCGACCCACTCCCACGATCACTTGTCGTCGTAGTCTGCACCCCAAAGTTCAGACTGGTCAAGCTCATCCCGGTCCCAATCCCCACGATCGCCAAAATCCCAATCCAAGTGCCCGTGCAAGTCTCCTCGTCCAGCACCAACAACAGCCCATATCCCACGGTCTCAACCACGCCTCCACACCACACCGCCCAGCGGAACGTGCCGAGCTTCGTCATCAGCACGCCCACTACGATGGAGGTAGGCAGACTGAACGCCAGTGCGGCCATCATGTCCACACCTGCGACAGTGGGGCTCTGTAGGCGGATACCGGAGAAGTAGAAGCAAACGTAGTACAGCGCCATGAAGAGCGTCGTCCCGTAGAGGAAAGAGCAGGTGAAGAGGAGGACGGCTGAGATATTAGGAAAGACGTTGCGCTGCATGAATGGGCAGAATGTTCCCCAGCGTTCCCAAATGGCGAATGTGGCGAGAGCTGCGCCGCCGACGACGAGCGGGACAATAGTGTGCCACGACGACCAGGAGTACTGGTTGCCGCCCCAGGATAGCGCGACTAGGAGAGAGGTCAGGCCTGGAATGAAGAGCAGGCCGCCAACGTAGTCCACCGTAGCGAGCTTCATGCGCATCGTCATGGGTGAGTCCACGGGCTGAAGTTTTACGAAGACCCATGTGGCGATAAGGGCGAGGAAGCTGATGGGGAGATTGATCCAGAACATGAAGCGCCAGCCTTCGCCATAACCATGGGATGCGCCTACGCCATGCGAATCGGAAAGCAAGCCGCCGACCACCGGGCCAGTGAGGGTGCCGATCGCCCATGCCAGGAGGACGGTCTTGCCGAACCATTTAGGTCGCTCGCGCAGAGGCACAATGTCGGTGAAGATGCATTGGCTGAGTGCAACTACTCCGCCGCCACCGATCCCTTGTACGACTCTTCCCGACAGGAGAGCCGTGGCTCCATGAGCCATGGCGCACGGGATGCTACCGACGAGGAAGGCCAGAAGCGAGAAGAGCAAGCAGCAGCGGCGACCAAAGATGTCAGAGAGGGCTGCTAGGAATGGCTGAACCACAGCATATGGCAGTAGATAAGCACTTCCGGCCCAGAAAGCGGTGGTCGTGGAGAGATTGAGCGATGCAGCAAGGACAGGAAGAGATGAGATGAGTATGGTGCTGTCTAGTGCAACAGTGAGCGAGGCCAGAGACACGGTCGCCATGATGAGGAGATGCTCCAAGCTAGGCTTATACTTGCCTGTGTCGTCGGTTGCAGTAGGTGCCGACGCTTTGCTTGAGGCCTTCGACCTGGAGGGTGATAGATTTGGAGTCGGTAGAAGGGATGGAGATGTGATCTCGTCATTGTTGTACTGGCGAGTTTGAGGCTGATGTTCTTGAATGGACGAGTCGTCAGTGGTGATACTGGCAGTACGTGACGCCGACAGTGGTGTCTGTGTAGCTTGGTGGCGAAGACTCTGATGGTGAGAAGGGGCAAACATGAAGTCGGTTTGGGTGGCGTTAGTGGTCTCGTTTGTTGCCATAATGAGCTGTGCTGATGCTACGCTATCAGCCTGCTCGACAGCGAGTGTTGCTCACGATCTGGGCTTCGATGTGGCGGTGGCTGTTTCGACGTAATTTGATAGCTGCGGGTTGTTCCGATTAGTGAGAGCGACGGCACAACAGAAGCCGTTGACAACAAAGCGTCTTGATTCCAGATCTGCAGACTATAGTGACAAGTTCTGTGGGCAAGCAGTCACTCGATATGCGTATTATTGAAGCTGCAGTCGATGCTAGCACTGAAGTCTGCCCGCGAGATGGGAGATCAGAGTGAAGGGGAGGAGGGAAGTATGTAGTTGCTCGCATCGGTGTTTGTGCATGTGCTTTGCCGTGTCCACAATGAATCTTGGTTGCCAGTCCCGTGGTGCTGGTTTTCTGCAGTCGCTTGACCAGTATCCGAGTATGTCAATGGTGAAGCTATCGTCGGTTAATCTGATGATCAGTCTGGTTTTGTGGGTTATCAATGTGACACAACGATTGGAGGCGAAAGTTCAGACAACTCGTCTTGGGTCGGTGGAGGGAGTAATGTGACCAAGCCAACCGTCTGTGAGCAACTCTTGAAACGAACTGGGTCCGTTGCTGTTATGGCGCTTGCTGAGCGGTTTGTCCCTGCTCTGCCACGGCTTAGCAGCGAGTCAGGCACCGACCAAGCATCGCGAGGCGGGACCAGCGGATCTGTACTGTCGTTTGCTGTCAGACTAGGTTATGTTCGCCTCCTGTGTGAGGTACACTCCCGTAGAAGCCAAGGTTTCGTGCGAGTGGAGAAGTTCTACTGGCGGTCAGAACTAGTTGAACCGCACGTGAGAGTCGCTCTACGTAGAGCTCTCGTGTTTCCTTCCAACACTTCCGTCAGTGTAAATCGACAACATCTGTGCCGCTGGGGAGGGATCTATCTTGCTCTTCAATTGCGACTCAGTGTCGGCCCGCGGGTGGGATCAGCAGGCACAGCACGGGCAGAACGCTTCCATCCGGTGTGCGAGCAAAGTCGCCAGTCGTCCAGCTCGCAACATTCTGCCGACTTTGACAAACGAACATCCTCATCTTCGCAGTAAACGATGCAGCATAGCGACTGTTGCGCATGCCAGGCAATCCAACAGTTGACATGTTTGACGTATGCACGACGTTGCCTTGCATGAAGCAAGCCCGGCCGTCATTTTAGGCGAGCCGTGATGCGGGTCATCGAACACCAGCGAAAGCGTCAGGAGGGTGGCGAGCTGTCTATTCGAAACACAGTCCAGACAGGAATTTCCATCGCCATATCACATTGGGAACTTGGTGAGAAAGCGTAAATCAGATCATGATCGAAGATCCCATGCAGGTTGCCGTCAGCCACCCGTGAGTTGAGGTGTGCTAGTCAGATGCCTCGGGACTGAGCAAACTGGCTGTGACGGCGATGGCGTAGCTATTGCAACTTGTCTCATTCTCAGGTCTGGTCTATACGTCAAGACCAAATGTGAGCAGGAACGAACAACGCCTTCCGAGATGCCAAAAGATGCTATGAGGAAGCAACTACAGTACTAGGTACGATCGAGGTTCACAGAAGGTTCGGATCGAAAGTTCTTGGCGACCAGGTGCGATCCTACGGAAAATTCTTGTGACCGCCCTAGCAGTAATGGAGCTTCTGTAACACGTCTGCTAGTCAAAAGATTGCTGTATGCAGGCTAGTAGCTGTCAGATATTCTTTCTAGGGTCACTCAGCCATATTGCGGTCTCTAGCTTCTTCCACACTCTTCTCCCAGTCTATCCTACCGAGATACACAAACTCAATGGCTGCAACCAGTCCAAGAGCCATGGCAACGCCGGTCCACAGACCCCACAAGCCCCAACCAGCTCCAAACGCTGTGCCAAAAGAGATCGGTAAGGCAAAGACGTAGTAGCAGCCAAGTTGTACATATCCCCCGAATTCTTGTCTGCCAAGTCCTCGAAGCATGCCATTGCAGCAAGCGGCCAAAGCATCGAATAGCTGGAAGGCAGCGCAAAGAGGCAGAATCTCCGCAACGATTCTGATGACTTCTGGGTCGCTTGTGAACAGTCGTGGAATGTAGTCTTTGAGCGCAGAGAGCAGAGTGACATTGAAAACGCCTACCAATGTTGCTGCGAATACGGTAACTCTCATGCTCACCTTCGCAGCGTCTGCCAAAGTGGCACCAATAAGGTTGGCGACTCGTGTAGAACCGGCAATTGAAAGAGGGAATGGAATCTGGAAGGTCAGAGAGCTGACGGTCGCCAGCACCGATTGTGCCGCCAAGATCTCTGTGCCGAAGTAGCTGGCAGCGAACGTCAGTATTTCGAATGCTAAGCACTCTGCCTCGATCATAACCAAGCCCGGAATGGCCAATTTGATCATAGGGCCCCAGTTACGAAAGGCTTTCTTGGTAAATCCGTTCCAGCAAGACATGCCGCTCTTGCTCCCGAACCGGACATAGAGGAACAGTCCGAGAGGTAGTAGGTTGTCGGTGATCGCTACGGCGATAGGAGCACCAACAAATCCCCAGCCAGATGCCAGACGAAGAGCCAGTTCAAGAAAGCGTTGAAGGGAGCGCAGAATATCAACACCCAGAGAGATGCTGAAAACAGGCCCTGGGCTTGGCAAAAGCGTTTGCCAGCCTCGAACGCAGCATATCCAGGTGCTCCAGCGAGGACAACTCTGAGGTAAAGACCTGCAAGATGAGCAACTTCCTTCTCCGGAACCAGGGCCGACAAAATCTCGTCGGCTAATAACCATATAACAGCGATAGGAATCGTGATGGCCCACAGAAACCATACCATCCTTTGCATTTGCAGTCCAACGAGCTTCTTCCGGCCCGAGCCATACGCCTGAGCACACAGCGTATCCAGAGATGTCGCCAGACCTTGATAGATGGCATATCCCGTGATATTTGCTGTCATTGATGCCAGTGACACCGCACCAAGCTCGGCAACACCAATGTGTCCAACAGTGAAGACAGAAGCGACTGTCAGAGAGTATTGTAGCACAAATGTGATCATGAGAGGGAGCGCATATCTGCTGATGACCTTCGCCTCTCGCTGCCAGGTAGTCTGAATCTTGCCACTCGTCACTGCCTCCTCCCAACGCTTGCTTATGTTTTCTGGATCACCTAGACCGCCATACTCAAGGTTCGGATCGGGGAGAAGCGCGGCAGTCTCGGTCGCTGGATCACCAGCAGCTTCGTCTGGAGGTACTTGCTTGTTGCCGCCAGGAATGCCAAATATGCTTCGTCTGCGGTCTTCGCCTGTCCGCGGGTGCTTCGCTGGGATAATGTCATTATCGCGCAGCAAGCTGCGCTCCTCTTCTAGTGCGCGTTGCCGCTCTTGCCTCGAAAGCCTGTCTTCTCTCCATGAAGCGCGTGGTAGCAACGCTGCTCTGCTGCCAGCAGCCGAGAAGCTTGGTCGTCTGTAAGACCCCACGAATGAATGTGTTGCACCTGGTGCCGAGGTGGACGAGAGCGGCCCATTCTCGTAATCATCCTCTGAGTCCGAGTCACTCTCAGCAGCTTCTGAATCGGAGTACTCTTCTATGTCACGAGCGAGGGAAGCTTGAGCTATTGGTGCAGATTGGCCGAATGAACGCGACATGCTGGTGCCGACGCGCTCTAGGCCCAGGATTGGCTGTGGTGGGGTAGGCATGGTGCTCGATTATCTTATATTAGTTGTTGACAATCTTTTGAGGGCGGTTGTTGATGTCTGGTTACATGTATATATACTGAGGGTGCGGTCTGGCATTATAGAACGAGGTCGAGACCATTGTGCCGAAGGAACGGTAGCTTTATCAGAGTTCAGGTTCCTTGATACACCCCTCTGGGTGAATTCAGGCTCGGCTCCTGCCCCCCATATTAGCTTAGGTAGGCCCAGCTGCTGCTGCCAAGGAATCTTAGCAGATTTGGCTAGCATACGCCATTCTCCGCCGGAACATAAGGTGAGAAGGGTACCTAGGTGCGTATCTTCGCCTGTTGGCCATCAGCTATTATTATCACCACTACTTAGGTATGCTGCAGTGAGACGATCACGGTCTGGGAGCGTTAGGTCGAGCCATTACGCCAACCGTGTAATCCAGATTTCATGGCGACAACTCTGGTGGCAGAATCTGCGGGCGCTTCCGTAGAAGATGAGTGGCACATCCTCTTCAATCCTTACACCAAAACCATCAATGTCGACGAAAGCTTTCCCGACAACCCTTTCAAGCTCTTCACCAGCCGCCCTCTCTTTGCGCCTCTGCTCTTCCCAAACCTATCCTCTGATGCACGCGATCACTGCGCCAATGAGCGAACATTTCTGTCCTGGCTACGGCTGTCCGTATATCTCGCGGTAGTAAGCGTCGCCATTCTCATCAATTTTCACCTGAAAAGTCAGCCCAGCGACCTCGAGAGGCGGCTCTCACATCCTCTGGGTATCATATTCTTTGTGCTGTCACTTGCTTGCCTTGCTACTGGCTGTGGCATATATATGCAAACAGTCACGAAGTACGCGCATCGGCGGGCCCTCGTGCAGAGTGGTGTCAAGACGCAATTTGTGTTCGGCGTCATAGCCTCTGCTATCATTGCAGCTTGTGGTCTGTTCCTTGGTGCTGAGGTACAGGCGCAGAGGCTCCACGGTCGTTGATGTTCTCTGTGGACTACGCACAACTGGTGCGTAACGGCACTCAGCTCAGCTAGTTGCAGAAGATCGTTGGCGTCCATTACGCTGGATGGTACCTCCTTCAATGTGCGCAAAGGATGCCAGTCCTGACGCACCGAAAGAATCGTTACGAACAGGCTAGCGAAGTCCTGTGGTGCAACGTCCGCTATGCCACATTCACTATCTTGGGTCACCATTGACTCGCCAATCACCCCAAACCTCAGCCGCAACTCCCCACGAGCCACTGGCCGAAATAGGGCGACCAAGTTGGGGGTGTTCCCACCCGGAGTGGCCCCTGTTATATACCCCGGACTCTCGGAAGTTCCGGCCTAAAGTACAGCCTATCCGATAGCTAACGACAGTTTGTGCACGACTTCGGCCTGATTCACAAAATGCTGCAAGCCTGGTGCTACAGCCGCACATAGTGGGCAACGCTCGCATCAAATTCATGCTGCGCGAATCTCCATTGCAAATCACTATCTGCTCGGCCTGGGCTCGGGCCAAGAAAGAACCCACGCCCACCCCCGCAGATCCCAAGATCCTTATCAAAGGTCGATCCTGGCGTTACATTCGCTAATGCCCGTCTTGGGGGCAATGGACTTCGTTGATCTGCGCCGTGACCCTCGTGCGCTATAAAATAGTCGACATCCTTCCTGCCAACCTGTCCCATCCTCATCGTGGACTTGCGCGCCAGACAGACACCGTGGCTACCCCAATTGCCACCGAAAAGGTGCCAGAAACAATGATGGACAGCAAGACTGATGCCAACCTCGAGGAGGGTTCTCTTATGGAGAAAGCTCGTACTACCAGTGCGACGTACAATGCAACAATGAGTCTCGATCCAGTCGCTGAGAGAAAACTTGTCTGGAAGCTGGATCTTCGGCTCAGTGAGTTGGCTACCCTGCAAGACTGCTGTTTTGACATTATTCTAACCAGAGCTTCAGTGCCTGTTCTTGCGATCATGTCGGTGCAACATACTCATACGGGCGGGCGCTGTGACTGACCCTTATTCCAGGTACTTGTTCAACGCTCTTGACAAGGGCAACCTTGGCAATGCGAAGACTGCCGGTCTTGAGGATGATCTGAACTTGACTGGGAATCAGTACAATCTGCTACTCAGCATCTTCTTCATTCCCTTTGTCCTGACTAGTCCCTTCTTGGGCGCTCTCGGCAAGAAATATGGACCTTCTCGTGTGCTGCCAATTATGATGTTCACCTTTGGCTCAATGACTTTGCTCACGGTTGCTGCTCACAACTTTGGCGGCTTGATGGCGTTACGCTGGTTCCTTGGCATGGCTGAATCCGCCTTCTTCCCTCTCGGTATGCTCAAACCAATCTCTGAGGCTACGAGCGCTGATGGCTTTTCCCAGTTATCTATTATCAGACCACTTTCTATCGCCGAGGCGAGCTCGCTCGACGACTGGCAATCTTCTATGCTGCGGTAAGTCCTGACCGTTGGATTCTCTCAGTTGCATCGCGGGACAGCCATTCATTGTGGGCCACCAGAATGTATGCCCCTGCCGAGCATATGAATACTCCAGCTACCACTATGAGCTCAATTTTCGTTCAGCTTGCGCCAGACGCTAATCATTGGAGCAGAGCAACATCGCCAACGCCTTTGGCGGACTCCTCTCCTTCGCTGTCTTCCGCATTCACACAGGTGCCCTGGCATCATGGCGCTATCTGTTCATCATCGAAGGCGCTCTTACGGTTTCGTTCGCCGTTTTTGCATACTGGTACCTGCCATACAACTCTCAAACGGCCAGATTCTTGACGCCCGCCGAGAAGGATATAGCGTTCTACCGCATGCAAATGGATTCTTCCTCGATCGTCGACCAGAAGTTCAACTTCAAGGATGCCGCCATTATCTTTCGCCACCCAACAACATGGATGATCCTTGGCATCGAGATGTGTCTAGGTGTACCACTTCAGTCTGTTTCGCTATACCTGCCGCCCATCATCAAGCGGCTTGGATATGGGACCGTCAAGACCAACCTCTACACGGTCGCCCCCAACGTCACTGGTGCCGCCATGCTCCTGTTGCTAGCATTCGCTTCGGATTACACCAAGATTCGATCTCCTTTCGTCGCGCTCGGTTTTGCTTTCACCATGATTGGCTTCATCATTTATGCCTGTGTCGACGTCAAGTCCCAGCTGAATGTCGCCTACTACGCATGCTTCATGATGACTTGGGGTACTTCAGCGCCATCAGTCATCCTCGATACCTGGTTCAACAACAACATCGCCAACGAGAACCGACGCATGCTGTTGACTTCAGTGGCTGTACCGGTCGCGAACGTTATGGGCCTGGTGGTACGTATTCCTGTGATCCTGTATCGGGCGCGAAATTAGTCTTCCGGTCGTGTTTCTTCTCAATGCGTGTTCTTTGTTCTAACGGGTGCAATAGAGCAGCAATATTTTCCAAGCGAAAGATGCACCCAAGTACTTCCCTGCTCTTGCCACAACGGCCGCCTTTGGTGGAACTGGCCTCATTTTGACATGCTTACTGATGCTGTGGATGATCATCGACAACAAAAGACGCGACAGAAGAGCTGGTCGTGTGGTCAGAGCTAGAGATATTCCGACGGAGCTCCTTGCGGATGGACCAGCATCGCCAGAGTATCGTTGGCAGTTGTAGAGGAGGAAGGACGTGTCGGTGGTCCAACTACAAACGTCAATTCGAAAAGTGGCAAGCCCGCCGGCATCACTCGACTTGATGCTAACATACGAGGAACCTGCCGTATACAGAGCCAATACACCTGGATTTCTTACAATGGAAGTCAAGTCCCCGGCAAGTGCATGTCTCACCGTCCTGGTAAGCGCAACTGCATCATGTGATAGCGACCGAGTAGCTACCTCTGCAGTCAGCGTGTTTGCTCATCTCTCATCTCGGCCTCGAGAGGACCGACCTGTGTTCGGTCGCCTCAAATCGTCTTCGTCTATCACCCTTGCTCCTCGAGGCAGATCGCCGCGATAGTTGCGGTCGACCACCACATAACCACCATCGCTCGGTCTAAGCACTTCGTACTCAACTACCGTACCACTCCGTCGCCTCCCAGTTCGTCTCGCCGCGACATTGGCTTCGCGTTCGCGGTCTGAATGCCGCCTTTGTACAGGTGATGGTGGACGCGGTGAACGGGCAGCCGTCCGTACAACGCGTTCTATCTGATCGACCTCGCGAATATTTCGCCCTCGCGACGGCGCACGACTTCCAGTTCTTGACCTCACCACGGCGGCTCCATCGTCGCTATCACTCCCATCACCTCCCCCACGACCTCGATTCCCTGCCCTCCCTCGTCCATGCAGACCCCTGTCCAAGATAAGCAGTCTGACTAGCTCATCCGTCTCGAACAGATCCCGCTCCATCCTCCTGATCTGCACTCTCTGAACCTGTTCAGCCAGCGATTTGACCATATCCTCAGTCTGCCACCAGATGAAACGGTGCGACATGTCGGTATTGTAGAACTGAGCACCCTTCTGAATCAGATCCGCTCGTCCCTCATCCAACTCCCACTCCTCCTCATCCCCTCTGAAGATCTCTTCTTCCTCCTTGAGCTGCTTCGCAGACTTCTTCCGGTGGTGGCGCTTCCGCTTAGTCCGCCGTCTTCTGGCACCACCTTTCTCGTCGTCGCCAGACGGCGTCGAGTACTCGCTACCATCGCCACCCTCCACGTCCCTTGTCCTCCGCCTGCCAATACTCACGAGATCGCCTTCGGACCAATAGTCCCCCTTTTCGATTGCCTTCGCCCTCAGCCCCGAGTTGACCAAGAACGGCCTCTCCAACCTCCGGAACTCCATCCACAGATCCCTGACCGTAAAACTCAACAGCTTCGTATAGCTCTCCTGCTCCTCAGCAGCCCGAATCCCGCCCCTCCTGCCCCCTCGATGCCCCGGCGCACCACGCGACACACCTCCAGCACTACTGCTGTCTAGCGTCTCGGGCATGACTCCGAAGGGGTCGCGGCCCTCAGCAATGCGTTGACGTAGATAGGCCCTCTCAGCGAGGATTTCTTGGCGGAGATTGCCGAGTACGATGGGGATGCGCGTTGGGGCGGAACGCATGGTTGAAAGTAGAGAGGAGTAGACTCCCAGCAGGGTTATGATAGTGATGGCGAAGGAGATGAAGCCAATGGTGACAGAGGCGTAGGAGAGGGAGGTTGGGATCGCCATTGTGGTAGATGTTGGTGTCGATTGCCGAATGTGTGTGGGCTACTGGGGCAGTGAGTGCAATAGCTTGTCGATGTTCCGTGGGCTTTCAACAAGACACAGTGGCTTCGTCGTTGTTAGCCCACCGCCTGTTGGACTGGAGATCCTCACAATCAACGTGTTTCCGGATGTTCCGTGGCGATCGACATACAACACATCTTCGTTCACTGCCTTTCCCGGTCCTTTGCACTCGCGCTGCGACCAGCCATCGCGATGAGTCGACGGCCTCCTGTGTTTGAAGTCGTCATGATCAGCATCTGACATGCCGCGACAAGTTCGTCGCGGGCTTCGCCAGAGTGTGGAGTCCCCCATCCATTACTCATCAGGACGTTGCGATAGTGATTGTTTTGAGCGTCGCTAGATCGGGAATCGGTTTGTGGGGAGATCCGATATGTCCGAGATCTATAGGTCCTGTCATCCGGTCTAAGTCGTGGTTTTTGCGAGACCGGTTGACCAGCCACCAACTGGCATGGCACAAGTGACTTCCTGGATAACCTCGGGAATAGGAACAGCAGCAAGAGCAGGAGCACATAGGTACCGCCCCTTCTCGTCCGCATATGCCGTGGCCAAATCATGCGTCACAGGCGCGTTCCTAGCGCCTTCCACGATCGCTGGACCCGTCAACCGGCCCAGATGAAGGTCTAAGTGAGACCGGGTGACCAGCACGAACGATCTCACAGTCATTCATCACGCTGGCTTCCTCGAACATGTCTTACTTACCAACAGCCAAGAGACTGTAGGTCTGAATCGGAGCGGCTGGGTCTACGGAGCCAATTATGTCTCAAAACGCCCAAGGAAAAGCTTACGCTGGATGGTCGGCTCATTGCCGCTCCCGCGTCTCTTCATGTATTGACGATATATATTCGTACCGATATTCAGCACCGATTGTAGCTACTGACGCGCCACGTATCTAGGATGAATTAGACCGAGGATCAATTCCAACAAGTTATCAGAATCCCGCGATCTGCCGTGAGGTTCCACTGGATCCTGTCCTCGGAACCCCCCAACATCTGGGCCACATATCAAACAACGTCGTTTGCGCCGAAGACATGTCAGTCGAGCAATGCTATTCCTCTTCGTGCCACTTCTTCACAACCTCACCATCACCAATATTGACGAAGTCATACTTCCCTCTCGGCGACTGCGCGAGCAAAAACACGAACTCCTCCTTTTCACTAACATTCCGAACTCGGTGCGTGTCACCCGGCCCAACAGCTAGAAAACTACCACTTTGCATGTCAAAGTCCTGAGAGACGCCGTCTTTGGTCGTAGTCTCGATGACGGCGTTGCCTTCCAATGGCATGAAGTAGTCCCAGACATTTTTGTGGAAGTGTGGTGGGACTTCACCTCCGTTGGGTGCGAGGCGGATAACGGTGAACTTGACCTCGCCGCTGCTGTGCACGAGCGTTGGATGCCAATTGGCTGGCTTGGGAGGGACACGCGGTACGGTGAGTAGGGAGGTGATGTGGTCGGGCTTGATAGCGTTGGTCACACTTCGGCTTTGCTGATGGATGTAGTGTGTTGGCGCAATGGCGCGTGCCGAGCGAGGAGCTTGCGGTACCATTGTGAAGAGGCCATTGATGCATCGTCTCATCTTCTTTGCCATGTCCACCGGTATTCAAGTGTTACGCCAGATGATTCTCCTTTGAAAGCGGGCTAGTTCCGAGTCCAGAGTTGTGGTTTAGAGACACCGAAACCCCACAAAGTGGTGATGGTGATAGTCTGTGGTCTCACCAACACAGAGTCCAGTCTACCTTCATGATTCATTGCCTTTCATATCGCTGCCACTGGGTGGCTTGACGTCAGCCCCCCCAGATGAGGGGCCTGATATCCGCGTGTCCTGCTCGTATACAGCCTACAAATCGGGCTCGCATCGGAGAGCTCACTATCAAGGAATTTTGAGGTGGAATCGGAAGGCAAAGCAACTGTCCATTTGCTGGGGAAGAGGTGGACAGGCATGCGTGACTTGGGGAGTACGAAGCCGAAGGGTGTGGTGAAGGCGAGTGTGTGAACGCAAGCTTCGAGCCGACGATAGCGTGCTCAGTATACCTGTAGACGCCGCATGGTGCTTCAGCCAGGGACGCACCGTAGAAATGAGTTGCCATCTACTTGTCGCCTTGACTTTCTTCTGCTGTCTTTTTTGACTTATCCTCCGACTCCCATTCCTTGAATGCTTTCTGCCGTTGCCGCGAGTTCCACTGTAGTGTTCTCGAAATACTGTTGACCCAGTCCTCGCTTCGCCTACCTGGAGGCATAACGTTGGCGAATGGGTAGCGTGAAGCAGATATCGTCACGTAGTCGCCTGGGCAGAGCTCGACGCTGAGACAAGACTTAGCATATCATCCACTATACCATCCACTACAATGGCCATTGCAGAGTAATTGGGACCTGGGAGAAGCGGAGAAAAGTGGTACTTACCGTTCTCGACCATCGAAGCTGGCCCAGCTGTTCGCCCGAGCATCATAGGGAACGCCCAGCCTCAACACAATGGTGTCGGGTAAGATAATGGGTCTGAAGCTCAAAGTGTGCGCGCAGATCGCTGTAACAAGGATCACAGGATTCTCAGGATGACACAGGCTGCCACCAGCAGCAAGGTTGTATGCTGTACTGCCTGTTGGAGTGGCCACACAAATACCGTCTGCTTGTACAGTTGTCAGGTGCTCCTCGTCGCCGAAGAGCTCAATACTACTCATAGTCGGATTAGGTCCACGATCCACGACCACATCATTTAAGATCTCGAATGTCCGATCTGGTTTGTGGGTATGCTTTCCTTCAGTCTCGTCGTGCATCAGCTCCTCGACAAGATCCGCATCCTCCGCGGACTCATCCTTCGACTTCTGACTTCGCATGATGGTACCTTCGAATCTGAGTCTCAGACTGATCGTGACACCTTCCCGGAATGCTTGCGTCAGAGTCTGTTGGTAGTCATCGAAGTCGAATTTCGTCAGAAAGCCGAGTGATCCCAGAGCAAAACTCAGCACAGGTGGCACGACCCTTTGGAACAGCCAGCTGGCATATAGCACAGTACCGTCTCCTCCCAACGTGACGACGAAATCGAATGTGTGCGGTCGGTGCCTGGCGAGCTCATTGTTCCAATATTTGAGCCGAGGGCCAAAGCTGTCCGGATCTTCTTCCACGAGTCCAGCGGCATCGAAGGTTTTGTTCTCTTTCATTGTATCCTCAACATAGACGATGTAGTCAACGTCACGCTCCTTGTCTAGAAGCCATCTCGTCACTTCACGTGTCTTTGCGATCAGAGTTCTGTCGTGGGCTTTCGTGAGTAGAAACACCCGTCGTATCTGCAACTTGACCTTGAGGTTGCTCAACTTCTTCGCCAAAGATCGCACACTCAATGCCATGTCGCTCAATTGCTTCTTAGTCAGTAGTCGCGAATGTGTTGCCCGGACGTCCTCATTGGAATTTGAGCTTGCGGTACTAGCGACTGAGTCTTGTGTCTGCAAAGGACCGCCTTCGTCGATCTGCTCAAGTTGTCCATTGCGCTGTTCGCTTTTTGGTGGTGTAGTTTGCGCCGTCTTCTCGGCAACTAGCTTATGCACCAAGCATTGCGAGGAAGTCCTCTCTTTGTTAGGAGGGGGTTGTTCGGCGGCGGGCTTCATATTAAGATGGATCTTCTGTGCTTCAGAGGCGACAATCGAAGACTTGCGCCGACGTATGGAATCGTTGTCAAATAAGACCTAGTCAGGTACAGTCGTTAGCGACATGATCAAATGGTGATGTAACCATGGCCCAAATTCACGTACCTCCATCTCCCGGTTCAATTCATCGTCACTTGAGTTGTCACCCTCCTGTCATGTTCTGATCAGTACTGCCTGATCGAAAACGGACTATGCCTACTCTTGTGACCGTCCGGGACAGACTATACATGCCATCGCTGATAGTCCGACTGAGATGTGGCGCACCACTAGCACGATTGGGTGCTGCCATTCTGTAAGGACGTTGGCAAGCGGTGGGCCGTTGTGGGACCGGGTGTGTCTGCGGTTCTCAGTGTTCTGTCCTACCAGATCATCATGGCAGAGCAAAGCCTTCTGTAGATAGGGAGCTATATTATAGACTCGTCAAAGAGTCTGGCATGCGAGATGCGAACTTCACATATTCCAGGTACGAATGAACTCGATGACAGAAACCCCGCCGCCTGGCGTGGCGCTTAGTCACTTACCGAGATCTATTAACTGGTTGCAGCTAGGCTCGGATAGGCGTGCCGGGTCCCTGTGCTTGCCTTGGTGGGCTTTCGGCGAGGGCCGAAGTTGATGCGGGAAGAAAATATTTCAGACGCGGTGCACTGGTTGACTTCGTGCTTCTTTCTCTCGGGCGCGCAAGCGTTACCCTCTCTTACGTCGCGTCGCTCATCGCAATCCTCTGACCATGGCAACCAACGGGGACCTCAATGGGTCGGTCAATGAGCCACACAAGTCCTTCGACACGATCCTCGTGCTCGATTTTGGGTACGCGACCGAGACCTTGACCGTTAGAAACGTAGTCCTTTGACTAATGCGCTTGTAGGTCGCAGTACTCGCATCTGATCACTCGGCGACTCAGAGAGATCAATGTCTATTCAGAGATGCTCCCGTGTACGCAGAAAATTGCTGAGCTACCATGGAAGCCAACTGGTGTGATACTTTCCGGCTCGCCGTGGTCGGTCTACGATAACGACGCGCCTCACGTCGACCCAGCTGTGTTCGACCTAGGCGTCCCCATTCTCGGCATATGCTATGGCCTGCAGGAACTGGCTTGGCACCATGGCAAGAATGTCGCTGCAGGAGACAAGAAGGAATATGGCCACGCCTATCTCAACATCGAGCGCCATTCGGGCAAGAAAGAGCACATCGATCGTCTATTCGAAGGGCTCGGCGATGAGCTTGAGGTGTGGATGAGTCATGGCGACAAGCTGTCCAAGTTGCCAGATTCCTTTGAGCCGATCGCGAGTACCAAGAACGCCCCTTTCGCCGGTATCGCAAGCACAGATAAGCCGTATTTTGGCATTCAATTCCACCCCGAAGTGACTCACACGCCTCGCGGGAAAGAAGTTATCAAGAACTTCGCCGTCACCATCTGCAAGGCCCGCCAAGACTGGAGCATGGAGGCCTTCGTCGACAAGGAAATCGAGCGCATCCGTGCAACTGTTGGACCAAAAGGTCGAGTCATTGGCGCGGTCAGTGGCGGTGTAGACTCCACTGTAGCTGCAAAATTGATGCAGGAGGCTATTGGTGATCGATTCCATGCTGTCTTGGTCGACAATGGCGTTCTCAGACTGGACGAGGCCAAGACTGTGGAAAAGACACTGCGGGAGCACCTCAAAATCAACCTCGAAGTCGTGGATGCTGTTGACCTGTTCCTGGGCAAGCTGAAGGGCGTCACAGATCCCGAACGCAAGCGCAAGATCATTGGAAACACATTTATTGAGATCTTCCAGGACAAGGCTAAAGCCATTGCGAAAGCAGCGGAGAACTCTCCAAGTGCCGGAGAGATCGAATTCCTCTTGCAGGGCACATTGTATCCGGATGTCATCGAGAGCATCTCGTTCAAGGGTCCTTCGGCTACCATCAAGACCCATCATAACGTTGGAGGTCTCCTTGAAGGCATGCACCTGAAATTGATCGAGCCACTGCGGGAGCTGTTTAAGGACGAAGTGCGTGCGCTGGGCACGACTCTCGGCATACCTGACGAGCTGGTGTGGCGTCATCCGTTCCCTGGACCTGGCCTTGCCATTCGCATCCTTGGTGAAGTCACTCCCGAGCAGCTCAAGATTGCCCGCGAAGCCGACAAGATCTTCATCGAAGAGATTGTCAGTGCCGGGCTGTATCGCAACATCTCACAGGCATTCGCTGCTCTGCTTCCCGTCAAGGCTGTTGGGGTCATGGGCGACAAGAGAGTCCACGCACAGGTGATCGCCCTCCGAGCGGTAGAGACGACTGATTTCATGACGGCAGACTGGTATCCTTTCGACGGCGCATTCCTCAAGCGTGTCAGCAGACGAATCGTAAATGAGGTCGATGGAGTCTGCCGCGTGGTATACGACGTCACTAGTAAGCCGCCCGGTACAATCGAGATGGAGTGAAGCAGGAGATCAATCTGAAGGATCCATTCTATTCTCAGATAGACGATAGAAACGATAGACAGAGACTGTCCGCAAGGACTTACGGCCAACACGAACGTAGACGACATCACGGAGAGGGACTCCCGGCCGGATCGATTTCAGGGAATACGCGAATTTTTGAGCGACTGCCACTTCGTTACCTAGGTAGTTATTCGCTCCTTCCATCTATAATTCGACGATCTCCGAGCATCGTTGTGCACTCTCCTGAGCCTGTTCATACTCCACCGAATCGATTCTGGACGACTGCTTTAGCAACGACGATGCGACCTTCTCGGTCCGCCGGCCTCTTCTGCGTCCCTCCGTTAAACGTCCACAGCAGCAGACTAGACGCTACCCACAGACAGCCGCCTCGTCGCAGATGAGTGAACCATCAGCACTCGACTATGCCCGCTACTACGGCCTTGTTCAGCGACCTCGGCACCCTCTTCGCAATCTTACACAGCCCGCTCCATTTGACGTCGATATCTCACTGCCGGCCCACCCCGAAGTATTCAACGTTGAAGACCCAGTCAACAGCGAGAAACTAGAAATCAGCCAGGACGGCATGCTATTCCTTTCTAACGCCATACGGCCGCCTTTCGCTCCGCAGTGGGAACAAATCCTCGATAACGCCTCAAGCAGACGGCGGCTCAAATGTGAACTGCCCTTACTGAAACGCAATCATGAGAAGGATCTACAATGGTTTCGAAAGGGTCTCGACATGGACAAGCTTTTCCGGCAGCTCAGCGAATGCCATCCATTCGCAGATGGCATTGGGCGTGATGTTGAAAGGGACCTAGCAGCAGCAGTCGCCAATACACAATCGATGCTACAATCACCTCGTCTCGAACTCACCAAAGCTGCAATGAACTGTGCTATGTCAATGATCCAGCAGAGTCGGATAGCGCACAAGCCACTACAGTATTGGGACCTGCCAGCAAGGAAAAAGGTATGTCAACATCGGGCTCGACGACTTTCTCACTAATCCGTCACAGACCACCTCCGACGAGCCAAAGGAGCCGCTTCTGTCTCTGCCGCTGCCGTCATCGACCGAGGACGACTCTTTGGCACAAGCACAAGCAGGTCTGGACCATCCCTTACACCAGCCAGTCGACTTGGACGAGCTACTGCTACATGGAGAACGCGGGGCAGCTGCGCGTGACGGCAGGTCCATGCACGAAGCTCAGTCCAGGCTAGACTCAGCCGAATACGATTCAATCGACTACGATCAAACCGCACACACAGCGCCCACGACGACAGATCTGCCAATGAAGAGCATGGCACCCACTGAGTTGTCGCTTGGCGGCACGGCTACCACGACTGCGCTCTCGCCTACTTGTACCGCATCGTACGTCGACAATCTGGAAGATCAAACAAACGGCCCGAAAGATATATTTGACGACTTCGTCGACTTTGACAGCTTTCCGAGCACAGAATCGCCCGTGAAGGGTGACGTCGAACATCAAGTCCAGATTAGAAGCAACGTACAGCCTCACAGCGAACTAGGCACGGCAGCGTCCCAGGCTGCGGCACCCGCATCCATCAACCAACTCGAGCTGCCTAGACTGCCCCCAGCCTATCACTTGGTCGCTGTTGATGTTATGACCGCGAATCTGATCAGCCAGCTGCAACCTTACCAAACAAAATCATGGCCGAAGGATGGTCTCGACCATCTTGCTGCCCGTCATTTCTTTCCCGAGCAGATTGACTGTACAGCAAGAACAGAGCAATACCTTACGCCGCCTTCGAAAGTGGCATCTAGCCATGAGCTGCTTTGGAAACAGCCCGGTCTCAGATTGCTCGACGAGGATGACGATGAAGAACCGCTTGAATCAAGTCTGGACTTGTCCGACGAGGTTTCAGCCAATCCGACTTCGTCTGCCGCGCAGGCATGCCTGTCTCAGATCGGAGGCGACGTTCCGCAACACTCAGCCTCAAGACCTTCTCTTCGAACAGCATCATCATCAACGCCAGATCCGAGTTCGATCGTTGACGCGTGCCTATTACAGGATACAAAATTCGGGGTACGTGTCGAGGACACGAAAGTCGTACAGCAGAATTCGGACACCCCAAGTCGGTCTACATTGCCACAGAAAGCAATTGCCGCAACTACTACCAAGATGGATGAGTTCCATAAATTAGCGACTGCAGAGCTCTTGGAAATCAAGACAGAGCCCGACATCAAGAGCCGCCTCGGTGTGACTCAGGTACCAGCTGGGCAGAAGCGGAAAGCCTCATCAGAACTGCTGAAACGAGAAACAGACATGTCGTCTGCGTTAGCTAAGGGATTCCAAATGCCAACGATAACCTGGCAGCAACCAGCCAAACGACGTCTGATTGATACAATTCGCCAGACTCGGCCTGTACATCTGAACTCGAAAGGCGACAACCCCAAGTTCTCAGCAACAGGCGCGCTTTCATCCTTTCTCGACCTCAGAGCAGGACGCTTTAAGAAGCCGAGCCTTCCTTCCGCAGAAACATCAGAATCCATACTCGCTAGTCGGTGCTCCTCACCGTTGTTCTGTCCTCCGGATGTGCAGCCATCTCCGAATCCACGCAACACGGTTGAAACTGAGCTGTGCAGGAACGGCCCAACATCTCTCAAATTTGATCCAATCTTCGTCTCACAAGCCTCTGAGTCCCCACCAGACGACCAAGTCGACGTCCCTTCCACGCTGAAAGAGACGCTGAAAGCGTTGGCTATGGATAGCCCTACTTATACACCGCTCACGCACCCGCGCGTGATTATGCTGGATGAGTCCCTAGTCCGCAAGAAGAGACTTATGGCCGTCATTGATCGACAGGACGACAAAATGCTACGCTGCGTCTACCGCAGATTGTGTTCGACGCCTGATGTGATCTTGAGTCCAAAAGTCTGCTTACTTATCACGAACCTGCAAGCGCTAAAACAGAAGAGTCTCCCAGGCACCAAATCCTCCTCTGCTCAGACAATACAGGATCGCGTCCACATACTCTCGCTGCAATTCGAGCAGGTCCAAGTGATCATCGCTCTGCCAGACCCATCATCCGCTTCAGTGCCAGGTCAAATGGAGACAGTGGCAGAGTTTGCCGCCTGCTGCGCCTCGATACGGTTCAGCCAACCCGATTCCGGTACTGTAACACCGGTTTGGATCGTCACCTCCCCCACCACCAGTACTCAAACCAAGAGTGATCTCGACCCCGTGACCGCCTGGATCTTTCACCTCATCTGCCAGCACAGCCTACCGGTGCTTCCCAATATGTCCTTCATCGATGACACTACGGTCTGGGAGACGTTCCTGCGCGACGCGGGTGTCAACGCGCTAGCAGCGCAGGTCATGTTGGGAATGCTGAAGAAAGATGGTGATGCTGGTGGCGGAGAAGGTTCGGCTCAGCAAGCTGTGTCAGATAGTGGTCGGGAGAGCTGGGGATTGGGGCGGCTTGTGAGCATGAGCGAGCAAGCGAGAAGGGAGATGTTTGAGGCGTTGGTCGGTGAGAAAGCTCTGAGCAGGCTGAATCGAGGTTGAAGGTGGATGAAAGCGAAAGGCGATCTCAGTGTTCTGTGTGAAACCTTAGCTTCAGGAATGTTAGACCAGCAATCAGTGCCGCCTATGTATTGATCTTGCACCGCTGCTAATTCCAAGCTATTCTCGAGGGGGCCACTACGTGGGTCAGACTTGCTACTAAGCCGTCGCTTCGAGTCCTACTTTCCGTACCTAGCCAGAGACTGCAAGCCTACCCAACGGTTACCGATTGGTCAGCACTTGGACTTCTGTTTTCTTGACTCTGCTGGATTCCCATGACGATGCCAACGACACCTAACGGCGCGAAGCTGAGCTTGAGCAAGAGAGACACGTTCGGAGGATCCTCGGGTTGGGCATTAAAGACACTGTTCAGGCAGCGGCTAAGAAATTGAATACGACTGAGGCGTATGGGATATGCTTTCTTCTCTACCGAGTCGGCTTTACAGAGCAAACACGCATCAAGATGTTGTCTAATGCTTTCTGGTCATTCAATCATCATCGGAATTGGATTCAACGCTAGTTCGAGATCGAGTGATGGATTCAACGTGCAGGCTACAGCATGGTGAGGTTCGGTCCAGCATGCAGCACTTCTTTAAATGTTCGAAAACGCTTGCCTGGAATGAAAAGGGAAGTACCGAAGTCGATATCGGTTCCGCGGCGTTCCCTGAAGCAATCGATGTCCTGCAGAAAATCGACCTGTTCAACGGCAAGTGGATGAAAAGTAAGAACAACAGTATATGGCGCTGCCGTCTCAAGCAAGGACATTCATCGACTCCATATTTCGACCTAGACTTCGTCGTCAAGGCACATATGCGTCCTCGTGAGAAAGCCTTAGGCGAGGTGGAGGCACTGAAAGCGTTGCGGCATCCTCACATATGCGCGTATGTTGCGCATTTCCAGTCAGACCTGGGCACAGGCATTTTGATATATCCTTCAGCTTGTATTGATCTTTCAGACTTAATGCGGAACGTCTCTCTGTCGCTCGACGTCACTGGCGCGCTCAAAGATGCTCGGGGCTACCATGTGGACTCCACAGGCCCAATTTTACGATCTCTGTTATGGCATAGTGGATCAAACGACGAAGGTGACGCTGGCCGAACGTCAGGCTGTCCTGATCCTTGCCAGCGTCACTTGTTCGGTCTTGACCTGACCGTACGTATTGCCATGTTGTCGACGTACCCAGCCTGCCTCTGCGATGCCATAAAGTACGTCCACGACAAAGGCATCCTTCACAGGGACTTGAAGCCAGAGAATATCCTTGTGGATCGAAATGGGTCAGTGCTGCTTGCAGACTTTGGGTGTTCCGTCTTCACGTCTTCTTACGACGTATCAGACGGTCCCAAAGGCGCAAAAAGGTACACAGCACCGGAGGTTTTCGAGGAAGGCATCATGTATACTGAAGCGTCGGACATCTTCTCACTTGGAGCAGTGCTTTCAGAACTCGAAACTTTGACACAAGGCCATACGCTCGAAGAATATCAGCTAGTGCGGCTGAAGAACATTCAAGATTCACCAAGGCGGATCGAACGGAGGTTTTCCGATACCATTGGGGAGTGTGAAGCGTGGTTGCGCTCTTTCGAGAGGAATTCGGATCCCGCACGGATCGAGACAATCATTAGTATGCTGTCTCAAGACCCTGGGAAACGGCCGACTCAACGTCTTGCAGGTCAATTGCGACATGACCTTTCATTGAGGTGTACGGACTGTCACACCGCAGCCTAGCGTCAGATGCTGCTTCGTCAACAAGTCGGGCGGCGGGATCGACTTAGTAGTGACTGGGGAATTGGCCGAGGTGTCGTCAGATGGTCTGACTGGTCTCATTTTCGGGGGCTATCGAGAGCCCCACTCGGGCTGTTCCTGAGTGCTTAGAAGCCTGTCGCCCGGGAGCAGTAGTGATTTCGCTTACCACGTGCAAGGTGAACATCGCCAACAGCTCCGTATATGCTCCAATGACATATCCAAGAATCTTGTACCAGACACGACGTGTGATTGGGATTCCTTCAGCCGGCGCTGTTCCGGGCACGAACCAGGACGGGAAGAGGAGGATTCCAATGGCGATAGATCTGCTGCTCAGTAAGCGTGAGGTCGAGAAGTCGACGCCCGGCGACAATCAGCGCTATCTGGAATGCATACCCTATACTAGGGAACGCTTCGTAGAGATATTTCAGAAGAAGCAGTACTCGAGCTAGCCTTAGGACTGGTTGAAGCAAGCCTTCTATCATATTCAACGACGTGTATGGCAATATCCTGTATGTGAGGGGTCAACTACGAGCGTGCTATTATGGGAAAGTAGCCTTACCATATCATCCATAGCCTGCGCAAACAGCGAAGCTGCATACGTTTAGAGTTCCTTGACCATCGCAAGAGCTGCTTGAGGTAGTGTGCATCGTCGACCACGAAAGTCGTAATAGTTGCCTCCGCGTTCGTTTGCAGTCGTACCTTCCAGCCCTGAGAGTAGAGCCAATGCGTTAGAAAGACATCGTCGCCTGAGTCAAGTCTAGTACGGCCCAACCAAAGATCGTGTGTGAAGGCGTCGAGGAATTGATGTGACTTTATGACTTCAGCGCGATAGGCAGCCGTACGGCCCGACAGACAAGTCATGCCCTGATCAATGCGATTGTTAGACGCAACCCGGATCATTCGTCTTGCGAGTCGATCAGCCGCGAGGAATTGCCACAAAGTTACTGCTGCAGGTGATCCTGGAAGACCGGCTTCTTGCAAAGTTCCCACGCCGCCAACGACAGGGTCTTCGAAGCACGCCAGCATGTGTTCCAGAGTGTTCCGTTGCCAGAGCACATCGTCGTCTGCGAAACAAATAATTGAGCCGGATGCTTGCCGAATGCCAGAAGCCATCTGTCCCCGCTTCGAGGGCTTTCTGACAGTCAGGATTCTCAGGGAGGTTCCAGGCGTGGAATCTGCTGACATGCTCTGGCAACTTCTTGCCTTGTCAGAGTAGAGCTTCACCTGTGCGTAGCTCTCTTCATCGGTCACGACGATAATCTCAAGCGGACCATTGCATAATATCGTCCTAAGTGTCTCCAGAAAGGACGATTCAGGACGAATTGTTGGAATGATAACGGTAACGTCGTTCGGAGGCTCGAATGAAGCCTTCCCCGTTAGCGGCGTCGGCACGAAGTTCGAAGCTAGTAGGTGGTCAATGCAGCGTTTTGAGATGCTGTAAATACTGTGATTGGTGTCAAAGCATTGCACGACTGCAGGTGTCTTCGACATACTTACTAGTAGGAGTAGAGCGCGGTGCTCACAAATGTCATCTCGGATGTTTGTGTCTACACTTCACTCAAGCTGATCATGGCAACCATGGGCTACGTCGTGACTATCCAGAATCTATATGTATGTGCTGGTGAGCGCCCGTGGACTATCAAGTATGTGCCGGTAATACGCGCGCAGGCAAGACACCAAGCGGACGCTGAGATTAATCATCATCAGTATCGCTCTGCTCGAGAGTCTGCATTAGCGCAACAGATGTCCACAGATCGAATACTTGGGTATCAATGTCATCTTTTGCCCTAATGATAAGGTGGCAGGAGTTGCGACAGGACTTCGGCACGATTGCCCGGTAAGTTGGTGACTATTGAGGTTTGAGATGCGCTGGCGCGGGACGAGACGCTGCGCAACCCTGCTTGTGGGGCCATTTTCCAAAAGTCCCGAGTGTGCCAAGGGCGCCTCATGGCCTAGGACCAGCTTCCCAAGGCGCCTGCTCCAAAGTTCGTCAAGTTAGGCATCATTTGGGTAGCTTTGACGCAAGACGAAAACGCCACTACAGCGTTGAGCTGTCGCTGAACTTTTACTGATAGGAAGCATGTTGACTGACCTCCTGAGTATGCTGTGTTCCCCGAAAACGCAGAACCCATCTCTGCGGTGGCATGGAGGGTGACTTGAGACTAGACCCAAACAACAATGAGATCCGAGTGCTACACCTTGAGCCCAATACAGACCCGACTGAAGCGGATACCGTGCGTGGCGACGAGCTCAACCCCATTCGCTGTCGTCGTCAAGTCGTATCTCTGCAATCTTTGAAGCCGGGTGTCGGTGCAAGTCCACAGCTCACACTAGAAGCCATACAGGCGAAGTATCGCGCAGTTCACCAAATTTGGGGCGATGCATCATCTGGGACGAGCGCTCATCCAGACTCGGAATGTAGGTGACTTTCCTGTCAGGTGATCAGGGCACTTCTACCTGGCGTTGCTGACGGACTGCAAGCCGACCGATTCGAATGGGGAGACTTTGCGGCGCTCTCATATGTCTGGGGCGATCCGGCAGCACAAGAGATCATCATGGTCGATGGTCAGCCAACAAAGATACAGAAATCCCTTGCGTGTGCTTTTCGATACCTGCGTATGAAGCAACCTATTCAGGATGGTCTAAAGCTCTGGGTTGACGTCTTGTGTATCAACCAGAATGACCCCATCGAGCGCAATGAGCATGTCCTCCGGATGGGCAGTATCTATCAGCAGGCGAAACAAGTACTGTATTGGCTTGGGGATGCGGACGAAGCCAGCAACCACGCGCTGGACCTTATATCTCGAGTTGCCACAGAGTGGCGCAAAAACGCTCAAGATCGATGGCAATTTTCTCTGCGCGAACTTAGGCCAGACCTATGCCGAAGTCAGGGATGGCTGTCTATCCTAAAATTCATGCGAAGGTCCTTCTGGCGGCGAGTCTGGATTCAGCAAGAAGTAGCCATGGGTAGAGCCGACATGCCATTGCTTTGCGGTCACAAAGCGATAGCCTGGGGCGAATTACACGAGGCTCTTTATCTTGCTGCTTACAGAGATTTAGGACACGTGGAGACTCTGCTGGCAGACGAGATCACCAGAGACAACGGACCGACCTCACATTTGTGGAATGCAGATCCTCTGAGAAGGGATCAGGTCTATCAGCTAAATACTATCCAGCGCAAGTTGCGAAAGCTCACAGCAATTGCAGATCGAGAGGCCTTGTTGGCACATCGTATAGCCGCTGTCCTTCACTTCAGTCGATCCTCTGAGGCAAGCAATGACCGTGACAAAGTATATGGTATAGCTAGCTTACTCCCAAGCGCCGTCACGTCCTTGATGCTGGTGGACTACCAGCTGTCGGTTGAACAAGTATACACGTCGTTCACCAAAGCCGTCATCCGAGGCATCCAAGCGCTCGACATCTTGGATCACTGCGTGCTCACGGCAGATCAGCATACGCCTAGTTGGGTACCCGATTGGAGAATATCAGGTCACGCTCGCTTGTTTGGCGGCATCAAGTATATAAAACCCCGGAAGGCAAGCCTTGATATTAAGCCAGTCACGCACTTTAATGATGCCGAGGAGTTGCTGACAGCCGAAGGCTGCAGGATCGACATTATTGACGGCCTAGGTAAGTCGTCAGACTCTACCAACGTGCAGTACAACGTTCAGCGCCAGTTGTTCCAGTCGCGGCGGTCAGCGTCAATGTATGAGAACAGTCCTGAAAATATATGCGATGTGCTATGGCGTACGTATACAGCGAATATCAACAGAAATGGAGATCCTGCTCCAGAGTATTTCGCTGATCTTCTCGATTTGTACGGCGGCAGCGCAAACAGTACTGGTTCGGACCTAGCCGGTGTCTCTCTACAACGTCTCCACTGCCTCGGGGAAGTGCTGAGAGACACCGCAGACCTTCAGTTCGCAGGCAAGCCAATCCACGAACACTTGTCCGACCGTTCGAGCGCTCCGAGGAGAGTAAAAGGAACCATGACGAGCCTTGGACCAGCACTAGAGCGTGTCCACAGAACGTTCATCAACAGGCGCCTCGCTGTTACAATTAAAGGCTATCTCTGTGTAGTGCCAAACGCGAGCTTGCCTGACGACGTTATTGTTGTGTTGTTTGGATGCTCTCTACCCGTCGTTCTTCGCCCTGACGAGGTGAGCGGTCACTGGACTGTGGTTGGCACGTGCTACTGCCATGGGGTCAGTCAGGGCGAGGCAATGGAGCGGCTCAGCGACGGTGGATTGCAGGCCGAGAGCTTTGTCTTGCAGTAGCGTTTGAGTTGGTGCTTACGAGATAGCATCTCTTGAGCGTCACATGGCAACAAGACTAATCCGGGGAGTTCGAGCCAGGGAGGGCCCTCTAAGACTAGTATTTTTCGCTACCCGTACTGGGTTTCAAAGGCCCATTCCAGAGCGCAAACGTTCCAGTTCGGCGTACAACTCCATTTCGTCTGACAGCTCTGAGTCTCCTAGGAGACGTAGTAGCTCCATACATAGCCTCTTCAGGTTCGCCTCATGTGCTGTTGTCTTTGCGGCCTGTGTCGCTTCGATCTGGGCATCTTTTGACAAGGTCGCCACCGCAGAGTCCTCCCTACTGGTAATTGAAGAGTCGATTTCTTCCAATTCATCAACCTCGTACTGCTTCTCCGGCTCCGGCTCCAGCCCAGCTGCCTGTTGCCTCTGCTCCTTTCGCCTCTCCACCAAGGTCACAAAGAGCGGCAGCAACGTCTCCCTGATGGCCTCCGTGAGAGCTTCTCGCGCTCCCGTCTCAAGCACGTCAAGAGACGGCGTGAAGGACGACGACAGGAGTAGCGTAAGCCCAAAGATCCCAGTAGTCTGCTGCGAGCGGGGGCTCGAGGCTTGATGGAGGACGGCTGTCATGAAGGGCGCGGTCTTTGTGCCGTAGGTGGGCAAGTCTTTCGCCGAGGAGCCCTCTGCGGCCAGACAGCGCAGGACCTGGATGCAGTATTGGCCGAGGTCGTGTTTGGCGTCATCGTCGAAAGAGGCGATTGGAAGCTGCATAATTTCTGAATGCAAATCTGGAAAAAAGTTTGGATTGTAGTTGATGCGCCGGGAGACGATGTCCCGGGAGACGATCAGTAGGCGCGTGAGGTTGATCAGTGCTAAACTCTCCTTGAGTCTGGCTGCATTGACTTCGGGAGGCCTCTGCAAGTGCTCTCTCTGTGCACGTGCTTTGCCGAGCATGAAATACAAGGCGTTAAAGATCGAATGATTGATTAGCACGTCACGAGCCTCTGGGACAATGCTGAAACGCGTGAGTAGGGCTATTCCTGCTGTTAACGACGGGAGCTTGTCGAAGTATGCGTCCACCATGTCCAACACGCTTTCAGGAAGCCCGGGGAATTCAGCTACGGCGTCAACCACGTGCTGCTGTGTTGAGAAGGCGTTGTGAATGAGTGTCATTATCGATATGGGTCGCTCGTAGTTGGGGTTCTGAGGTAAGTCGGAACTAGGGTCGTGGACATATTCGAGGTTTTCGACAAGCTCTCTGAAAGCGTCGGAGTCTACGGGGTGTGCTGCCACGTATTCGGGACGACCGGACACATAGTGGACGATCTGGCGGAATGCAGGCAGGTATGGGGAGGCCTCCTCGCCGAGATTCCAGTAGCATTCAAGATAATCCCAAAAGCTCTCGGGTGACTTCGCTAACGCGATCTGGGCATCATCCGTCCGAAGGAGGCTTATGCAGGCTCGCGATAGTTCGTCTCGAGTCTCTTCCCACTCGTCAGTATCGTCGTATCGCGAAGACTTCATCCGGCGGCCATATCTGAAGAGCCTGGCGAAAAGTGGCTTCGGGTCCAGTATGTGGCCTGTTGCTGCTGGGACCAGAACGTGTTTGAGACCGAATGCCGCTGGGAGAAGGGACAGTTCGACCAAAGCGGGGACAAAGCGCTCATGATGCGTCTTTATTAGCAGAACAGCCGTGGAGTCCTCCCCAACGGGTTTCCCAAGATCAGCTGCGGCACAAGACACAAAGATTTCCACATCTTCCTCGCCTTTGATATCAGACGCAGCTTCATCGAAGTCTGTGCAGACGTTGAAGAGTGTGGGCAACACCAGATCGAGATGGCGTTGAGCTTTGACAAGGGCTTTGAGACCCTGGATACCGTCGCGATACACAATCAAAGAGCGATTGGTGTTGTTGTCGGCGCAGCAGTTGGCGACAATTCGTAGCGCTGCACGAAGAAGTTGGTCGTCGTGATTGAGTCGCTCATCACCGATGACGCGCCGTGCGACGTCCAGGATGCAGTCCGGATTCTGTGGCTTTGGGGAGTACCCTATGACCCGCTTGCAGAGGCCGAAGTATCGTCGCCAAAGCTCGACGGTTCTAGGCGCCTCTGCCAGGACCAACATGGTGTCCACAGCCCAAGCAAAACTCAACGCATTTAAACCCATCTGAATCGCGGCCAGGAGGGCTCTGGACAAGTTCTCTAGCATTGTGGCCACAGGCAGTCGAGCAGAATCGTGTTCACTAGCTGACACATCGCTGGTGCCTGTTTGGAGCATAGTATCGATCTCGACATTATGCTTGGCTGCAACCGTCTTCAGATCTTCCGACAATGCTTTCCATGCCTTCGAACCAGTCAGCACGACAATGAGGACTTCCGATCCTACAGGAACTTACATGCCCCAGGGAGGCCTCTATGTCGGCCATCTCAATATTTGGGCCTACCTTATCGCCAGGTGTGATATGAGGTGTCTTGACAACCGAACGTCGTCACGGGGAGGACTCTGTGACCGAGAGCTCCTGCTTCTGCCAACATGCTCGTATCCCCAGATAGATACCTAGGTAGCTAGTCACGTTGTCCACAAGGCTGTACTTTCCGTCAGTTAAGGGGTAGTAGGTTGGCCATTCAAAGCCAGAAGCGCAGCTGTAAACGATAATTCAAACACAATTCAACGACCACACATTTCATCCTGCTTCGAATACCCATACAACGGTCTGTCAACCCCCTCAGGTCGCGTCTGACAGCTATCTCCTTCTCCGAGTACATCAAAAGCGACCGTCAGATCAACGATGACGCGTGCAGCGCAAACGATATCGTTCGCCCTTCTGGTGACTTCGGTGCGCGTGTTGCGATGTGAAAACACTTGACACATAATACTGATGTATACACCAGGCCTACCTCCTCCTCGCTCTGCCGCTGTTCACCGAGAACTCGCCCATACCATCGATTCTTCCAGCGAAGATCCAGAACGACATTATTCCATACCTACCGTTCTGGGCGGTAGTGTCACTCGGGGCGTACCTTCTAGGCAGGCTGGGCCTCGGAGTCTTGACATTTAACGACACACACGATGCCTACGTCGAGCTACAGGCGCAGATAGAAAAGGCCAAGGATGATCTTAAGGCGAAGAAGGTGGACACGGATTGAGTCATTGTATTCCGCAGTCCTGGAATGAATGTAGCACTGGGTTGGCAGCGCACGTTGGCCGGTGTCCTGCCTACGTACGAATAATTCGCACAGCTAGCTGCGCTATGTGCATCATCTTCATCGAGCCACCATGTGATGGCGGCTTTGCCGGTATCCAGTTCTGTGTCGGGCGCGGCTCGTGCTCTCCCTCCTTGCGCCCTGTCTCAAGGCTGAGCATTCTGGATGGCCAAACAGCCATGCCTTTTGCTGTCTAGTACTTGGACAGGGCCGCACTGAGCAGACGGCAGTTTCTGATGCTCGAGAGCTCCTGGCTGGACTTAGGTCGCAGGCTGCGTCTTCGCCATTTCATCATGCTCGTCAATGTCGGTGGCCTCCCAGGGATAGCAGATCCAAACATCACCCACAGTGACAGCAGCCAGGTAGCGATTATCAGCCAACATGTCGTCGGGCAGGTGACCCTTCTTCTCCTTGTCCTTGTTGTGAAGCACAAATATCGAGAATTTGGTCTTTTCATCTCTGCCCAACTTCCTCCGTGCCTCCTCGACGTCTTTCTCGAGCTCTTTTACCGCATACTCTAGCGTGGTACGTGTGTCGTCGACCTCGTCCACAATCAACACGTTCTTGCCAATCAAATTGGCCATTTCGAGCGATGACAGGTCTAGCCATTGTGTGCGCGTGACTTTTGTGCCAGGCTGCTCGACTGGATCGGAGCCTGAGAGCTGCTCGTACAGACTGAGACCGATGGCCTGGATGGGGATGTTTGGTGCGCCTGGCTGCTTAAGGAAGGATCTCTACAGTATCGTCCGGTCAGTGCAGGCACTTTGTGTGCTGTCGTACGACCCCCGGGTAGGCACATGACTCACGAGAATGCGCGCAGGGACGTAGCCTCCTCCTCCGATCGCGATCATGAGGTTGGGTGTGAACTCATCGAGGATCTTGGGCGCCGACTTCTGGCATAATTTGTGAATCTGTTGTCAAGGGCCCAGATCAGTACTCGAACAACGTTTCACTGCCTGGGTTCTTGCAGGAGGGGCTCGTACCTCGTTGTACGTGACGTACACTTTCTGTACCATGTTGGGCACTTTCTCAATACAGTTCGGTTGCAACACGAGAGAGGAGTGTTGAGGAGAAGAGAAGTAGTCACGCAGTCTGTATATAACGGGGCCAGTTCACCCGTCGCCTTGAAGTGAAGAAAAAAAGGTACGGCATCAACTGCAACGGCGGAGCCTGCCGAAGCCCACCCCACCATCCCGCCCCGGTCACTTCAACATTGAAATTTGGGGACGCCCGCGGCTTTCACTTTCAAACTCCTTGAGCTTTCCTTGGTGTCACTCTCACCTTACCAAGATACCCATGTGATTTCGCAGAAGTATGACAGCAGCGCCGCGCGTGGGCAGCTCAGATGCCATAGCTGAAGCCAGCCTTCATCGTGATCGTGCATCCTTCGAGCCTCCAACCACAGTCTCCGTATCCTCCTGCTTGGCGTCCGCCTTTCCCCCTACTTTCGTGTTCCACACTCCTATTGAAGCTACCACAGAAGCTGCAGCCAGTGCCAGCCCAAGGTAATTCGTCCCAGCTATTGCATCGCTGTATGCTTCGACCACGCTCTGTCGCATATCCGCCGGCACAGAGTCGATGAAAGCTGTGGCGCCAGCTCTGATCGCTTCACCAGCATCCAATTGTGGCAGACGTTCTCTGAAGTTTGTCTTCAAGAGAGACAGGAAGATTGCTTGAGCTGCACTGATCATGGTGCCCATACCCAAGAACTGAATCCAGATCACAATCGAAGTAGCCGTTGCGACTTCCACTTCAGCCACGACTGTTTGTACGACGAGGACCGCCTGTCTTCAATCAGTCCAAGCCACAAGTCCATCAGCTTTCCTACTTACCGCTTGCAGGGCTATGCCTCGACCTATGCCGCTGATGACTTGATACCCAATCCAGGCTGCGTGTCCACTAGTCGGCTCGATTGAGCTGAAGAGCCCGTAACTGACGGCGATCATGCCGTGACCGAAGACCATGGGAAGCAGCGCATGAAATCGGAACTTCGACACTGTACGCAAGATCAGCAGTGCCCTGCTTGTGTAGGCAAGCATACTCACTGAGAACTCCTACGACTGCTGCTGCAACCAACTGTCCAATGAACAACGGTAGAAGGCGTACGCCGCTCATCGTGGGGCTCACGTTCTGCACAGCTTGAAACCATAACGGCAGATAGTATGACAGGATGAGCATCCCTCCACCCTGGAGGAAAGCAACCAACAACGCAAAAGCTACCGGCCGAAGCTTTAGTATGTTCGACGGAAGCATTGCTTGATCCTTAAGTCGCATCTCCCAGACTGCAAAAATGGCAAACACTGCGACAGAACCACAGAGCATGCCGATAATTGTCGCGCTGCTCCATCCAAATTCGTTGCCACCCCACTGAACAGCCAGCAGGAGCATAACGCATGCAGGCGCGAGGATTGTGAAGCCAATGGTGTCGAGATCCCAGAAGAGCGTCCTTATCGTCCAAGGTTTCCTTGCATACGTCGGCAATTTAATGAAGGCAAAACATATGACCGCCAGTGCCCCAATCGGTAGATTTATATCTGCCACGGACGTTCAGCAAAGATGAATTGGGACTTACCGCAAGCAGCTCTGGAGGTCGCCTGACAGGGAAACAATGGGACTCACAGAAACACCATCGCCACGAAGCATGCTCCGTGATTCCTCCGGAAACTAATGGTCCGAGCAGCTGACCTAGACCGTACAGTGCCATCACGATGCCCAGCCCCATGGCCCTGCGATCGGGAGGAGAAACGATATGGACGATCGTCATGGTACCGTTCATGATTCCAGAGGAACCGATTCCAGCGACAGCTCGACCGACGACAAGCATACTCGAGGACTGTGCCGCACCGCACAGTACCGAGCCGAATTCGAACAAGACGATGTAGCTGATATATGTTGTCTTGAACGGAAAATATGTGTATGTTCGGCCCGACAGGAGGACGAATGTCACCTGCGTCAAGACAAACGCACTCGCATACCAGCCAATGTCCGAGATTGTATCCTAACTCAGTCAGGAGGGCTCTGTGTTCGTTCATCCCGCAAAAGACGAAGAACTCACGAACTCGTCCGTGATCTTAGGAATTGCAGTCGCAACGATTGCCAGATCAAGGGTGATCAAGAGGACAATCACTGAGAGACCAACGAAGAAGAACGCAAATGACAAGCCAGTCAAGTACTTCCTCGGCTCTGTTGCTTCGACATCAGCTGTAGAGGCTACAGGTTTCTCTGGATGCGACATGTTGCTCGACATCTAGTCTGGACTTTCAGGGTAGGTCGTGGTAGCAAGGCGCTAAAGCGTGGTTTCTGTCGTTGATGGATGGCTATGAGGGCATCTGTTGTGTGTATGAAGCATCTTTCAGATGTCGTTCTACACTTCGCGTTGCAACCCGGTCCCTCAAGTCATGGTATAGACACTTTAATGCCAAGGCCGGACCTACTCCCTGGCTTTTAGCACGCTCCAGTGCCGGGAAACTGTTCCAGGGAGGCCAAGCTCAATAATGATTAGTTGGCGTAAATAAGGCTCCCAGGAAAAGTTTTCCAGCACTGCGGCGGGTTAAGAGCCACGGAGTAGGTCCGGCCTTGGATGGACTCCGTCCGGTTCTTCACTACGCTTTACCACAGTCGTCTACTCAATCTTTCACATTGTGGTTGCCCAGTTACAACACAGTTTTCTCGGCCATGCTCATTGTACGACTTGGGACCACGAATTAGTGTAGCCTGTGTCGGACACATTTGCTGGGCGCCCGGAACTTCATTTGCAAGCACGAGCCGGTGAGCGAACCAGGGCGACCTCCCGGTTGATGCGTCCTCGTAGGACACTCAGATCGCTTTATGCCTTCCACTGCCGGACTTGACTCCCCACCTGACACAGACACGTCCGGTCTTCGACCAGGTCGCGCTTGCCGCAACTGTGCGCGGGTGAAGGAGAAATGCTATCCTCTGGAAGGAACCATGACAACCTGCCGAAGATGTCATCGGCTCAAAAAGACGTGCTCCACGCCGGTCGCACTTTCCAAGGGCCCTGCAAAGCGACTGCAGGCGCGACCTACTCGAACAGTTCTCCAGCAGCCAACGCCCGAGCCTACACCAGCACCAGGACTCTGTGGTCAGCAAATTTCACGGGAGCTGAAGCACCATATCAGCGATAGTCTCCAGGAACTTTCCATTGAGCTCAAGCAGGAGCTGTTCGATGAGTTCTTAATCGGCATGAGACCATCATATGCCTTCCTGACCCTGGAAACGGAGTTCGAAAAGGATGCGCAAACATATAGCTCTGCTCCAGACGAGTCACTTTCATCATTCACAGAATGCAATTCACGCACACCATTCACAGCGGCTGCGATCCTACTCGTCTCGCTTCACCGCCGTATCTCGCTACAAAAGTCCGTTGCGGCTGAATGGCTAGCCTCAGTCTCCAAGGCCCTCATCATCGACGGTCACAAGTCTTTCGACCTCCTGCAAAGCATTCTCCTGGTCACCACCTACTACCCGTATCATATGCTTCGAAGCCCACAATTGCATACGCTCATACATCTAGCGCAGTCACTGGCTGTTGACCTCAACTTGGCCAACTATACATCTCACATAGGAATGCCGTCCCGCATTCGTTCTGACATTGGTGCAGCACTCTTCGGTGTCGTCCACGGCCGGTCAAGTGCGATCGCAGAACATCGCGCCACGCTGGGTTTGTACTACCTCCAAGCCATGTATGCCATCACTCTCCGCCGGCTAGAGTTCCCACGATGGTCGACACGCCTCGATTATGCGTGCGAGTATATTCAACAGCACGGCAACGACTCGAGTGACATACACGCTGTGGGCATTCTACAAGCTTTGAAAGTGGCCAGTGTTTACCTTGTGCCCGACGGCATCCACCCATCAGACTCACTACCAATCCGTGCATACGTACGCTGCTTCACTACTGACATGTCCCGCTTCCGACAAATGCTCCCTCCACGGCTCAAAGATGATTGTGTCTTCGCACAGGAACTGCTGACGATCGAAATCGCGCTGTATGACCTAGCAATCGCTGCTCTAGAGAGCACTCCTCACACGTCCGGCGAGACATATGAAGCCATCTCTGCAACTCACAATTGCCTCATCGCCTTCGTCGATAAGCTCCTCGCCTACCCACTGGAGTCATATGCCCTCATGAATAGCATCACCCTCGGCAGCGAACTATCACAGATGTTTGAAGTCTTCATGAAACTCCATCGCATCGGCAACCTCGACAGCAACAGTCACAATGCTGAGCAGTCGCCACCAATATGGACGATGGCAGACGTACCGCCAAGCCAGCAATTTTCCGCCGTCGCAGACCGCATAGCAGAACGACTGGGGGACGTCTTCCTCGATGAGCGCGCACGCTTCCCTACGGTGGACTGCTATCGGTTCGCAGTATACCCGATCCAGGTCAGGCAGTTCAAGAAGAAGTTTGATGAGCAGTTTGCCACGGCTGGAAATGCTGCGCGTGGTCAACAGGTGGCTGCACAAACAGATCCTGTGATGAACAGGTCCCTGCAGGACATGAGCAAGTCTATGCCGGAACTACAAATGCAGGATGGAGGGATGTTTACCTCGCCATTGCCGGCCTTGGACGACTTATTGCAGTGGGGCTATATTGGCGAGGGAACGGGGTGGCCGTAACTTAGAACTGAAAAACACGACGGAGCTGATACGCGAGAGTCCTATGCCATGCATTTCCCTACTCGCCATGCGTCAAAGACATGCGCGAATTCCACGTCCAACGCTCTGGTGCTACTCAAGTACCAATTCAAATTCAAACGGCGCCGTCTTCAAAGCATACTCATCCAAGGTCTTGGGCCCACAGCTACCCGTACCCAACCCATGATGATCGGCATCCAGTCTGAGCACGACATAGTCACGCTTCAATGGCTTGAGCTCGAAGGGGTGCTTTGCCTTCTCCAGGTCGGCGGACGTGTAGTGTGAGGCGTTGAAGGAGAAACCGGGGGCGGCGCCGAACGAGGCCTTCAACGAGGGTTTGGAGGAACTGCTGGTGCTGGGTTCTGCGGCTGGCTTAGGCTGTAGGGTGGGCGACTGCTCCGGCGCGGTAGGCTGCGTGGCTGATGGCGACATGAGATCCGTAGCCCGTCGAGACAAGTTCTTAAACATGCCTTGTGCAGCGTTGAACGCAGTATTAGCTGCCTGCGTAGCAGTCGCCAAAGCAGCAGACGAGCTTGCTGCCAGCGAGGAAGAAGACAGCTCCACCCATCGAACATCCGTTCTGTTGCCGTTCTCCTGCGGGAATTCGTAGTCCACGAACAAATCGTCCACGCTCGAGGTGTAATTCCCAAAATGCTGCGACAGCTTCTTGTCTTTGTAGCTCTCTCCTGGACCCCGACCATACCAGGATACGGTGTCGAAGGCGGCTGGTAGGGCCATCTCAAAGCCAATACGTGGGACAGTCTCTGGAAGATTTGCTCCTTCAGGCTTGCCGCTGCATGTGATGTGAATGGCTCCATTGGCGTGGATTTGGTAGGTAGTTGTCAAAGCAAAAGACCACGAAAGTACAACGGGCGCAAGACGGGCTGAGACTACAACGTCAACAGTGTTGGTCCCGGTGGAGGTCGACCAGGAGACGGACTTCATGTGTGGTCGTGCTGAATGCAGGTATGACTCGACCAACCTTGCCCGTCTTGCGGTCGATCGTTGTCGGTGAGAGCACGCGAGAGCGTGAGAGTTGGTCCCATTTGGGCGTGAATCAGCTCGACACTGTCCTTGATCCAGGATGTCAAGCGGCCGGAGGCGAGGGAGAAGGTGAATTTGGAGTTGGCCGTGGTTACTTGGAGGTTATGAGCTGATTGCTCGACTTGCGGTGCAGGGTCTTGGGTGTCTTTGAGGGCGCTCAAGAGTGGTTGGGGGTCTCGGACCTGCAGTTGTGATGAGGCGACAATGTGGCCTGCTGGCGCCCAGCTTCGGCCTTCTCTCAAGAAGAAATCGAGCTGAAGGTGTATATCACCTCTCGACAGCTGAGAAGCATCAAACGCTGGAAGTTTAACGTGGGTTTGGGTATGTGGCTGCACATCGCTAGGAATTTCGACGACTCCTAGATCATGCCTGATTCCATCTCCAACAATGTAGGCATGACAGCCCAGATGATCGAGAGTCACAATGTCATATCGGTTGACTATCGTCGCAGTTCCATCCTCATAACCAAGGACCTGGACAGGTTCAATCGCTTTCGCATATTCGGTGAGTCCCGGCGTAGGTGTGTGATTTGAGAACATCAGACCATCGAGAATGAAATTGTAGTCGTTAGGCTCATCGCCAAAATCGCCGCCGTAGGCCATGAACTCCTCGCCCGTCTTGAGATCTTTGCTTATAAGGCCGTGATTTGCCCACTCCCAGACCCATCCGCCCTGCAAGCGTGGGTACTTGTAGAATGCCTCGATATATTCTTTGATGTTGCCAGGTCCATTGCCCATGGCATGGACAAATTCGCAGAGTACTAATGGCTTGGTGAAGCTTTCGACCTGCGCAAACTTGATGATATTATCAACGCTTGAATACATCTGTGAGTAGAGGTCAACAGTCTTGGCCTCAAAATCACCTTCGTAATGTATAGGACGTGTCTGATCGATGGATTTGATGTGGTCATACATTGACTGGAAATTACAGCCATAGAATGCCTCGTTTCCCAGTGACCACATCACGACGCAGGGATGGTTCTTGTCACGGCTGACAAGTTGATGCGCACGATCGACGTACTGATGCTTCCATGCCGGGTTGTCCGATGTCCAAGATCCTGCAGAACTTTGGGTTAGCTCTTTACGCTGTTGGAAGTCCAGATCTCTCTTCTTGACGTCTTTAAGGAGGGCCGCTTCTGCGATCTGCCCGAAGCCATGGCATTCGAGGTCGGCCTCATCCATAATATAGAGGCCAAGTTCGTCGGCGAGGTGATACAGCCTGGGGTCACTGGGCTGATGACATGTTCGGATTGCGTTGAGATTGTGTTGTTTCATGATCAGAAGATCCCGCTTCATGAAGTCGTAGGGGACTGCTCGACCGTGTGAAGGATGGTGCTCGTGCCTGTTGGTGCCTCGGAACACGATGCGTCGTCCGTTGATTTTGTAGATCCCATCAACGATCTCAACACGACGGAATCCAACATTCTGGCTATGTGTCGCCCACCGAAACTGAGAAGAAGTTTGTACAGTGTAGGGGTCTCGGCCGTCCACTTGTTGGGATTGACAAGCTTGATCGAAAAAGTCGTGGAAGACCCAGTCACTTCTTTCTTCTCGGCTGCCACAGGCTGGCCACGAGGATCAATGAGCCTTAGAGCCAGTGTGCCCGTCCCGCTTGTAAGCACATTCACTTTCAAGGTAGCATCCTTGTAATCATCGTCTAGTGCAGTCTGTACGTAGAAGTCCTCCACACGAAAGTCCGGGAAAGCATGAAGAGCGACATCGCGGAAAATACCACTGAAGCGCCACTGATCCTGGTCCTCGAGATAGCTTGCGTCTGACCATTGATAGACTCGTACAGCAAGGATGTTGTCGACCTTGTGACTGACAAATTTCGTGATGTCGAACTCAGATGCATTGCGAGAGCCTTGCGAGTATCCCACCTCATTGCCGTTGACATAAACATGGAAGGCAGAGTCGACTCCTTCAAACCTGAGTCTAAGTTGTTGATCAACAAATTCTGGTGGGACAGTGAAATTTCTGACGTAGCTGCCGGTCTGATTGTCATCGAAAGGCACATTCGGCGGATCAACAGGTATGATGTAGTTGATATTGGTATAATGAGGAGCACCCCAGCCCTGCAGCTGCCAGTGACCGGGAACTTGGATGTCACTCCAACTGGAGGTGTCAAAGTCGGGGCTCTCGAATCCCTGGGGCGCTGAGAAAGGACTTTTGCTATGAAGGAATCTCCATGTGCCGCTCAGATTCAAAGTGCAAGCACGACTGCTGAATGCTTGTAGTGCGCTTGCCTCATCGTTGTAGATGTGGAAGTAGGCACGGGCTGGGAGCGTGCCCCTGTGAATGACTTCGAGATTGGACCAGTCCGGCTTCTTTGAAGGAAATGTACCAGACATTCCGTCGACCTGAGCGATAGGTGCGATCGAGTCTTTGTGTAGCGACTACGATTGTCGAAGACATATAGTGAAGACTATGACGGGACTTCCAACATACAGCACGTTGGTGACACAAGGCGAGGGGCTGTAGCATCATGTAAATTGGGTTTCACCCGGACGGCGGAAAACTGTGGGGTATGGCGGTGTGGGCACTCCGCGTATGCCTGCAACGCTGGCTCGCTGGCTCTTCGATATGCTCGAGCTCACAGCTTGCGGACAGGAAGCTGTGCACCACCTTTCTCTGTCTTGTCATCGCCCTCGAAGTGTTGCCGACTGGAAGAGAGAGCGACAGACCGATTCTAGCCGCGCCGGAAATCGAAAACTATCTTCCCCAGTCTGACACACTCGCGCCGACGGAATCCAACTGTCAACTCCGTGTGCAGAATCGACAGCCTTCCAAGTTCGGAGACATGGATCATAAGTGAGCAACGGTCTAAAGAAGTTTAGGCCCCGGTATCAATCGCATGTACATCGATGCCAGATGATAACCCGAGACGTGCCAATGCTCATGGTGGCGGTCCCATTCCCTCGAAAAAGTCCGGTCTTCTCTTCAACAACGCTTCCATCTCCCCGTCGATATAGCCATGCTCCCAACCCTCCTCCCCGTTTTGCAGCTTCCTATATCCATAGACCGCATGGATGTCGTAGTCCTCCAACCCACTCCCCGTGTGCGGCCTCATTCTCCACGTGACATCAAGCATGCACGCCCCATGTCCACCTAGATCAAACGTCCCTACCACCTCGTACTTCTTGAGCTCCCCACAGAACCCCAAGCCAAGCTCGACGTATCGTTTCGTGTTTGCCTTGATTGCGACAGCGGCTTCTTCGCGGGTGTTGAACACCGCAGCGCCGCCGGGAACGCCGAACAGAATGGTTTTGGGATGGAAGAAGGCCACAATGCGTTTGCAGAAGTCGTCTATCCGGGCATCGGTATCAGTCTCGCTGGTGCCCTCCATAAGTGTGTGACCAATGGCTATTGTTGCCCCGTAGGATTTGATGAAGGCTTCGGCCGACTCTTTCAGGGATGTCATCTTGGAGCTAGAGGTCGGGCGTTGTCAGCAGGCCAGACGGACATCTCATTCCTCCCGTATGCTTTATACCTGGGTATTCAGCCGTTGACTTCGAAGCTCAGCTCTCCTCACGTAATGTTAGGCGCCCAGGATGAGAATGTTGCTAGAAAGACGAGAGCGCAAAATCATGCCATTTGGGATGAATTTGGTTCCGTAATCTTCAAGGCCTCTACACACCAATTCAAGGACTCAAACAACCTGGTACAAACCTCCGCACTCGAGAGCCGGCTCCGCTCAACGTGGCTACGTATCAGGCTTTCGTTTGCGGGTTGACAATCTCCACCTCATCCGCTTGATGCGCTTGCTTTTGGGCCGCGACACCGACGTCTTCAATATTGGACATGTCGGTCGTGCCTCCAAAGATCTCGTCCATACGTTCGAGCGATACCTGGTCCTGAGATCAGTCACTCCGCCCCTGATCTTTTTAGGGATAAGACTCACTCCTTTGGTCTCTGGTATCCAGAAAGCCGCGATGGCCATAACGATATTGATAGACCCGAAAATGAAATATGCCTTGTACGGCGTGGAAACAAGCATGATAGGCGTGGTCTTGGAGACGGTAAGGTTCATGACCCAGTGCGTGAAAGAAGCCAGAGACATGTTGTAGGCCCGCAGTCGATTGCTAGGGATCTCTGAGGCGTATACGAAGGCCACAGGTCCCCATCCTGCGTTGAAAGCAAGTGCAAAGATGTAGACCATGGCCAGGGCGGCGACACCGGCTGGTGGCGGGCTACTATTCTTGCCGATGTCTGGGCCGTATCGCACGTACTGATAGTATGTCAGCATGCCTCCAGGGCCGCCGCAGCCAGCTGCCGGGATGAAGCACTCACAAACCCAACGAAGAGCATGGCAAATGCCTGCACAGCACCACTCCACATCATTGAGATCCGCCGACCAAGAGAATCGGCAAGGAAGAAAACAAAGATAAGAGCGCCTGTAGTCTTGACAATGCCATACACGCCTTGCGCGAAGAGAGCGGTCGTTGTGCTTGAGAGCCCAAGATCCCGAAATATGGTGGGTGCATAGTAATTGATGGCACCGGTCTGTGAGTTGCTTAGTGATCTCCTTCATCACACAGGGACGTTCACTTACTCCCGACCATTGGTTGAAGATCAGCAGCAGGATGGTCAGCAGCGCTCGTTTCCGGTTTCCAGGGACTGTCCAGCACTCCTTCTGGAGACCCCAGAAAGTTGCATCGCCCATGACAGCCTTTTCTTGGTCGAGCTGCGTCTTCAGTTCGAGGAGCTCTTGCTGTAGATACGGGTGCTCGACAGGCAAATGCCGGACGTCGTGCAGCACGGACGATGCTTTGTCCCAGTTGTCACGTGATGCCAGCCAGCGCGGGGACTCTGGACATGCCAGCATCGAGAAGAAGAGCAGTGTCGGGGCGATGCATTGGCAGAGCAGCGGCACAATGTAAGTAGCTTTGCCTGGTAAATGTAGCAGCGAGCCATAGTTGATGAAGTATGCTGTCATACCGCCAGCATCCAGGAGCAGTTGGAAGAAGCCAGTCAGGAATCCTCTGATAGCACGAGGTGAGTTCTCAGCGACATATGTCGGGGCAAGCGAAGTTCCAGCCCCTAGTCCGATGCCTTCCAAAAAGCGTCCGATATAGAAGACAGGCAGATGGCCGAAGGCAAGGCCTTGCATCAGACCACCGATGAATGCAAGTATAGCCACGCCCAAGAGTGCTGGTCTTCTTCCTTTACGGTCTGCAATCGGACTCGATATGAGAGCTCCTAGTATAGCTCCCGCTTGCATCGTGACAACGAGGTTGCCTGACAAATTGGCTGCTGCGCTTGCTGGAAGTACATCCAGACCATATTGTCTGACGCCTTGTCAGCATAAGGTTCGACATTGTTGATCAGGAGCTCACTTCTTGAATCCGGGCATGGCAATCACGCCTCCAATAATGCCTGCATCGACGCCGAATAGTGTACCAGCGAAGCATGCCTAGGTACTGTCAGCATAATGTCGCAGGATGGCGAGAGGCGTACCGATGCTGCAAGAGCTATCACCCTCCAGTTATAGATCTCAGGTGGGTCGATCTTGATGGCATCGTTGCGGATGACAAGCCGTAGAAGACCGTGTATCGTCATGATTGCTTGCGCCGATAGAAGAGAAGCTTGTTGCCTGCTCAGAGATGATGTTCATGACAGGCGCAGAGGTGGTGTGACTCGGTCTAATATATCTGATAATGTGCAAGAGACGCATGGCTGTCGTATGGTCCCGCGCGCGATGCCACAGCTGGCTGTATCTCTGGACCAGCTCGAGGGAGGGATCATAGTTTCGTATGGGACCAGAGTCCTGGGCAGTTCTAAGTGTGCGCCACCGGGGAGTATCGGTTAGCAAGCTCCCCGCGTTTAGCATCTGAAAAGCTCGGCTGAACAGATTGTAGGGTCGGGGGTCGACCTTGCCGTTTCCTGGTGTAGCCTGAGGGCTCTTCGCGCCTTCTTCTTTATGAACCGCGAGTCCCCGAGCTGGAGTTTGCGCTCCTGAATGCACTTGTCTTACCTGAACCACCCGTTTTGATGAGTACTGGTATTGCACCACCGAACGTGGAGTCTGATGACATTCGCGATGGAAACCAGTCATACCAGTCAAGCGCCAGTCTGAAGCGTTCTCGTCAAAACACGGGAGAAGCCGCTCGCTATCCTCGCAAAAGAAGCCTGAAGGCATGCCATGTCTGCAGAACGAGGTATTGATGTATGTCACTCAAGCAAACTTGGCACTAATCCTGGCCAGGAAAACGAAATGCGACAACGTACAGCCGACGTGTGGTTTCTGCGCATCGCTGGACATCAGATGCTCCTTCGATGACACGGAGAGAGATCATTCTTCGTAAGATCCGACTCGCATGCTTTCCTGGACTTCGTGGCGCCCTCTGCACTGCGTGGTTCGCTTTCAGAGCTGCACCCTGCCAGAATCATCCGCATAGCTTGGAGCATCAGCGTGCACTTGCTAAATGCCAGCAGTTTTGACCCAGCTTCCCTGGAAATACTTCGACAGCTTGGCAAGATCACAGAGTCCCAAGATGCACTGTTACAGCTAGTCCGCAGCATCCCCTTGTCAGAATCGCAAGAAGCCATAGTAGGTGCCGGGAACGCTACAAGATTTCTTGGTGGAATTGATGCACCGAATGTGCCTCCCGTTCGAGTAACGGAAGGGCTGAGCCCGGGCTGGTTCCGGCACCAACCCGAGTCCGCATCGTCGACACCATCTGTTGCGCCACATACAGCAGCACTCCGCTGGCTAGGGGCTTTGACTGGCAATGATTCGGGGGAAGCGCTACCTGACTCGAGTCTGGGCCAGAGCCTGGATAGCGGCTTTCTCAGTGGTGAATATGCTAGCGAAAAAGGTCTCACCCCGCTTCAGCGCGCAACACTGTCCGTCGATGAGCGTCCAGCTAGCTCGAGCGACGATGTGGCCAGTAACGCAAGCGCATGGCAGTCAGCGAGCAACATAGGTCTTGTCAACGACGAGGAAGCCCTTTTCAGCCGCTTTGTGCGGCGGCTGTGCTGTTGGGTCAGTATATTCCCGTGGGATTGCGACCTTCTGACGTTGTCGTCTAGTTCGAACAGTTTGACCCTATGAGGCTGTTTTCTGCTAGGGTACCTCATCTGGCTGTTCGGAATGCTGGGTTGTTGAACGCGATCCTCGCTCTGTCAAGCTATCATCACGCTCTCGAAGAAAGTGCATTGGGGACTGAGACGGACAAGTCTGTCCGCCAGAACAGTCTGCAATACTACTATCAGACACTCCACTATGTTCAGAAGGCTATGCAGTATCCGTCTTATCGAAGCAGTCTAGAGCTCACAGCCACATCCATCATAGTCTCGACGTACGAGATGCTGCACGGATCTTCAAATGATTGGCAACGACATCTCCAGGGTGTCTTCTGGATGCTGCGATCACGACAAATTGAAGTCGAGCGTTCAAGTCTCGAGAGCACAATTTGGTGGGCCTGGCTTCAGCAAGACATCTGGGCAGCCTTCATGGAAAGGCGTCGTACCTACAGCACGTGGACCCCAAAGAGAACCTGTCGGGAGCTCGAAAGCCATGAGCTTGCAGGACGTGCACTCTGGCTTCTGGCACAAGTCGTCAATTTCTATTCCCTTGATCTGAACGGCGAGACGATGCTGACAGTCGATGAGCGAGTCAGATGGGCTGACCAGCTCCATGAGATGCTGAAAGAATGGGAAGCATGCTTGCCCTCGGAGTTCTCCCCACTACCGGCATCTGAACAAGATGATTCGGTGTTCCGGGTCCAGATGATACACCCACAATCTTACGGTGTGTTACTAGAACTGCGCTCGTCAGCGATAGTCCATGAATTGACCTAGTATAGGACTCGCAATGCAGGCCCTGCATGCCTCTAAGCTATTGTTGTGGGCTAGCGAACCCTGTCTAGGCGGAGTGGAAGCATTCATGTCCCGGCAACGACTGATCCAGCACAGCGCTCAGACAGTATGTGGTATTGGACTTTCAATGAGAGACGAAGCAACGAGCTTGCTCTCATCGCAGTTCGTGTTCATTGGTAAGTACTTTCCTGCCAAGTCAAGCTGCATCTTGCCATGAGTTGTGCGTTGTTTCATCCTGAGCCTGAAGCTGTGCGAGAAGCGTTTTGTTGCAAGAGACCTTGTCGGTGGGAGAGTTTCGATGGACGACAAGTTCTCCTCTCTGAATCTTGAGTATTGCTCTACGTTCTTGTGCTGATGTTGTGGCTCTGCAGCCGGGCTATTTGTGCAGGATACCCGGCAGTATGCCGAGATTGTAAGGTTGCTCAATGACTACCACGAGACATGCCACTGGCCAGTGGCTTCGTTAGGAGTTGAACTGACAAGCATTCGCAATGGCAACAATGCACTGTGGAGCGCCAAATCCTAGGAACCAGATCGCGATGTTGCTGAGCGTCTCACCGGGGAGCCATGCTTCCTTACTCGGACGTCCAGGACTGGCCAAATACCAGGCCTCCAACCTCATATCCACTCTCTGTCGCCTGATCAAGATCTCGCATACGCCGCTTACCCCAGAATGGCTGTGGAGAGCGCGCCCCACAATCTGTTCAGCCGAGCTTTTCAGATGCTAAACGTGGGGAGCTTGCTAACCGATACTCCCCGGTGGCGCACCATCGCTCAGCGAAGAGATCGCGTACTCCGTTCTCATCAACCATTCATAGCCTGGCAGTGACTATGTCCCAAACTCCTCATGGCATGGATCGGGGGCGCTTCGGTTGCCGTGGAAGGCAACGTGCTATACAGGTAGAGCTTTCCCCAGTCCTACACGTTATTCGCAGTTTGCAAGACTTTCTTCGAGTGTGCGATCCGAGTTGAAACTAACATGGGCGACCTAGGATATCTTGAGCCACCCAGTCCTCCAGCAGCCTCGGCAACATGGACGGAAACCACACTCCAATGGCACAGAGGGACTCTACACGCTTCGCATCTCTCAACGGACATCCTCGTAGCAGGCGGCGGGCTCGGCGGAGTAGCAGCAGCATTAGGTGCCCTTCGAAGAGGCCGCCGTGTCGTCTTGACAGACGAGTTTGAATGGCTAGGAGGCCAGCTCACAAGTCAGGCCGTTCCGCCAGATGATCACACATGGGTTGAGCGCTTCGGTGTGACGCGCTCGTACCGTGCTCTGCGAGATGGGATCCGGCAGTACTACCGCGACCACTACCCGCTGACGGAAGAAGCTAGGAAGCGGCCTCAGCTCAATCCAGGCGCCGGATATGTCAGTAAGCTATGCCATGAGCCACGAGTGGCTGTCGCGGTCATAGACGCAATGCTGGCACCGTTTCTTGGTTCCGGGCAGCTCATCATCAAGAAACAGACCAAGCCAGTTTCTTGCCAAATGGCCGACAGCCAGATCGAATCTGTGACATTCCGTGACCTCAGCACTGGCGCCAAGTTCACCGTCAGTGCAGCATACGTTATAGATGCCACAGAGCTCGGCGACCTGCTACCTCTCAGCGGCACTCCCTACGTGACCGGCTTCGAATCTCGCCGAGATACTGGCGAGCCCAGTGCTCCAGAAGAGGCACAGCCACAGAACTCACAGGCGGTCTCCATCTGCTTTGCGGTCGATCACATCGAGGGCGAAGACCACACCATCCGGAGCCCGCCGCATACCAATACTGGCGCAAGTACCAGCCTTCATTCTGGGGCGCTCCACTCGTAGGCCTCACCGCTCCCCACCCACGAACACTCGAACTAGTCACACGAGAATTCACCCCGAACCCCGGCGACGATCCCGCCCTCGTCAACGCCGACCAGCGTCGCTCCGGCGGCGATATGAACCTCTGGACCTTCCGACGGATCGCTGCCCGTGACAACTTCACGCCCGGCGCCTACCAGTCCGACATCTGCCTCGTCAACTGGCCCATGATCGACTATTTCGAGGAACCCATCATCGACGTCCCCGAATCGCTCTATCATTCCCGCCTCTCCGCCGCCGCTTCCCTCTCCTATAGCATGCTCTACTACCTTCAAACGGAATGCCCGCATCCCGATGACCCCACCACCAAAGGCTACCCGGGCCTCCGGCTTCGTGGCGACATCACAGGAACAAGTCACGGCCTCGCCATGGCCCCTTACGTCCGTGAGTCCCGACGAATCAAAGCTATCACCACCGTCGTCGAAGGAGACCTCTCCCTTGACATCCGTGGCGCCGCTGGAGCAAAACCATACCCTGATAGCGTTGGAATCGGCATGTATCGGATCGACCTACACCCCTCGACGGGTGGGGACACGTACATCGACGTGGCATGCTGCCCTTTCCAGATTCCGCTGGGCGCTTTACTGCCACGAAACAGACGCTCAAACTTGATCGCAGGTTGCAAGAACATTGGGACGACGCACATCACTAATGGTTGCTACAGGTTGCATCCGGTGGAGTGGAATGTGGGCGAGGTGGCTGGACTGTTGGCTGCGTGGTGTATGAACAGTGCCAAGGGGTTGCACCCAGTGGATGTGCAGGGCGATGAGGCGCTCTTTGCGGAGTTTCAGAGGATGATTGTTGGCGAAGGGATCGAGGTTGAGTGGCCTGATGTTAGTGGGTACTAGGTATATACACCTATAGTGGGTCCGAGCACACAATTCCGTTTCGTTAGAAGGAGGTCACATATACATTGTTTGCTTTTCGGGATTCGACTGTTCGTTCGAAAGCGAAGGGCTTTGGCCTCCATCTCTCACGTGACATATATGTACGGTCCTTCAGGGCCAACGACCTTTCCCTGGTACAAGAGCAAGCGTCGTGCTTTCCAACACCCGATCACCCTTGCCGCCCGTGGGCCGCTGCCTTCTTCGCGACTTCACACTTACAGCTGCGCGTTCCTGCTTAATGCCGTCCTTTGAGAGACTTCTCCCATCCGATTGTGTTGCTTCGGGAAACTCGCAGCTCAGTGTTGCTTTCTTCATATCGGGGTTATGAGATACGGTGGCGAAAAGACATCGCCTCTACCTGCATCGGCAAAGTGCCTCGGCAGATCTGCGTATGTATCGGTCAGCGACAGAGCGCTGCGTGCTAACAATTGCCCGTGAGTGCTTTGTGCCATGCAATTTCTTACACTTCTCCAGCTTCCCCATGTCGATCACTGCAACACAAGAGCCGCCACCCCACATTTCGGCACCTCATAGACTATAGCTCGGTGGCTTTTGTACCGAGAGAATATAGATCGACGAAGTGACGCACATCCTCTCGAGTATAAAACCCAGAGCATTCAGCTACTTTCCAAGCTCAGGATGGCGTCGTCAACAACATGAAACTCCTTGGATTAATCACCGTCGGAACCACTCTGGTACAAGCACAAGTACCTTATACCGAGTATGTCTTGACGCCACGGTCTCGGATACTTCGACCAGCGTCCGTGTACAATGTCAATGGTACAGTCTCGAATGCAGAGCAACTCACAACCGGCACAACTGCAGCCACCACCTTCGTCGGTCAGTCAGCGGTGACTTATGACTTTGGCAAGAACGTAGCTGGACTTGTCAGCTTCAATGTGAGTGATGTCTCAGGGCAGAACGACCACATAGGCATATCCTTCACAGAGAGCAGCTTATGGATCAGCTCGGAAGGATGTGACGCTACGGCAGATTCTGGGATCGACGAAGCACTCTGGTGGGCAGTCCAACCTGGAATGCAATACACAGCGGAAAAGCAGTATCAGCGAGGCGGCTTTCGCTACCTCAACGTCTACCACAACGATTCGACCGACAATGTGACGCTAGCTGACCTGCACGTGTACTACACCGCAGTCCCGCACTACACGGACGAGCAGCTGGCTGAAGGAGTCCAGACAGGTTTCTTCCATTGCGAGGATGACCAGATCAATCGAGTATGGTATGCTGGTGCATACACCAACGAGTTGTGTACCATCGATCCGACTGCTGGAAATTCGCTGATATACCTTGGTGAGGTCAACTCCACATCCAACATCACTGAACCTCTCCCGTGGTACAACAATTACACAATCTCAAATGGAACGGCAGTTCTTGTCGATGGCGGGAAACGTGACCGCTTGGTGTGGCCTGGCGATATCTTAATATCGCAACCTGGCATCTTCGTTTCTACCTACGATATGGAAATGCTCCGAGACTCTCTCGACTCCTTGCTTGTCCTCCAAAATACTTCAGGTGCACTTCCATACGCCGGCAGGCCATTCGGCACGGCACTCCCGGTTTGGTCATTCACATATCACCTACACAGTCTCACGGACATATACGACTACTATCTATACACAGGAAACCTGTCATACCTTGAACAGACCTGGGACATATACAAGTTGGCCCTCAACTTCTCGCTATCTTTCGTTGATGACACGGGTCTGGCAAATGTCACCACCTCAGCCGATTGGCTGCGTTTCGGCATGGGCGGCCACAACATCGAGGCTAACGCTATTTTGTATTACGTCCTGACCACGGCTATCAAGATCGCGAATATCTTGGAAGACACCTCTGATTTTGTGGAAACATGGCCAATGATTGCCAGCCAGATACGGATTGCAGCGAACGACCGTCTATGGGACAGCGAATTGAACCTGTATCGAGACAACGATACACAGCCCCTGACAGACCTTCATCCACAAGATGGCAACGCATGGGCAATCGTCAGCAACCTGACAGGGAGTACAGCAAGATCCAGCAACGTCTCTCGGGCCCTACAAGCACGCTGGGGACCATACGGCGCCCCAGCCCCTGAAGCCGGCTCCACCGTCTCCCCATTCATCAGCGGTTTCGAGTTGCAGGCGCATTACCTTGCTGGACGGCCGGAGGCTGCCGTGAACCTCACAAAGCTGATGTGGGGCGACTTCATGCTTGATGATCCAAGAATGACAAACTCTACATTCATCGAAGGCTACTCTACTAACGGCGATTTACATTATGCGCCATATTCGAACGATCCTCGCATATCCCACGCACACGGATGGGCTACTGGTCCTACATCGACCCTGACATTCTTCGGTGCCGGTCTACAGGTTACGTCCGCCGCTGGACAGACATGGTTGGTCGAACCACAGCTAGGTGGACTGCAGTATATCGAAGCAGGCTACCAGACCAACTTGGGCAGTTTCTCGACAAGTACGCGAGCCATGGAAGACGGAGGGTTGAATGTGACGTTGAGTACGCCGCAGAGCACTTCGGGCGAAGTGAGGATTAGGTACCACGGTACACTGGCCAGCTTGACGGTCACAAATCTGGATACTGGGACCATGACGAGAAGAAGTGGGGAGGCACTTGATGTTGTGAAGAGGCAATCATCAAGCTCGGAAGATGCTCAGATCGTGACCGTGTCGGACTTACAGGGCGGTAATTACACGGTTATTCTGCAGCTCAGCTAGTGCTGTTCCAGTTTCGTTCTGAGCAAGTGGTAGAAACATGGAATATCACTGCACTTCTGACAATCATCGAAAAACTTCGGATGAATGAAATGCTCAACAAGAGCTCGAATCTTAGTCGTAGTTGCTTCCTGTTCTCATGATCTCACCCGGCTGGCTGGACTATAAGAGGCCTGTCGAAAGTGAAGTAGGTTGGATTCCTAATCCGCCAAGCCCACGACCACTTGCTTCCCGCGTATATCAACCACTGCGTCAACCCTTCCTCGATCCAATGGTCAATTTCTACGAATCAGGCGTCTGCATGCCTAGTGTTCCTATGATCGTGTCAACAAAACGTTGGAACATCCACCACGTCACTGACATAACGTCTTCTACTTAGCAGACGTACAACACATCTTGCATATCTACGTTCGTGACGATACACAAGGTCTTGTCCTCAGCTGAATGCTACCGCGAAGACTTGATACGTTGCGCCACTCCGACATAGGTGTTGTAAGTCTTCACGCTGCGACTAAGCGCTGTCGATTAGCACAGCGTTTATGGGCATAGTAGTTCGAGGCCTTTTCTGATTAGTCTGAAAGTCTTGCTCGGAAGTTAAGTGACGCCATCAGCTCGAATGGGGTGTAAGATGGAGCGCGCATACTGATTCGGGAATGTTTAATCCTGGCAAAATCTGGGATGCCCCCAGCAATACTGGGATTAGCATTACGCTAGAGTCCACTCCGGCGCTGGGCGAATGCTAAAGCACACATCAGCTGAATCGACACCTCATGTTTTCAGCGGACCACGACCGCGGCGAAGATGAGTTCCAAGCCGGCAAGAGCGCTCGCGTGCTCTTACACTTGAGCAATGACCAAGAAATAGGGGAGATAGGCTCATCGATAGTGTTGAGAACGTGCCAGCCCCAAGAGCGCGTGCTTTGGCACCAAGGTGACCAGTCCAGCAGAGTTCGATGTAGTATCGTCGAAATAGACCACTGGCTGGCGCAACTACGACGACCGCGCGAAAAGCGGTCTTCATGCACCCGAGGTTCGTGGCCTCGCAAGTGAAGTCGATCTAACATCGAACACATTCGCGTGATCTAGGCATGGCCACTGGTCATCGAATTCCTGGGCAAAGATACGTTTTCTACGTCTCCTCGAAATCTAATCTTTTTGACTTCCCTCCACACGGTACCAACTTCTCGCACCCTCCATTATACCGATTTGCTGTAGAATGTGAGAAACTCAAGGTCCATGGACTACTTACAGACGACGGTGACGTACAACTAACCTTCCAATCGACATGTTAGGTACCGTATATTAGAAAGGCAAGTGCGACCAGTCTAGAGGTCAACATGCTTTCTCGTGCGTAAGCTGCATACCGCCATCATCTTCGGTATCCTCGGTGCTCTCGCAATCACAAAGAGATAGACATCAAGTTACTATTCATCGCCGCCCAGCTCTCAGCCCCTAACCAGAAAGATGAATGCAGATGCGCCCGCCCACAATGATCGCTCCCCAATCACCAGAGCACTACGATCTCTCCCACCTTCAGCAAGAGGCCATATAGTTGCCGTTCTAGGCGAACTCTGCGGAACCATTTCGTTCCTGTTCTTTGCCTTCGCCGGCACGCAAGTGGCTAATGTCGCGTCAAACACCAACACAGGAACGACGGTCATTACAGAGACACAGCAGAAGAACCCAGCACAGTTACTGTATATCAGCCTTGCCTTCGGATTCTCCCTGGCGGTAAATGCGTGGGTGTTCTTCAGAATCAGTGGCGGACTTTTCAATCCTGCTGTAAGTCTCATTCAGAACATAGTCTCGACAGACTGCTTGGCTTGCAGAGCCCGAGCTGATTGCGTAGGTCACCGTCGGCATGGTCCTAGTCGGCGCGATCAGCGTGGTCCGTGGCATTCTACTGTTCATCACACAGATCGTCGGAGCTATAATTGCGGCGTATGTCACGCAAGCCCTCTTCACCGGCGCACTCAACGTGAGCACAACTCTGAGCGCCACAACAACCATAGCGCAGGGAGTCATCATCGAGATGCTACTCACAGCAATGCTTTGCTTCACGATATTCATGCTGGCGGCCGAGAAGCACCAGGGAAATTTCATCGCACCGGTGGGTATCGGTCTGGCGCTCTTCATTGCTGAGCTTACTGGTAGGTCTATCTCGTTGTGGAACATGTCCAGTGCACTTGATGCTAATCATATGGCAAGGTGTGTTCTGGACTGGCGGATCCCTGAATCCGGCCCGTTCGCTGGCGCCAGCTGTTGCCATCAGATCCTTTGAAAGTACACAGTGGGTCTATTGGGTTGGGCCACTTGCCGGGTCTATTCTGGCCGTGTTGCTGCTCAAGCTCATCAAGTCACTCGAGTACGAAACGGCGAATCCGGATCCGGAAGCTGTTGCGCCAGCTAATACCGAACAAGAACGGAAGCACAACATGATAGCCAACGGCACAACCAACGGACCGACCAACGGAATGACCAACGGGATGACCAACGGTATGCCCAACGGGATGACGAACGGTATGACGAACGGAATGACCAACGGAACGCCCAACAGAAGGAGCTAGGGGTGCTATGCCACACCGACTACATATACTATTCCTTACGACTATTCATCACGACTGAAGCGTGGGGAGTTGGTAGCCAGGTTGCGGACAGAAGTACCGGCGTTCTCTATACTGATTCTAAGGTGTTCAAGCCTGGGTGTTGCTCGTTCAGTTGTCTTGGTCTGGGTGGCTTCGAAGGCTTGCCATATTTCCGCTAATCAAGTTTATGGGTTGAGATGAGCCTCACTAGAGCATTAGAAATGATGGGGAGAAACATGCAGCAATTCTAGCTAGAGGACGCTGTAGAGTTGCCTGCCACAGAGTAGACAAACTTCCCAGCTCTTACTTCCACAGCTTGGTAACTTCCTTCGATCTTATCTTACACGTTATGCTGAGGCGTGTTCGCCGATCGTTTCACCGACAGCGTCCTTCTTCTCCGCCAAGTCCTTGACCACTCATTAGCCCCCGAGACTTCCGCATACCACAGAGATATATATCCTGTACAAGCTCATAAGATTCAGCACGCTCAAACCAGCTATTCTCAAATGAGCCCGACCACCCAATCTCCCGCCCGTCCCGTCACATCGCAGTCCCACAACCCCGACAACGCAACCGATGCCCCCTCGTCCCCATGGTAGCCTTAAACGTCGTATTCCCACAATTCTTACACGCCACCTCACTCTCCCCTCCCTCCTCACCCACTTCTTCCTGCTCTTCATTCTCCGCACTGCCAATCTCACTGCTCAACTGACTCAACACGCTTCCCTCGCGACTCCCATAACTATTTCCCCTGACCAATTGCTCCCGCTCTCCGCCGCCACGAGCGTCAAGATAGTCCCCACCACCACCAACTCTCCCATCCCGCTCCGCAGCGAACCGCTCCCCGTTCTCGCCCAATAAGCCGGGCGTCCGAGGCAAGCGCTGCACCATAGGAAGGACATTGTGCTCCATGTCCCACGCCTGAAAGCTCTGGCCGTCGATCAGAAAGAGCGAGTTGCCCGTATCATGCGGGATCTCGTGATTGGTTGGGTTGGTGGTGATTTCCTGGAGGGACGTGGCTACGGAAGAGACGCCAGAGGTATTCGACTCATCGGCGCGGGTTAGCGGCGGCTTCGAAAGGGCGTGTGTGATTGGTGACTTGGCGGAATGAAAGCTGTTCTGAGCCGAGTCCGGTGTCTGCGGCGGTGCGAGCGAGACAGCGATGTTGGCGCTGTTCGACGCGGAGCCGATCAAAGGTGATGGATCTTTATTCGTTTTGGCGTTGACGCTGTTGCTCAGGGAAGTGCGGCGAGGCGAGGATCGCAGCGACAAGCGATGAGACCATTTCCTACTTGGTGATGTATCGCGGCTGGGGCTTTCACTTAGGACTTCGCGGAAATTTGACTCGGAAGTGGACGTTACCACGGTATTGCCGTTGGTACTGCCGTTGACGGAAATCGAATTCCGCCAGCTGAGGATTCGGTCAGCTGAGCGATTGTTCTTCGCGTCGATGTTTAGAGATGCCCGGTGAACGGACGACCCGATCGAACTACGTCGAACCGAACCGGAACGGGCTAGCATCTTTCTTGCCGAGTTGGAATCCCACGATTCAGTGCGTCGCTTCTGGTAGGCACAGTCTTGTCGGAAGACCTTGATTTGACCGGTATAGTCGGCGGTGATAAAGATGTGGCCACCGGCATGCGCATGACGAGCGAGATACGCTGGCGATTCCGGGGCGCGCTTCGGTGAACTCGACTTCCGCTCTCCCGCGTCCGATCCGCCGCTCTGCATCGTGGGCGCTTTCGACGATATCACCGATTCCGCGCGACTGACCAATGTGACTGGCGGTGGGTTGCACAAATCATATAGCGGATCGCCGGATTGCGCCAGTGTCCGCTTCGTCTTTGTCGAGACCATCAGAGCCAGTGTGACAATGCTCGAGTGCGCCTCGAATACTTCCATGGGTCGCTTGTCGCTGTCGGGCCTCTCCAGTGATCCGGTCGGCCAAACGTAAACCTTCTTGTCCTCACTTCCACAAACAACAAATTTGCCGTCGTCACTAAAAGTAGCACGGATCTGACTGCAGGTATTCTCGTGTCCTCTGAATTTGATCTCCAGATTTCGATCCTTCATATTGTACATTCGTATTCTTGAATCGTTGCTCGTGATGAGAAGCTTGACATCAGGTGGACCGTTCAGACGAGCTATTGCGATCGTGTCAATGCCCGTGACTTTGCTTCCTTTCGAGTTCTTGCCACGGGCAGATTTGACATGTATTTGCGAGTGGGGCTTCAGCCCTTCGGTATCGTGCAAAATGCATATCCCATTGAGACATCCAGCGATCGAAGTCTTGCCATCTGGTGTGAACGCCACAGCAGTGACCATGTCGGGCGTCTGTTGCATGTAGGCCACGGTCTTGTCCGGAATACTCCATAAACGTATCCTCGAGTCCAGCGATCCAGCTAAGAAAAAGCGGTCGTCTCGAGGATGGAATGAAATCGATGTAACAAAGTCGTTATGCTTGAATGCACATAAGCACTCTTCTCGTGTGACATGGTACAAACGAACAGTCTTGTCCATGGACGAGGACAAGAGGAAATTATTCTTACTCCAGCTCAGGTCCAGAATGCTTGACGTGTGCCCGTCGTATTCACGGATGAGCTTCTGTCTGAATACGGGCGCATTAAGTCGTACATTGTTGCCATCATCCGACCCGTCCACCGCTGCCTGCTCGTCTGCCGCTCGCTCCTCTGGTGTCGACAGGACTTGCCATACCCTCAACTTCATGTCCTGTCCCGCAGCGGCCAAGTACTTGCCATCCCGGGAGAACTCGGCTGCCCATATCGCATTGCTCTTATTTCGACCCGGAGGCTTTTCGGGCTCCTGTGGTACCTCATTGATGCCATGAATTTTGGTGTCTATCGAAGGTGGCTTGGTACGGGCCTTCTTCTTTTCCTCGAGCAGGACCTGCGCCAGGAATAGTCTATCAAAGTCTCTCTGTTTCCGATTCTGCGCTTTGACCTTTATGTATTTTGGTGGGGCGGGAAACCGAGGGATGAAACCGACGGGATCGGAAAACACTTCGACGTCGTGTCCGCTCGATCGGTTGTCAGATATCTCGGAGATCTGGTCTCGTACTTCTTCTGCTTCTTCGTCGCGTTTCTTACTTCCCATGATCCGACTCAGGAACGATACACCCTTTCTGTGACAACAGTCAGCCGGCGCATACGCCCTGGTTGGGAAGTACCGACTTCTTGTCTTTGCCGGTGCTGATCCTACTGCTTGCCGACGTATCTATGCGCCGCAGATCACCGACGCCCTCCGCGGACTTGGTGAGGACTGTCGCGAAGTTTCCGGAGGATGCATTGGCGGCAGTCGGACTGTGGTTCTGACGGGAGGTTGTACGCTCGAATATTTGCTAGCACAACGTTAGCTAGTGTCATGAACAAGTACCGTGCATGATCTTACGCGCGATATAGGGTCGATAGGTGACAGGACATCGTGTTGTTCTAACTGGGGTGAGACTGGATTCATTTTGAGGCCTCCAGATCTGTCAGAAATCCTGTGTACCGGTTTCGTATCGAGTTGAGGGGCGGCTGAATCGGTAGGGTCACACAGTCAGCATACGTGGAAACAGGTGACCAGTGGGTGGTGGGTCATAACAGGCGGCCGTATGGGAGCGAAATGAGACACTCGGCCGCGCGTAGCAGGTTCATCTCAGTCGAGGCAAAGATGCGAACGCAGCAGCAGAAGCGTGTGGTAGGATTCGCAAGGGAATGTATGTGTATAAGTATAGAAGTCGCAACTGGGACAGGCCTCCAGTTCAGAGAAGCCCTAATCTTGCTGTGCGTACCTTTGCCATCACTAGCACGCTGATGCTTTTCGGGCAGAGCATTACTGAGACTGTCGAGAGCTGTGTCGCTCTGGACGACGATTGCAATTGGGTTCTTGCTGTGGGGAGCCGGAGCATCCGGAGAGTTTGCGGCCGATATCATACTCTCTGGACAGCCAGTGGGAGGGGTTTAGAATACGAATTCGCACGTGGGAGTGGCTCATGGCCGTTGACTGCTTCTAGAGCTTCTTTCAAAACAACAGCCAGCGGTATAGCTCGTGGGCGAGCAATGTATAAGAAGCTAAGCACTGTCACTGTACGACACTACACAGCGGTGTTGGCGCATATCAACTTGACCACTGGAGATTTATCGTAGCCGGATCTTAGAGATGAATGCGCAGGGTCCGCATCGAGAACCGTTTAGCGAGAGGGGATGTAACTTTATGGGTGATGGTCGCTCAAACCGGGATGCATGCGAGGCGTGCTAACTAAGCTGCATGGTCGGCACATGTCAGCCCATACAATGAGGATGACTGCGCCTGAGATAATTGCTCAGATAATTGCAGATGTCTGGTGCAGCGTTGACGAGGTCGGAGCATGTTGTCGGCGCAGAGGCTTCCACAGGCGACTTCCGACTTGAGGCAGCAGCGATATAAGGTCGGTCGAGCATTGGTATGGAAGCCCGGAGAGAGCCGCCGCGGTGAAGTCATGATCACCCGCTAGAATACAAGTGCCAAGGGCAGTTGCAAAAAGCCCCAAGGACTTCCAAGGTTAAACACGTTCCGAGTCTCGGTGCATAGCTTGTTTTTGTGCAAAGCATGGAAGTTGTGCACCGAAGAAACCATCAATAGAATGCAATACTGCCTTTCGCAGACTCTTTCTTGTCTATGAAACGCTCGCCCGGTCGTGCCGTACCGCAGCAAGCCTACTTGCGGTTACCTATGCTCTATCTCGCTGCGAGCAGCCCGAAACTGTATGGGGTATCTTCTTTTGAAATCATGAAATCATAAGTCCTGCCTCGCGTATGCACCACCCACTCGGACAGCGGTCCAGGTACTGTTTGCGCCTGCAAATGCCGATTCGCAACATGTGTGCTCAACCCATGAAGTCGGCGTCGGGATCATCTCGCGACGAAGCACTAGATGACCGACGAGATGGTGTCGTCGTCTTCTTCGGCCGTCCTCTCTTCCGTGGGGTGCCTCCAACAGAACCATTGGCCTTTCTCTTCTTGCCTTTTGGCGTCGGTGCCATGTACCCATCTCCTTCGATACTGGTCTGCGCCTCCTCCCCATCATCCCCTACAATAACATCCTCATCAACGTTCATGAGCCCATGGAAGTCTCGGCAGCGTTGCAGCATGGCCTCCGGCGAGTCTAGTGATGACAAAATAGCAGTGGTCTGCGACCAAAACCGCTCGCCTGTAATGCCGTGGACCTTGACTGGAACCTTGGCCTTCTCTTTGGCCTGCTGATTTTGCGCCATGGTTGCGCGAACGTCACGCGTGATGCCGTACTGCCGCTTCAGGTGAGAGCGAGCTTCCGATATCACCGTCACTGCGCACGCCGCCGTTGCAAGTCGCTTGAGCCGATCTTGATCGATGGCGCTGATGTTTTCTTGAGTCGCTACAACCGCGGTCGAATCCTCTCCGTTGACGACAACCTGCTCGTCTCCTATGCCGTTCACTGTGGCATCTGGCGTGCTAGCTTTCGTGAGAGGAAGGGTGCTTTCGATCGCCTGCGCAATTTCACCGCCGTTCTTGCTGAACACAATCTCCAGTTGGAGTATAGTATGCAGCAGATCTTCCATCTTGGTGTAGTCGAAGAACGCCAGATTTTGCGCCACAAAGCGCACGAATAACAAGTGATATGGGCGAGGCTCCGAAATGTCTATTTTGGCTGGGTCGGTATTGATCCTGGTAATAATGTTGCTGACGAACTTCTTCACGTACTTGGAACCGCTTGTGTTGATCGTGGCAAAGCACGCGGCCAGCTTAGCTTGACCCTGATGGCTTCCGGACGGGTCTTCGGCTGTGTTGAACTGATATCGGAAGGCTTCTTGAACGGCGCCCACATATTCACGTTCCCACACGGATTCGTGCAAACCGTGAGATTTAGCATGGGCCTGGTTGAAGAGCTCTCGAACGTCGGGGTCCTGTGCAGTTTGTAGGGCGATGAAAACACCAGCATAGTCTTTCGGGTGAAACATGCCATGCTTTGACATACTGGCAATCGTGCGTCCAGCCAAAAGCAAATCTGAGCCCAGAGTCTCGAGGGCGATCTTTTTGATGGGCCCGAAGATCTTCGTTGCCAGCTGAGATGTGGCGCTGCTATTACCCTGCACCTTATTATTGCCTCCCATACGTTTCAGGTCCTGTACAGTGTCCGCGTCTTCCTTTGACTCGCCAGATTCTGCCTGAGGCTCGCTGAGACTGGTGAACAGATCATGAAATGTTCTCAGCGCGTACGAACGGGAGCTCGACCCATCCGTCTGCTGCAGGCAGTCAATGAATAAGTCTAACACCCGGCCTTTGGTGTATTGAGCAGGCGAGGCTTGACAGATACAGCCTAGGCTGTCCAGCGCAGTCAATTGCACTGCCTCTGTGTCAGGCCGAGTGACGTAAGGGTAGACTGTGTCGGCCAGGAATCCAGCGATTGGACCGCCCTTGTACGAATCAATCAGTCCCCTCAAGACAAATTTCTCAACGTCGAGGTGCTTGCCGAGAGAGCCGAGGATGACAATGAATCGACGGCGCTGATCCGATGACGCCTTGTCAAGTTGTCCAATAATTGAGCGTATCATCGCAACGTAACGTTCTGGCATAGGCACAACGTCCTCGATTGCCCTCAGGCACAAGAAGACCTGGTCCAGGTCGCTCCGAAGGCGTAGCTTGGTGATCGATTGGCGAATGTCGCCTCGGATCTCATCGAGAAGAGTGTGGTGCGATGACGACAAGTGTGGTAGTACGTGCTGAAAGATGGCAAGAACTGCCTTGAACATCTTGAGATCTTCTGAATTGCTGAATTTCAGATACTGCCGCAAATGTGACAGTTGGGCAGGCGCAAGCGATTGAGGCCGGGCTTCCGCTAGACAAACAAGCAGCTCGAGACTGGATGGATCAGCCTGTGCAGCGATGATAATGTTGAACAGTCTCTCGCTGATCCGGCTGAGAAGCTCGTTGAAATCTGCCGCAGCTTTCGAGTCCTTAGACTGCCACAACAGGAAACGTGTTAGCAACGGCGGCAATTCCAGCAGTTCGCGATCACGGTCCAACGTAGCCACCATATGTGCTGTAAGATCTTCGATAGCAACGACAGCCCGTGCCGAGTCTCTTGCTTCCTTGGCGAGGGCGAAGTTGCTGGTGAACCAGGCATCAAGCAAACTTCGACAAGCGAGTTCGGCGACAGACTCCTCGACGTCTAAAGTCCGTCGGAGAAATGTCTCTGCAATGGACGCTCTCAGATACGGTCTTGCGTCGCGTGCGTAGATCTCAGCCAGATGCCCGATCGATCGCTTTTGCACGCCAATCTTGTCATCCTTGGTGCACTCTATGAGCTTCTTGAATCCACGTTCCTCGTACGCAGGCCTGGAGATGAGGAAATGGAAAATTAGAGAAAGGGCAGCGTCTCTGACCAGCGCAGAATCATCGGATGCGCACGGAAAGATGTACTGGTCAATCTGCAACTCTTGCGAATCCAGAAGAGACGGATCAGTCTCCAGCATCGTAACGATGCTTTTGATGCTCCGGCTTCGTACGTGCGCTTGCTCACTCGACAATGAGGCGAGCAGCGTCTGGGCAATCGATCCATATCTCTGGCATATGGGAAGATTCAGAACGCTCAGTGTATACGCCAGCTGAGCTTCGCGTGGCATTATTTCGTCGATGTGGGCGACGGACGAAGTCTCCGAGCTAGCCTCCTCAATCTCGTCGAGCAAGCTTTGGGCGTCATCAGCATCGTGCTCCACGCGGCGACAGAACATGGTGGCGTATTGAGCTAGAAAGAAGCTATGTGATGAGCGAGATCTCAGTGTCTTTGCATCTTTCTTAGCGTGCTGCAGATTGTAATGCCGACATGTCAGGACAAATGGCCCTTGTGGACCCAGGAGCTCTTCGGCACTCAAAGTACGTGAGAATTGATCGTTAGTGAATTGCACGAGCGTGCCGGCAACATCTGAAGAAGCACCGTCACCTTTGTCCAAGAGCGCAGCCTGGTCTTGCGCGGCCTTTTTCGAAGCTGCAATGCTGCGCCGACGGTTCCGAGCGACTCCAGTGCCATGTTTTTGACTCCCGCGGCTTTGTCAGTGCGGGCAAGCAAGGTCATTCTCTGAAAGACAACTTCGAGGGTGAGAGCGGCCGCGGGCCATTCTGGCAATAGAAGCAGAGTGACCAGGTCCTCAATGAACAGGTCGAGAATGTTGCGATAAGGCGAATCGCCAGTCTTTGAGACCCCGGAAGCTTTGTCTATTAGATAGTAGACAATCTCTTGACTCGTCTTGAATGCAGCACTGTACAACTCGTCTGCTTTGTTCCGAAGTGAAGATACGGCGTCTGGTTCGGCTGCCTGATCAGACTCGCTTTCACTGTCCACGTCATTGGAATCGCTGTGGTCATCGCTGCGGTTGCGAAGACGAGACCTAGTGCGCCGACCACTGCCCAACACGCAAGTCTGGACAAGTTGTAGGAGGAGTGCGGAGACAAGCATGACATTCTTGCCTTCGCCCAGAGTATACTGACGAGCGCTGCGGCTTGTGGAAGGCACTTTGTCAAGCGACACCAGGATCTCATCGAGAATAGGCTTTCTGTCGCCAGGGAATGCTGCAAACAGTCGTGCGAGGGATGACATGACTGATTTTCTGGTTCTCTCGTATGCTTTGGGATTCATAGCCGCAGTCTTTTCCTTGTTTGAGTTTTGCACGAAGATAAGCCTAGCAGCCAGAAACTCTGTCGGTACTTGACAGATTGATGCCTCGCTGACCTGCACGCATGCGAGTGACAGTTGCTCGAGTAACTTGCGGCCAGCGTCCAGCAGCCGTTTCAAAATCGCTTCATTGCGGGAAGCTTGCTGAAAGAGATACGCGCTTTGTCCATCTGGTCGAGATTGAATGACTGGAACCAGGCAGGAATCGAAAACATTCTCCAAGGCAGCAGTCGTGGCCATCAAAATATCTGCGTCGACCTCAACCGGCTTGTCTCCCATAGCGGTGAAAAGATAGACCGACGCGGATCCAAGTCCAGACTCGGCGATGATGAGCCTCTTCTGCCACTCTTCGACCTCCTCTTCAGTAGGATTGTCTTCGAGCCTCAAATTGAGAGTCTGTGTTCTCTTGATCGAGCCTTCACACAATTGCCTCAGCTGCTGAATGTCGTCCTGTGACACTTCGCCTAAGCGTTTCAGATCGACCAGGCTACTGAGTCGCGCTCGAAGCTTTTCTAGGGCACTACTCGTGAGTCGGTACGGTAAGTCATCGTCTTCATGACCTGGCTCAAGCAATGCTGACACTTGTGGGCCTGCGAACTCCGTCCCGGCATCTTCGAACTGGCTCCTGGCTTGCGAGATGGTATCAAGCAGGTTTTGAAGCTGGTGGAGGCTATGATCGCCAAGCTCTCGCTGTGTTCGTTGTCGTAGGGCTCGAGCGGCATCGAGATCTCCATTGTCCAGCTTGCGTCGCTTTGGCGAGTCTGGTGCACGAGCATAGTCTTGAGGACGAAAACCTTCAGGCTGCCGGATCTGGATGACTGGACGGGTAGCTGAGTTGGCCACAGGCTGCTTGTTTGGCACTTCAAGTATGAAATTCTGTTGAAATGCGGAGTCGTGAGCAGCTTTCGCCTTGGTGACTGGGAACTGGGCATTCAGCGGCTGTGTGCTATCTGGTCGGTAGGCGACATCGAGCGGATTGCCCTCGTAGACATGTCTGGCAAGCGTAGAAAGTTCTGGTGCTGGAGCATCTGCACTATTTGGTTTCGGCTGCCTCTTGAACTTGAACTCGGATAAAGATTGGGCTTCGAGTAGTCTTTGAAGCTCATCGTGTACCTTCGGTGTGATTTTGATGCCTGCTACCACTTTGCGATCCACAGCAGATGTGAAGGGCACATGTTGTGATTGGTGACCAACTCTGGGAAGCGGAATCTGGTCAGAAGGCTGAAGAGGCGAGGTTGTCAGTGGTGTGAACCGGAGAGCTTCAGCAAAAGTAAGCGGTCGTCGGTATGGCGGAAGCGGTGCCTGCTCTTTCGACGGCTGAGACATGATCAGTCTCTACGCATCTGTGCCATTGAATTACCAGCAGGACTATCGACTGGTAGCACTCAAAGACGACGGCAAGGGCGATCGGAGGAGAGTAAGGGCGGCGTCGTTGCCCATCGATACTAAGGTAGCTTCTCTTCTCGATGAATCAAGCAGATGGAAGGAGCAGCAAACTGCGAGATGTTGAATGTTGTGTTTGCGTCTGAACTTTGGAGTAGACGAAATCGCGGGCTGCAGGGCAGTCACTGGGGTAGCAGGGGTCTCGATGCAAGGCTAAAAATCTCAGCCTTGGCTTCAAGTCCGGCAGTGAAGATCAAATTATTGTCATTCACCGTTTCATATTCAGAGCAAAACAGTCTCGATCCAGAGGTGAGCGATATCTGAGAGCCATCCAAAATGGTCGCTATCGGCAGTCTACTATTCTGTGATGCGTGTGGCTCGCTGTTACCGCGAGTCATCCCAGGAGAGAACAAGGATGACATGATTCAATGCGATGACTGCTCAAAGTTTACAAAAGACACCTCGTCGAAAGTGGTCACCTCCAGATCAAAACCCAGCGCTTTTCCGTCTACGCTCAGAGACAAGCTATCTGATGTGCAAGCTGTCGACGTCGAGGAATTGCAAGTCGAATCAGTCGTCGCCAAGACATGTCCAAATTGTGGCAGGAAGGAAGTCTTTTACCACACCAAGCAGCTTCGAAGCGCGGACGAGGGCACGACGGTTTTCTATCGATGTCAATGCGGATGGAAGGACGTTGAGAACAACTGAAAGCTCCGACTCTGTTTGTGGAGATTATTTTCTATGATACAGCCGCCACTGTGGGAGGGACAAAGGCATATTCCATCTCAGTGCTCTTCTCATACTCGGCCATGTCGAGAGCCACGACCACACTTTCGCGAACCACTTGCTCCGGATCGTCTAAGAACCGCTTGAGCATGTCCTCCACGCCAGGCTCGTCTCCAAGACTACCGAGGGCTTCTGCTGCCTCGTGTCGCACCATGCTTTCCTCCTTACTGTCCTCGAGGACTGCCAGTAAGGCAGGTATCGATTCTGGATGCGAGAGTTGGCCGAAGACGAAAGCGATCTCATGCCGGAACAGCGCCGACGGATCTCGAAATCCCGATGCCAGCGCATGAACAGCTGGCTTGGCAGTAGGTAGATCAGGTGGAGATGCCAGATCTCTGAGAGCAAACATGGCTCTGTAGCGGAGGAAAAGGGACAACTTTGTGTCGAGGAGGGTGTTCTGGAGATCTGCTATCGACGACGACGCTTCCGAAGCCGGCATTGGTGGTGCAGGATCGATGGAGGTGAAGTCACTCTTCTTGAGTTGTTCGCTCTTGCCGGCGTCCGAATTCAGCCATCGTATCCTCTCCAGCGCAATATCACATGTTTCGCGTACCACGACTGGCTCTTTCTCGTCTTGTCTCATGTCCTCCATCAACTCGATTGATGTGATGTCTCCTAGCGCGCCCAGCGCCTCGGCTGCCTCATGTCTACACATGGGATCTTCTGATCGATTCTCTAAAACAGCCCGTAAGAACGGCACAGCGGCGAGGTTCTTCGTTTGACCAAGACAATAGGCAAGCTCATGTTTCAATAGTGCTGATGGCGAGGCGAAAGCCGCTGCGATTGCCTTGATGGCGTCTGAGGCTTCCGGACCTGGCTCTTGTGAGGCGACATGTTTGAGTGAGAAGAGTGCCCGGAATCGTTTCGCAAGCGCGGTGTTTTCGTTGGTGAGGGCTGTACGTAGACTTGAGATGGTTTCGGATGCTGTGCCGTTTGTCTTGCCGGCTATGCTGTTTGACATGACTGTCTTGTCAGACTGATCGCGGCTCCTTGTGAGGTCGTGGATGAGTGCAGGTGTCGCTCTCCAAAATTTGGAATTGCGGGGAAGAACTTGTCCTGACTCACTGCCAAGCTTTTCCCAGGCAGCGATTGAGTCACTCCAGAATTGATCACCTTTTCACCAGACCCCCATATAAACATCTCCACCACCCACACCGTCCGTCTCTTCCGCGCAATACACTCAACCACGAAATCTCGTAAGACGCCCTCCCGACCCGACTCAAATACCTTATTATCAAAATGGGCTCCGTTGTCATTCCCCATCTCGTCACAGCCTGGCACGTCGACCAAGCCATCCTTACCGAAGAAGAGCGCCTAGTCGTCATACGCTTCGGTCGCGACTGGGATGCAGATTGTATGCGTCAAGATGAAGTACTCTACAAGATCGCCGAAAGAGTCAAGAATTTTGCCGTCATCTATGTCTGCGATCTCGACCAAGTTCCCGACTTCAAGCAGATGTACGAACTCTACGATCCAATGACCATCATGTTCTTCTTCCGCAACAAGCACATGATGTGTGACTTTGGCACCGGTAACAACAACAAACTCAACTGGGTCCTCGAAGACAAGCAAGAATTGATCGATATCATCGAGACCATTTACAAGGGCGCAAAGAAGGGTCGTGGTCTGGTCGTCTCGCCAAAGGACTATTCTACCCGTTATCGATACTAGGTCCAGGCGTCAGACAGTCGATCTGTCAGTCACACACCACAAATCACAGATACGCGAGGACGAATTGGAGACAGCTCAGCTGATGCTAAGTTACTGGCGTTTCTCGGGGAAGGCGTTATGGTTGGTCTCACTATGCTAGTCTGAAGATATCCTCAATGCTGACACTGGTTCCAAAAGCTCCTCATTCACACCAGCAGAGACGTGGCCCCTCCTCTCCTGCTTCTGCAAAGCTGCCTGCCGTTACAGATCGTGAACAGCCCATGATGCCTTCAGAGAGATATGCTCTCCCCCGCGCTTCGCCGAATGAAGTCGCTCGTTCGCTCTATCGCCGACAGGTAAGGTGAATGATCTGCATTTATCTCCTCCACTCTGACATTCGCCCCGTCCTCCCGCATCTTCTTGATGTTCAGCCGTTGCCAGTCCGGCATACAGGCATGATCATTGCTGCAGAACAGCCAGTGTACCGGAAAATCTTTGGAAGCCGTGTATTCTGATTCCAGAAGAAACATGGCGTTTCGTCCTTGACTTTTGAGCTTGTCTCGCCACCGTTGAGAGTCTTCCTCCGACATTCCGTTGAACATCTGGTCATGCACCTTTTCCTTTGGGATGTAGCACGTCTTATCGTCGCCCGGATACTTTCCATGGTCGCCCTTAGGAAGGTCAACGCATGGACCCAGAGCTTCGCCCTGTCGAGGTATGAAAGCAGCTATCGGCGCCAGGCCCACGACGTGGCTTTCATGACCATCAGCGCTTCGTGTCTGGGCGTCGAGTCCTTTCACGGCGGAGGTGGTTGGTATGCCGCCGTAACTATGAGGCACAAGGAGGGCGTTGGCACCTCCCGCCAACACATCGTCCAGGACCTCTTTCACAGCGAAGATATCGGACCGAATGTCCTCTGGTGGTGCCTCTCCAGTGGGCACAACAGACGGCAGTGCGACTATGCGGGTAGAGTAGCCGTGAGATTGAAGCACTTTGCTCAGTGGCTCAAAGTGAGCAGGCGTATGCCATGCGCCGTGAACGAAAACGATCGTTGGTTTGCTCATGTTGATTCAATTGATGTGAGTTGTTGGTTGATAGCTGCTGATTACTCGAAAGCACACGATAGCCTTCTCGCAGACCTTATTTATAACATTACTGCTTCCATCATGCTAGGCAGGCGAGAACTCGGGCTTTGTATCGTGTCGCTATAGCGGCCATGCGTGGCAAGTAGGCCAACTCAGGCTACAGTACTCGTTCCTGCTTCTATAGCAACTCGCTATTTTGCATACATTCTCTAGCGGCCTGACATCGGGGAGACATCTACTTGCGCAGATAATACGCGTAAATTGAAGTCCAGGGAAATCTGCCGCCGCTTTTGAATTACCAAGTTGGGCACATCCCCGCTTACTTCAGCGCCCAATCGAGCAGGAAAACCAGCTTGGCGGCTCTGTGCAAGCAGCTCCTTCTGCTCCTCCGTAGAGTTCTTCCAGATCTGGCAGCGGTGCCTGTCGATCATTTCGTCGCTGAAATTGTGGAGGAAGCGAGGTGGCGAGAACGATGCAACGCTTGCCAGACCGCTTTTTCCTTCCTCTCCACTGATGCTGTGGTGAGAAGCCGTGGTTCGGGCTGACCCCTGCTCTTTCGCACACGCGTATGTCCTAGAAGTGTTCTCGTGACATGTCAGATCCACCTTAGTTCACACTCCCGCCGCCGACCGCACACATTCAGCACCACTGACGACAACATCAAGACCATGCGCATCTCTTCCTGGTGTTGCACACGGCTCAAAGCACGTAGACGGTGAATTGAACATACAGTATCTACCTCATTCGCTATGGCGACCGCGCTCATCGCGCTTCTAGTTGCGCCGGTGCTCTTCTTCGCACTATGGCACCTGACCACGAGCTTTGCGCCGCCAGCACCAGCGACTCTACGGAATAAGCGTATCATACTCCTGATTGCGCACCCTGATGACGAGTCCATGTTCTTCTCGCCCACACTTCAGGCCCTCACCAGTCCTTCACTCGAGAACCACGTCAAGATCCTGTGTCTCTCGACTGGTAATGCCGACGGGCTAGGAGACACGCGCCGGAAAGAGCTTGAGGCCGCAGCAGTCACTCTCGGAATCCGAAAACGCGAAGATGTATTCATCTTGGATGATGAGAAGCGCTTCAAGGACGGCATGGACCAAAAGTGGTCACCCGACGACATCTCTCGTGTATTGGCGAGTGCGTTTGCGCCGCAGCTGAACGGTCCGCCACCCTCACTGACCCCTCCGGCGCTTGAAAAGAACGATAAACCGAGCAAATCAGACAAGAAGACGTCTTCCAAGTCTGTCAAGAAGAGCAGCAAGTCTTCCACGCCGAGTCCGGTACCCACTACTCCTCCTCCACCACCAGCCGTCCCGGCTGGGCCGCGAGCAACGATCGACGTCCTCGTCACCTTTGACAATCAAGGCATATCATCGCATCCGAATCACATCGCTCTATACAACGGCGCACGCACGTTCTTGTCCAATCTCATGCGCGGCCACTCTGGCTATGCGTGCCCCGTAAATCTGTACACCCTTACCACCGTCAATATTGCACGGAAATACAGCTTCATCTTCGACACAATCCCCACTATGCTCCAAGGCTTGATTAGTGGCGGTAGCAAGAAGATCGGCGACAAGGTGCTCTTCAACAGTGACATGTCGAGGTACTGGAAGGCGCGAGATGCAATGATCTCAGGTCACAAAAGTCAGATGGTCTGGTTCAGGTGGGGATGGATCAGTATGGGGCGGTACATGGTGGTCAACGACCTGAAGAGGGAGACGATCGCTGGTGTCGCTTAGTACCGCGATCGCCGAAAACCGAGGTCCACAGAACGACACGATGAAAACATCGAGAGCAGCCTCTCGACAATACTATCGCTGCGAACCTTCCACTACATCGCCTCTGCACTGCCCTGCATCGCCAAGTCGGCAGCGTTTCTCAACCAGCCGTGGGGTATTCATCCTGCAAACATTGCCAACACCACGACCTTTGGGCTTCATGAACATGTCTCAGACCAGAACAGGCCTCCGCCGCGCTGAACAGCAGGCCCAGGGCCGTCGTCCACAACAGCACGGCGGCCTACGAAGGGACCACAAGTTGTCAGTCCGGGGTCTGTACGTCGATGCAGCCTGGACCTCCAGTCGTAGTGTACCAGGAGACCAGTACAATAGATCAGAATCGCGTCATGCAACGAATGGCAGCGGCTTCGACTACATACTGCGCTTGTATCACGTCTGATCTGAGAAGAGAGCGCAGTGAGTGCCCACCTGTTAGCACTACCATCGTTCATGCGACATCAAATAGCCGGGTCCAAATTCGAGTGCATATATCGCGCGCTCTCTCACCCGGGCATACGATGCAGTGGCCATGGAAAGCTGCGCAATGGGAGCATCCGCGTGGAATCAGTGCAGGAAGGAGGAAAAGGCTTCGTTGATTATGAGAACGGCGAGCCTGATGGCGATAGAACCAAGACCATGTGTTGGAGCATGCTTGTGTATGAATCTCAACACGACGTCTTTACAGCTTTGCTATGTGTCATTGCGAGCAGTCCAGCCAGTTGCTGTTGCCTTCATGTACATATCCCTCCGTCAGCAGGACAACAGTGGTGTCCGTCGTCTCTATACTGAACGCTCTCCCCACACTCTACTCATGCCTACCTGCCTGTCCTCACGACGCTTCGCCTCCACCCTATCTACCACCTCCGCCATCACCGAGCACCTCTCCCAACGTCTTCGCCATCCTCAAAACCTTCCCATCCTCCCACCGCCTCCCCACGACCGTCATCCCGATTGGCATCCTGTACGCCTCCTCCGCAACATCATCATCATCCCCCCTCACCTCCAACCCACCAACCCCGGCACGCCACACAAGGCGCTCCCAACGCCGTCCACATCGCATTAAAGCACGCATCCCCCGTCCACTCCAACCCCCTCGGCGCACAATCCCTCGTGCTCGGCGTCACAATCACATCCCACACCTTCGCCCACTCATCCCACAGCGTCCTCAGCTTCGTTACACCGTCGTACGCTTCTCTCATCGTCTCCGGCGAGCGCGATAGCTGCAGACCCTTCTCGACGCCGTCGACGATGACTCGGTCGAGATGTTTCCTGTGTTCAGGATTGGTGTAAAAAGTCCAAAATTGCGCGACGGCTTCGTGCGCAAGGATGTTGGCGTGGTAGGTCGTCATGGCCGCGAATTCGCTGGGAAGGGAGACCTCCACGGGTTCGTACCCGGCGCGGATAAGGCGATCGCGAGTCTCTAGCCAGGCGCGCTCGAGGTTCGGAGTGGAATTGTCGAGGTCGGTCCAGACATGCGTCTTTAACAGCGCGACTTTCGTGCCTGAGCCTGGGGGGAAAACCTCTCTCGGCGAAGACGCACTCCCCATTATGGCAGCAAGGGGTTGGAACACGCTCGCCACCAACTCCAAATCCTCAACACTCCTCGCAAAGAACCCGACGGTGTCACATGTCGTGCTGTACCGCGCCATGCCTTCCGTGCTGACCATGCCCCAGGTGGGCTTGTACCCGTACACGCCGCAGAACGAGGCTGGACGCACAATGCTGCCGCCCGTCTGCGTTCCCAACGCGAGCGGCACGTGTCCATCCGCGACTGCGGCAGCGGAGCCAGATGACGAACCGCCTGGCGTGTGCGCTTTTCCGGGTGGAGAGTGCGGGTTGACGGTCGGCCCGCCTGTCGTAGTGGACGCGAACTGGGTGGTGGTCGTTTTGCCGATAATCAAGGCGCCGGCCTCGCGGAGGAGGCGGACAGCGGTGGCGTCTTGGCTGGTAAGGATGGGCTGGTTTGGTGGGGAGAGGGGTGGGAAGTTGAGCGATGTGGGAAATGTGCGTGTTTGCAAGACGTCTTTGATGCCGATTGCAAGGCCGTGGAGCGGACCGCGTTGAAGGTGGGCACGCCGTCGATGATAGCGGCTTCTGAGAGAGCGGCGTCGTTGTTGAGGTACGCCCAGGCGTGGATCTGGGGTTCTCGCTTGTTGATTCTGTCGAGCAGGCGCGTAGTGTAGTCAGTGACGGAGAGGGCGCCGGATTGTAGTTCGGAGAGGGTTGATGTTGCGCTTGGGCTGTGGTGGTCGTCCATGGTGACGGCGGGCGTGCTGTGTTAGTTGGTATCACTTACTTACGTAGATCAAGAGTCTAGGGGACACAAGTCAGGACGTCGTGCTTACGTTCTGGGCGGAGATACGCGCAACATGGCATCTGTAGCCTACTTCGGATAACTATTGAGGGAAAGATGGCCGACTTGGATAGTCTGATAGCGCATAGTAGCATGAGTCAGTGAATGACCTTCTTAGATAGAGAGGTTGGATGGTCTGCAATCAAACCTTGGTCTTCCGAGCGATGACCCGAGTACGGAGGATGACTTTCAGATTGAGTATGCGGAACATTTCAAAAACACATCAGTCTTGGCATGGCATCTCTTTCTGGAGGTAAATTTCGGATTCTCATTTACGAGGGATAATGTCTACAGATCCAACTGGAATCTTGGATGTGTCCGTATCCTTTCCCCGTACCTCAAAAACACAAACACGATCGGCAGCATCAGCACCGCTATTCCTGCCAATAACGTGTTTCCCCAGCCATAGCCCAGGGCGTGAAACATCTTCGGCCCAGCGAGGGGCAGCACAGCGCCACCTACGCTCCTCAGCACTGTGTTCGCTGCCATGGCCGAGGCGGCGTAACGTGTGTATGCGTCGACCAGGTACGTCCCTGGAAGAGTGTGATGTTAGCTGGGCACTATTCACCAGTGCAAGGAACTCTGTGGCACTTACCGATAGGCATGAAGATCAAAATCATAGCTCCGCCGACAATTGTGGTTCCGATGATCGGGACGATCCAATGCACCGTATATTCCGCAGACCATCCATATACCAACAAGCCGGCCGGCATGGCTATGCCACCCCACACTAAAGGAGGCAGCCTATATTCTGGCTTCATCTCTCCTCCGTTCTTCTTTGCTTGAGCTTTCAGGCTTCGATCTGACATGCCACCAAACACAAACAACCCTAAGAACTGGCCGACACCAATGCCCAGGAAAGTCAGGCCGACGTTACCGTGGGCGATGCCGTACTGCTTCTCGAAAAGCTCGGTGATCGTGGTGAAGACGAGGTACATATATCCGTAGCATACGGCGATGTACAGAGACAGGCCGAAAATGATAGGCGAAAGGAAGAGCATCTTGGTCGGACGCACGATAGAGGACCAGAAGAGATCGGTTGGCTTTTTGGCGGGCTTCAGGGCGGATTGGAGCTTTTCGTTTCCGGTTTCTTTCCGCAGCTTCTTTGCCTTGCGTTGAAGGAGAGTGATTGCATAGGTCTCGTCTTGCAGGGCGATGGCGATGACGAACATGACGGCTGCAGCTATACTGAGAGTGTAGAAGTCCCATCGCCAGCCAAGGGCTTCGCTGATGTACGATCCAGCCACGGGTCCCAGAGTAGGTCCTAGTAGAATGGGAAGCGTCCATGCGGACATGACTTTGCCGCGCTCCTCCTGCTTGAATAGGTCGGCGATCGTGCCGGATCCAACCGTCATCGGGGCAACACCGGCAAATCCAGCAAAGAAGCGCAGCACGATCTCTGTATTGAGATCTTGCGCGAAGCCGCACGCGATGTTGAATATCACAAACAAGGCAGTATTGATGTGATAGACCCATAGCCGGCCGTACAGTTCAGACATTGGTCCAATGATCAGGGGTCCAAAAGCATAGCCGAGGACGTAGACGGACACAACGAAGGCACCCAAGGCCACACTGTTTGCGTTGAAGTCCCTCATGACACTGGGAATGGCGGGGGCGAACATCGAGGACGCAAAAGGCGTGAGCAACGTGAGTGACGAAATGACGAAGATGTTCTTCCATTTCTTGAACGCCGTCCAGTTGATAGGCTTCTCTGGGTCATCTGGTCCATCCCAATCGACGACATTTGGGTCGTCGTTGACAGCTTCTACAGTCGGCAAAACAGCCTTAGTGGTCGTCAGGTCGCTCTTCTCCAGGTCTGCTTCGTCGTCTGGTATTGAGGACCGTATCTGGGTGTCCAAATTCCTTGGGGTGGTCTGGTTTGACTCTGAGCCGAGCTTCTCGGCATCCGCCATGGCAAATCCTCGATATTTAGATACAGGCTCCTGTCCTTCCCAAATGAGATAACTCTTGCTGAACTCTTGATTGCTAACCTAGATGAATGATCGCAGGCTGGGAAGTCGCTGCTTTTGGTATAGTAGTATGAACACGAATTGATGTCGCTGGTGAAGGGACCGAGGGGATCGAGAGAAGAAATCGTCAAGCATCATTCAAGGAAAGACGGATTTAAGCGTGGGCGTGCATACATAGTTGGGGTGCATAAACGACTTACCGAGGACGCGCAAAGAGGCTACGACGACCGGCGGTGCGAGAAACACAGCAGCAGAGGTTGATCTGGCCTGCGAATTAGGGGACGGACTTTTGTCCCCGGTTCGGACGAACAGCCTTCAGCGTGCCGAGTTCCGGATCGATTTCAGGAGTTCATTTTGATGGAAGATCTGGTGGCGATCTGGTCAGAAGTACAATAATGCAAGAGAGAGATGCTTATAGTGAGGGGCGCATGCGTCTGTAAAGCGCACTTGACTGCACTTGACTGCGAGTGAATAAGACGGAAGAAGGAGCGACGTTGAAATAAGAAGAGAGAGTGAGAGGCACGGGGACTGCAGCCCTGTCAAATGGGGTTGCCTCGCTTTGGGGCGCGCTCTGTACAATCTTGTGTGAGTCCTGGTTTGTGCCATAACGATTTGCTTCATTACATGCTGCACTCACAGTTCACGTCGCAAGAACACTATGTCCTCGTCTACTCGCTCAGTGCTCAGACTCAGTGTCCATTCAGTCCACCATTAATCTCTAAACGACCAGCGGCCCAATCGAAGTCTTCCGGTATACACAACTCACCCTTTGCGATCTGCCTAGCCGTCCTGACAAAACTCAGCGTACTGAACTCTGGCAACCTGCCTGCATCGATACCAGTGCCCGACTTGACTTGGACTATCACCGGAAGATGACCAACAGGATGCCCGACTTTGAATGCTCGTAGCTTCCGCTGCAGTGGTCGAGACATTTGATTGACGAGCGTGCCCTTTATATGCGCACAAGCTGTCGTGCAAGTTGCTCCAGTTCCTGCCATCGATGAGTGGCAGTAGTTGTCGAGGAACAGCCGACCCTGCACATCGCCGTCATCCCCATCTTTTGACTCGACCAGTAAAACCACATAGGGCAGATTGGGGATCTCTTCATCAACTTTCTCCCAGCTGCTACACAAGCCAATCATTTGGGAAGCGCGCCCTCGAAGTTCCCGGACGTCATCAATGAGCTGCTTGCTCTCGTTCAGAGTTCGTGCAGGTTCCGTTCCGGAGATGCCGAGATCTGCTGCTCGAGCATAGACCATTATGTTGGCGATATCGCAGATACTGATTTCGACTTCTTTCCCTCGGACTGTCACAGAATCGACCGGATTACCGCTGGGTAGAAGACCTTTCTTACATGCTCCACCTGCTGTCTGAAGGTCGCCCGTCAGCCACTATGGCATGTCGTGATGGACTTTTACCTACCTCCTTGTAGTCCATCCATATTGCAGCTCCTGTACCTGGTGCACCGTCGATCGCCTGCTGTCCCTTCTCTATCACTCTTCCTTTCTCATTGACCGGAACGTGAGCGATGAGCATGTTTCCAAGACCTACCATCCATATCCTGACTTCTTTCACGGTCCCTAGGGCGGTATCCTTACTAGTACCAGAACGTGCATCGACGAGTCCTTGAGAAATGGCCCAAGGTCCAACAGCACTACTGATGTTGCCACACCCTCCTTCCCAGCTGATGTGGTTGGTCCGTATGCTGCATTGGGCAAAGTCATAGTCGACGTCCACGCCAGGTCTTTTGCTGGGGCCAAGGACTGCTATCTTGCTTGTGACGGGGTGAGTGCCACCCATCCCGTCAATCTGCATGGGGTCAGGCGAGCCCATCAGCCGCAGAAGTAGACGGTCGCGTAGCTTCCCGGGTTGTGGCAGGTCCTTGGCGTGGAAGAATAGCGCCTTGCTGGTTCCTCCTCTGTAGTATGTGAAGGGAATGGTCTCTGGTGCTTCTGCCATGGTCACGGTTTCCGTTCTCGCGGCCGAGATGCAGTCATTCACAGAAGCAAAGATACAAAGGCCTCCCTATATGGTCTAGATCGGCAGGTCCCGATCGGCGGACGCACCTTCGACGTGGTCAATGATGTGCCTTTTACAGTGCGGGGAGAGAAAGGCAAAACCATGAATGGCTGGGGTTTGTCAGAGAAGTGATAAGTACGAATGCGGTTCGCCCGTGGTCAGCTGCAATTTCGACGTAAGGCTATGAAGAGAAGCGATACCGGGAGGTGAACAAAACGGAAGCAGTCCCTGGCAACCCAGCCTCATCCGACCGGCGTGGTCGATAGCAGGCCTGTGGACTGCACAAGTCTTGCGGCCAGCAGGAGAGTTGGCACATCTCACTGTTTGACTGAGATAGGACATACGGTCTCGTGACAGGAGACACGGACAATGGAAGAGTGAAGGGAGAATATGCAAGTGACGTGCGTCAGAAGCCGCTGCTTTAGTTGAAGCGAAGTACCTTCGATTGGGTCCCAGACCAAAGTCCATCAGGAAGGCGTCGGCACTGATTGAGATTCACTGCCTTAATCCCACACATTCGTAGCGAAAATGCAATGTGTTGTCCATCGAACGCCGCCGCCGCTCCCAGATTTCCCCTAAGTCCAAGGAGGGGGAGTAACACAAATATCCGGCTCAACTTCAAGGTGCCTTCGGCGAGGCAAAATCGCGGCGAGAGAATCCATATATATGTTCATGACCATTCGAACGAGCAAATAGAAGCTGTTTTAGGAAGGCCGAGTTCCGTTTCGGGCGAACGTCATTTTCCCCGCAGAAATTATTGTCTGCGCGATCTGGACGATCGATTTCGGCTTCACTGCACGCCGCTCGACACTTCACATACGGTGCGACTATGGCAGACTCGGGCGACGATGCTGCGGGCCCCGTGTCTGAGCCCCTCGATCTAGTACGGCTTTCTCTGAACGAAGTAGTGTTCGTCAAACTTCGAGGCGACCGTGAATTGAAGGGCCGCCTACACGTATGTTGCGCTGAGGAAATAGAGGCTCGCACTGACAGGCTTCTACAGGCATACGACAGCCACTGCAACTTGGTGCTTGGCGAGGTAGAGGAGACAATTTACATCATCGACGACGAAGACGACAGCGATGATGCAATCAAGGTACCGAGCTCCTGGAGGGCGGCGCACGATCGACTGACGGAAGCAGACCCAGAAGAAGCAGTCAGACATGCTCTTTGTGAGAGGTAAGTCTGTGAATAACACGTCAAACATACCGTAGCTAACGGTTTCAGGTGACTCGGTAGTCCTCATCTCACCCCAGCCAGCGTGAGGAACTCTTCGTACGAATCAGAACAAACCGATGACCTTCCTCCCTGTGTAAGCTGCGAGTCACGACTGCTTCAGCACTGAAGGAGCAGCATTTGTGCAAAGCTACATCGCGAAGGCCAGAATGAGCCCCTAGAAACCGCAGCCAGCATGTGGCGAGACAGGGCAGACACTGTAGCGGTAGCACAGATTGAATAGCAGCCATATTGCCGTCAATGGCAAGGCAGACTTGCGAAAGGAGCCAGCAGAAGACGCGCGAGAGGTCGACAGCACGACTCAAGGCATGGGCCAGGCAGGAATGAGTGTAGATGTACAAACAAGCAAGAGCGGCCAGGCGCGGGGGACGCGGGGTGACTCAAAAGTCGCGGAACTCAGACGAGTCACTACCGTCATGACTCGATTCAGTAAACCACTTTGACTACATCTATCTAGATCATCGTGGCCGTCCCTCTTTCGCGCTGATCTAACCACTCATCTGACAACGTATCTCTACTACACTGCGACAAGTCCTTCGACGACCAAGACCCGTCATGACAACGTAGCCGCCCTGACCTCGCCACCACCCTTTCTCTACCTCAGTTCCAGTACAGATATGATAATACGAATACCAAACTGATCACGGGGGCGGACACACAAGCATTGCAGACTAAGTAATTCATACTTCTCTTCTCAGAGGGTGAGTGCTTCCATACGACAATTACCAGCGCCTGACAACATCCGCTACAGCCATAAACCCCCCTCCAACATGGGCACACGAATAAAGCAAACGCCACAGGACAGACGGAAGGGCGAGTTAGCCCTGTCTGACTTCGCAGATTACGTCGACAAGCAGCAGGCCAAGAACCGTGTCCAGAGGATAAGCTCGATAGCTCCAAGCGTCAGCGGCTACTCTACTGGAGGCCAGTCAGCCGTCACCGAGGATCACGCCGAGCTGGACGTAATCGACCAGCTGGGCTTGTCTGACAATCCCACGCAGACGAAATTGAAGGACTGGCTACTTGACGAGACCGAGGACTCTGGCGCCACTCTGCAGCAACTTACAGGATTATTGCAAGCACGATTAGACGAAGGACATGGCGAGTCACTCTTCGATTTAGGTCTGGAGGACGGTGGCGAGTCATTGGGCTTCACCAGAACACAGTGGAATCTAGCCCTTGCACGAGTCACAGAGGCCGCCGCAACATTGAAATCGGATGTGCGGGTACTCCTGACCTACAACGTTGGCGGCGATGTTGAGGCCGAGACCAAGCCAGCTTCGAACGCCTGCTATGGAAAGCTCCTTATTCGCCAGAAGCCGGAGACACCTGAGGAAGTCATCGAGACCCGCATCGCTGTTGTAGGCAATGTCGACGCCGGCAAGTCCACGATGTTGGGTGTGCTCGTCAAGGGCGGACTTGACGATGGCCGTGGCAAAGCCCGTGTCAACCTTTTCCGTCACAAGCACGAGATTGAGTCTGGTCGTACTTCATCTGTCGGCATGGAAATCATGGGCTTTGATACGCATGGCGAGATCGTTGCGTCTAACGTCCCTGGCCGCAAGTTGACTTGGGCCGAGATCGGCACTCGCTCAGCCAAAGTCATCTCCTTTTCTGACCTGGCTGGCCATGAGAGATACCTACGGACGACTGTCTTCGGCCTGTTATCTAGCTCTCCGAATTACTGCCTACTCATGGTGGCAGCCAATAACGGGCTGATCGGCATGTCCAAGGAGCATCTCGGCATCGCTCTGGCCCTCAACGTCCCCGTCATGGTCGTCATCACCAAGATCGATATATGCCCACCGCACATCCTCGAACAGACCATTACTCAGCTCACCCGGATCTTGAAGTCTCCAGGTGCCCGCAAGATCCCAGTCTTCATCAAGACACACGAGCAGACCGTCGAGACCGCCACTCAATTCGTCTCGCAGCGCATCTGCCCTGTCTTCCAAGTCTCCAACGTGACTGGAGAATGTCTCGACCTGGTTCGCACATTCCTCAATATCCTGCCTCATCACGGCCACTACGACGCTCAAGCACCATTCGAGTTCCATATCAACGACACCTTCTCTGTTCCCTTCGTTGGCACCGTGGTATCTGGCGTTGTCAAGTCCGGGCTCATACACACTGGTGATAACGTCATTGTTGGCCCAGACTCCCTCGGCCAGTTCCAGACAACCAATATCCGCTCGATCGAGCGAAAACGCATCCAGGTGCCGTTTGTGTCTGCAGGTCAGTCCGCCAGCTTTGCACTCAAGCGTGTTCGGCGGAAGGAGGTGCGCAAGGGAATGGTCGTCCTGCCAAAACTCGACACGATGCCCAAAGTGCACTACGAGTTCGTTGCCGAGGTTCTCATCTTGAGCCACGCAACCACCATTCGGCCAAAGTACCAGGCAATGCTGCACGTAGGACCCGTCAGCCAGACCTGTGCCATCATAGACATCGATCGCGAGTACATCCGGACTGGAGATCGTGCTACCGTGGCATTCCGCTTCGTCCAGAGGCCGGAGTTCCTCAGTGTGGGAGACAGGATATTGTTTCGCGAGGGACGCACAAAGGGACTCGGTATCGTCAAGTCGTTAGGCTATGAGGCGGGTTCGCTTGGCAATCCAGGCGCAGTGACTGCTGCGGATGCTGATGGCAAGAATGGTCCTGCAGCTGCAGCTGCAGCAAAGGCGATGAAGGAAGTTGAGGCGAAGGATTTGGGTAAGGGGAAGGGGAAGGAGCGGAAGGTCAGCTTCTCGGTCGGGAAGGCGCCTGCTCCGACGGGCACTATTCCCTTGGTCGCTGCTGCTGGTGCCAACAACGCTACCGCTGTGAACGGGAAGGCGAAGTAGAGGACTCATTCTTCCGTGAAGGCTCTTTTACGGCAGTTTTGATGGCTGCAAGGCGCTAGGAGGTGGATGCCACCTCGAATGGTTGCAATTCGGTTGTAAGTAGCAGACCGTAGCATTGTTGTTCCCCGTATTCCACAAGCGAAATCAACTCACAGCATATTCAGTGCACCACTGTCTGCGCTTATTTCGCTGGCGGGTTAGCGACCGACCAAATGTCAAGGATGTGCTGTCGTCTCGGGAAAGAGCTCCTTGCATTTTCTTGTAATTCAAGCAGCTTCCACCCAGAATGCCTTCGAACATCACTTCCGCCATGACAGAAACAACATACGAGGGCACCGACAATACCATGCCCATGCAATCTGAGTAGGACGCGCCATACCACACCATTGCTGCACTGCAGGTACATTGCACAAGACTCTTATTCCCAATCTGGTACAGTAGACCAAGATAACTACTTCGTATGTGCGGCAGATTCAACAGCAGGTATCGACGGTAGCGCTCCTTCCACCTCATCCTTAGTCAAGGTCGTATACTCGAACAGCATCGCGCGAATCTTTTCCATGTCCATCGGAAACTCCTCACCCTCCTCTTCCTCTTCGTCTAGGGCGTCAACCTTTTTGTGCTCCTTGCGTACCTCGTCATACTCGTCGCTTCCAAGTATAAATGGAAAATCCTCGTCCTCGGCGTCGTCCTCCTCAGAATCGGCGCCCCACGACACAAATGTGTTCTCTGTACCACGTCCCTCTGTTACAGCCTTTTTCAGCTCCTCCGGCACTCGCCCAGGCGTGTCTCTGACCACGTCCAGCTTATTTGATGCGTCACGTCCTGCGGTTGGCTGTATCGCCACCGAGGGCTGACCTACGGGCATACTGTGGTCGGCAAAGCTGAATGGCACTGCTGGCTTCACAGCTGGTGGCGCTCCATCCGGGTTCGTATCTTCTTTTCCAGGGTCTGGGGCCTTTGTAGCTTGGAGTCTTTAGCTGCTGATGGGGGAGGACCCCAGGCTATCGGCTCCGATGACCTTGCTGCTGGAGGCGGTGGTCGGTAGACCGGCGGGATGTATGTTGCTTGCGACTGTGGTCGGGCTGCTGGCGGTGGCGGTGCTGCTCGTGAGGGAGAGAGCGAGAGCGTAGGTCGCGTGTCCACTGGTCGATCCAGTCCCGCCGTGGAACCAAAGCCGGGCTGGGGCTGAGGCTGGGGTGCGCCGTAGAGCGCTGTTGGTGGCGGCGGAGCTGGCCTTGCGGATGTTCCGAAGAGGGTTGCACCGGTTCCTGTAGCGGCCCCGGAGCCGAAGAGCCCTGCGCCCGTGGTGGTGCCAGAGCCGAAAAGGCTCGTCGTCGGCTTCGTCTGGAAAAGCGGCGCCTGCTCAACCCCTTGGCCATGCGTGTAAGCATAGTCATGCCAGTGGTCAGCGATCTCAAAGAGTTCGAGCTTGTCGAAGTACTTGACGAAGTCATCGTAGTCGTCCTGCGTGACGTAGGTCTTCCACGCGTCGAGATGGTGCGAGAGGATGTCCAAGCTCATTTTGGCGCGTAAATGGTGCGAGGTGTGATAGTCTGGGTTACTGATCTCTTCGAGCAGGCGGGTGACGAGACGAGAATGGTCGTCTAGTTGGGTCTGGTAGCGACGAACGGAGCTGGGAGGAGATCGATGGGCCAGGATTGGGTATATAGCGGGCGTGTGGGAGGTGGTGGCAGGTACGAGAGCGGCTTTTGTGGGTTCAAGCCTGGCACTGGCGGCGGTGGAGGTGGTGGTGGCATGACGTAGAATCTCGGTCGATCTTCTGCGCCGGGCTCTCTGTTGGGGATGGACGTCGTTACTGGACCCGCCGCTGCCCCAAATGGTCTTGGAGTTCCTGCGGTAGGCGTTGCATGTGCAGCCATGGCGGTTATGACAGGAGCAGACGCTGGCGCTGAGGGCGACAACGCGGCAGCGACAGTGTTGACTGCCTTACTAGGCAGCTTCGACAATACTGGCTTGGGCGAGCCTTTGCATGGCGGCGTATCTAGAGACTTCTCCAGCCTTTGTCGCCCTCAGCCGACTTCTCCTCCTTCACCGGCTTCTCTTTAACAGGCGACTTCTCTTCTTCCTCCGGCTTCTCCTTTGCCTTACCATACGCTGCAAGGCCCTGCAGACGCTCGACCGGCAGGCTTTGGCCGGGATGCTCCTTGATGTGAGCAGCTGAGAGCAAAAGCTGAACGAGAAGCCCAATCATGCCGATCGAGGACCTGAGACTATCTCTCATCTTCATGATCTCCTCCTCCATGAGCGTAAACTTGAGCCTACGAAAGAATGACGGCTTCGCCATCGGCTGCCTCTCTGTCGCGGCATACGCCGGAGGCGGGTCCTTCTTATTGCTCACCGGATTCATGGCGATACTGATCTCCTTGAGAACATCCTTGCATGATTCGAGCGCCGACTTAATGGCATCCTTTAGCTTCTCGGACGCAGCCTTGGCGAGCTTCTCTTCTCCGAGTGTCGTGCTAATCAGGTGCGTTACCGTTTCAACCTCGGAGACTTCACGATGAAGGTAGTTGATAGATTTGTTGGCGCTCTTTACTGTGCGGCTGAATGTTGACAAGCTGAAGGCGACGTCTGTTGCGATGCCAGCCACGCCAATGGCGAGGCCGACGATTTCAACCCCGGACATGCTTGGAAACTGAGAGACGCGGTCATGCGTCACAAGGTTGATGGTTGAGGGCAAACATGATTGAAACCGTCTCTCTTCGGACTGGCAAGCACGAGAAACTTACAGTACATGAAGAGAGGAAACACTTGTCGTTTAGTTAAGACTCGGCTCCTGACAGGTTTGGCGCGCTCGTATTCAAGCCAGTGGCATCCTTGCCCAGACGACCTGGGGCCAAGGCAGGACCTACCGTCCTGGGACATGCTTCATGCGCAGCGTTGATCAGAAGCAGTCCGCTGCTGTTTACGAAACAGGTCACATATTGCTGACCTAGAGGTATAACATCTCATGTTACTAGAATAAGCAGACAGGATCAAAAGCAGGAGGAACCCATCGGTCAGAGGTACCCGTAACCTTCGCCGCCAGACCTCCACCACGACGGCTCTTTCCGCCGCACGCGTCACAGGGCTCCTCCGCCCCGAATGCGTAGCTAAACTTACCTAAGACAGCACCCCTGACGACCGCCCAGCATCACGGCAAAATTGCCGGCCTCAACTGCAGACTGCGGTACCTGCATAATTTCACATCATGGCCGTGAAGCAAAGAAAACCCAGGTCACAAGCAGGCCACCCTGCGGCGAAAAAGCCTTCGTCTCCGTCTCTCGCACCTCCAGTCGACAGCAATATGCCTCTTGTCGACATCCTCCGGCGACAGCCCCTATGGATTATCCTCGCCGTTGCCTCTGGCGCATGTGCCGCCCTCAATGGCGTCTTCGCAAAATTGTACGTCTGCTCCGGACTGACCACCTCTGGCCTCTCCCTTTATCGCTGCCGCCACTAACGCTCCCCTCCTCAAATAGAACAACAACCGCCCTAACATCAACCCTCTCCGCCTCCATCTCCACCTTCTTCCACCTCCCGCCCAACAACACCCCCATTGACCTCCTGGTCCGCCTCACCTTCTTCGGTCTGAACCTCGCCTTCAACGCGCTCATGTGGGCGCTCTTCACCGCAGCATTGACCCGCGGGGACAGCACGACAAGGGTCAGTGTGGTAAATGTGAGTGCGAACTTCATGGTGACGGCGGTTATGGGGTGGATCATCTTTGGGGAGGAGTTGAAGGGGTTGTGGTGGGTTGGGGCAGGGTTGTTGGCGGTCGGGAATGTGGTGATCGGGAGGAGAGACGAGAGCAGTGGGAAAAAGGAGGGTACGAGTGAAGCGGAGGCTTCGTTACTGGGTGAGGAAACGGAGCGGGAGGGCGAAGGGGATCTGTTGGAGCTGGATGGGGATGTTGTGCATGTGGATGCGGATGATTGGAGTGGAGAGCAGAGGAGGTTAAGCAAGGGGGAGGATGCTGATGCGCCAATATGATGGTCTCGGTAAGCGTAGTTGGTCTTGGATAGAGTGTGACATATGTATAGCATGAAACGGTCTAGAATTACGAATCTATCTAGTGTCCATCTCTACACCATGCGCGTCGTCGTCTCCGATCACGAATTCCGTCCCCTCTAGTATCTCGTCCTCATTGTGGTAGTCATCAGCTGGGTGTTCTGGAGCCTGAGTCGGCACTCGTGTCCAGCTCTGTGCTTGTCGCGGCGACAGCTTGAGCCTACCGCGAGAGAGGTTGTTGATGCGGTCTGCAAACCAATCGCTGATCCTGAAGATCGCATCACTGAGTTTGCTAGGGCCTGGTGGTCCATCTTGCTGCTGAGCGGCATGCTCGATATGTTCGGTCTTGAATTGGTACTTGAGGCAGTCCTTCACAGTGACGAGTCCTTCGAATTTGCCGTATTGCTCGACGAGTATGACTCGTGGGCCCATCTTCTTGAACAGCTCCATGGCTGTCTCGAGTGGCAGTCGCGGATTGACCGAGATCGGTGTGTGGTCGACGAACGCACTCAAGTCGACGGTAGCCATGCCCATGCTGTCGAAGTTTACGGCTGGCTCAGTGACCATGGGCGTTACGGGTTCAATATGCTCTTCGGGGACGAACAAACATGAGGTCTCCGGCGCGAGCATGCCTGCTTTCTTCGCTCGTTCCATGGCGAACTCGAGCTCCGTCCTCCCAATGTAGCCCACAAGGATGTTGCTTTGCAGATCTTCCACGATGGGGTAACCTGAGTACTTGGTGCTGTCCAGCAATTTGCGTAGGGCTTTGACAGCCATGCCAGTTGAAGGGAGTACAGCGACGTTACTAGTCATGACTTGAGAGGTGGGTACTCCGAAGATGTGGTCCTCTTTATTGTCCAAGAATGGGAATCCATTGAACCATATCATGCCATCAGCAATTCCAGCAGTCATGAATCTCTCGCTGACCACTTTCGTGACACCTACCACAATCATGGTAGGTAGGATGTACGTCAGGGCGCCAGTCAGCTCAAACATAATTACCACGACTGAGACTGTAATATGCATGATGCCGCTGAGCGCAGCTCCAGCTCCAAGGAATGCATATGTTCCTGGCGTGATGCACGGCACATCGGGCTCACAGGCAGCAAAGAATGCCGAATTGGGGAAGCGCTCGTACAGTGCTTGGACGAGGATGCCGATCATGCGTCCAAAGGACGCGCCGATGGCCATGGAAGGTACGAAAATACCAGCTGGAACCTTGCAGCCATAGGAAATGATGACCAAGAAGGCTCGCAGACATGTTGCAATTGCGAGAGAGAAGACCAGTGACCATCGATTCTCTTTCTCGCAAAGCCCGTCGTAGTCATTGTCGCCTTCGCACTCCTGGAAGAGCATCTCCATCATTTCAGTCATGTCGATTCGGAGGAACATGTTCGGATAACACAGAAGTGCTGTTGCGCCGGCAAGGACGACTGTCTCCGGGATTGCATACTTTCCTAGGTAAGCCTTTCGGAAGCTCTGGGCAGCGAGATTCCATTTTATCATAAGTGCACCGTACAGGCCACCGAAAATGCCGAGAATGAGATAGAAGACGATTTCGAAGAAGTGCCAGCCGCGGTCGTACGTGACGGAGAACATGACGAGTTGACCTGTTCTGAAAGGGTTCATGGCTGCCAACACTGACGTCGCGACAAGAGCACAGAAGTAGCTCCTCCACAGCGTCTTGAGCGGAAAATGCGTTGCCATTTCTTCCAAAGAGAACAGGACGCCTCCAATCGGACTACCAAAAGCAACGGCCACACCAGTCCCGGCAGACGCGGTCAAGATCTCCCTGGTCTTGGAGTGGCTCAACTTGTACTTTGTGAAGAATCGCGAGATGACGTTGCCAACACACGTTGCATAGTGAACGCTGGGACCTTCCTTTCCCACGGAGAGGCCCGAGGCAATGGCAAGTGGTAGACACAGAGCCTTCATTAGGAGTGTCCAGAAGCCGAGGAAGCCTTTCATCTGGAAGCCAGCGATGATGCATTTGATCTCAGATATGCCAGAGCCGGCAGCGTATGGCGCATAGGATTTGACCAAATATGCCGAGAGAAAGGCCAGCATTGTAGCAAAGATGGCATACACAAAGTAGTTAGACACGGCGAACGAGGTCCATCGATGCCATTCATCGCAACCTTGCTCGGAACCGTAGCAACAGAAGCCTTCGTTCAGGTACCAGGCGGTTGTGCAATAACCAAGCTTGACATCGGCCAGCCATTCGGTGATGATGTTGAGAGCGGCTGCGATCAAGCCAATGACGACTCTACCAGCGTCACAACGATCCACGCCTGGGCGGCATCGATAGATGCCAGTATGCGGCGCCTCCAGCCGAGCACGCCGTCTTTGTCGAAGAAGTTGGCGGCCTCCCTCCGCCTCCTCCGCCTGCGCAAATGTTCTTGTGCAGCATCTTGGACCCAGTCGACGGTGGTGAAGTCCTCATAGCGCTTGATCTCTGCTATCTCCTCTGTAAAGGTCTCCTCCACCGGCAAATTCTCCGCGCCATCATATCCGTCTTCGAGACTACGACTGGCAGATATCGAGGACAGTCGGCGTGAGAAGCGCCGCGATGAAATTGAGGGACGGGCTGAGGAAGGCGCGTCGGTAGCGAAGGATATGTGCGAGTTCATCGCACAGAGCCTCCAATCATCGTCAATCTCTCGACCAACGCACGGAGTCACACAGTGATGCGGTCGAGGTCGAGTCGCAGGAAGATAGGAGCAGCTGAATGCGCGCAGCCTAGTATACCCCAGATATTGACTTTGTGCCGCCTTCCCACATTCGGATCTCGCGCTATGAATGTCTTGATCTTTGAAGTCGCGACCATATTTCAGCGCTCTTGCTTCATTATTATTAGACAATCGTTAATCGTAGTACCAAGGCAGTTATCGTTCCGACTTCTTTCCCGTCGATCTGTCCTGCCATCAATTCCAAAAGTAACGTCTACAACACGACCCACGATATACGCGACTCGACGCGTCTCATTGTACACGCCACGTATAAGACTTAGGACTTTTAGTAGCATCGGACAGTTGCTCGTCACGTCTAGCATCTCAAGTCTAGCGACTGAGTAGGAGCGCGCTCCCGTACGGAAACGATGCCTTACAATAACACTCCTATGCCTCCACCAGAGGAGGCGACAGGCACGTCGAGGTTACCTCGTAGGCACACATACTACCCTTTACGTTCCATACTAACGACTACAGTGGCTCGAGTCAAGAAGATCATTGCACAGGACGAGGATATCTCACAATGCTCTAACGCGGCAGCCTTTGCGATATCAATAGCCACGGTGAGTCAGCACACCGATCCGAATGAACTGATCTGATGTCCTCCAGGAAAACTTCATCTGGTATCTGACACAACAAGCACACAACGTCGTCAAATCGGAGAGGAAGCCTAGGCGAAACATCGCCTATAAGGACATCGCCGATGCTGTGGCCCGGATAGACAACCTGGAATTCTTGTCTGATGTTGTTCCCAGAACGAAGACGTATCGGGAGGTGAAGAAGATCAAGGCTCAAGCAGAAGCCGACAAAGCGGCAGCAGCGGCAAATGGTGTCAATGGCGATCGGCCAGCTTCAAGTTCGCGGAACATTCAGGAGATGATCTCAGGGAACGAAGGTCTGGTGAATGGCAATTCTCACAGTCCCATGGCGGATCGGACTGCGCCTCATCGCCATCCCGATCCCATACGAGACCTCGTCGAAGAGCCAGTCAGTCCAAGTCGAAACCCGGAGCCCGATCATCCGATGACCGGTTGAGAATTGTTGCATATACGTACCGGCGCTGGTAGCAGGCCAATATGCAGCGGCTGCCCGATGCCAAAACAGATATCTTTTCATGTCAATGATCTCCGTGCAATACTGCTCCTGAAGTGGCTGCACGACTGAAAGATTGAAATTGACAGCCGCGCAAGAGCAATAATCCATGACCGTGTACGCCGGCAATGGATGCCAGTGTCCTTTGAAAGCGATGTAGAAAGTGCCAGTGGAGCTCCAGCTCCAAACCTCAACTTCATCATCCTTGCTCTGATTGGCTCGTTGACCTCCGAACCTCGATTCATTTTCCTTGCGCTCCTCGACTCACGACGTATTTCCTTAGCTTCGCAATCCTCACCTCACGCTCATTCACACCTCATCAACCGCCACGATGCGTCCAGCGCCCTCGTCTGCGAGCGCCGCTCTGCGCAGCTGGACCCGCCATGCCTTCCCCAACACATCCCAGACCTCCGCTGTCGCCACAGCTCGGCTAGCTCCCCAGACCACCTCCCTCACATCACAGCGACGAGATCAAAGCACTGCCGCCGCCGCCACCTCCGGCTCGAGCTTCGACTCACCATTCACAAAGTACGACACAAACAAGATCCCCAGTTTCGCCAAATACAAGGCCAAGAGTCCCGAGGTCTCGAACCGCGTGTTCCAGTACTTTATGGTTGGGTCAATGGGTCTGCTCACCGCAGCGGGCGCGAAGGCTACTGTGCAGGGTATGTTGCGCGAGCTTCACTTCGAGGAACCACGACGCATCAACCAGTAAAAAGAGGTGAAAGCTGACAACCTGCTTTACTACAGATTTCCTGGTAAACATGTCCGCCTCCGCCGACGTGCTCGCACAAGCCAAAGTCGAAGTCGACCTCGCCTCGATCCCCGAGGGCAAGAACGTCATCATCAAATGGCGCGGCAAGCCCGTCTTCATCCGCCACCGCACCGAGTCTGAGATCAAGGATGCTGAAGGCGTCAAGTATGTCCTCCCGCCTGCACACCTTACACGTCCGCAACCTCACGGAAGATCTCACGCTAACGTTTCTCTCCCACTATAGCATATCTATCCTCCGCGACCCCCAAAAAGACGAAGACCGCGTCAAAAAGCCCGAATGGCTGATCATGCTCGGCGTCTGCACCCACTTGGGCTGTGTCCCGATCGGCGAATCCGGCGACTTTGGCGGCTGGTTCTGCCCCTGCCACGGCTCTCACTACGATGTCAGTGGACGTATACGGAAGGGCCCTGCGCCGCTGAATCTGGAGATTCCGGAGTATGATTTCCCGAGTGATGAGAGCTTGGTTATTGGTTAGAGGGAAGAAAAGGCAAATTTTGAAGGGCAGGAAGAACGTTGTCGGATATAGCAGCGAAGAAGCAGAAGACGACAGCGGTGTAGATGGTGGTGTACAGAAAGACAAGGAGAGCCCTCAGGAAGCATCATTTTGTACGAGCGAAAGACGGCCTCTTCACCCAGGGGCAAGGGCGTAAGAGAGCAGAGAGGGTCCCACGTCAGAATTAGCGATAATACTGGCAGGTCGTCTCCAGTACGAAAGACACAACAATTTTACATCCTTTACGCATCACAGGTACACATTCTGTACATAAGTGATCCGTCCTGGAATCCGCGGCCGACATGATATGTATCGTATCTGCGAGCACTTTCAGAAGCAAGAGAACAGCCAAAAGTTTTTTGGTTATATACTTGAACAGTGATGGTGAAGTGACGCTCATGTAAGATCCAGGATAATCACAGATTCTGATCAACGTATCCAAATCTTTGACACGGAGTCCTCCCTAGCATGGACATACAATTTGACTCTTGGGACTTGGACAGTGATGTTAAAGTAACGCCCAGGTGAGAATCAGGATCATCACAGAGTTTTACCGAATTATTCAAATCTTAGACACAGAGTCCTCCTTGGCATGGACAGTTCTCAGGCATAGGATTTGGGCAGTGACGCTCGAATAACGGGAGTTAAAGGCGACTTCGACCTAGATGTGACGCTCAAATGACAGTCATCGGAGGCGACATAGAGCTAGAAGTGACGCTCATTGCAGAGGTCATCGAATCACTGAAGCGTTACTTGAGTATCTGCTCTACTCGACCAGTTGCGATTGATCACGACATCTAGCCCCAAGTCCCGCCACCACCGCGTCCCCCCTGCCTCCTCTGCGCACTTAACCGCCACTCATCCTCTCCCCTAAACTTATCATGCAGCGGCTGTATCCTCTCCGCCTTCTTCCGCTTACTCAGCTTCCCCTTGTCTGCCTCCTTGAAGAACGTAGGCGCCGCCTCCACCAGCCATCTTGGCTCGATCACCGTCGCACAGTGCATGTACTCTTTTGTCGTCAATACCAGCGTGTGGTAGATCACATGCTCCGCGGGCTTCCCAAATAGCGCCGATGAAGGATGCATATACACCGGCGTTCCCTCGATAAGCGTCTTATACCCTTCCTGAGGGTCCTTGCGGGCACTGTTGCGGAAGAAGCCCGAGCAGAGCGCTTGTCGGACCTTGAGAGTGTTGCGGCCGCAGGATATGACAGGGTGCTTGTACCGCGTAAAGATCTGGAGGAGTTGCTGTCGGACGTCGCGGGCACGCATGATCTGGCGCTTCTGGATGAAATTCTCGAAGCACCACGGATCGGAGAAGCGGGAGTTCTTCCAGCCGTTATAGACGTTCAATAGGGTCAGGTGGTCACCGTGGGAGTCGTGGAACTTGGCCTTTTTCTGGTCCGCTTGCGTTTGTTTCTCCTTGGGTCGGTAGAAGACGGATTGTACCGATAGCATGGCGACGATGGACAGCATCTCCTCGCTGCAGCCGGAGTCGACGGAAGCAATCAGGACTTTGGCCAGGGCGGGCTCCATGGGAAAATCGGCCATTTTGCGGCCGAGCCGGGTCAGGAGGCCCTCGTCGTCGAGAGCGGACAGGGCGTAGAGCTCCTCCAGAGCTGTCAGCATAGTGTTGGTGGGAGGCGGGTCCATGAAGTCAAAGTGCAGGAGATCGTTAATGCCCATTGCTTTGAGCATCAGGATCGTGTTCGAGAGGTTCTGTCTTTGAATTTCTGGGATCGTGGTTGCAAGCATCTCTGATTGATACGCTGCTTCCGTGTACAGACGGAAGCACTTGCCAGGCCCGGTACGGCCAGCTCTGCCAGCACGCTGTTTGGCCTGAGCTTGAGATATGGGCGTCACAATGAGTGAATCCATGCCTAATTTCGGGTCATAGGCGTTCTGCTTCACAAAGCCAGGATCGATGACATAGTAGATGTGGTCAATAGTGATGGAGGTCTCGGCAATGTTCGTGGCGATAACAACTTTCCTGCTGCCAGGAGGAGCAGGATCGAAGATTCGGCTCTGCATTTCGCTGGGAAGCGCTGAATACACGGGCAGAACGATCAGCTCGGGCACGCTGGGCCCCAAAGCTTTCATGCGCTCGTAGAGGACCTCGCAACTTGTGTCAATCTCCTCTTGACCGGTCAAGAACACCAGGATATCGCCCGCGGGTTCCGTGAGATGTATTTGCATTACTGTCGTCAATGCTGCATCCAGATAGTCCTCTTCAGGCTCTCTAGAGTACATGATCTCAACTGGATATGTTCGGCCAGGAATCGAGAAGATCGGGCACTGGTTGAAGTAGTCGCTGAATTTGTCGGCATCCAGCGTTGCAGATGTCACGATCAACTTGAGGTCCGGCCGTCGCTTTATTGTCTTCTTCAGCAGACCGAAGAGCACGTCAGTTGCAATCGTCCTCTCGTGGGCTTCGTCCAGCATAATGACAGTATAACGCTTCAGATCAGGGTCCATAAGAATCTCGCGCTGCAACATACCGTCTGTCATGTACTTGATGCGTGTCTCTGGAGATGTTCGATCTTCGAATCGGATGGTGTAGCCAACTTCCCGCCCTAGCTCGCAACCAACCTCTTCAGAAACACGCTTTGCCACTGACATGGCTGCCACTCGTCGAGGCTGAGTACATGCGATCATGCCATCGTTAGCATAGCCACCCTCGGCCAGATACTGGGTAAGTTGAGTGGTTTTACCGGAGCCAGTATCGCCAACAACAATCAATAGCTGATTCTGTGCGACCGCGTCCAAGATCTGCTTGCGAAATTTGAAGACCGGCAGGGATTCGCGCTGCTGTTTGATAGTCATATCGGTCCTCCTCCCTAGCGACACATTCTGACCTTGAGTGGCACGCTTCCATTCAGGCACCGCTCCGATCGCTTTGGTGGTCTGCTGTTGGGTTTGTCGTAGTTCAGACGCAAATTTGCGGTCTTCGGGATTGATCATAGGATCTTGCCATTGCTCGTTAAGGTTGACTTTGGATGCTTCTTCGGCCGCTTTATCTGTTGCCTCCTGCTGCCTCATTTCTCGCCGCTCTTTCGCCAAGTTCGTTCCGCTCTGAGCAGCACGATTGAGAGACCCTTCTGGTGCCTTGACAACACGTATAGGAGATAGTTCCAGGGACTGCTTCGTCTGCCCAGCCAAGAAAGGCGGCTCATCGTCGCGAACCTCGATATCAACGTCTTCCTCCAGTTCGTCGGGATTGCCGTCTCCGTTCAGGTTGTCGTTGTATTCTTGAAATGCTTCAGGATAGTCTTCGGCTTTCGCAGCCCCTGAAGCAATCAGTTGCTTGATCTCCCATCTTTCCGGCGTGGTCATCCGCTTTCGGTTTGGTCTTCCATTCCGGCCGTGCCTCAGATCTTCTTCGATCACGGGCACCTCTTGTGCCATGTTGCCGAAGCGATCCATACCACTCATCCTCTCCATATTAGCGCCTGATGCTATCCGTTTTGAGGGTGCTAGGTCTTCCCCTGTGATCTGGTCTACCTCCTTCATTGACAGCGAAATCTTGCCGTCTTCAAGCTTGTTGACCTTAACCTTGACGACTTGATCTCTCGATAGCAGATCTGATGGATGGTTCACTCGAGCGCCATCTTGAATAGCCGAGACGTGTACCAGGCCGTCGACAGACCCTTTTACGCCTCGTAGGTTGACGAAGGCTCCGAAATCCTTGACGTTCTTGACCACGCCATCGTAGATCTTGAAAAGGACGGGATGCTCGTCGAGATTCTCCTCCTTCCGACTACTCCGGTGATCTCTATCGCGATGCCTATGCCTTGACCGTCTGTCATCGTACTCGTCACTGTCGCGCCTTCGTCTCGAATGCTTCTCCCGTCGCGGACTCGGACTCCTCGAGTATCGCTGTTTTGATCGTCGCTCAAATGATCCGTTCTCCCGCTCCGGACTGCGACTTCTCTTTCTCGAGTGGCCGTTGGCTGAAGGCGCCAGCCCCGCAAGCATTGCGAAAGTGTCATCTAGGGCGGGCTCTGTCGGCGCAACCTCAATGGTCTTCTGGCCTGGTGTGTCATCTTCAAGCTCGTCCCACTGCTGCTGTCGGTCAGGCACAGCAAGGCCAGTGAACATCTTGGCCTTAGATGCGAGTGCACTGAATTCGTCCAGGGAGTCCTTCGCTGCATGCTGCTTCTTATACTTAGGGTGCATCGTGTGTATCGACCGGTGTATGCTCTCCACCAAGGACTCCGGCAGGCTGTCGTCGAGGGCATGCATGACTTTCTTGAACTCGGGCAGCGTCCCCCCGGCGCATTGTTCGTGCTGATCTAGGAAGAATTCGGCGAGCGTTTTATCCTCGACGCCTAGATGGTTCTTGATCTCGGACGTCACTCTCGAGACCAGCGAGAGCAACTCGAGGGAGGCGAGGTCGTCCATGGTGACTGACGCGGTCCGGGGGATTACCAGATTTCCTGGTCAGGGCGGGCGCTGTAGGAATTATTTAAATATTTACAACTTTGTCGTTTCGTATTGATGCCTAAAGTTCGCCTTATCGATACGCCACACCCAACGCACCGCCAGGGAGGCCTCTACGTGGGAAATCCGTAGAATCTTGGACAAGATCTACTGCCACCTGCATTGATTTTCGACACAGATGCGATGGAAATTCGAGTTTCAACTTTCGGATATTCCGCACGAGTCGTGTAAAAGGTACTCTGTGGCGACAGCCTGAATCAGGACGGCAACACCCCGCGATCTGGATCTCGCGGAAAGTTCGTCCGCCCTCTCACGGATGATGCACACCATTTGGAGGTCTTGACTTTCGCCAAATGCTACCGTACCTGCTTTCTACCCCTCCAAAAAGCAACCGACCCGACTCTAGACTCCAGTGTACTCGTACCTACCTCAGGCTAAAAGAACCTTCTTGAACCCTTCCCCTTCCAGTAGCTGCTTCTTCACTTGCTCATTGACAACGCTTGTACCTGTACCTCACTCTACTTGAATTCGAGCACTACAAACCACTAGACCACCTTCAGCTCCATCGTTCCTCTGATCTTACGTACCTAGCTACCTACAGCAAACATGTCGAGCACCGTTGGGAACATCAGAGACAAGATCAAGCGCCGCTTCTCCCACAAGAATGAGCCTGAGCGTAAGTACAACCATTGACGAGGACCTTCCCACCACCTCCTGCGGGCTCTCTCCGTCAGCATGCCTCTAGAGCAGCAGCAGTAGCACCACTCCCATCATCACGAGAGCCAACTTGCCTTTAGCCCCACCACCGCAGCTGTGTCTGCTCCCACCTCAAACAACCACAACTAACACTTCCTCACCAGCAACAAACTTCGATGACTACGACTCCAACGACGAGCAAGACGAAGAAACATCAACCTACCTGACCAAAGAGTCCGAAAAGGCCGAGGCCGAGGGCCACGACAGCGGCAAGCCGGGCTCTCTACTCAATCGCATGATCGAGCACGGCAACAAGAAGACCGAGGCCCAGCTCGCTCGAGAGAGTCAGCTTGCTCAACAGGGCAATACTGGTGCTGGCAACACTGGTGTCGTTGGTGGCGGGCAGCAGCAGCAGACTGTGATTCGTTAAGTTGGGGCATTCGGCATATGAGTTGTGGTGGGCACGAACGGTGTTCTTCAGCCTTCATGGCCTAAATCAGATGGAGTATTGCCATCATTAACTCACGGACCACATCGGAATCGATCAGAAAAGGGGATCGAAATGTACACATGATGAAAAACCATTGCACACAACAAATAGTTCTGTCGACCAGAGCTCAGCTCAAAAAATATAAAATAGCATAACGCATAGTGAAGATCAAAAAACGAATTCTATTCTTACAGCCAGACCCATGCACAGTATCGCTTCGCCAGTATATGCCCCAGGGAATAGTCTGTTCCTTTTGTACACCAAAATATGCTCCTACGCACCCACATGGAATGCGTCTAGCCCACGGTCGTAGCCATATTGATACATTGTATAGTCATGTCTATTCGAGTCCATGCGTCACTGCCCGCCAGCAGCAGCAGTCGTGGCTCTGTCGCCGTCACCACTTTCGAGAGGCTTTTCCAAATTACCCAGCATCTTTCTTTCCCTCTTGGCCCAATCGTTCAACGACACTGCCGACGCACTAGTCGGGGTTGCTGCTGCTGCTGCTGATGACAGCTCGTGCCCAGAAGGAACCTCTGTATCCTGGCCCAGGGGTTCCCGCTCATCATCACGCCGCCCGCATCAGCAGCTGCTTCGCTGTCCGCGGGTCCAAGATGCAGCTTCAGCTTATAGTGACCGTCCCCAACCACCCGTTTCTGCCTTGCAAATTCTCTGACAGACACGCGATCCTTATAACTTCCAGGAGGGATTTGTCCCCGAACTTTTCGCACCGACTCGTACTTCTTGCTCTTCGCATCCGAGTAGTCTTCCAAAAGAGTATTTATCTTGGCTTCCACCATCTCTTTGGCATACTGCGCCATCGGCGCGCCGTGCAGTAGGGATGCTACGCGGTAGCCCAGCCAGCGGTATAGGATCAGGGCTTGGTGAAGGAATTCGAGGTCGGCCAGATATTGACGGTCGCTCCGTAGGGGTTGCTCGAGCATCTCGAGGGGCATGTGCTTGAGGTCGGTGATGTCGATGGTCGCGCGGTCGGCGACGTATTGAGCGAGTTCTCGAAGGAGCGCTGCGCCGCGCGCAAAGTACTCGACCTTGAAGGAGAAGGGCGCCATGGTGAAGACGTGTCGGGTCTGGGCGTCGAGGCCTTTGACGGTCTCGACGATGTTGGCTACTTTCATTTGGTTACGTAGCTCGCACATGGAGTACCGCGGGTGCACGGACGCCGCTTCCGCTAGTGTCTGGAGGACGTATGCGTGCGGTGTCTCCTTGGGTAATCGGGTGGCGAGGTCTTCGATGAAGTCTCCCGGCGGGAGAATGCCGGCGACGGTGATGGGTGGTGCTTCCGATGTCATGGCTGCACGGAGGATAGGGAGATGATCTGCGTATAAGGTCGTCACCAAGCCCACTGAGCCCTCCTGCTCCAGCCGTCTTGGAAGGCTTTTGACGTCTTTGACATGTTCCTCGGGCTGATTGGCGACTCTGTACCTTCCAGCTCGCCCAGCAATTTGTTTAATTTGAGGAATAGACATTTGCTCCTTTCGCAGACCATTGAATTTGAAGACAGTCTCGAAGATGACTCTTTTAATGCTCAAGTTCAACCCCATTCCGATGGCGTCGCTGGCGACGAGGTAGTCGTAGTCATTGTTGGGGTCGTTGAACAGCGCAGCCTGCTGAGCTCGAGTCTCGGGTGGGAGAGATCCGTACACAATGGCGACTCGCTTCCCTGTCTTGTTCTCGATGATCTTCTTCAGGGCGTGAATGCCTACGATTGTGAAAGCAACAACAGCATCACCTTTCCTCAGTTGTCCAAAGTCTCCTTCTAAGCTTCGGTCCATGCACTTGAGAGGATTCAGACGGTCGTACGTCTTGACGACCAGCGTGTCGCCCATAGCACCCACCATCTCCTTGATCAGAGGCAATACGCGGGGCTCGCCACATAGATGGAGCTCTTTGGCTGGAGCTCCGAGGAAAGCCCTGGTCCATGCCCAGCCCCGATCTTCATCAGCCATCATCTGAATTTCATCGATGACACCCACATCGACTATGGTGGAGGTGTCGACCATCTCCACGGTTGCAGCATACCTCTGAACCTCGGAGCCATCGCTTTCATCCATACGCACATCGTCGCCGGTTAGCAAATTGCACTTCATGCCTTTTGCCTGGAAGCGCGAGTAGACCTCGTGTGCGAGCAAGCGCAGTGGGCCTGCATAGAAGCCGCTTCGTGCTTTTTCCAACTCTTTGAGCGCATGATAGGTCTTGCCTGAGTTCGTCGGCCCAATGTGAAGGTAAATCATCCTCTGCTGGGCTCTCGCCTCCATGTACCATTCAGCGGGATGGCGCATGTCCGCCACTTTCTTGATTGCGGCTTGTACATCATGACCTGCGCGCGCGAGCGTGGTGTTGTAGTAACGAGTAATCAAAACGCCATGTAGGACTGTCTGCATGGTATCGACTGTCTCATAATCTGCTGCCTTGAGGGCTTTGCCTCGGAAGCGCTGATCCTCTTTGCTGAGCGTGTTCCGTGTGTCTTTTAACATGGCCACGACATCGTCCTTGAAGATTTCCCATGACTCATTGCGCTCGGCTGCATCGGATGTCAGGTCTCGCGCGTGCAGCAACAACGGCAGGGGTTTTATCAAAGCGACAACACGGTCGGTTTGCCATCGCTCGCGATCCTCTCGACCCTTGAACGTTGGTTTCCATCGGTCTGAAAATAAGTTAGGTCCCACGCGCAAAGGCGTCGTCTGCTTTTCGGACCTTCTTGAACTCCTCTGGGGTGTGCGTAGGCCTTCTCGACTGCTCGCCCCTCTCCGAACACTTCTGAGATCGGTGGCAGTAGAAATGAAGGGGGCACATCTTGTGCAGCCTCTAGAGGAGACGCTACATATAGATTTTGGCCGGATTGCGGTCCATGTCTTCATGGTAAGGTCCAGGTACCTCGGGTCGCTATCTGGCAGACATTGGTGACGACGCCGTCCGGAGTCGTGCTATGCCGAGTAAGGTGTCAAGAGACGAGGGAATTGACGTGAAGAAGGTGTCGCATGGCGATAATATCAATGTCTCGATGTCACGACTTTTTGAGTCGAGTTGGAGTTGGAGTTCGAAGTCATTTCATGTCATTCTCTCGGCTTTTGCTCGTGCCTGCCCCATGCCGCATGCCAACCTCACTGCTTCAGACTCTGGTACAATAGCATAGGCCCGTCCGAGCACCTGAGTCCGCCTGCTACACTGTCGCCAACGTGCCCGGAGCTCGTTGTCCACCACGAATGTAAGAACCGCGTCCGCAGACAGAACATACGGCGGTCCATGCTCAACGAATGCTGCCACTTTCTACCCCTCGTGCCGGCCGAAGATGGGCACCTCGATCATAGAGTTACAGCGCCAGATCATTTTGGAAAACATTCGAGCCATAAGCGCGGATGACTGGAAAGTCCTGGTCTTGGACGAGAGGAGCAGGAAACTGGTCACAAATGTCACCAAGGAGGACGACATCCTCAATGCCAATATCATCAACATAGAGAATCTCGAGGACCGACGGCAGACCCAGTCCACCACCGATGCTATATACCTACTTTCGCCCTTACCGCACGTTGTCGAAGCCTTGAAGGCTGACTTGAATCGCAAGCGATATCGCAAAGGCTTTCTCGTCTGGACCTCCCACCTCCCCAGGCCGCTTCACGATGAGATATTTCGCTCCGAGTCTCGACAGCGGCTGGTCGCAGACTCGAGGAGTATGGACATTGATTATTATCCACGCGAGTCGCATATGGTCACGTTCCGCGAACCGTGGAGCTTTCATGCGCTGTTCCATCCCGCATGCGACACGCTAGTGAAGAACCACTTGGATTCTCTCACGGCCAAGATCGTCTCTGTCTGTGTGTCTCTGGGAGAATATCCGATCGTCAAGTACTTTCGGCCAAAGAAACCTCGCCACGAGGCATCAGTATTATGCTCGCATCTTGCCTCATTCGTTCAAGGAGCGCTGGACAATTATGCCGGGGCACATCGTGATCGCTTTCCTCCTCCATCTACACGGCCAAGAGGCTACCTGTTCATCACGGACCGTTCAATGGACCTGATGGCACCGCTTGTGCACGAGTTGACATATCAGGCCATGGCCATGGACGTCCTACCCGTACAAGACGACGACGAGAAAGTCACTTATCGCAACACAATAAAAAGGGGTCAGCCAGATCAGGAGGAGAAGGACATCGAATTGAACGAGGGCGACAAGCTATGGGTCGAGCATAGACATATGCATATGAAGGATCTGTTGGTGCAACTTAGTGAGGCATTCAAGAGATTCCAGGCCAAGAACCCACAATTTGCCGACAACGACGGCGCCAAAGTCAGCGTCAACACCATTAAGGATATGTTGGCTGGGCTGCCGGAATTTCAGGAAGGCAAAGAAGCGTTTTCATTACACATCGACATGGCTGAGCGGTGCGCGAAGCTCTTCCAGGACCACAAACTTCTGGATTTGACCTCGGTGGAGCAGTCCCTGGCCACGGGCATGGATGAAGACAACAAGAAGCCTCGCAACCTAGCGGATCAGCTTGTGCGGTTGCTAGATGACGATAGCATTGTACATGAGGACAGATTGCGATTGCTAATCATGTACGTCGTTTATCGGAATGGCATCCTAGGTGGAGACATCGAAAAATTGCGATGTCATGGTCAGCTATCGCCAATGGATGGTGAGATTCTCTATAATCTGGAGATGCTGGGAGCGAGGACACAGCGCCAGCTCAAAGATGAGTCACCTATCCCGCCGCCGCTCTTCCCTCCCAGGATGTCCAATAATGTTGGATTGGAAGAGGTCAGCTTATCTCGATTCGAACCCGCACTTCGATACATGCTCGAGGAGCAATGTCAAGGCACTCTTGATCCAGCACTCTTTCCTCCAGTGAAGCCACACCTAGATGCCCAGAATCCAGCAGGAGCTATGTCGCAAACTTCGTTACGAAACGCCGGCAAGCCGACTTGGGCTTCCAGCCGAGCACAGTCGAACAAGCCACGTCAGAGGCTGATAGTCTTCATGGCTGGTGGAGCCACATACTCGGAAGCTCGAGCTTGCTACGAGGTGTCCCACCAGTTCGGCAAGGACGTTATTCTTGCCACAACGCATATGCAAACACCCAAGACATATCTTCGGCAAGTCAGTCTTCTGAGCGCTGGTAGGAAACAGCTCAATCTTCCGCAAGATCGTGCTCGTCCTCAGATGCCCGCATGGATGTCGGACAAGCCGCCTGAAGAGCTGGCACCAAAGCCGCCGCAACATAGCCAGTCAGCACAACATTCACAGGGTCATCTACCCTCGAGACCACAGCCAGGTGCGAATGGTCGACCTCCGGACGGTCGTGTACCGCCGACAGAAGCCATGTCGAAGATGAGTCTGGGCAGCCAATCTTCGGGTGGCGCGCCCAGACCGAACAATGTTCCGGCCAAGCAGATCCCCAAGAGCACCTTCCAGCCGCCAGAAGAGAGCAGTGGAAAGCTAAAAAAGGAGAAGAAGGAGAAGCATGGCCTTTTCCATCGGAAGGACAAGAAGTAGCGAGGCGTTCCCCTTTGTCTCCCGGAGCAGCGAGTTGTTGGTCCAGCAAGCGTGCGCGTCTTCTGTAGATAGTTCTCGAAACAGCTTTCGAGCGGGAAGTAGAATGCAAATGCTCATCCGGCTTCCGCCCCAAGGTACCGTTCCACTTCATCATTGCTGTAGAAAAGCGTCCGTAACTTGTCCGCCCGTCTCTTCGCCTCCCCTTCCCGTCTCCGCACCTCCTTAGCATCCACCATCACCACTCGTTCTCGCGATCTAGGCCTCTGCTGATCAGCTTTCCGCACCTTCACAGTTGCAGCCGCATCATCAGCATCAACCCTTTCGCGCAGCCCAACAGTATCGTGCTTCGGCTTCGCCTTGATCGGGTACCGTATGCCTTGAGCATTGGCGCCAAGTCCGACGCGTGCGTCCGGATCCCAGCCGTGCGAAGTGAGGTACCGCATGCCGTGGCTAGTCCGGTCTAGGTGCGAGGTGGGTGACTATGCGTAAGGCAGAGTTGGTGTGAGAGGGTGGATTCGTGTGTTGCGGAGATGGGAAGGTTGCAGATATGGCAAAGCGAGACGTTGTCTTGGGTGACGGTTGAAGGCGCGTTGGAAGCAGGCAGCTTGCGGTCAGTGGGGACTTGCAAAACGATGGATAGATAGCGGTCTGCTACAGTGGTCTTTGGCGGGCTTGTGGTTGATGGGATAGCGCTGGTGGTTGTGGCGTCGTCAGTGGCAGGCACGAAAGCGATGCGCTTTCGCTTGATGCCGGCGCCGAAGACGCGCTGATCCTCGAGGGGTACGAAGTAGTCCTCGTCATCTGCATCTGCCATGTCACTTAAAATGGTCGGACCTGGGAAACGAGAAAGATGAGAGGACACGATCTTGAATATATGGTTGCCTTCTGCGTCACAGGCACTCGTCGGGCGATCGCACCCCCAAGAAATCGGGATTTAAGCTTATTTTGGCGGAAATGGAGTCCGAGTCTTTGCCTACACCACCTAAACTTTTGGATCAGAACGAGCCGCACTGGCCATGACCATTTGCAACTTTCCTTGCCACGCGCCCATCCTCATTCCCTTACCTCACTTGTCAGCATGCCGGTTCCTCTGCTGGCGGAGGGCTTCGGCCGGGGTCTCAATAACATTCCCTACGCATGGACTGTCATCAAAGCCATTCCATGGCTGGGGATGATCTACCTACTGAAGATCTACTTTTCCGGAGCGAAATGTCAAGCAGAACGAGTGATGCATGGCAAGGTAGTTATGGTGACGGTGGGAACCCCGGACATCCCACCCGCACGCGGACTGACTGTCTCTACAGGGCGGTACATCCGGAGTCGGAGCAGAAGTGGTGCGCGAGCTGGCAACAAGAGGCGGGCAGATCATACTCCTAACCCACCACTCACCCACTGATGCATTCCTGGTCGAGTACATTGACGACCTGCGCACTGCCTGTAACAACGAGCTGATCTACGCCGAGCAAGTCGACATGTCGTCCCTACACTCCATCAGGTTGTTCGCGACAAAATGGGTCGACAATGCGCCTCCACGACGTCTCGACGCAATAATCTTATGTGCCAATACAATGACGCCGCGGTGGGGCCAGCGAAAGACTACAGTGGACGGAGTGGAAGAGGAGTGGATGGTCAACTACCTGGCAAACTTCCATCTACTGAGCATATTGTCCCCTGCCATCCGTGCACAACCTCCAGATCGGGATGTGAGAATTTTGTTTGGATCGTGCAGCAGCTACATTGCCGGCAAGCTCGAGCTGAAGGATACGGAACGGAAGACGAAGTCTGGTAGCGAGTCCTATGCCAGGAGCAAGCTGGCACTGATGACCTTTTGCCATGCTTTCCAGAAACATCTGGATGCATACGTCCGTCCGGACAAGTTTCCGAATAATGCTCGCGCATTCATGGTCGACCCGGCTACTCACGTACGCCAGGAACACGTCGATGGCTTACCGGCGGTTCTCTCATCGGACTTGTGCTCTACTTGGTCATGTACCCCATCTGGTGGCTCGTCCTGAAATCGCCAGATCGCGGTGCACAAAGCTTCTTGACCGCACTTTTCGAAGCCGACTATGGGCACGGCGCGGGCGCCAAACTCATCAAAGAGTGCCGGGAACTTGAGCCTCTGCGGCCAGAAGTCAAGAGCGAGGACTTCGCCAAGAAGCTGTGGGAATATAGTGAGAAGCAGATCGAGCGGCTGGAGAAGCAGGGCGCTGTGCAGAGAGCTATGGCGAAGAAGGAGGCGGAGGGCGCCACTGCAAACGGTGATGCCTCCAAGCAGGCTGGTCGGGTAGGAGAGAAGGCTGGCGGAGCCGCGTCTTCATCCGAAAAGCAGACGGCGGGGTCGCGACGAAGTCGGAAAGCTAAAGGGACCTGAAGCAGAACCGATTCGACCTCATGTTTCAGGGCACGTGCGATGCAGCATGTCGGCTCAGTGCGTGGATCCTGGACAAATACCAGCCAACGCGTCGGCAATACTGGCAACCTCATATCAGGGCTACGGTTGGCCGGCTACCTAGCGACTCTGACATCTGCAGGAGGTCGGCTGGGTGGCCAACGCCAGGTGTGACAGGCTTGAGATGACATGGTCGGAGATTGCGGTCGATGTGGCACTCACAGTAGGACCGCTGCTGGCTTCTACGCGAAGCACATCCAATGTTGCAGATGTTCTTCCGTGAGATCTCTCGTCCACAAGAAGCATGTCGGAAAACAAGACTTATCCACGCTCAGGCCATATCCGCTGCAAGCGACGCCGAGCCTCCCAGTTTGAGGGGACTGAAGAGTAGCTTGGATGGGCCAGCCCTCCAAGCGTCAGGGCCCGTCGAGCAAGGAGCTGGCATGCAAGCTGGGCATCGTCCCTGGCGTTATGGTGAGGCGGGACAGCATGGCAGGGGGAGCATCGGCGTCGATGGATTCGTGGGAGTCCTTCCAAGCGGTGTGAGGCTGTTCGAGCGCGACTGCAACAACCGTGGCAGACGTGCCGCAAATATATTCGTCGAGCACGGTGCGCACATGAGGCCAATGGGCCCACTTCAATTACTTCCGCTGAAGTCCAACAAGCAACATCGAAATCTCTTACTATAATAACACACGGATCCTATGCACTGCAAGAAGCCATCCCCAGGCGGTGGGTGCTTGCAATGTTGCCGTTCGTGATGCAACGACCGACATGGATGCGCGGCACTGTTCCGCGCGGAATGCTCACCCCGCACTTCCCCAGGTACTGTACTCCTGTGTGCTGGGATTCCTGCGCGACCTGGCACCCGTACAGAAAGGCCGTGTTCCGCTCGAGAAAACCAGAATGGTACATTCGCGCGGTCACGGCCTAAGATGCCTGCAGAACTGGATATTCCGTGAAGTGCTTGCCTTGCACTCGTTCCGCTAGCCTTTTAGTGACCAAAGCAGGGCTGCCGCAGGCCTTGTCATCCTGTCCGAAGTCTGTGAGCATTGATATACTGCACATGACCCATCGATTTGATCTTGAGTGACCGTACTTATCCTCACAACAACAACCATGATCGAGCGAACGGTCCAGGCCTTTACCCACCATGTCAACGCCACCATACAGACCTCACCACTGCTCTTCGTCTCATACGTGCTCGCCCTTCTTGTGCTGATCTACGTCGGCACGACTGAGCTCTACCGCTTCCGCGTCCGCATCCCGGACTTCCCTGGCCCGACTGGCCTCCCTGTCATCGGCAACATCCACCAAATCCGCGTCAATGCCGCTGAGCAGTACCGGATCTGGGCGTGAGTTTCCCCTTGTCCCACTGAACTCCCTCCAGCTTCAGAATATCGAACAGGATGTTGACCATGACTCAGCAAAACGCACGGCCCAGTCTTCCAAATCTCCCTAGGCACCACCCCAGTCATCGTCGTCAACACGGCCGCTTCCGCGCGCGAGATCTTCGGCCACAATTCCCAAGCACTCGCCTCCCGCCCCGAGTTCTACACCTTCCATCGCGTCGTCTCTTCCACGGCTGGAACCACCGTTGGCACTTCCCCGTACTCTGACTCCCTCAAACGGCGTCGAAAGGGTGCAGCTGCTGCACTCAACAAGCCCAGTGTTGCCAGCTATGTCCACTGATCGATGTCGAGACGCGGGATTTCGTGCGGGAGTTCCTCGAGGATGGGCGGGGTGGAAAGGGGAAGGTCGATCCCTTGCCGATCGTGCAGAGGTTGAGTTTGAGTCTGGCGCTGACGTTGAATTGGGGCGTGAGGATGAAGTCCCGAGAGGAAGGGTTGTTTGGGGAGATTGTGGAGGTAGAGGAGGAGGTTAGTAAGTTTCGGAGCACGACGGGGAACTTGCAGGATTACGTGCTGGTGTTGAGGTGGGTGCCGGGATGGTTGAAAGAGTTGGTGGGTGGTGGGAGTAGTGCGAAGGCGGCGGATTATAGGCGGCGGAGGGATGTGTACCTCAGTAAGCTGAATGGGGATCTGGAGAAGAGGTTGGAAGAGGGGTGGGAGGGGAAATGTATCCAGGCGAATGTGATGCGGGATCCAGAGGCGAAGTTGAATGAGGAGGAGTTGAGGAGTATCAGTTTGACCATGTGAGTTACTCGCTCCCTCAGCTTACAACGCACGAAGTGAAAGTGGCTGACGAAAGATCAGGCTCTCCGGTGGTCTCGACACCCTGACCACCCTCGTGGCCTGGTCTCTCGCCCTGCTTGCTGAGCGCACCGACATTCAAGATACCGCCATTGCCGAGATCCGCAAAGTCTACGACCTCTCCAAAGACCCGCTCTGCGACGCCTACGACGACCAAAGCATCCCCTACATCGTGGCTCTGGTCAAAGAGCTGCTGCGCTACTACACCGTCCTGCGCCTCGCCTTGCCGCGCGCCACTATCAAGGACATCCTATGGGAGGGTAAGAAGATTCCTGCCGGGTCAGTGGTTTTCTTGAACGCATGGGCGTGTAACATGGACGAGGCGGTGTGGAAGGATCCTGAAGTGTTCAGACCAGAGAGGTGGCTGGCGGAGGAGGCGCATGATGCGCCGATGTTTACGTACGGGTTGGGCTATCGGATGTGTGCGGGGAGCTTATTGGCGAACAGGGAGATGTACACCATTTATCTACGGCTGTTGGCTGCGTTCAGGATTGAGGACGTCGAGGCAGAGGACGGTGGGGAGATGAGCACGCATCCGGTCAGAGGAGTGATCGATCCGACGCAATTGGTCAGTGTGCCGAAAAGGTACAAGGTCAGGGTCGTGCCGAGGGACGCGGAGGCGCTGAGGAGGACATTGGACGAGGCGGAGGCTGATGGAGAGAAGGAAGGTCTGAGCTAGGTAAGCGTGTCTGGATGCAGGATATCGTACGGAAGATCTATTCCTTGATCGCATCCTCGACGGAAACACCGCTTCGCAGCCGCTTCAACTCTTGCTCTGCCGCAGCTTGGTCGAACGAGCTTGCTCTCCTGGGCTTTGGCGGATTTGACTGGTTCTCGATCGAATTGGTCCGCACGCGCTGCAGGCTCTCCGTAGCAAGTCGCTTGACACTTTTCTCTCCGGAAAAGATTTGTTCTGTTTCTCGCTTTATTTCGGTCCAGTCTTTGAATGTTGTAAACGGAATTCCTTCTCGCTCGCAATAGGTGACAAGATCCTGTCCTTCCTTGGCGAAGAGGAGATCTGACTCCCTGGCGGCTGAGAGATCACTGACTCCATCGCCGGCATATAGCATAGTTGGTCTCTGGTCTGCAGGCAGCTTCTCGATCGCCTTGGCGTACTCTCGCAAGGTCAGACTCTTGTCGTGACCAAAGCCTGAGTCGTCGTGGAATTCACTGTAGCAATGTTAGCAGGGGCCGACGGAACATGAAGTATGTGCCGTACATGGTCCAGCCGTTGGCTTCGTCCAAGCTATTCTTGGGCGGTATAGGCTTTGTAGTGTTGCTGATGATCTCCAGGTCGGAGGCTAGGTCATCTCCAAGTAGCAACTTGAGCAAAGTGTCGATGACGCCGTACATACCGCTCGAGAGAACAATGACAGGGACCTTGTTTGAGCGAGCCCATACCATGAAGTCCTTAAACCCCGGGTCCAGCTGGATGTTTTCGCTCAAGATCTCGAGGACTTTGGGAAAAGGCATATTCCATGAATCAAGCATCTTCTGGAAACCGCCTCGGAATGTCTCGGTTTCCTTTAGGATCTCGTCCATAATGCCTCTCCGGGTGTCATAGCCATGGCCATAATTGTCAGTCACGAAGTCGTTGGTGTCCTGAAGTGTGATTGTGCCGTCGAAGTCTGTAAAGAATAGGATCTTGGGCTTAGCAGCCAGCCGGCTCTCTAGTGACTGCGACATCGTCGCAGAGTCTGAGCTGATCTGGGCTAGTGATCCGTCACGGCTTCCAGAGAAGGACTATTGATCATGCAGAGCAGCCACCCACGCTCAAGAAATTTATCGGTCAACATTATTTTGATATCAACCACGTTGTTCGTCATCGACAGCCCCGATTGGTGTTCCTGACAATAAGATTCTCAGAAAAGAACGGAAAGACATGCCCACTGTCGGTGGAAATGCCGTGCGAACTCATTCATCTGTGGGGGCTTGAGCTCTTGGGCAATGCCGCCCGGAGTTGAGATAGCTAAGCCCTGCCTTGGAGAACCTCCAAGTTGCTCCAACATGCACACCTCGAGCACCGAGAACTGAAATCAAGGCTGCTTCACATCGCGACCACAGCCGACGATCTCGCCCTTCGTAGCTGCTGAGTTGGGGCTGAGAGATGCAGCAGGCACCATGCCGCCTCTCTCAAGCTCTATGGTCCGCGTTCCGCGCCGCAAAGCCGGTACATAGGCCTCGTGCTTTCCCACACCAGAATTTCCATCGGCCAAAGCAGCCATGGGCAGCACAAAGCTCGTCCATTGTGAGGCAGGCGCGCTTCTACTCGGAAAAGGGCAAGGAGATCGAGCGGAAAGTCCAAGACGCCAAAGACCGCATAGATGACTCGATCGAGGCACGTGCGGCTGTTGCGGCGGAGTCCAAGACAGAAATCAAAGAAGACGATGAAGCTACGATCATAAAGACACGACCAGTCTCATCGTCGATAGTTGAGCCCCCAGCTACCTCCAGCGGCGCATCTCCACAAGCTCAGCAGTCCTCACACGATGCTGGCAGGAGTGCCACTCCTAGCTCGCAAGCAGATACGACTGCGAACCTGCGAGCACGGTTTGGCGCATTCATGGACAACTTCCAGTCACACCTCTTCGTCGCCTCGCGGCGTCTGAACGATCTCACTGGCTACACGACGATCGAACAGCTGAAGAATGACATTTCGGCACAAGAATCTTTGGTGCAACGTACCCGTCAAGAGGTCAAGTCTGCTCGTGACGCCTACTCGGCGGCTGTAGCAACCCGGTCTACGACGCAGCGCGAGGTCAATGACTTGCTACATCGCAAACACAACTGGTCACCCAATGATCTGGAGCGCTTCACAAATCTGTACCGCAGCGACCACGCGAATGAGCAGTCCGAGGTTGCTGCGCAGAAGGAAGTTGCAGATGCCGAGACACGTTATGAGGAGGCTTCGACGAAACTCGGTCGCGCTATTCTAGCACGGTATCATGAAGAACAGGTCTGGAGCGACAAGATTCGGCAGATGAGCACATGGGGCACCTGGGGTTTGATGGGCTTGAATGTACTGTTGTTTGTGGTCTTTCAGATTCTCATTGAGCCATGGCGGCGGAGGCGGCTAGTGAAGGGGTTTGAAGAGAAAGTGGAGGTTGCCTTGCAGGAGCGTGATGTCCAGCTCGCTGGGCTCAGAAGTTCAGTTGACTCACATGCTGCTGCGACGGCAGCCGCCACCAGCCCTGGCGCGACAGCGACATCGACACCGACGATGGCCCCGTCGCCACCGACAGGAGCGCAAGCTAAAGCCGAAGCTGTCGCTGGAGCGATCGCAGAACATATAGCGGACGCTGTCAGCGGCGCTACGCCACCTTCATCGTCAACATCGCAAGCAGACGCCGAAGCAGCGGCAGACGCGGTGGTGGCAAAGGAGATCGCTGCCGAGCAGCAGCAGCAGAACGGAAACGGCAACGTTGTCTTTGCATCTAGTGCATCCGGGTACGCCTACTACGCCGAGGCCTTCCAACAGCTATGGAGCGAGCAACGGACTCTGGTCGTCACACAGAGGGAGCTGACGACGCATGTGCTTGAGGGCATGCTGACGGGCGCGGCGGTGACGGGCCTACTGATGGCGCTTCTGCGGCCCAGGTGACAGATCTTTGCTGGAATAGAGACCTGTTCCTGATCGTTGTACATGACTGTAGAATTTACTCTGCCGAAATCCAGTCAAGGCTCGTTCCATTTCTCAGGCAGTGAAACTTAGGCTCGTCATTCTCCTCCGCTCGGCTTCCCCAATCTGCACCTTTTTTTCGTGAAGACCATCGATCCCCAGACACCACGTACCAAAACACCACGTGGCCGGCAACAACAACGAAACGATGCCGCATAAGCATAAGCGCAAGCGCGAAGACAATGATAAAGCCGACTTCGATCTCCCGCCGACCGCAAAAGCAGCACCACTCCCCGCTACCAGCAGACCCAAAGCCGTGGTTGCGCTCGACGACAAGGATGGGACCGCGAAACGATCCAACAAGCGGCGGAAGCCGAATAGTGCGGGCAGTAAGCAGCACCAGGCAAGACCCATGGACGACACACCCAAGCAGTTCGCCCGCATGATGGCGTTCCAAAACGAGGGCAAGAAGCTGCGCAAGGGCTTGGACGACGGCGTTGTTCAGAAACCCAAGGACGGTAAAAAGAAGCAGAAAAAGCAATCACACAACGACACTAGCACGAACGGCACGCAAGTCGAAGCCGGCGCAGATTCGACGATTGCTACAGCACCAGCGGCAGTAGATACTCCGGCCCTCAAGATCCTCCCCAACGAGAAACTCCGCGACTTCGCCCTCCGCGTCGACCAATCCCTGCCCCTCTCCTCCATTCCAAAGCACTCCACCAAACCGCCTACAACCGAGGAAAAGGCCTACCTCACCAAACACAACAAGCGCCTCGCCCGTATGCAGGCTGCATGGCGCTCTGATGAGGAAAGGCTGCGCCAGAAGGAACAGCAACGCGAGGAGGACGTTTTGGATCAGAAAGAAGAGGAGGGACTGTTGTGGATGGACGTGGATGAGGCTAGGAGGGAGCGGAAGGGGAAGAGGAAAGGGAAGGAGGGAGATATCTGGGCCGAGTTGGTAACGAAAAGGAAGGATGGGTTAGTGGGAGGGACCGGGGGATTGAATGCAGGAACGGCGGTGCAGGCGCCGCCTGTGTTGCGTGGGGTGAAGAATTTGTTCAAGGAGCGGCGGGATGTGAAGGCGAGATGATGGGACCGGCCATGTGGTCAGATTCACACACACCACGTCCGCCGGGTTGTTCGGGCATAACGTAAGCGTTCTCAGCGCGTCTTTAGACTTCGAGTCAGGGTGGGCTCTGAGGCCTGGAATTGTTTTGCAGATCGAGCCGGGAAGCTTGGGAAGAGCCTCACTTGAGCGTCAAGTTGAAGCATCAATCTATCATCAAGTTGGCTGCCAGGGAGGCCGCTGTAAGCAATTTGGCGTGTATGTTGAGGATGGAACAAACGCTCCTTTCTGGGCCGAACAGCTTGAGTCAGCTTATATCACGTCCAGGCTGTCCATCCGCCAGATTTCAAGATCCTTCACCTCCTCCAGCTGCGCCCGCCGCACCCGCCTCTTCATTACTGTCTCGGGGTTCCTTGACGCCTGTCCCTCTCCCGTCATCTCTGAACCGCTCAAGACCTCCACCTCCTCCCACCCACCAGCCTCCCACACCCGCTCACCCATCCCCACCCACCGCAACTGATCATAGCCCTCCCCACTCAACCACTCCCGCAACAGCATCGTGAAGTCCTCCGTGTCCAAATGTCGGTCTCGCTCCTCTGGGGTCATCATATTACAGTCAGGCCGTGTTGTGGGCGATATAGACACGCGCACGGCGGTCAGACGGCGCAGGAACGGTAGCAGAATTGTGGTAAACTCCACGTCGGAGCACTCGATGCAGGCTGATAATTGGGTTAGATTCGGACATGCGCGGATCAGTTTAGCCACCATGGCGGCGTTGATGGTCCATTTGTGTGGGAAGATGAGGTGTTGGAGGCTGGACCCGGAAAATTTGCAGATCGTGTCGAGGTAGAGGTCCTGGAGGCCCCCCCGGAGGGTGGGTGCGCTGCGTGTTGACGGAGAGCGGGTCAGGCCGGATGATGACGAGAACGAGTTCGTGGATGTTTGCGTGGAGTCCATCGTTATGTCTGAAGTGCTCCCCGAAGTGCTCGACATATTGTAAGGCGAAGGGTATGACTGACCGTGTCGAGCATTCAAGAGGTAAATGCTCTTGAGACCCCTCTTCGTTCTGAGTGATTTCAGGTGGCCTCTGTGCAGCTGATCGACCCTCCAGACCTTGAGGTTGGGCATGAGTATTGCGTCGCCCTCAGTCCATCCGTGATCTACAAAGGTAGAGGCCAGGTCGTTGGTATCGCCTTCATCTTTGCCAAATGAGTTGATCGAGGTGAACTCCTCGACCGTCGCAATGTTGGCTGCTTTCGTCGTAAGCTCGGCTTCTGGCTTGCCGAAGAAGTTGTATACGCCCAACCGCTTCAGCACAAGCTTCCGCTCGTTCATGATGTTCTTCCGCATCAGATGGGTGAGCTGAACGCTTGGCTCGCCGGCTTCGCGCATTCGCGGAGAGAAATGGACCTGGAGGTCCTCAAGCTGCTGGGCTTCGTATATAAGATTCGAGACATCGTCTGGAAAGCATAGCGGATCGTAGTCGGTGATGACAAGCCTCCGTAGGGCTTTCATTGCCGGTACGTTCGTCGTCGGCTGTGGCGTCCGTAGCGAGGGCATCCTGATATGCAACGACTTGAGGTTTGATGAAGATGATAGACCGTCGTACACTGTGGGCATTAGCCGGCTGCAGAGGTTCCAGTCGAAGTCCTCCAGGTCGTGGCACTTATCGAGCGCTGCACGAATGCAGATGTTCAGTATCATGGCGCTTTCGCTGATCCTTCCTATCCGCAAACACGCCTCAGTTTCGTCGTCTCTGACGAAGTGGCTGTCGTCAGCATCTTCAAAGCGTAGCCGCCTTACCAGCTTTCCGGCATTTGGGTGCGTGACCAGCGCGTTCAAGCCCATGGCGAAAGGACTCGCACCGCCCAGGCCATCTGGCACCTCCTTCATATCGCCATCGCATGTGCGCTTTCGTCTTCTTGCGGTGCTGTGGTTCCGCAGTGTGACATTCTTCCATAACAGTGGCAGAGCCATATAGTACAGCACTTTCTTGGTCCGGCATAGTACAGCAAGTGTCGCAGGATCATCTTCGAGGTATGCCAAGATATGAGCGACGAGATTGAGTGGCAGAAATTCAGGACGGCCGATGAGTATCGAGCCTGGGATTATGGCTCCAAGTGTCGGTGCCAATCGACCGCCGGCTGCGCCTAGAGAGGGGATGTTGTATGGTGTGGGGGGATCTTGACGCTGCGTTTGTGAAGACGTGTACGTGTACATGGCTGACGACGCTCGACAGCAGGGGCGCTGTTGAGTCACTCCCGTATCATCCTCGAACAGTCACTGGTACACGCTTGCGAACGCGTTGCGCTGTGGATGCTGATGGGAAGTACGTTGTTCATCAAGTTCGACCGGACCGTCGGCATCATGCAGGGTATGCGGGAGCGGCGCCAACCGAACTGCAGGACCCCACCTCTGCACTTTCCCACACGTTGCTGACACGTGGGACTTCAAACCCTCGGGAGAGTGACGAAACGGACGAGTGTCAAGGAAGCAAGGGATATGGACCCGATCAGCTTGACGACGGGCGTGCTGGCCCTAATTGGCACGTGTGTCACGGTTGGGACCAGCATTCGTGCTTTCATTGAACGGACTAAGAGCACAAAGGCGCTACTCATACAACTACTCACGCGCGTTGAGCACACGCGAGTACATTTGGCCAACCTGCGAAGCCTTACAGGTCGACTTGTAGGTCCGGAGGCTCGAGGTGTGCTGATTCCATTCGATCAGGATTCTTGTGAAGCGACGCTGCGAAAGCTACAGAGCTTGATCGAGAAAATCGTGGATGCAGGCAACGCTGGGAAGCTGAAAGTGGCAATATCATGGCTACAGGAGAAGAGCGTTGCCCAAGATCTGGTGGAGGAACTTGCGGCGCATGAGCGCAGTGTCATGACGGCTATGTCGGCCGTGGCGGCGTAAGCATGCTCTGTGTCAACGCGGTGCCAAGCTGAGCTGAGATAGACTCTCGAGCGTGGTGACAAAAGATGCAGTTGAACAGATGATCGAGAAGACGGAAAACTTGATCGTCGATGAGAATCCGTTTCAAAAAGATGACCAGCGACACGACCGACGCTCGCTTCTTCCAGTATATCAGGCACATGCGCCCAATTCTGACAATCAAGTATGGCTCGGACAGGTGACAAGAGATGAGTTGACTCGAGAGCACCGAGTCGCGCGAGACGAGCTGGCGGACGCCGCGTATATGGGCCGATGGGATCTGGTGTTTGATGTTCTAGACGATGGCGTTCAACGATTTCGAGAGCAATGGATCAATGGGGCACGCCTCAGTAGGCTGACTGGGTTTCCGATTTCGCCGCTGACCATGTCTAGAACCGTCGCACCAGTTCCGCCAGTTGTCGCTGTGGACGCCGCTGCACCAAGCTGCATTTCTCGGTGCATCCATTGAGGTAGTTGCGCAGATGCTGGATCGTGGCGCTTTTCGTGAGTTGTCAACTATGTGCGAAGTGTGTCTGACCGTGTCGCAGGAACATTGAGAACGGCGTGGACCAACGAGCACGAGGGACTGACCTACCGTGACCAGACAGCTTCAGAGATAGCCCGCGATATGGGCTACCAAGAGTTGTATGCTCTGTTGTGTCCCATCATTCGCCACCCCTTACCAGGGCAAGTACTTGCTCGACTTCAGGATCACCTTCACACACTCTTGAGGTCGCTTATTAGTGATTCGAGTCTGTCATCTGTCCTTCGCTTTCCCGAAGTCAGCGTTCTGACAGAGCTCGACACACCGCTCTTGAGATTCCCAATCTTTTGTCAAGGATCCCTCCTCTGGGTATGTAATCTGCTCATGCGACAGGTTCACAGAATGCTGAGACTCGTTCAGAATTTCCAGATATTGCTCGATGGTCGGGAACTGGTGGTGCGAGCCCTGCGACATTCTGCCAGCGGTTCAGACGAGGAGTATTTTCGTATCAGTGAGATGTCGAAGCACGCGATTGAAGAGCCGGTCATCACTACACAGTGAATTCAACATCTCCCGTCTGTACGACGTCGAGTCAACCATCAACGATGCTAAGAGCATATTCTTAGCCTCTCGCATTTGCTCGAAGCAGATCGTGCCAATATCAGAGCATGCCGAACTTTCCGCATCTGGTTGAGGTTTTGAGGAGATGTCTCATTCCTAAGCTCAAGCGAAATTCATGGGGTTCGGCTTCACTCAAGGTCGCAAGCGCAGCCATGAAATCACGAAATACACGCGCGAAGCCTTCGCTTGTGGGTGGATAAACAAACATGCTACAGCCCAATCTTGTTTCTTGAGAGCACGCGATCAAAGGCGCGAATTCGCACATCCCGCGCAACTCTGCCGCCGGAGCGTGAGATTTTGGTCTATTGGCATGGCGTACTGCCTTCCGCAAGCCTTTGCGCGTGGATCTACGTTCGTGCGCGCAACGTTGGAGATTGATGGACGGAGTAGCCAGGTTGAGAGCTCAACGGGCGACCAGCGTTTCGTGATTCAGGCTTGGCGTTGATCTTGCGCAAAATCAAGCAATTCCGCGCTTGATTACTGCCGTCTAATCATTTCGCTACTACGGTCACTTCGGTATCGATTGCTTGTGCGCTTTGGCCAGAGCTCCGGCGTGGGTGGAAAGGAAAAGGAGAGAACAGCAAGCCTGACCCCTGTCTCAGAGGAAGCCTTCTAGGTAAAAATAAGCTCATCAAACTCTGGAGATCTTGCTGTTTTGAGCGAAGATCCAAAAGCCAAACCTAAGCGCTCAATCTCGCTGCATCTCGCGTCCCCTACCAAACAACTTCCTTCCGCTCGAGACTGGGTGCTTGTGGATGTCATGACTTTCCACGGTCGTCAAGCATTTCTATGCCGGGACAAAGGCTTACGCTAGATTGGCTCTCGCTTGAAGCTGCTGTGTCACTCCTGAGTGGACGGAGCACGTGGGCTATCCCAATCTCTGATTCTCTACGACTTTCTCGAATCGCTGTCCTCCGTGGTCCACCCACCCCAATTTCCCACGCAAACGCCGGTTCTGATCCAGTTTCAGGTGTCAACGGCCTGTTGCTGGGTCGTTGTAACATACGAACGATCAACAGGATTGGGTACGGAGGCTCCAGCACGTGCTCTCCAGACTTTGATTGGCTCCATGCGCATGAGCCTCATCTGCACAGCACAGTCTTGGCTCAGCATCTGCCTGCAACAGGCTCTCGATGTGCACAGGTGAAGTTCCAGGCTGTGGACAACAAAGCTCTATTCCGCCATGATCTGGCAGCAGAAACGCGATGAGCAGAGGCTGCTCTACAAGCCGCACACATCACACGACTCTTCCCGGTCGATTTTCTCGGCTACTCCATGCTCTATCTTTGGGCAACACCCGTGGCAAAGGTTCGTAAGTCGGCTACCCTAGTCAGGTACACAGTGGACACCTTCTCCTGAATGGCCAATTTCAACGCCACTTCAAGCCACTAGTCTCTGCCCAAGTGCTGTTCGATGGAGAGTCCGGACCTATCCAGGCAATCACTCAATTGACTCACCACTCTACCAGTGGAAATTGCCTCCAAGCTGGTTACACTGGATCGGTAAACAGGTAGGTCACTTGGACAGAGCATTTAAGGCTCGCCCGCATCCCGTCTTCCTCTCTCTTCCTTTCTTCATCAGTCTACAATCGTTCAGATCTGCATCACTCAAGAGTCCAACTCTAGTCACTCGCTAAACCAAAACCAAAACAATAATCAAAATGAAGTCCTTCTTCGCCGTTGCCTCCCTCATCGCCCTTGCGGCTGCTGCTCCCAGCGAGACCACCTACTGGGGTGATGCTCCCGTGGTTGTCACCTCGACCACCACCAAGGCTGCCACCACGACCACCACCGTGAAGACCTGGGCTGACTACACTACCACCACCACCAAGGCCAACCACCACCACCACCAAGCCAGTCACCTGGGTTGACTACACCACAACCACCACCACCAAGCCCGTTGCTGCCAGCTCCACCTACGTCTGGTCTGATGCACCAGCACCGGTCAGCTCCTCAACCTCCGCCTGGGTTGTGGTTCCTGCCCCATCATCAAGCAAGCCAGTTGCTAGCTACACCACCAAGGCTCCCGTTGCTGCTTACACCGGTGCCGCCAACAAGGGTGCTGTCGGTGCTGGTGTCATTGCTGTTGCCGGTCTCGCCATGATGCTGTAAGCATCTTTGGTTTGTTGATTTGCATGCATTGGTATTCGGGTTGCAGGGAGATGTACCTAGAAGATGAGAAGATTTGAGTTCTGGAAATACCACCTACTATACTAATCGGGTCCTGTCCAATAACGAATTCATGGCCTTTGATGTCCATACTCAATGAGTACGTTAGACAAGCATTATTGCATTGCAAAATATCAAGACCCTTTCCTCACTGTCTTTCATTCTTCTCTCGACTGCTTTGCTGCAAGCACAACTTTGTCTGCCAGTGGCTTTGCGCAAAATTCTGCCTTCTCCTTTCTTGCAGTTGTCAGTCAGCCAAATCTCGCTGTAGGCCTTGGCATTCGGCTAGCATTCACTAGTGCCTCGCCTAGCGGGCTTTCCTTCGGTAATTGCTTCCTGTGAACCTTGTCGAACGATGAAACATGCCCAGCCAATCGACCTACCAATTACGCCATAAAATCGCAAGCAGCCAGGCACCGCCCGCAAGTTGACAGGCCTTGAAAGTTGAAAGGTACCCGTATGCGATGCATCAATTCATGAGCAGCTATGTGCAAACAATAAGGACAGATGTGCTGACATGTGACCCGTTCGCGCTGACAGCTGTTGCTGTGTCTCAACCTGCGACATGCATGACATTTGGCCGTGGACTTAGCGAAAGGCAGGTATGGACCAGTCTTCGAAACGCGACTGCAGTCGATGCTGCGTTCGGGCCAACAGTTCGCCGGCACTTCGGGAAGGTGCGTCCGAATGTCGGGTTGAGGTCTACGGGTAACATAGCACATGGCCATTTCAACACGGCACGTCCTCGTCTATGCCCGCGTCGGACCTTGTCACAATCCTGTGCCAAAAAACATCGACGATTGTGATGCCGCTCACGAATTTATGACGCACCCGAATACTGGCGCGTCTCGGACTTGCCAACGACAGAATTCGACCGCCACCACAAACTGAGTTCTGATACCGCCAAACTTTCGCTGTGCGCGCAAGCCTCCAGCGTCAGACATTGTCAACGTCAAGTGTCGCCCAAGCAACCCGCGACATCATCGTGCCATAGAATCTCATGTGGTCTCCAGGTGCCATGGACCCGCTAGCGGACGCTTGTGAGCGCACGATCATGACTCGTGCCTTACACAGTCATTGGAGTCAACCCTGCAACAGTGTTGTTTCTTCACAAAGGCACCTCCCGGTCCCAGCTACCCAAGGTTGTTTTGCCAGCGGAAGACCCAAGCATGGGAAGTCGGATCGAGCCTCGTGGGCTATTTGCTGCTCTCGACACTGCCTGCATTATCACGTCGCAAAACACGAGTCGTGAAAGAGCAAGTCGCTCCTAGGGCTTTCTCACATAGTGCAAAAATGCACGTCTCCTGTGCACTCCCGTTGATCTAGCATGTAGGTCCGTCGCGCAATCGCTCGTCGCCTTCGCCGCCTATCCGGCGAAGATCACGTCGCATCGTTGGCCTCATTACGCTGAAGTTCTAGACTGCCAAGCCTACGTAGCGCCACGCACCATTCGCTGCAGACTGCGGCATTGCATTCAACGCAGCACTTACATGCTGTTCGGGTTGACTGATAGATCGTCGTCAACGATTGCGCATATCGAGACGTATTGTATCATCTCGCGACTTCCATGTCAATCGCCCGACCTTGGCCGCTAAGCTGCGGGATTGTTCGATCAGACACATCCAGATGATCGTAAGAAGGGCCGAATTTGGCACTTTGCGGCCTGGCAAGCTGTGACTACAAGTACTGGGCGTTTTCTCAAAGGACCAGCTTCCATCCTCGAACCACTAATGCTGCTCATGTAGGTTTTCATAGCCAGGGGGGGCGCTGAGGCCCTGTCACTATAATGCTGATCGAATCAGTGTGCTTGAGATGAGCCGCGCTTGAGCGAAAGATTGATACCTGGTGAACTTCCTAGTCAGGGACGCCGTCGTAGGAAAAAAGCCCAGTATCTTTATTCACAACCGGCCTGATTCCGCACCACTAAGTCAGCCACCTGACCTTGAAGGTCTGTCAAGATTCAGCAATTGCGTTCCTGGTGCATGCTCGTAGTTTTGCAGGGCTGGTTACGGGTCATGCACATCATATTCACCGACCATAGTCGCAGCCAGCCAATGAATATCCATCTATTGATCAGGTATCGGATGCTGACCCCCAGAATATTGCCTAATGGAGCATCGAGATAATGGGTGGCCTTAATTGACTAACACGATTGGTTGGCGAAGTAATGCCGCCCAGATTAACACAGCCAGCAGTGCAACATGTAAGACAGCGGTCTGGCATTCAGTGTCTTTCACAACCGACAGAGCTGCCTAACATGTCTCAGAAAAGTGTTGAACCACGGGTGGCGTTGATACCAACACCTTCGCTGGATCCCAAGAGCCATGGTGCTGTACGAGCTGCGGTCGAGATGACGGTAAGTGACAATTTTCAAGCCCTGGAGGCCGCTAACACATCACTCAAGCTCGTCCACAACTGCTTGATCCGCGCAGTCAACAGCATCTATTACCATGCGCCGTATGTCACCACGACCAAGGACATTCGCGATTTCCTCCATTTTTGCGCCATCTTCGTCGAGGTCACGCTGCATCATCACGATGGTGAGGAGACCTACATATTCCCACCCTGGGCAGAACAAACGAATTGTCCTGCACTCTTGAAGGAGAATCACGCTGAACACAGGCTGTTCCATCATGGCTTCGAACAGCTTAGCCGATATGCCAAGACCACCGACCCATCGGCCTACAAGAGCGAAGATCTCCTGGCCATCTTGGAGGACTTCACGGATCCACTTGCTGCGCACCTGACGAACGAGATTGACAGTATTCTCCGCATGCAGGAGTACAGCTCGGAAGTCGCCAAGAAGATCTTCAAGGAGGGTGTCCAAAAGTCGATGGAGGGTGCGGACAAGGCTGATCACCTGCCTTTCTTGTTCGGTACGCACGACAAGACGTTCGAGGGTGGCAAGCACTACTTCCCTCCCGTCGGATTTCTTCTGAACGCTGCCTTAATGTTTTGGTATGGAAGCAAAAATGCTGGGGCGTGGAGGTTCTGCCCGTCAGATCTGTATTCCCGACCACGGAAGCCTACGCTTGGACCGAATGCTGCATAGACTAGGTCCGCGGTTGTGGAACACGCGCTAATTGCGGCGGGTAGACATCACGGTCCTCATGGCTGGGATCCTGGGGGCTGGCTCTTGAGATGTGCCTATGATAGGCGACTGCGCCAGATAACTAACACCTTCATTGGATCCCAATAGCCATGGTGCTGGACGGGCTGCGATTGAGATGACAGTAAGCTAGAGCTAGGCTATAGATAGATTGGGCCGCCGGAGAGACGGTGAATACGTTTTCTTCATTCAGTACTGGGCATGTTCGGTGCATTTTTTGCAACATGATATCTCACTACTCTCTCTGTAGTCCACTGACTGCCTACGTATGGCATCGTCAGTCATGCGCCTTGTCGGCCAAAGTGGCTCGGGCGGCATCAGAACAGCCCTCTTCATAACGTCCGCCTCCCAAATCCGACGAGCGTTGCCACGAGTCCGCCCCTGGCGAAGGTAAAGGTAACTCATCAATCTCAATCTGACGCGGTCAATTCTGCTCTGGGAGCCGGTGGCCAGTGTCAGCCGTCAACGCGACCATCACCTGCTTCTCAGAGTTCGGCGTAGAAAGTTTCCGGGTCAGAAATCTCTTCCACAGCATCACACAGTGGTGGAGACACGTAAAACTCCTGTTCTTTCGCCGCAAGATCGCCATCTACACCCCATCCTCTACTCGTAAGACGCTTCGTCGGTGTCCAAGAACATGGAGTATTCATTCTGAGGCACCCCAGACATTGGTTGGTGTTCCCAATTTGCGTACAGGGAGCACGACCGAAGTAGCGGCAAACATCGCAGTTAGAGCGGGGTCTGCCCTTAACCGGCGTCTGCATCAACGACTTTCCCTTATCCGCGGAATCCGGCGGCCAAGCAGCAGCGATGTTCTCGTATCCGATGTCGTTCTCGATGACACTGCGAGTTCGAGCTGGATCGCCTAGCAACCCGACCTCACGGGGGCTGCCGTGCTTGATAGGAACCTCCGTGAGCGTGTATGTCTGAGTCATATGGGAAAATGACACTTCTCGGACAGATTCTGCCACACCGATTCCTTTGGCGAAGTCTGTGAACCACTCTGGACAAGAAATCGGCTCTCGCTCGAAGTATGCCTTGAGTGCAACTGCAGCGCCGTAGGAGAAGAATGCGTAGTCCTGATCCAACTTTGTCCAGACCTGTGAAGTTTGGCTGTATTGGGCTTTCCACTTACCATTCTTCTCCTTCCAAAGAAGACGAATGGCGAGTTGGTTGGCAGCATCTTGACCTTCGTAGACGGGGAACTTTGGCAGCCGAGCAAGACTGGCAGGATGCGGAGTCCCGTCGTTGGTGATCTCCGCAACCACGAAAGCATCACATCCCTTCGGAGCTTCGCAACCAAGACGCATTCTTTTGCCCTTGATCTGTAACTGAATTTCGTTCGTCTTACGGTCATTTCCCGCGTCCTTTGACTGTTTCGCGTGTCGGCTGTAGTAAGTGATGTTGCCTTCCACAAATTTGACCCATGTCACTGTTCCTCCCCAACCTTCGCACGCGGGCATTTGCCAGTTGCATCCCATGCCAGGGTTGTCGCTGAACTTACTCCGGCTGAACGTCCCAAGCCACCCAGTCTGCTGTGAGACCTTGAGCGAGATCTGGTGAATGACTCGTCCAATGCGAATATCTTCAGCGAAACTGAAACCCCCAACAAACGAGCGCTTCGTAACTTCGGTCGCGCTAACAATCTCCAGCTGATCGTGTTGGATTTTCATGACGGGTACGCCTAGTTCCAGCAACATTATAGTCAGTTGCTCTGCAAGCGCAAAGAGGGAATCCACAGCGTTCCTCGGCAAGGTGATGAAGGGGACTGCGCGAACTCCATGCTCAGGATCACACTGTCCAGCAGCGCTGTAGTGGTGACTTTTTGAAGTCGGGTCCGCGGCCATCTCGTGTTCCTGCTCACGCTTAGGAAATGTGCGCTTGGTCTTGCCTCCGTACATCGAATCCTTTGGTCGGCCATACTTCTTGACGATGACTTCGTAATCCTCGCTTCCGGAGTTACAATCATAGAACAGCCGCAGATAGATGCCACACTTGTCATCGAACGGACTGCCACTGCCGTTGGGAGTGACAATTCGCTGGCCAGTAGCTTTGAGATCTTCGAAAGTCCACCTCTCCAACGCAAACGTAGCTTCGAATCCAGTCTCTCGAAGACCTTTCTCGATCGTTACAAGATGAGAGTCCCGCGTCGCGTTATCCTCAAGCGCGTTGCGAAGCACGGGGTTGACAGGGAGATCGTCGCTATCTCGCAGAGCAAGAGTCATGGCTCGAAGAGTCTTTGATAGCACTGTGCCGGCCTTAGGGACTTTGACCGCTGGAGGATCCGGTAGCGGAACATTAATACCTGCAACAGTGATTTCTCCCCACTTCCCGATGCCGACATCGACGACATTGCGAGGAACAAAACCACGGTTGTCATTTGCGCCCCGAGCTGGAACTGTGACCTTGATCCAATCACCGTCATGTCGTTTGCTGACTCTGATGATGCGGCCAATGTCGCCGACCTCGAGATCGATTTCAGTATCTTCAACTTTGACATGGTTGACTTTGCATCGATAGACATGGCCTTCGATATCTTCTCCATCATAGATCTCGGATGGCTCGGGCGTCACCGAGACCTGTGTTACGACTGATGTAGGCAACAACGGCGTCTGAGTTGTAGATTGGACATTGATGGGTGTATCGGCTGACATGTCGTGGGTGATCTCTTTGATGCCAGCGAAGTGGTTGCCGACAGCCTCGTCTGGTTTGGCTTTGTTGAATTCTATGATCTCTTCATCGTGCTCTGCATCATCGGACTGTATCCACAAGGTCCGCCCATCCGGGTGACTCTGTCCGTCACGATAGCCGTGGAGTTCCTTGGGAGAGCTACCTACCACGAGCCCAAGCCGATAAGGACCATGATTGTTCTCTTCGGCCCAAACCGCGAACGCCACAGCCACAGACTGGAACGATATACCGTCGGCCTCTTCCTCTTTCTCGTATTCGTCGATAGAGATGCCTGCAAAATCTGCGGCTTGCTGTCTCAGATCGCGTCGAGCCAGGATTGAGAGGAGATCCTGGAAGTTGAGCTGAGGTACGGCTGCAGGATTGGCCTCGTTGAAGGAAGCGGCAACGGCGCGAGGCGCACACTCGTGCTTGAGGGGTGTGACCCAGATTGTATCCCATCCATTCGGATCATACCTGGTGTAGAAGACTGAGGCGGCATCAGTACTCACAGGACCTGATGTGGATAGCTTGGACACTCCTGAGGTGGATGGTTCCGGCACTGCTCGACGGGCTTCGCTCTTGAGAGGCTCGGGCTTGACACGACCCAGCTCTTGATCGAGCTTCGTCACAATGTTGCGCCGAGCCACGACCCAAAGCTCTTTCTGTTCGGGAGTTGCACTGCCCTGACGCTTTGCCAGGATCGCATTGTGAAGTTTTGGATCGCTCCCAGCCTCAACACCCAATCGGTCCACGACCAGGCCAAGTCTCGCACGGATGGCAATCATTAGTTTGCGTACTTGATCCTCCTGGTCGTTGGTGGAATGCCCTGCATTGACGGCGGCGACGGAGGCTGCGAGTTCGGCATCTTCGTCGGCGATAGTGGCCATGTAAGCATGGACTTCTTTGATGCGGGCAGCAAGAGCGCGCTGAACTGTCTCATGCTGTGCCGGGATCGCTCTTCCTTGCTGAACTGCATCGAATAAATCTTTGTGGCGACGCTCAGTGTTGACCTCAAGCAGGTACTTGTACAGGATCTCCTCAGTCCTCGTTCTTGACGCCATGATGGGGATGCGCAAGCATTTGCCACGGAAGCTAGTTTGTTGAGGGAGCTGAATGGGGTCAGCGACGCGTTGCTACTGTCTGGCGTGTGCGCGACAGGCGCTGATGGTAGCCTGTGGTCAATTCGAATTAGTATTTGGCGTCCTTAATGCACGTGGTAGCATCTCCCTGGCCGCAGGAATAGATGCCGGCGAAGGCTGCTGTTGGACAGGTACTACTGCTCTGCAGGGAGACTTACCAGCGCTGGAGGTCAATACTTCGCAGAAGCACTCGTTGCAGAAAGTGTTCAGAACGCCAATAACGCGTAAGCTGCGATGTTGAGAGGAAGAGAGTTGAAATGTAAGAGGCCAGCAATATGTTCAGCCTCCCCGTTGACAAGACAGCGCAAGCTGCTTTCACAAAGGCGGCGTTTGAAAGAAAGGCCTAGCTCGGTTGAAGAAAGAGCCTTTGTTGTGGTTTACCATGAGGCAAGGCTTCACCAAATCACCAACGTGGAGAGAAGAAGACTGGCAACTGGAAACTGGCAATTGACAGACCATCACCCCGTCACCCCGGCTACCGGACAACTCGTCATTCGACCTCTGCAAACGAAACACAGACTCTGCTCTGCGCTCAAGTCCTTTGTAACCCATCTTGACTGCTTCACACGATCCCCCAAAACTACCATTCGCATGACCTAGGTAAGTCGCCACCATGTGCCCGGCCAGCCCAGGTGAATGAATGGGTCGTGGCATTGCTTGACTGGCAGTGCCTGTGTCTTGTTCTCGCGGCCGCGTCGGTGCCGCCAGCCGAACGCCTTTGCCGCAGTGGTGTCAGCTCGAAAGTGTTGCAGCTTCACTCTTAGCTACTGCTCCAATCTCGGACAGGCGCAGGATGGGCGGACGCTTGGTCTGTGTTCAGAGGCTCGCTGCAGAGAGCCGCACTTTGTTCGGGAATGACTTGCAATCGTATCGACTTATGCGTACTCAATCGTGCCCATCGCCTCAGATGTGTGTGGAATTGCCATGGACCTCGCATTTCTTCTTACTAACTGCCGCTTGGCCGGTGTGGGCGAGGTCGCGCCAGTAACGCTTCGTTGTTCGGTCTTGCACTGCCGCAACAATGCTGAAAGGCTCGTCACTATCGCTGCCCATGATGGATGGCTCGAGGTTGCTGCAGTACAAGTTAATGATGATCACAACCTGATTCCTGGCCTATTGACTTCTCACGATAGGGCGCCAAAATGCTATGTGTCGTGGGAACACACGGACGAGATCAACCTCATTGATGCCATCAAGATGGAGGTCTTCACTGTCTTTTATCACATAGGTATCGTCTGCTGCTGGATTGCGGCAATGACGTTGTCCTTCGAGGCAAAACCGGGACGCGGGACGCGTAGGATCCACTGCGAAGCTTCCTACGCGTCTGTCCACGTGACCGTCGTTTCTGACATGCGGCCGAAAGTCGGACGATCGACGCTGCTTTTACTCCAGCCACAACAAGATGCCAACGTATGTTTCAGAGCTCCACAATACACTGCCGTTTGTACTGACTGTGGAATGCAGGTACACATTCCACCAGAATTGCCCGAAGCTCGGGCCTGATGGCCGTTTGTCTACGTTTCGGCTGGGGAATGACCCAGATGTAAGTTCTGGCGATGATACACCATCGCCTAAAAGGTCGGTTCCGCGCGCGCGTTCGCCTGTTTCGTCTGTGTCTGTTTCGAGTCCGGGATTCGTTGTCCCGAGGAGGTCGCTGTCGCCCGATCTGGGCGCTTCCTTACACGATTTGCAAGTTGATATGCCCGGTGGCAAGGCCATCAACCCAATGATGCTCGACGACGATGACGATGACGATGAGCCTGCCTTGTCCGGCACCACCAGCAGTAAACCTGCCGGTAAGATGCAGTTCCTCAGCTATCTATTCGAAGTCGTTGGTTCTTAGTCACTGATACATAGATCCAGACATCAGCAAACCAACTGGCCCTGTTGCGGCGACCATGGGCGTAAGTACTAAAGCGCGCTCTGCGATAAGGCTGATTTGCGTTTCAATTTGGTCGCTAATACCAAGCATAGAATGACGACGACGATGAAGACAAGGAGAACTGTGTTGGAGATAAATGTATGTGCTTGTGGTATACTCCCGAGGCATAGTCCAGAGCTAATCTGGATAAACGTCCCACCCAAGTCAACGGTTAGGAACGATCCCTTCTCGCGTCCGGTAGGCAAG